AGGGGTTAGCTATTCCTATTTTAGTAATTAAATCCTTTTTTTATTTTTAAAAAGGTTTACTATATAAATTTATATAAGTGCTAGCATTATAGCTATTTTTAAAAATTAAATTTATTTCCTTATTTTTAACTTTCCTATTTATTAATTAGTTTTAATAAATTTAGCTAATAGTTTAGTTAATTTAGGAATTACTTTTTTTAAGCTATAAAATCCTTAATATAATTTTATATTTTACTATATTTATAATATTAAATTAAATAATTTCCTTATAGTTATTAAAAATAATTAGTAAATAATTAGTTTTTATATTAATAATTTTATTTTTATAAAATACCTTTTATTTATTAATAGTATTAAATATATAAAGTTTTATTTTTTATTACTATAATATTTTATATTAATTTATTACTACTAATAATATAAAGTTTCCTTATACTTTACTATTTAAAAGTACTATAAAGGGTTATTATTTAATTTACAATATAATTTTTATATATTTACATTTTCTAATATTTATTATATAAAAAAACTTTTTTATATTAATTAAAACTAGTTAAAGCTTATTTAAATTTAGCTTTAATTATTTTTTATTATTTAATTTTTTACTAAAATTTTCTTAATTTATTAAATAGTTTTTTATATAAGCTTTTTTACTATTTTTAACACTTATACTATAATAGTAAGATTTTTTAGCATTATATTTTCTTTATTAAGTAATAAAATTATATTAAATTAATAGTATTAATACTAGTTTTAAAGTTTTAGTTTAAAATATATTTAATAATTAGTTTATAAATAATACCTTTATAATTTAAAGTTTTATAAATAGTATAAAGAATAGTTTATTTAAAGTTTAAAAATTATATATTTTTAACTTAAAAAGTATTATTAAATACTTTAATATTATAATTCTTTTTACTTATAAAGCTTTACTATTTCTATTATATTTAGCTATTTAAAAAAAAAATCCTTTTTAATTTTGCTTATATAGTATATCCTATACTTATTAAAGATATATAAAGCTTATAAGATTTCCTTATAATTTAAATGCTAATAATATATTTAAAAGTTATTATTAGAAAAACATACTAATAGTAATATAAAGAGTTCTTTACAAACCGCTAATATTACTATACTTTTATCCTATTTTAAAATTATAATTTAAATAATATTAATATTAAATACTATAAAAAGTACCTTACCTACCTACTTATAAAGGTTTTAATCTTTTAAATTTAAAAGTGCTATTTAATTAATACTAACTACAATTATAAATAGCTTCCATTTTACTATTATAAAAGTCTTCTAACTTTTAAGCACCTTTAGGAATTATCCTAACGCTTCTTTACTTAAAAAGTGCATATTATAATTATTATTATAGCATACCATTTAGCTTATAAACATATAGTTTTCCATAAGTTCCTTAATAGCCAAATTAGCCTATTATTACTTTAATACTAGTTTTCAATTATTTTTCTTTTTACTTTAGCAATTTTATACAAAATATCTTTTCTTACTACAATTATAATATTTAACATTCTTTTTAAATTTCTTTTAAACAGCATTAAGTTCTATTAAGCCTAAATACTATCTACTAGCTATTATTTATAGCTAATACTATTTTTTAAAGTTTAATTTATTTTACTAGTAAAAAGGATATATTAGGTTTTACCCCTTTTTCTTAAGTTTACACTTATAAATTTAATTATTAATTTAAATAGCTAATTCTATATATTAAATAAAATTATCTAATTAATTTAGTTTAAATAATTTATCTTTTACTTTATTTTTTAACTTATTATAAAATATAAAGATTTTTATAATATTAATATAATTAACTTTAATATAAATTTAGCAAAACTTTATAATATAAATTATAATAAATCTTTTTTAATATAATTTTATAAATTTCCTTTCTATTTACTATTTTTTATTTAAGTTTTAAAAAAGTAACCTAAAAGCAAGCTTATAGTTTTTAAAGTTACTAAAAATATCTTAAGTTTTTTACTTATATTATTTAAACTTATCTTTTTTAAAAAAGTTTATAAAATAAAGTTTAAACTATACTAAGGCTTATTCTTTTAAAAAAGAAGCCATATATATAACTTATTCTTTATTAAACTAATTATTAAAGCTATAAAAACGCTAATAAGCCTTAACTTAAATAAAATAAGCTTATAACTATCCCAGAGAACTATTATAAGGGGTTAAGTTAATAAGCTTAATAAATTCTTTAAATTTAACTAAAATATTAATAATATTAATAATACTTTAAAATATTTTAACCTTAACCTTAAGTTTTTCTACTTTATTATTATAGCTAGCCTATTCCTAAATATAAGCATAAAGTTTTTTAATCTCCTTAACTATTTTAAAATATTAAGCTTATAAAAGTTTAAAGTTATTATTATTTAGCTCCTATTAAAGGTTTTTTTAAATATAGCTAAAAAATATATTAAAATAAAAATAATAATTATATAAGTTATTACTTAAGGTTTACATAAAATATCTAAACAAAAATAGTTAAAATATAACAATTATAGTTAGTTCTTAACTAATAAACCTAATAAGCAGGTTTATATTTAAAAAACATTTAAAATAATAATATTTTAAACAATATATAATAATAATAAATTAAAAGCTTTATAACTATTTTAAATAAATACTTAAATTAACTACTAAAAAGCTATTTTAAGCTAATACTATTTACTAGTAATAAATATAATCTATATAATTTATCTTTTTAACTAAAACAATAAGAGCATTATTTTAAGCAGCTTACTTAAAGCATTGCTTACCTAAAGCAATAAGAGCATTAAATTATTTAGATTATTTAAAGCAAAGCATTGCTTCAGTTATCTTAGTTATCTTTTCACTCTATTATATAACCTGCTTCTATTATATAGCAAATCCTTTTAAGCCTACTCTACTAGCTTATAAGGTTTATTTACGCTTTTAAAAGACTAACAATACTCCCCTAGTTCTATTCCTGTTATGTTTGTAATAACCTTATTTAAAGCACTTTTATAAAGCAAAAAACTACCCCTACTATATTAAACCTCGCCTACTTAAAAACCGCTTAATTTAATAACTTCTCTTTAAGTATATTAAAGTAAAAAACCTCTTTAAGGATAAGAAAATTAAAATCTAAGCCCTCTATAAGTACACTAACTAAATATACCCTTAAATTGCTAAAGCTACACATCACACTTAGCAATAAGTCTAAACAGCTTATTCTAATTCTCTTATACCTTAAAAGCAGTGCTTTTATAATGTTTTTAAACTAACTAATTAATATAAACACCTTATCTACAAGTTTTTTATTTTAAATTAAAAACACCTAAAAATCCTTTAAGCAAACCTTTGCTTTATTATCCCTAAACTTACCAACTATAATATAAACATTATAAAAACTGTAATAAAAATAATAAGCTATATAAGGACACCTAAATAGCAATTACTTATTCATAATTATACTATTTAAAACAAGTATATTGCCTTCTGTAAGTAAGTTTTACACACTTAGCTACTAAAACAGTATAATTGCTAGTAGTAACTAAACCATACACCCATTATCTTTTCTAACAAAACCCTTAGCCAGAATTCACCCTATAGGCTACAGTTTCTTATAATACACTAAGCAGAAAACCTAAATTTTTATAACCTTACTTATAAGCAGAAAAACAATAAGTAGATATTTTAAAATGCCTTTATAGGTAAAAGAAAATTCCTATATTATATTTAAGGCCAGAGTATAAAAATTAACGCCAAAAAGTACTATAAGGAAATTATTCCTCTAATTAAGGGTATTATAAACCTTAAGTACCCGTTCTTCATACAAAACAACGCTCCAGCCCATTAAGCAGCTTTTATACAAGAATAGCTATAAGCATTGCTTATTAAGCTAGTCAAATAACCGCTATACAACCCTAATCTAAACCCTATTAAAAATATTTAAGCGTAAATAAAAAATTAGCTAAACCTTAAATACAATTTATAGTCCTTTAAAGGCCAAGCCCTTAAAACCGCTATACTAAAAGCCTAAAAAGCCTATCCCGAAAATATACTGGAAAACATCTATACCAGCTTCCCTAAACATTACTAAAAGTGCTTAAATACAGACAGTAGCCTAATTAATTTCTAATAAAGTATTTAAAACTGCAGAATAAGTGTAAATACCATACAAATTATAAGTCCTCAATACAAGCCCCATAACAAGTAGATTTGGCGCCCACTTAGCGCCAAACTAACAAAATTAATCCTGGCGGAGTGTACTTGATAGATTTGCGTCCGCAAGGAGGCCCCGGTACACAAAAATACCTAGGTAGATCCACAGACCACGCGATTGAAAAGATATCATTCCCTAGTACCCGATCCATCAAGTCTTCTCATTGCCCAGAACCTGCTACCAACGATTGAAGCGGGCTGTGTCTGCCACCAGCGTGCCAGCTAGGTACCTTTTGACTCCTCTTCTACAATACAGTACTGCGAGCTGCCCCTCGGTGGATCTCAGCATTTAAGGTTCGCACCCCTGCTGCCGTTGCTGCTGCTGGCTGCTGCTGGTTGCTCATTGCCGCAGGGTACCTAGGTACTTGCGTGCCTGCCCGCCTTCCATTTGCAACTCACGGCGGCCAATTGTTTCGCCAGTTGCCGACCCCGTTCGCGAACCTGGGAAGGTGCAGTCTGGAGCTTCAGCCGTCCTTGCCTGGAGCTTCTCTTAGGCCTGCGGACCCGGTTCAGTTCAACCTCTCCTCAACCCAAACCTGAGTTCGCCCTTGATCGCTGCTAAGCGACACCTCTGAACTCGCATCCATACCACAACGATTACACCATACCGATTGACTCTGACTCGAACAGCCTCAAACAACAACACAACGGTCTGAGGCCATCGCTCGCTTTCTTCCCGCCTTCACCTGCCTCGCGCCGCGCCCAGTCGCGAAGTTTTGCACGCCTGCCCAATCTCACGCAATCAAGCCTCATCGCATCCCACAGTCTCCGCCATGTCTCCTGCCGCTCCGCCTCAGACAAATGGCGTGCCATCCTCTTCGCCTGGCGGCTCCGCGTCTCAGACCGTTAACAACACCCAGTCGCAATCCCAGCCATCCAACTCCCAGACACAACCAGCTACCAACGGCGTAGCTTCAAACTCACAACCATCGCAGTCGCAGTCGCAGCCCCAACCATCAGCAGCAGCAGCACAGGGCTCCCCAGCAGCTGCCGCTGCAGCCTCCCAACCTGCGGCACCGACCTCACCTACCAGCTCCGCCCCGAGACCGCGCGACCAGCGCACAATCGAGCTACTCCTTAACGCTCAAGGTGTTACGGCCTTCGAATCTCGCATACCCCTTCTTCTGCTCGACTTCGCCTACCGACACACCGCCTCTGTGCTAAGCGACTCCATCTACCTCGCCGCCGATCCATACACTACACATGCCGGATCCAAGCCATCTGCCACGGCTGGTGGCACGGCTACGGTTCCAGGCAGTGGCGGGGACGCAACCGTGACCGCCAATGCTGTGAAATTGGCAATCGGCGCACGGCTGGCTTACCAGTTTCGCGGCGGCGGCGGCGCGACCGGCGGCGGCGGCATCAGCAAGGACGCTCTTGCGAGTCTAGCTGCCGAGAGGAACAAGGTTGCGTTGCCGCGTGTGCCGCCCGGCGAATGGGGCGTGCGACTGCCGAGTGAGAAGTTTGTGCTTAGCGGTGTAGGTTGGGGGCTTCGAGATGTTCTCGCGAGGAATGGCGAAGATGATAGTGAAGAAGACGACGACGAAGACGAGGAGATGGTTGACGCCATGGAACATCAGCCGAACGATGAAGATGTCGGCGGCGATGGAGTCGAGGGTGGTACAATGGAGGATGTCTTTGGTGCAGGCCAAGACGCGCAGGTCGGCGAGCAGGTTGGTGAGGAGGATGTTGACATGACTGCGGAGTAGGACTCTGCCCGTGACGCACCTCAGCTGGACTATGCAGGGACAGCACCTGTAACACAGAATCTTGGACGCACCAGCGCGGCAATATTGGCGTCAAACAGGTTCTCACCAGCTGCAGGTAGCGATGCTCTGAGGGATTGGGCAGCTTCGGGACAGCCGCTCTACGCATCTACGCCATCCCCTCCATTTGCAATGTCACCATTTGCAATGTCGCGTACAGGTGAACGCTCCTGGGCTGATGATACGACAATCGGTGATCCTCAGGTGACGGCCAGTGCTGAGTCCTCCATATCATCGAATGAGGCAGGGGCGCACGAAGACAGCCGCAAGTTGGGCGGCGACACTCACACCCTAGATAGCAACGATACCGGCGCCATTCAGAATCCTCCTCCGATACTCACTTTACCCAGATCAGCAGATGCCGGACGAGCGACTGATGGAAGTGGACAGTGGACGCTGCAGGAAAATCCACTGAGCATTCTGAACATTCCGCGCTCCTATTGGCCAGAATCTTACTTCGGTCATATGGCATCGGCGACTGTGCCGTCAAACAGAGGCCGGCCTGAGACCCTGTACGAGACCAGAGCTGTGCACGCAGAGCGTGCGGTCAATGGTTTGTCTGGATGTTTACAATCAGCACAAGCTCAGTCCATCCTCGGGGACTCCATCGGGCAGTACGGACGCCCTACTGATCCAGTCTTATCTGAGCGACTCGTCACTCCAGACTCAGCGCCAGGGCAGAGCCTAGGGCCACAACCAACAAATGGCTTGTCGAATGCGCAGCCTGGGTTACCTGGTACCGGGTAGACGAGTGCCCCTGATCCGGTCACCTTGCATATTCCAGGACCAGATCTACGAACTCATGTGCAGTTGCTTCACTATGAAATCCATGGTCAGGACCCTTGAATTTGCGGTATCATCATGGGCAGAATTCACATAAAATAGCCAGAGAAGGCGGGGATTCGAGGCTTTGTCGAGCATGCCCCATGACGCGTCATTTGGACACACGAGATCTGCGAAGAGATCTTCGAACAGTCCAACAAGAAAATGCCCGTGTGCCCAGGACGGAACTCGACATTACACCAGTGTTATCGAGATGAAAGGGAGGGAAAGTAACGCCTATAAGGCCATCTCATCAACGCTGAACAACCGAGTTCAGCCCTCCATCTTGAAGGGACTGGACTATTGTTTTAAGATAGCTGTGCTGATCACACGGCATGGTTGCTTGCAGCACTTCCCAAGAGCCAACAGCTTTCGTCTCACTTCACAGATGGTCCGGGCAATGGGCTATGCTTGGAATCATAATACAGCACCACGGGCAAGGTCTAAGTCCGGTTACGTGGAAACAGGCCGGTATTTTACAGAAGCTGAAGTTGATGAAGCGGAAGATACAGAAATGCTAATTTTCACGCTTCTAATGCGTATTTCTAATGCCCCCATTTATTCCCTGGGAATTCCAAACCAAAACTCCTTGCTGTGCAATGATGATGGTGAACGACTCGAGTACAGATCCGTAGTCCCTGACAATCTCCTGAACCCACACTGCAGCCTCATTCCAGGGCTGAGGTGAGGGAAGCCCACCAAATTAAGTATGCAATCAATCTCGCTGTTCTCCTTTTCATCGTACAAGTACGTCCCCGAGTGAAGCCGCTGGAGGCTGTCATTGCTGAAGCTCCTTCTCCACGGAGAGGTTCATCATCCCGGTGATCATCTCGGCGCTGAGATCCTCAACCGCGATCTTTGGCGACGGGGTCCTAGCCGGTATCGCCGACTTGGGCGGTGCGAGCCTTTCTTCCTCCGCTTTACCCTCCTCCTCGTCTTCTTGCGCTGCCTCGTCAACGTCGTCTCCTTCATCCTCCTCGTCGTCGGCGTCCTCTTCCTCGAGCACCAGGCTCCCCAACATGCCGCCATCGAGCTGTTCGTCGTCGTAGTCGCCGCTGAGCACACTGCCCTCGGCCTCGGCCTCGCCGTACCCATATCCGTCATCAAAAGACCCCCTCGAGATGTACGAGTCCCCGAGGCCGTCACCCTCGACCTCATCGTCATCTTCATCGTCCTCGGCATACTGACTCTCAAGGTCACCTGGCCTCTTGCGGGAGGTTTCGTCGTCGGACCCTGACTCGGAAGCCGAGAACTCGTCCATGTCCAGCGGCTTGTCGCGCCAGTACGCGAAGTCGGTGTACTCCTCCCCTCCGCCCTTGACAATCGTGGATACTGGCGGGAAGTAGTGGTCCACGACGTCCGTCATAGACACGTAAGACAGCTTGAGCTTGTTGAGGGACAGGAGGTCGAGGGATACCTCGGCGTTGGAGTTGATTGTGAAGATCCTTGTCCTTGGGACGTCTACCGTGCGATACGAAATCTGATCCGTGAGACGATTGCCGAACCCAGCGTAGAAAGGATGGTGATCCGCGCCGTAGAGGTTCTTTATGTCGCGTAGGGTGGCCATCTTGAACACGTGCGGCTTGCGCAAGTAGATCTCTCTCCTCAGTGCTGCCATCGTCCTGTCCGGAGATAAGATTGTTGGTCCCCGTGGCAGTCTATAGCCGTCCTGCACAATGCCGCCCAGATACGCGCGGGTAGTATCCGATTGTCCAACGGAACGTGAGGTCAGGTACATGATATTGTACCCGTTGGCTTCGATGTCCGAATAGAGCTTCGCAACGCCAGCGTGTGTCCAATCACGCCCTATCATGTTCAGCACGTGGCCCAAGGCGTCAGATTTCGTGATGGTCCCATCGATGTCCGAGATCACCACGGGAGTGTCGTGTTTCCACAAGTAGAGGGCCGCGGTGCAAGTCGCGCGGTTGACTGTAAAGCTCATGATGTTCTCGCCGGGCTTCAGATTCAAGCCATGCAACTGATCGCTAGTCAGGCGCAAGGTCTTGGCGTAGTTAATATTTGGATCGCCCATCCCGACACGACCGGCCTTGCTTGAACCCGGAGACGAAGGCGGTGTTTGCAACTCCATACCCTGACCCACGTCCGACTCCGTTCGTCGATGGCCGGGAAACGCTGCCGTCGCAGAGTCACGACTGCTGTCATCGCTATGATAGCCCGGGTCAGACACCGCATCAGCATCGAAGGTTTGAGATCGAATTCCGGATGCAGACTCCATTGTCTTGCGCATAGCTGCGTCTTTGGCCTCCTCGCTGCTGTATATCCAGAGGTTGCCGTGCTCATCGATTCCGAACAGCGCGCCTATGTCATAGTTGCCCTCAAGCTCTTGGGACAGCACTTTTCTCGCTAGAATTTCGGCGTGGATGGCATCCTCCTCGTTGTTCTTGAATCCAGTCATGTCCAACATTAGATCGCCTGTGTCGGTAACATGGGTGGGCAGATTCACAGCCTGCAGCTGGCTCGACAGGTTTATTGCGCGCTCGAGGGCCTCACTTGGCGGCAAGGGTGGAGGGCTGTGGGATCTGTCGGAGAAGTCGGCAAGGTCGCCCGTTTCGTTCAGGTCAGGCCCCTTGTGCTTCTGGCGCGCAGACTCGCGGAGGATATCATCGCTGTGCGGTCGCAGTGAGGACCAGTCTCCCGAAACGGGCCTGCCACCCACCAGTGCGGGCGATGTCATCATAGGAGACAGTATACCTATGTACAAATTAGGTTAAAAACAGGCCAACACTTTGAGCACAAGGGAATAATGGCAACTGACCCTTTTCCCGTGGTGCTGAGCTCGAATAGATCGGCCCAAGGGGTGGCCTGGTGAAGCTCGCGGAAGCCAGCTTATCAATGTCCCTTTCTGCATCCAAGTCCAAGTCTAACAGAGGCGGCTCTTGCAAAGCAGGCGGCATGGTGGTGGCCCTCCCCGGAGTGGAAGGCTGTAGCGGGGGGCTCGAAGCAGGGGACACTAGAGGCGACGTCTGCAAACTCTGGGGGATGGTGTCGCTAGTCTCGAACACAAAGAAGGCCTCGCCGCCCTCACCCAGCTTCATGGCATAGTCCTGCTTCTTGCCATTGACCTTGAATTCAACCTTCTTCTCGTATGGGCGCAAGAGCGAGAACTTGCCGAAGCGGACGTGGAAGGGCGAGCATGACAGTGTGCCGTCTGCCTGTTCTACTACTATCACGTCGATGGCACCGCTAAGGGTGGCTGGGTTTATGGAGTTCCATGCCGTCGAGACAGAGTCTGACAAGTTGCGCACGTACTGCATGGTTGTGGAAGCGGATCGGAAGGTAACTTAGGGGATGGTTGTGCGGCTGCGGGAGGTTGTCGTGGGCGTCCCACTGGTGGTACAGCGCGGGAAGTCTCACATGCGATCTTTGGAGCTGGCGGACCGTGTGGAAAGTCGTCGATGAGGAGTGCGTGCGTAGTAAAAGGGGCTGCTGGACAGCGTTTGCGCAATTGTTTAGATAAATCGATCGAGCGTTGGGGGGGAAAAACTGGGTCTGGTCGGCCACCGGTGAGCCTCGGAAAGGGTCGAGGCGAGTGGGAATAACTAGCGATGGGGCAAGGCTGCTTTGGGAAATGCTGTGGATTTGGAATGTCTGCTTGTGATTCTGGCAAGCTTGTGACAGTGGTGGCGGGCGAATCAACGGATGCGAATTTCTGCTGGTAAAAACCGGGGCTGACTGCTTGTTTATTTGCGATGTAAGGCGATCATAGATAGAAAGATAGTAGTGCAAAGTGCCGAGGTACCATCGAACAGGAAGGACAGGGCAAAATCAGCAGGAAAGGTCAACCACTGCGCCAAGAACAGAAAAGGCAAGGGAGGGAGGAAGGTTCTTTCGTTGAAATAGTCTAGTATGATGGCGCAGGTCTTGTTCTTATTTCTGTATGACACAACAACGAGGGGCCAGGCTTGAAGAGGTGCGATCAACGGGGAAAGCAGCAAGGCTGGTGGGACGTGAGAGAGACAAAGACCAGGCAGGGGTAACGGCAGTGTGGCAGGCTGTCTTCTAGGGTGGTCAAGTCATTGTTGTGTCACGAGGCTTCAGATCTATCTGCATGGGGCCGGGGATAAAAGCCCTCCAGCGCTCAACAAATACAAGTACATGGAAGACAGACGGACGCCCGCCCCAGGTACGAACAAGGTGGTTGCCGTTACGTTTCCTAACCGAGGTGAGAAGTCCGTCCGCTGGCCGTCTGCCCAGGCGACGTCCCGACGTCTCACCACCCAAATGGATGCCACCAACAGACCACCTGACTAACCCCTGATTCGCTCTCAGTCGTGGCCTCCTGCCTGGCTAACAGCAGCAAGGTGCCTGGCCGGATGGATTGCCCATCGCCTGTCTGTCTGCCCCCAGGTTTGGCCCTCGTTTTGGTTTTGCTCTTCACGAGGGTGACCGAGGCAGTGACCGTCCGGTTACGACGGCCGGAAACGGAGCCGAATGCGCTCCTGCTGCAATGCTCAATGACATCATGGCGTTGTGAAAATTCTAGAGACGTATGTAATGCGTTGACTGCTTCTTATTGCTTTGCATGACTCCGGAAGGCGTAAACCAAGCCCCCCCTCGACTTAGACCACAGCAGAGCAGCCACGGCAGCATGGTCGACGATCCTCCGCAATCCGCGGTCAGCAAGTCGCCCCTGCTTTTTGTCTACACGTAGATGGCCAACAGCTTTGGGCACGAGTCGACCCGTGTGACAATGTGACCCTGTCTGCCCTGCCTGCCCTGCGCGGTGAAGGCGAATCCCGCCAGCCCCGCCACCGCCAGCCTGCTGCCCATCTCCCTTCAGCCCTGGAGCTTGTTGGGCCGGTCCGTCCCAAATGCTGACGGTGAGAACGAAACGCGTCCCAACATTCTTTTCAGGTTCAACTCGTCTGCCTGTAGTGCATTCTCGGGATTATTATCTTACCACAAACTGCCCACGTGGACTACACATATCCCGATATGGTGTGTGTATTGGAGCACTCTCAAAGAGATCGCTCCGGTCTGTTGGTCTTTACAGCATCGCTTGAGAACATGTTCGTGACCTTGAATAACTGACAGCCACAGGCGACGCTCCTAGAACATGATTACTAGGCATTCTAGTTTCGGCATTGCTCGCAATTCATGTTCATGTTTTGAGTGTCATGTTTCAGTCCCACGAGTCAGACAGCAGTTCTTCTCTCAAATCTCCGCTCTCAGGACAATGTCATGTGCTCGCTAAACATGCGTGTGTCGATCCTCTTATAGCATATTGCTATGTAGACACAGCTATTCAATGGCGAATATGACTTCCCCCTGAACCAACACCTTACGGTGAGATAGCCACCACCAAGATGATGGACACTAGTAAATGACGAAGTATAAACTTCTCAGTCTATAGGCTGTATGGAAAAGCCTCAGTAACTCAGCACCGATGTACAATAGCATGGCCCACAGCAGGTTTCGAGGTTCCATTTTGTGCTTTGCTCTGAGTGAGCTCGATGGTTTGAGGTCCGCTCCCCGGATCACACAACATGCATACGATTCACTATGCACGCGTTTCCTCTAAATACCAAGGTGGAATTGCCAATGACCGGGGTCTATGTGCATCGCAGAGGTTGCTCAGGCTTGAAGACTGCTGCTGTTAAATTCCCCAGGCACATGCGGCAACATATGTTTATTACAGACAAGGCCGGCAGAGTTGAATAATTTCCATTGCTGATAGTACCTCAGCCTCCTTCACGTATCCAGGTTAACGCTTAGGCCTGCTTGACACTCGGACGTTCATCCGATCTACAAGGACCCTCGCCTACCCCGGATAAAGCCGTCCCTGAAACAGCCTTCCCTATGCCAACTTCAACAAAGTGTTGAAGGATCACCAATAGCTTTCGGTTGAAGCTGTTACTCACCGTCTCACCGTCTGACGGAAGGATCGGGTGACGAGGCTGAAGCCCTTCTTGACAATCCTGCCTCAGCCCTGCCGCCGAGACCTCGTAAAATCCCCAAGGCGGCCGCACCCAACAGACCTTGGTCCCTGCAGGGAGATGCAACAAGCCACGACCCAATCAAGTGATCCCAGTAATGCTCATGTGAATCAATTGCGCTCAATGCAAAGCCATGCGACACAACAAATTTGCCAGGACGGGGCTGCGACCTGCAACCGGGGACCCGGGACCGGGAAGATCCCAAAGTCAATGGCCGATAAAATCGCCGGGCGGAAGTCCTCGCGACCCCGCAAGATCGTGGGCAAAGATTGACAGTAAGCCTTCGCAGAGATTGTCCCCCAAATCCTGTAAATTGGCGTGCAAAACTCACCGTTGCGACTAGAAAGCGCACTAGCACGTGTGCAAAGATAAGCTTCCTCTAGATCCGCGACTGTTTTTGATTCCATCTCGGCCCTGACGCGGCGTCCAGCAACCGAGGCCTCTCAAGCCATCGCCACGGCCTAAGCAGATAGCAAGCACATCGCCGGCGAAGGCTTCTGGCACCGGACTATCCATTTTGCAAACTGCCACATGATTTCAGGGAGGGGGAGGGGGAGCAGATCAAGCATCATGGGGGCCTGCCAGCTCAAGCACACTACTGCAGCTGCCATTGCACTGCGACGGTCCGCAGGGCGTGATTGGGGGCTTGTCTCCCGTTTGCAGTGTCGATCATTGTGCAAAGAATCCACTTGTGAACCTCAAGGGCCTATCTCATTGTCCCTATGCTGATGCAAGCACACCATACTGTAGCATTCCTGTCCAGGCAGGCACCCACATCATTTCCCAGTGGTTGTTCGTGAGTCCACGAGTCGAGTGAGCCGGTCTACGTGGTATGCAGGTTGCCCGCCGTCGACTGTGAAGGTGAAGGAGAAGGTGAAGGCGGCGTGGCGTCTCTCCGGTTCGAAGTGCCGAGATGAGGCTCTCGCTTTGTTCAAGGTTATATTGAGGGCGTTGCAATTTGGCGGTTGGGAAGATTCGCTCAAGGCTTAGCGTCATAGCTGATGCGCCTAAGCGTGGAAAACGGAGGTCAGGGCAGCTGCTGGTACCCCTGGAGCAGCGAATGAGGAACCCCTGAACCCTCAGATCGTGGAGACGAGCTTGGCTGCTTGAGGCATCAGGGCGAGTGTGCCGCCTGGCCGCCCTTGCCTTTCTCTTACCGACTTCTCCATACTGCCTGCTACTCTACCACGATCCAAGAGTCACCAGGCCGTCGCCATCGCATGAGAGAAAATCCCTTCTGTGTTTTGTCGCGCGGAGAGGAGTCGTTGTCGTTCGGATACAGCTTCATTTGACCCTCGTGCATGTACCAGCTTCCTTGTTGGCCTCCCGCCGCTTGACTCGGCCGACTTGGACTTTGTGTGCACTATCCGTCCGCCTTGCTACCACATCGCATTTTTACTTTTTCCCTTCTTCCCCCATTGATCGGTCGGTTCTATGTTGCCCTCCTCCTCCTCCTCCGCCTCCGCCTCACCACCATCCCACCCCGATCCCGATCCGCTCTACCCCTCCTTCTCTCCTCGGCCGGCATTACTCCCACTCCGATATGTTATGGATCTCTTGGACATCGATTCTGCCGCTACTCACCCTCATTTGTCTGCTCATCGCCTGGCTCATCGAGCGTAAGAGCGCCTTCGTGCATGTCACCGTTGCGACCTGCTGCATCCTCATCTACGTCGCCGCCTATATCGACCAGAACGACATCTCGGTCGATAACATATACATGAAAGCCGCCTCTCACATCGACTTCGACCACTTGGACCGCCTCTGCGAGGAGAATGCCACAATGGTGCTCTTCAGCGTCGCAGCACTATGGTACGATTGGATCCGAGCCCTGTTCTTCTGCACGAGCACGCGACCATGCTTGGACGCTTGGGGAGGCCGTCACTGACAATACTTTCGTACAGGCTGCTTCGAAGGGCCTCCCAGACGCTGTGGAAGCCTGTTCCCGAACTGATTAACATCCTTGGCGTCGACGTCCCCGACGCGCCCGATGTCGTGCTCTCCGGTATTGGTCTCGACAAGGCAACTGTGAGCTGGGCGAGACCGCACCCCAGCAAGCCGGTGCACAAGTTCCTTATCCAGGTGAACGGCGTAGTCGGTAAGCAATCTTACGTGTGGCAGTGGGCGTGGTGATTTCGGTCTTAGATCTTTGCCTGAACTCTAACACATGTGTCGCAAAAAAAAGTGGGCGAGTCTCCAGCAAACCAAGAAACAGCCATTACTGTGACCGGCCTTAAGCCAAATCATTTCTACAACGTACGGGTCATCGCCGTTGGATCCAACAGCTTTCAAGCTGGCAGCCAAGTCGTCCGCCTCCAAACTTTCGACCCTAGTGGACGACCGCGCCTAGGAAACTCCCGCTTACCCCCGAATTTTGAACCCGAGGAGCCACCTTCCACAACACAGGGCGAGAATGGCGACGAGAATGGTGCACCGAGAAGTCCTCTACCGGCGATTGAATCCGCGACAATTCCTGACGGTGGCTCGGCATTGACGAGAGAGCCTAGCACAGCTGGGTCGGTACCAAGGCGGAACACAGTTGGTCGGAGAGCATCCCCGTCGGTGAGCAGTATAGAGCAGAGGCCTATTCGCAAGGACAGTACCTCCGAGGCCGAGGTTAGAGAGCTTGGACAGAGGTTCAGCAACATCAAGGCTGAAATCGAGGATACTATAGCCGTCATTACGAAGGAGGAGGACGACAGCAAGAAGTTGTTGGACGAACTGGAGCAGGAGAAACAGCAGAAAAAGGCAGAGCAGAAGAAGAAAGAAGAGCAGACAGAGAAGCTCAAGAAGGAGATGGGCACGACCGAAAGGGCGATGCGGTCGACCGTGCAGCGGAGGACGCAACTGGAGAAGGAACTCAAGACAAAGCAAGCTGAGCGCTCTCGATATTTCGATAACATTGCCAAGATGGAGAGGCAAATCCAGGAGTGGCGCAAGGAGAAGGAGAGTTTCGAGGAACAGAAGAAAACAGTCGAAGAGGAGGCAAAGTCGAAAATGGCAGAAGTCCGTGAGTGCAACGAGAAGTTGCAGGCAGAGTGCTCGCAGTTGGAAGCGGACTTGAAGTTCAAGAGAGATCAAGTGAAGTTGCTGGAGGACGACAGGAAGAAGCTACCAGGCGGCGAGGATGATGAGGAGTGGCGCCAAAATAACCTCGAGAAGAGACGCGAGTGGCAGCGCAGGGAGCGCGAATGGAATTTGAAGCTTTTTCACGAGACCAAGCGGGCCAAGGAGCTCGATGATAGTCTCAATTCGATCCACGCTCAGCTTCAACAGATTCCACAAGCCGCTTTCGCCCTCTACAACCAAGCCAACACCACTGGCGCCGAGTTCGATACTTCTTCGCAGGCCCAGGTGAAGCGCCGAAGCCATCACAGCAGCTCGCTCTCGAATGTGGTCATGTCGCCTGCACCTCCCTTCGCCTCGCTGGACACGCTTCCACAGCCGCCCGGGTACAGTAACACTCGCCCGCCACCCGGCTTTGCTGCCGCGCCATTTCTCGACTTGTCTATGGACATGGACGACATGGACGAGGACGAGATCAGGGCGCTGACGGCTGGTGCGCCCTTGAGCCCCTCGGCAGCGGCCCTACTGCCTAGTAATATCTTCACGGATGACGAGCATTCTGGAGATGAGGCACCAGCCAGCCCGACCTCTCACCGCGAGCCTGCCAGTCCGTTCGCGCCTTTGCAGACGGCATCTCCTGAGCATGATCCTCAGTCGCCTCAATCGGCTCGTTCGGGCAGCATTTTTTCCAGCGCTCACGGATCCCAGCAGAATTTACCGTTTCCACCCTTCCCGAACGACGACAGCGAAAGGCGTTCTATCAACTCGGGGCATTTCGCATCCCCCGCTCCAGCTCCTGGACAACCTGCTACTCAACGGCTGGCTTCCCTGTTTTCCTTCCAACGCGGTAAGCCCGCACGGCCATTGGATGAGCCTCCTCAGCTGGGCAGCCTCAAGCACGGACAAAGCCAGTCATTCCCTCGTCAGACTGATGAATTAGATGGAACGTCAAATAGGCGCCGGATCAGCCTGTCGAATTGGAACGTTTTCAATCGCAACTCAGTTGGCCCGGATACCATGGACACTTACGCTCCCCCAGCGGGGACGAGGGGCTTCTCAGCTAGAAGTCTGTTACCCTTTGGTGCTCGGGCCATGACCGGTGTGTTTGATCGCGATCAGAGCAGCCCGCGGCCTGCCTCGATTTCTTCGTCTGAAATGCCCAGGCCCTCGACAGACAGTGGATCCCATCTCTGGCCACCGCCACCAGAACAGCAAGGTTTCCCTCGGTCACGACTCGTCTGGTCACCAGAAAACAACACATGGTCCAGGAATCCCTCTCGGCGTCCCTCGATCGGCGGATCTCCTTCGGCTCTTAAAACGACCCTCGCTTCAGCGGACGATGAAATTCTTGACGAGCATGACCTACTGAACCCGCAAGTTTCACCGTCCCAGGTAGGAGTGATCGGAAGCCGACCTATGAAAAAGTCTCTGAAAACTCTCAATCCCACCGTGCCCTCCTTCTCCCCCAACTTTATGGGTAGTATCTTCAGCAGCAAGGACAAGGCCAAGAGTAAGGAGAAGACAAAAGAGGCAAGAGATCACGCCAGAGGAGCCTTTGAAGACCCGCCGCCCTCGTCAGGAAACGACTCGGTCGCCGATCGTTCCGATTCACGGCTATCGATGTCAGTTCGCAGCCGTGCATCTATCAGCGAGTCTCACGATTCCCTGTCTCTCGACCAGTCATTCTCAAACACCCCATCGGAGCCATCAATGAGCCTCAGGGAGCTGTCGGCTAGCGCTGGCCCGGACAATGTGGTGCGAAAGCTGTTCCGCAAGGGTTCTGCCATCTCATCGCGGCTCGGCGGCTCTAGGAAGGCTGGGCCAGGCTCAAACACGGGCTCAGAGCGGGAGCACCGGCCTAGCTTTGGTGGCAGTGATGTCGCCGAAAATAGCTGGGCTGGCAAAGATGGTACGGGAGAGGATCTTCTGGGGAAGAGCTTTGATTCACTCAACTCTAGTCCATCGATTGGTACCAACAAGTCCAAAGGTGGCAGGTGGTTCTCCATGGGCAAGAAGAAGGAGAAGGCAAGCCTGGAAATTGAGAGGGAGAGAATTGCCGATGCTGAGACGCCTACTGCTGAGGAGCAGCCGGCCATGCAGTTTTCAGCCTAAACTGTGGGCGGACGTTTGAATCCCACGGGCTGGAAGTGATGGAAAGAAATTCGAGCCAAACTGTCTCTGCCTGTCCAGGCCACGAGACCTCCGTCGTTATGAACGTCACAAGAATAGTAAATTAAAATGGAAATATTGCCAGCTTTGTGAAGCTTTGAATTCTACTCTCGATCGTGGCATTGTTTTCCTACAACATTTGTCAGACTCATGCGCTACGTACTGTCGAGGTGTATTGCCTGGCTCTTCAGTTTCTCAGGCATAGAGCCCCTGAACCATTGAAGCTGGGGGCGCGGCCCAATGAGGCAGAAGCGGTGAGAGCCCAGGAGGTGCCGAGCTTAAGCTCCGGGCGGCAGATTCGATTTCGGACCTCCAAATCAGTCGATCCAAGCTCAACATCAGACATCAAGCCCACCCATTATTACCCACTTACCTGCCTACGCCCGCCTCATAAAGACGCAGATCAGCTCTCCCTGACCCGAGACCTTGACCACCGTATCCCAAAATCGCAGACACTCAACCGAACCACACATGTCAATGGCCACAATGGCCGCTGAATCATCACCATCGAGCGCCGGCTCGGACTCGACATCGACAGGGCGCCTACCGATGCCATCACGCAATCCACTGCCCCTGTCGGCGTCGCAAGAGGCGCAAGTACGAGAAATATTCTACGAGAGGGTGCGAAGCTACTGTGGGCCGGAAATAAAAGGTATATACGCAACTCGGCGCACCCCTCCCCTCTCCCCTCCCCAAAGACGGACTTCAGACCGACTCTGCCACCCTCCCCTCGCACAATTACAGAAACAAGAACTCGGCTAACTACTTGCGCTCCCTCTGACATAGCATTCGCAGAATGCGCCCTAGGCCGGACGTTCTCGGTCCCCTTCGCCTGCCGCGAGCCGCACCGGGTGATGAACGCGTGCATGAAGACGCACGCGACGCCGCAGGAGGAGGACGCGGCGCGCGAGGAGTGGTTCGCCAAGCGGCAGGAGCGCGCGCGCGAGAGGCAGGAGAAGGAGCGGCGCAAGGCCGAGCAGCAGCGCTTCATGCGCGAGTGGTGGGGGCTCGAGGAGAGCGAGCGCGAGGAGCAGCTGCGGCGGGCCGCCGAACAGAAGCTCACGCGGGCGGAGCGCGTGGGCGGGTTTGCGTCGGGGAGCCGGAGGAGGTTCGATGGGGAGGGCGAAGGGGGCAAGAGGCAGTGAGGTAGGGTTCGGGGCGGGTAACATACCATGGATGGGCGGCGGTACTAAAAGGTGCGGTTGGGGGACGATATCAACGACCGGGCAGATGGAAAAAAGCCGTGTGTGTTGATGGCTTTGCATACTTCGGCGTTTGGGGAGATGGTTCCAGGCATATCCAGCGACTTGATGACCTGGGTTGATTTACACTACGCTGCTCTAGAGGCTTTTGGATTCGACGAGTCTTACAAGGTGTACATATGTACCAAGGGTGGTGGAAATAGACGTGATATCCAAGAAGGGCGGACAACGTGGCACTGCTCCTAGACCTCAAGTGATGATTCACCTTGTGTACGTCGGAATGTTGGGCCTCAGGGTATATATCCCCGAGGGATTGGTATGAACTCTTGTGAGCCCTCTCTCCTTCTCTATATATTCAGAGTACAATATTTTGACTTCTATCATTCAAGGGCCGCACTGCTGCAGATAATCATATCCGGGCCTTAGTCTGGCTAGCTTCGTCGACAAGTTTCTGGACCGTCTCCGCCACTCCCCAGGACAATTCATACCCTCTTCCGCCCAAGCCGTATGCGTGTACAACTGTTTTTCCGGGGGCGACCTCTTCGCTCTCCAGTCTTGCTCCACCATGGCGGGCTGGCCGCCTCCCTACAACGTCTTTCAGGACTCTCACCGAGCCGGACTCGTCAGCGATCTTGGGATGTGTAGCCACAAAGGCCCGAATCAGCTCTTCCCTGACCTGCAAAGACGGCTCCGTATCCCAGCTGTTGGGCTCCTTAGTGCCACCTATTATGGTGCCGCCTTCGAAATTTCGGGGAACGCAGAATGTCCAGCTGCCGTCGGCGTTTTGCCTAGTTACTGTCTCAGGGCAAAGATTGGCGACTAAGCATGTTTGTCCTATTTCTCGAGTGTCAGTTCTTATCCAGGTCGCCACGAGTGGACGTGAATACGATGGGCGGCATACCCCTGATGATAAATGAATTCGGGTCATCAAATCCCATCCCCGATGCATTTACTACCGCTTTTACAGGGCCACCCAGATCCCGCATCTCAAAGACCTCCTCGGGGCGGCTGATTTCCCTCCGGAGGATCCGGCCACCGCGAAAGACAAACCTGTTCAGCAAGAAGCTGCAGTAGACCATAGGGTTGACACACCACGTGTCATACTCGAAACCCAGGCTAATCTTGTCATCGGGCAGCTCGCTCTTCTCCAGGACGCGGAACCCCTCGAGCCCCAGGTCCTTAGCGCTCCCCTCGCCACTCTCGCGGACCAGCGCTTGATACTCGGGCGCGGGCTTCTCCAGGTACTCGATGCCCTTCATGAAAGTGATTCCTGCCTCGGGGTTCGACCCCTGCAGTGACCTCATGCGGCGGAATGTGGCCAGGGCCAGGCGGTGATCCCTCAGATCGTTTGGCTGGGCCTGGCCAGCAACAGGGGGCGGCACCCAACGATTGTGTGCGCCGCCCCAGGGGCTGGTGAAGTTGACCTGCGCCTTCGGATCGATAAGTGCGAATGGCGTTGGGAAATCCTTGGCGATGATAGTGACTGCTCCTGCTGCGTGGCCGGCTTCTTGCAGCTGAATGGCGCAGCTCAAGCCGGTGACGCCGGCGCTGAAACATGGGTGTTAGTTGTGCTGGGCTGCAAGAGGAATGGGTGGCGAAGAGGGGGGGTGTATGAACCCTATGACTACAATCTGGGAAGACATGATATGAACACGGAATGGGTGGTGGTCGCAGACACGCAGACACAGCCGAGTCTGGGTGTAAGTCTCGATCGTATCACGCGAGGACCGAGGATGATGGTGTGCAAGCAAGCGAGGCTGTCTGTGAGAAGTTTACGTCTGCACGGTCGAATCTGATGGACGCGGGATGGACAATACCATATTTCGATGAACAACACGATGCCATTGTGAGTCTGCATACCATTTCTCTGACTCCTATCAATGTTGGATTCAAAACGAATGGCACGATCTCGAGGTCCGAAGTCGCCGATCGGGGCCTAGCCGGCAGCTTGCGGCAGGTAGCGGCAGCTTGCCCAGGTACGAGTCGAGGTGATCGGAGCCGCTAGGCGAGGCCTGTCGGGGTACACTGGCACTGGCCTGCCAACCTGCCAGCCTGCATACGGCTACAACACTCGCCGCAACCTTGTGCACCTCCCATGGACGACATTTCGGCCAATCTGCAAAAATCGCAACCAGTCTATCGAATCCTGTCGCATGACCTCCAATTATAGAGGCAGAGTTGATGATTCAAGGATAATAAAGACCGGACATGAAAGCCTTGGCTCGGTCTCTAGCCGTCCAGGGCACGCACGTGCTCTCAAATCAGAGGATCGAAGATCGTGCAGCGATGCGCACCAACGCCGCGACGGTGCCTCGTGCGTGAGCGACCCGGCTGCTGGTTAGACCATCCCCCTCAACTCCCAACCCGCCACAATCTGTCGCGCCTAGGTCTTCAGCTTGTGGATCAGCAAGGCGAGACATGCGCCTAGTCGGCCAAGGGCTTTGCAGCATGCGCGAATTGGGTTTGGCCGACCGAAAGATGGAAATAGGTCACCGATATGGACTTGGCTGATCGGGGTTGATTTGGGAAGCTGGCTTGGTCGGCTGGGCCTTTGGGGCGTCGAGTCGGACAGAGATTGTCCTCGCCTGCCTGAGCCCTCGCTCGGGTGCTGCGTCGGCTCAATGTCAGACACGACAAGAGTTCATGGCAAAGCTTACCCACGTGGGCGACCAGACGCATCTTATAGGCGAGCGCAGCCCACGTCGCCAAGGTTCGCCGAGAGCCTTGCGCAGGAAACCATCCCAGAATCATATAAACCTCCTCCATCCACTTCTTGGCTCCCAACCCAGCCCAGCCTGCTGGATCTGCCAAGTCAAAGAGATTTCCCCGTACTTCAACGTCGATTCTGCTCAGACACCCCCGTTGGGGACACCGAGAGGCGGCCATGGCAGCCTTGGCCAACCACCAAGCCTCGAGACGGACCCTTCCGCTAGGGTGTGCCTATCCTGCCGCCGGTATGTCGAGCCTCCTAGTGGACAGGAGGACCTTACGGATATGGAAACCAAAGTGGGCAAACGCCCATCAGACTCGCCATCCTCGGAAGACAATCGACTTCCACGGCATAGCATGAACGGCTGGTGGGGTCCAGGCGAAACTCAGTCTTGGAGCACGTGTGCGCCTTACCACGCAGAAACGAAGGGGGAGGACCAGCATGGCAGATACATACATATATAATATGTTGCCTCTCGCCCACCATCGACATGTGCCAATGCTCCGAGCTCAGGTACTCAGCGTCAACCCCAAGACAATATTTCTAGGCTTGCATCTTGTCATCAGCCGCCAAAATGCTTGACCAGTACACCTACGTCTTCGTTATCGGCACGCTCTTTGCGATGCTCGATGCGTTCAACAATGGCGCAAGTAAGCTTCTTCCCTCAATCCTTGGCCACCCTCCCTGAACTTCACTCCCCTTCATTCTTTCTCCCGGCATTGGGTGCTAACCGAGTCCGATAGACGATGTCGCAAACGCGTGGGCAACCAGTGTCTCGTCCAGATCAATTTCGTACAGGCAGGCTATGATATTCGGTACCATCTTCGAGATGTTGGGGGCCATCACCGTCGGCGCCCGGACAGCAGACACAATCAAGAACGGAATCATCCCCAACGCAGCCTTCCAAGGCAACGCCGGTGTCCAGATGCTCGCCTTCACCTGCGCCCTCGCCGCTGCCTCTTCCTGGGTCATGTGGTGCACAAAACACTCGGCCCACGTCTCTTCCACATACTCCCTCATCTCGGCTGTCGCTGGTGTCGGTGTTGCGACTGTCGGTGCTTCAGAGGTTCAATGGGGATGGAACAAGGGCAAGGGCTTGGGTGCCATCTTTGCTGGTCTCGGTATGGCCCCGGCCATCTCTGCCGGCTTTGGCGCAACAATATTCATGCTCATCAAGCTGGTCGTGCACATGCGGAAGAACCCGGTCCCATGGGCTGTGTGGACCTCGCCCTTCTTCTTCCTCATCGCCGGTACCATCTGCACGCTGTCCATCGTCTACAAGGGCTCTCCTAACTTGGGCCTGAACAAGAAGCCCGACTGGTACGTCGCCTCGGTCACCATGGGCACTGGTGGCGGAGTTGCCCTCCTGGCGGCCCTCTTCTTCGTCCCGTACGTACACGCCAAGATCATCAAGAAAGACGCCTCCGTCAAGTGGTGGCACTTCGTCCAAGGGCCTCTGCTCTTCCGCCGCCCTGCCGTCGCTGAAGCAGAGCAAGCCGTCGTTCCCAACTACGCAGTTGTCCAGGAGGAGGACGACGCCGTTGAGTCCCCTCGTACTGCCCCTGGATCCATCAGCGGCGACTCAACCCAGGCCGACAAGCACTCAGACCAAGAGAAGGCCGCCATCAACGCCGAGACCACACAACTCACCTACAAGGAGATCCAGGAGCAGGGCGAGGCCAAGCTGCGCGCCAAGCTGCTCAAGAAGCGCGGGCCCCTCGGCTGGGCCATGCGCACGCTGCGCGACAACCCGATGGGCGCAGGCCAGATCTACGAGACGCACAACATCAAGATGCTGTTCAAGCGCATTCCCGCCATGATCACCGTCGGTCTGCTCTACGGTCTGCACTACGACATCCACGCCGCGCAGTCCGGTCACGCCGGTACCCCCGAGGGTGCGCGCATGGCCCGCGTCTACGCCAACGCCGAGAAGTATCCCAACGAGGTCGAGCACACATACTCGTTCGTGCAGGTCCTGACTGCCTGCACCGCCTCCTTCGCCCACGGTGCCAACGATATCGGTAACTCGGTCGGCCCCTGGGCTGTCATCTACTCGGCCTGGTCAACGGGCGAGGCCGCTGCCGCCAAGGCCCCTGTCCCAATCTGGCAGCTTGCTGTTCTGTCTGCCACCATCTCTCTAGGTCTCATTACCTACGGTTACAACATCATGAAGGGTAAGCTAGAGCTCCTGCCTGTGATTTATTGCGAGCTTGAAACTAACTCGTTGGAAAATAGTCATGGGCAACAAGATCACATACCACTCCCCCAGCCGAGGCTGCTCGATGGAGATGGGCGCCGCCGTCACTGTGCTGGTCTTCTCGCAGTTCTCCCTCCCCGTTTCCACCTCCATGTGCATCACCGGCGCCACCGTCGGCGTCGGCTTGTGCAACGGCACGCTCAAGGCCGTCAACTTCCAGCGGGTGGGCCTGCTCGTCATCGCGTGGATCGCCACCATCCCCATCGCTGGCACGCTGGGTGGTATCCTCATGGGTCTCTTCCTCAACGCGCCTCACTTCGGCTCCTAGAAAGGGGTTTACTGCATATTATTGTTTTTCATATTTGGGAGCTCGGGAACGGGCGGGAAATCATGGCATGTTGACATGTGTACAAGCAAGCGGTTAGGCATCTTCTAGAATCTTAGAGATCTTGTTGGCGACGCATACCCCTTACAGTCTTACACATAAAAGATATTCTGCATTCGTTGATCAACTCTTGATTATTGTTTCCTGACTACGTGACTGTGTCTCCTTCAACGTCCCCTCCTATGGTTGGCGGAGAACATGTAGTATCGAGTCCCTTTGAAGTCCCGAACCAGGTGTTCTTTTTATATTCCAAGTGCTCTTGATATCTCGTATTGATTATTACACGTCAATTGCCTCCCTGCTGTCGATGGCACTACGCTCCTGCCAGAATGACTGCCATTCCAGGCCTCAGCTGTCGCCTTTCATAATCACCCTTTGTCTGAGGCTTGATGGGAAAAACTCCAACAAAGTGCGGCTATCAACACTCTCCCAAACCATCTCATCTGGAATCGCGGAGTGATTGGCTTCTGCGACTGCCATGCATTCCTCGGCATCAAAACCTTCACACCTGTCTAAGAATAGCCGCACCACTTTCTTGTGTCCGTTCCGTGCGGCTAGCCAGGCTGGGCTGTCACTCATGCCCATCGCCCCAGAATTACTCCCAGTGTCGACATCACTTCGACACAGTATAGTCTTTACCATGGACTCGTCACCTTTCCACGATGCTATAGCCAATGCCGAAAGCGAGAGTTCTGAAGTACACTTGCTTTTCAAGTTAACGTCGACGTCTCTCCGTGTAACGAGCATCTCGACTATACGTTGCCTTCCAAATTTGGCGGCCATAGTCAACGGAGTCTCCCAAGTGCCTCCTGTATTGAAATAGTCATTGACATCGATGCTGTCTCTGCCGATTATAGCTTCAACATATGCTCCTTGTCTTATTGCGATCATCAGCGGATGCGGAGCTTCGTTGGCATCCATCTTGAGATCCTTTCGGGCCAACAGCATTTCGACCATGGAATGCTTGCCAAGTTCAAGCGCGAGGACAAGCGCAGTATTTCCGGAAACATCGTGTTTGTTCACGTCAACAGCATCTCTGTCAAGAATGTCCTGGGCGATAGCTTTGTCCCTTGCGGGCACAGCGGCTGTCAGCAGCGAGGATGGCAAACCTTGTAGCGATTGACTCGCTGTGGCAGTTGATGTTGGGAAGTACATCATTGCTTGATACCGTTTGTACTGCCGGTGGGATTCATTTGCGAGGTACCAGCCGACTACCCGACCAGGCAGGTCCTCCAAGGCATCGAAAAAGTCATCTATACCCCAGAAAGGAGCTGGAGGAGCGGCATTTCCCTGATCCCTAAACAACAGATGGTATATGGTGCGTTGAACCACCGTGTATATGTCAGCCCCATAATCCGGCTGAATTACTGTCCCGTTATAAGCATCAGATGAAATCCCTAGTAACGCGTATATGCGGTCTCTGGCGTCGCACGCTTGACTAGAGCGAAATTTTCTGAGGAGAGTTTTCAAATCCCGGTTGGATGTCCACCAAGACTTTTGCCTTAGAGGCCCTGGCATGATATCGAGTACGGCCTGAGCGTGGGTGTCGACGTTTCCCAGGCCTAGGAGAGCCGGCAGTTGGGCAAATGTCCTGGAGTGGACGTACTTGGCCCCACAAAGAACGACTGCTGACCTAGCACTGGCTGCCTCTTGTAGGATCCAAACGCGCCGAAACCATGGCCTAGCAAGCATTTCTTCCAATGCATTATATGCTCGTCTGAACATATCCGTCGCTGGTCCTCCGTTTGCAACCACCATGGATTCCCATTCCTCCTCCCAAGCCTTACTCCTCGATGCATGCAAATCAAGCGTCTTTGCAAGGGTCATGAGGAGATCGCTGTCTTCAGTACTTGGACCCAACCAGATGACGACCTGCTCCGCAAACTTGTATACCATTCTCATCTGGCCGACTTGATGGCTCTTCTCCTTATCAGAGGCCTGGTCGATGCAGATTGCGTCAACCCAAAGAAGGCGATCTTGATGCGGTGATCTCAAGGCGCGCAGAGCCGTGTCCAGATTGGCCGTGACGATGAATGACTGCTGGTTCACAGTGATCTCGCGCTTAGCAGAGGCATCACCCCAGGTGTAAGATAGGGCCTCATAAGGTATGCCATCGATCTCATGGAGGTAAGCCTCGAACAGCTCGCAGCGTACGGGCTCGGCGGTATATCCCTTCTCGAGCCTGAGCAGGCGGATGGCGTCTCTTTCGAGGTCAAGCCGAGCGTACTCGTGCAAGACCATTGCCGGTATCACATGAATGAGACAAAGAATGGAGAGGTCAAGAGTCCGGGCCCAGGATAGGGCCACCGCATCTCCAAGTGGGTATTGATGCAAGACAGATGTAAATGTGGGCAGGGGGCCGCAATTGTATCTGTTAGATATGCCTGGTCCCCACCAACGAGTCTTGTGGCGCCAATGACCTGCTGTCGTTGACAAGCAAAACGAACGACCCCCTCCCTGCCTGTTCCAGCTCCCTCAAGATGTCACGAACTGCTCAAATAAGAATCATGGTGACCTGGTCTTATGGAATTTCGCCAAACCTGCCCGCCTTTATCGTTTGTCTTTACCGGCATACTTGAAAGCCGTGCCAGCCTCCTCTACAGGCTGCTCACCGTCTGCAAAGATGATGCTGCACTTCTTGGCTTTGTAGACGTTGGTTCAGTACTGTGCAAGCTCGTACATGTCTTTGATGGAAGCGAACAAATGATTGCCATTCTTTCTCTCCCGATTCGCAATCGACCAAGGCCTGATAGTGGTCTTGCATCCTATGAATTTGGCTGGTCTGAGGGAAATACATCGACCTTCTGATATACTCAAGATGTGCCGCAAGACCTCAGGTCGCATCATGGTCCTATAGAATAAGCAAGAGGTACCTCATGCTCAGCGACCTTTCATTAAAATTTCATGTATAATCTATTATGTGAAATCAACTCTCTCTGCGACTTGTTGGCTACTTGCGCCTGAAATCCGCAACGAGTCGACCTGTTTTGAGCACTTTGTTTCCAAATGATATAAAACAGAGAAAAACTCATCGCAAGGCCTCATCATGCACGCCATCTCAACCGTTCTGACCGGCGCTGCCAAACTAGCGTCTTCCTAGTCATAATCAAACCATGTTCATCGTGCCTAGCATGCTCCTAGTTCTATGCCTTCACGGTCACATAAATGTAAAATCGTCTCACTCATTTTCAATACTTTCTATCCTTACCATCACTTTTACTTTGGACTTCTTTCAGGCTGTGTATCAACGATCCACCTGTCTCCGTTTCTGTCTTTGTTTCTGAAAATAGAATCAACATCTTCAATGGCACCCTGGATCGACTATCCCCAAGTGATTCGGCTCTTAATCCTAGAGACCTTACTCCAGGACGGCTGCAGCGTTGCTAAATTCGCTACAGTATCGCGAGAGTGGCAGGCAGTTATCGAGAGACGTAACTTCGCCCGACTTAAATTGACGCCATCGCGCCTTACTGATTTCAGTTCACTCATTCACCGCAACCGACATCTTGTAAACTACATATGGCTTTGTGTGGAACTCGAACACTATTCTTCCCTTTTAGCCTATACAGGAGACAATGAGTTCTTATCGCAAAGAGATGTCACCTGTGTCAGTACAGCAATTCGGAATTTGTTCTTAGCGCTTAGTACATGGGAGCCCAGCGGTGAATTACTGCTCGACATGAGTATTCATTCGCCCAGCGACTCAAAGTACTTACTCAAGTATCTAACCTTCGAGCCCGATACCCCTTCAAACAAGTGCTTGAGTCCAGGCGGTGCGAACCTGGGGGATCAAGCGGGGCATGATTGGATTAATTGGAGCGCCATTGGCAAAGCCGAAATGCCTATCTCGATGACTTTTAACTCAATCTATCCCAGAGTAAATCACTTTGAAATTGATGTTCCAGTATGGGAGGAGAAATGGTGGCAGCAAATGCCATCTGTTCCAGCAGTAACGGGTGTACTGCTACGACAACAAACCCGTCGACAATGGCTTCCAACTACGCTTGAACAGATGTTTGCTTGCTTTCCTAGGCTAAAGGAAGTTGTTTACGAGCCATGGAGGAAACTCGATCATTATTGTCAGGAAGCTGCAGATGAAGGTAAGTAACCCTTAAGCATTTCCTTCTTTCCCTTCTATTGTATGATTTCCTATCATATATTTGACCAGTAAAAGTTGCTGATTTTCCTTTGAAAAAACAAAATAGATTATGGATTTCTGTTCGAGTCACTTGTTTCGCAAGGAATACAGAAACTTGTGGTTTTCGAAAATTCAAATCCATACTATTCACGCGCCCTCCCTGAATACAAACGTACTCGAATCTCAAGCACTGCTTTGAGTCAGAAAGCAGCTGAAGTTAGCCTCAAGCTGGAGCAATTCTCAGCATCATTTCTAATTGATGCTTGCATATTCTTTGCTTCTTGCGAATCTACCTGGAATTGGGCCAACCTGACATCGCTGACACTTACTTCACAATTGCTGATTCCGAGAGCGCGCCAGACTGGTATCGACAATATGCTCATATCAGCAGCGGCGGCAGCTATGACAATGCCTCAACTGGAGACTATGGAATTATGGAACGGACGAGCAGGTTTAGCAGCTCTCTTCAAGTACCAGTCAAGGTACGCTGCTTTAACCTGGAGAGGCACATGGGATTTCACTCTGCGACCTCGCATTATCCAGGCCTGGGAAGGCGTTGCACAAAAACATGGCTCCAAAGGCCTTGTTGTACACAAGGAACTGCTCGACTGTCGCTTTGATATCAAATCTCATGGTGATGCAATCCACTATTTGAGGCTTTCAAAGCCGGTGGTTCGGCCTATTTCGTTGCAGCAGATCCGTACGGAGCACAACGTTCACAGCGTCTGGGAGGAAATGCGAAAAATAAGGGTGCAGCAGGAGGAACTGCAGAGCGTATAGTCCATTTCAGGGTGGAATACGAAGAATCAAGGAACTCCAAGAATATCTACACAGCACATAGTTTATTTTAAGAATCCCTAAATGGGTAGTTTCGGATATTTAATGAAAACATATTCTCAACACATTTATATAGCTTGTAGTGACTTGAGGTAATCCTGACTGCCGAGCTCCTTGCCATAGTCCCAATTCGGTTGAGCACTATACACACACAGGCCACCGCTCGAAATCTGCCAATGGGAATTCAAACCTCAATCTTATTTAGTTGTAGTCCGGGTTGAGGCGAAGGCTTCGTGAAGAAGCATGTATAGGGAAGGGCATTTATCTATCTATTTATAGGCCATGAATTGAATCTCTACTGAAGATGATGCGTTATGATCTCCCATGTGACCTCGACGACTCTGGGGCTGAGATATCCCCGGTGAAGCTCTGAAGTACCTGTCCAAATGATCTCACTGGCTCGCCAATTGGACTACATTGCATGCCTATGAGCATCCAATATGATTTATTAGGCAGCCATTTCCTCCGTGAGGTGGGCAAGAGAGGTGGATGAAGAGATGGAAGCAGAGAAAGGCAAACAGATGGACGGACAAGGCTTTGTATCACGTCTCTTCGAGACTCAAAGCATCAAGGAATACAAACGTGCTAGGAAAAGCCAACTCTTGTTGTTCACTCTCCGCGTCGAAGCCAGCGGGAACCCTTCTCTCGGCGCCATTATCTAATCCAGTCTGGGTGAATACATGGCGAATACTGGGGTATTGGGAGTCCGGATGCTTGGTAGGTATTCCGCATCTTCAAGGAGGTCCTGAAGCTGTGGGGTGTAGGGGCGTCGCATGCCAGATACGCCCGTCCCACACCAACCATAACCTTGCGGCATCCATGGGCTGGCTGACAGGATCCTCAATCACAGGTTCAAACTTGTTCGAGAAGAAAGGAAATGGGGCTGGAAAAGCGAGCAGCAAAAGGTAGAGAATATAAGCCGCATAGGAGAATTGAGACCAATGTGAACGAGCACACGTCAGTTCGTCCCCAAACTCAAAATCTCACACGCTGACTGAACCAGGATTTTCGGATTTTCGGCCTGCTCTCTCTTGATCTCCTGCTTTCACTCTCTGGTCTAAAGCTGTATGGATGCCATACCAATGACCGGCGACTCTCGACGAGACCGTGAAGCATGGCCAAATGTGGTGTACATGATCATGACCGTTGCCTACTTTGGCATCTGATTGCCAAGTGTGGTTGGAAAGGCGACGATCAGTACGCCTGTCAATGACCGAAAAGAGCAATCTGGGGTTGCACGAGCTGTTGAGGTGTTCTGAGTGCCAGCCAGGAAGCCTGACCGCTTTATGTTGGGCACCACCAGTGTCTCTCCCCCTGACTCTCGTACCGCCGGCAGCATGCACATCATCTGATCCCGTGAGAACTCGATCTGAGCTTCACTAGCCGCCATCGCACTTGTCAGCGCCAATGCCGCAGGAGAGAAAATAGAGGGAAATCTAGAATAAAACGGTTTCCTCGACGCCGGCCTCGAATGCGGCCGCCGTCTCACACGGTCTAAATAAACGAGCGGCCGGCAAAGTCCTGGATCAATCAGTCGGGGCCGATGCAGCGTGTTCGCCCATCCCAAGCGCTGAAGCCGCCGGCTTGGCGAGGCCAATATGAGCGGCCGAATCAGAGCGATGGCTCGCCGGAAATTAAGAAATCCAATCACGGCGGGAGCATGACCACCAGGAAGAAAATGAACGCTGATCTCCCTTCCCCGCGCGAAGTCTGTCCGCTTTTGTCGCCGGGCGTCTAACTGCAGCGTGACGGGGCCAACGATTGGACATGAACCCCTGACCACACTTACACTACCCCTGTCTTATCCTCGATGTTGCTATTTTGAACGGCAGCCTGTCTCTCTTGTACCGCACAGTACCGCTTACACGTATTTCCTGTGCGAGTGAGACCTTCTTTCCCGCCCCATCTCCTAAACTTCTACTTGTCTCTACTGCAGATGGAGTACGTACTCTGCTGTGACAAGAGCCGCCCAGTAGGCAAGACTCGGGTTCTCCTTAAGATCGCACCAGACAAGACCTAGCAATGTGCCCACAGCGCTTAAAATAACCATAGATATGCTGCGGGTGAGCGGGTGCGGACGCCATGTGCTTCTCGAATGACCATCGCGGACGACGCAAGGATCTAGCGTGCCCCCCCCGGGTTTGTCTAATCATGAAGCTTGTTCGCTTTCGCGAGCTTGACTTGGGCGGTTGGGTCTATGTACATTCTGTAGATCTTGATATAGTCTGCTTTTCCGCATCTGCCGGCCACAGCTAATTTCTGTGCTCTTCTCTACCCCCTCCGAGTGCTGCTTTTGTCGAATTTTAGCCTCCAAGTCTATACAGTCCTAGGTTCTGTTTGTTACCAGCCAACATGCGTCGATAGTAGATTGGGCGACGACCACTCCACCTCCAGCAATCCGGCCGAGCCTGGGTGCTCGCTCTGAGAAGAGGAACTGAAAGGGTAGACTGAGATTCGGAAGATCTGCTCGAGGCAGACAGGACGCCACCAACAATGTCGGCAGGACCACCCCAGCAAGGGACATTCTCCCTGTTCCCAAAGGACCGACCACCATCTAGGACCCAAAACACCACGCCAGGCCGGCCATCAATAGACTCGGTGCCTCGAGACTCCCCATCTAGAGCAGGAAGACGCACTCCGCTAGAGCGCAACATGTCCGTCCGTGACGGCAAGAAGACCTCAGCAACAACCACTGGCCCCTCCATGGGCCCATCCGAACCTGTAGACGCAGGCGAGAGCACAGTTGTGTGGCCATCGGAAAGCAGACAGGCAGATCCCATAATACAACGGCCGGCCGCGGTCGTCACGGCTGATCCTCCCGCTCGGTGTGATACTGCCTTCTCTGAAGCGCAGACCCTCGTCCGGGCTAACAGCGATCGATCCAGGAATTCGATAGCCAAGCCACCGCTGGACAATAGAGCGACACATTATGGAGAGGCGTCATCCGAGGCCCCCTTGCGGTCCATCTTCCCAGAGTACAACCCAAACCTCCCACTCTCCCAGCAAAATTACTATCCTCCTCAGTCAAGCCCAACCCACCCAGCAGGCATTCCCGCCGGAGCCATCAGCCGTCGTCTATATTCGCCCACGTCTGAGGAGAGGCCAGAGAATAATGAGAACACCATCAGCGCCCCCCTGCGCAGCCCCATGAGCGTCAATAGCTCCCGCACCCACCAGCAGACGGCCACACGGAAATGGCCCCCGCCGAGAGTGAACGTAAAGCCTTCGACGCCAGAGCCAAGCAGTACCGATCAGCTCCGGAACTTCTGGAAGGTCGCCAACGGCTGGAAGGCCACCGCCTCTGAGGGCCGGGTGTACACATTTATGGTGTCGAGCGAGAAGGACACGCCCATCTACACGCTGTCCTCCAAGTCATCGCAGCCGTTCTACCGGCTGAAGCTGGACCCCACGTCGACGGCAGCCTACGTGTCGCTGTCGCGACTCGACCCAAGCAAGCCGTACAAGCCGCCCGTGCCGCTCAAGGACGGATCCGGCAGCCCCAGGAGCGGCAGCAGCGAGAACATCAGCACCGGCGAGGCGGCCACCAAGGGCTGGCAGGAGGTGCTGAGCACGACGCTGGAGGCGACGTCGCGGCACCACGCGCCGAACGACGGGCTTGTGGCGCTGCTGTACCCGCTGGCGGCGGCGAAGCTGGCTCTGGAGAGCCGCTTCACCAACGCGGCGGCGTTCGCGACGGCGGAGCGCGAGTGCGCGCGGCTGGTGTGGGACGACGACAGCGGCAACCACTTCCTGGTGCACCCGGCGCTGGCGCTGCCCTTCTGCGTGACGGTGGAGCGCAACCCGGCGTGGAGCCGCACCGAGTACACGCTCGAGCACGTCGAGAGCCCGCAGCACCTGGCGCGGCTGACGCGCGACGGCACCGGCTCCGGCTGGCTCGAGGTCGACACGGGCATCGCGTCCAAGATCGACGCCGTGTACCTGGCCGACGTGGCCGTCGCGGCGCTCATGCTCGTCGCGCACGCCGACGGCGAGTTCAGCCGCGTCGAGGTCTTCGAGCCGCCGCCGTCGCTGCGCAGCGAGAGCAGGCAGCAGCAGGACGGGAGGGTGAGCCGCATCAGCCGCATGAGCCCGCGGATCAACAGCGGGGACAAGAAGGACAAGAAATCCGGGAAGACCCGCATGGAGGAGTTCGAGCTGGACCTGGAGAGCCAGACGAGCGACCTGAAGAAGCACTCCAAGAGGAGGAGCAAGGATGAGGACAAGATGCCCGGCTGCGCGAGGGCGGTCATCTCGCTGCTCGGCGTCATTTTCAAGTGCTTCATCTGGTGCGCGACGGTCCTGTTCAAGGCGCTGACGGGCTGTATTTCGTTGTTCGCGAGGTGTATAACTTCTGAGAAGTTGTAGGCATAGGGTAGTGAACAGCGGATAGATATCATGTACGACTTGGATGAGTAAAATGACGGGCAAGACACCGGGTAATGGTTCCGAGCGAGTCGAAGGATGCATTCATAGGCTGGTCTTTGGGGGAGTTTTTCTTCTCTGTATTTCTTTTTTTCCCCATGATACCTCCCATGCAGGGCACGATGTTCGGGTAGAGAGGACAAACTCTTGATGTCCTACGAATTGAACATCGGTTGCCCTGCCTGCGGCAGCAAGAGCAGAAAACTACAATTCTACTTCTTGCGCTCCCGAACCTTGATCTTCTGGCCCCTCCTGGTGGTGGTCGTCACTGTCGCCGTCTTCGCCATCCGTGCCCGTTGCAACTCGAGCTCATTCTCCGCGTCCGTGAGGGCCTTCAATTTCTTCCTTGCATTCCGCAACTTCTGCCGTAGTCGCTCTGCATTCTGTGCTCTTTTTCTTGACTCAGCGTCTTTCTCATTCCCAGACTCCTGGGAATCGTCATCGCCCATGTCCACGTCGTTGTCATCCTCTTCTGGTTCCGGCAGCTTCTCCTCCAACTCCTCTTCTGACGTAGCGAACACGATTTTCTTTGGTTTTGATTGTGGCTTTGATTTTCTTGGTGTAATGTCATCATCACTGTCAAAGTCGTCTTCCTCCTCGTCATCATCGTTGTCGTCCACGCCCGCAAGCGCCCCTGCAATGACAGCCTTCTGCTCGAGCTCTGCGACTTCCTTGGCGACTACGTTCCGCACCGTGCGCAGGTAGCCGATGTCTTGTGTTTTGAGAAGTCGGACGGTATCGATGTCCAGGGCCTTGTTTCCTCTGTCGCCGGCTACCGTGCCGGTCCACTTCTTTCCGTCTGCGAGCTTCCCTGAGGAGAATTTGCCTCGGGAAACCATGCCAAAGTAGAACTCATCTTCATTTCGATCGGCAGCCTTTTGCTTGAGGCTCTTGAGGACGGTTTGTTTCTTCTTGTGGTCTTTTGCTCGAAGGGAGTAGTCCTGATTCACTGTCAGCGAGGTCGTGGCTGCGGTCCACTGGGAGTTGGAGTTAAAAGAAGTCGCACCTTGTGCTTTTCGAGGAGACCCAGCCTTTCACGGGATTTGATCTGACCTCTCTCGCGATGAGAGCGGCGCTGTATTGAATTTCGCATGGACGACATTTTTGGTGTTTGCCGTGGCGTTGAATGGTAATTGACGAGGAAGATGCGGCGGCAGGGTCCAAAGTGCCTGGCAATGTCTGGGAAAATCTTAAGGTTGCGGCCGATAAGATAAGGCTGGGCGCCTAGGCTGCCCAGGTACCTAAGTATTGTATCCACCCACCTGCTCCAACCCGGCCGTCGACCCATGGACATCCGGGTTCTAGTACCATATTTTCGAAGCTCAATCACTGAGCCAGAAGCCAACGGACTTATAAACATTCGTGATGGCTTACAATTCCTGGGCAAACATGTTTAAACCTTTATTGAGGTTACCAAGCAAAGCATTAAGGCGTGCTCAGGAGCATGGTTTGAGAGTCACAGGATAGGACCTGGACAAAGCTACGACCACCAGCAAAACATATATTGGGAGTAGCTATATCTTGTCACTGATGGATCATACAAATGCAGCAGTGGCAACGGACAGCTTGGTTGACAGTGACATTGCTCCGAGGACGAGCGGACGGCCGTTTCCAGCTCCCGAGCCGGGGGTCGATCTGACTGAGCCCACTACGGAGCCGGATCTGACTCGGCGCCGGACGCACCACGTCATTCGCCGGCACAGGGACCGGGCTTCGCGACCTTCTGCCGCCAGTATCTCTCCTTGATATATGCTGGTCATATGTTGATCTCCCCCCTGCCTTCTTCCCATATCAGATTGGCGAGCGACGGGTGAGACCTGGTCGCGCTCCCACAGGCCCAAGCAGGAGCGCGGCCGGGGCGTGACCATCGTCAGGGTACGTGAAGCACCCTTTGATTTTACCAAACCCTGTCCTTTCGAGCTTCTTGCAATATCCTAGGAAGGCTGCCGCGGAACTGACTTTTATTATTAGATGGTGTGTATACTCAAAAGAAGTCGTACCCAAGCAAGGAGACCTTCACAGGCTTAAAGAACTTTATTTACTAAAGTTTGAGTAGGCTGTTATGAATGACACTCTACCCGTGGACAGATTTTTTCGATTCTCAAATCTCATGGCTTATTGGGTAACATATCCGTCATGCCACAATCGTAACTCGTTAAATCGCGTATCCTCTGGTGCCTTGATCCTTTACCAGCGTGCTCAAATATTTAATACTTACTCAAATATGAGCCACAGCAGCCCGAGGTGATGTATCATCTTGGCTCAGTCGTTGCTGCTATGTCCGATCCGCTGCGTCCATATCCTCTTGTTTCGTATACGAATAACCCTCTTTTTCCACGATAAGGGTCAGTGAATCACATGTCGATCATGTCAGCCACGTATCAGCTGAAAATGGTGTTGTGTTGATCCGTTTCGATGCATCGATGCTTGGTAGAGTAGGGACTCGACGAGTGAAATGAAGATTGGCTTTGGCTGCCGAGCATGGCACAGCACACTTTCCTTCCCCGGGTCGCTGATCCAGACCCTGACCCGCTTGTCCACCGCAACACCCCTTTTTTGCACAACTTCTATTTCGGGGCCCACATGCTTCTCTCGATCTCGGTAACGAACCCCAGGCGTAGTAAATACGAACTCCCCATGCCATGATGTCATGGTTACTCGCTTTTCAGAGCCTGCAAGGCGCGTACTCACATGTTATACGAAGCCGGTTCTCTCTGGTTGAATCATGGCATTTCGCTGCTTCCCAGCCTTGAAACCAGGGTGGGCCTCCATGGCCTCCATGGCCTATTCCCCGGGACCAAGACTGGACGAGCCTGCAACAACGCTGCCGATCATCTCTCGTCCCCGATGTCCCGCCGGTGGGTCAAGGCTTCTTCAGAATCAATGAAGATGCAGCATGTGCCTGAGGTCGACAGCTATCCCTGTCTGTTGCCAACTTTGGGCCAGGAGCAGCGTGACGGGCAGTTGGGAGCTGGGCCCATGGACGCGGCCCATATGTCAGCATGTTGTCTGACAGAGAATCGGAGACGTTGGTCTGCTTTTCTCTTTTTGTCCCTTTTCTCTAAAGCACCGTGTCCATCCTTTGCAGGGACACGTTCAGGACTCTCCTTGATTTGCCCTGTTACTGGTCCTCATCCCATTGCTAGACAATGGCTCTCATGAGCACCCACCGAAAGCCTCTGAGGCTGGTGTTGTTTGTCTTTTTCGTCCTGGCACTCTCCTTTTTTACTCTCTCCTCTGATTACTTCGAAACTTCGAACCTCGCTCTCTATATAAACCACCCTTATACATATGTTCACAGCAGTTATGACTGGGCCCGTCGCAAACAAAGATACCCTGTGTCGTCATACGCGAGCCCTTCCCAGGACCCTCCGCGCAAGTTGCCCAAGGTACAGTTCGACTTCGAAGAGGGCCAGGGAGTCCAGGAATCACGAAGAAAGGAGATCAAAAACACATTCAAGAAGTGCTGGCACAACTATAGACAATACGCGTGGGGGTATGACGAGCTCAAACCAATCTCCCTGATGGGGGCGAACACCTTCTCAGGATGGGGAGCCACACTGGTCGACTCCCTAGATGCGTTGTGGATAATGGATATGAAGCCCGAGTTCAAGGAGGCAGTTCATCAGGTCGTCTCCATTGATTGGGATTTCCACCCGGACCACCAGATCTGCAGTACTTTTGAAACTACCATACGGTAAAGTCCTGCCCATTCATCGGATATCGCTTACCGCCGAAGTTAATTCGAGACAATATAAGGTATCTGGGAGGACTCCTCGCCGCATATGACCTGAGCAACGAGACTGTGGTCCTGCAGAAGGCGACTGAGCTCGGCGAAATGCTCTACAGTGCGTTTGATACGCCGAATCGCATGCCGGCCAACTCGTTCAACTTCGAGAGGGCCAAGGAAGGCCAGCTTCTGCCGTCCACACGCGAAATCTCCGCTAATGTCGGAAGCCTGTCCATGGAATTCACACGATTGACACAGCTGACGGGCGACCCCAAATTCTTCGATGCGACCGAGAGAATCAAGAAGGAGCTCAAGCGGACACAGGATGGCACCAAACTCCCAGGGCTGTGGCCCACCTTCGTGGACGTGCAGAACGGCTTCCTGACACCCGACAGCTCCTTCACGCTCGGCTCCATGGCCGACTCGCTGTATGAGTATCTTCCGAAGATGTATGCGTTGCTAGGCAGCCTAGACGACTCCTACATGGAGATGCACGTGAAGGCCATGAACACAGCAAAGGCCTTCCTCCTGTTTCGCCCGATGTTGCCGGATACGGAAAGCGACGTCGACATCCTCTTCTCGGGCACCGTGCTCGCGAACGGCAGGGGCATCATCGATCTCTTGCCGCAGGGGCAGCACCTTACCTGCTTTGTGGGAGGCATGTTTGCCCTTGGCGGGAAGCTGTTCGACATCCAGGAGGACGTCGAGATCGGCGAGAGGCTGGCCCGCGGCTGCGCCTGGGCTTATGAAGCTATGCCCACGGGGGTCATGCCTGAAGAATTCGCTATGATCCCCTGCAAGGAGGCGAATATGGGCAAGTGCGCGTGGGACGAGGAGCGGTGGGAGAAGGAGGGCAGCAAGAAATTGCCCAAGGGCTTCTCCAGTGCTCACGCCCCTGGATACTACCTGCGGCCCGAGGCCATCGAGAGCGTGTTCTACCTGTACCGCATCACAGGCGACTCAAAGTGGCAGGACATCGCCTGGGACATGTTCCAGAGTATCAAGAAGGTCACCGAGACCAAGTACGGCTTCTCCGCCATCGACGACGTCACCAGGGGTGGCACGCCCAAAAAGGTCGACTCGATGGAGAGCTTCTGGCTCGCAGAGACGCTGAAGTACTTCTATCTCATCTTCTCGGAGCCCGATCTGATCAGTTTGGATGATTACGTGCTCAACACGGAGGCGCATCCGCTGCGTATACCGAAGCCGTGATGACAGTGCCGGGCGGTTTTTACAACGGCTTTACGAGAGTGTTATACATCTGCTATCCTCAGAAAATCTTATGGAAGATAGTAGTTGTATGCCAAGTCATGATGCCGCTGGCAGGTCGGACGCGAATAAAAAGCTTTTTGCGACATATAAATAACATAGAATATTTCTCGTGGTTGAGAAACCGGCTCACCACTTCAAAGGCCCTTGGGTGGTGGCATATGGTATTGCACTGGATCGGTACGGACACGGATTTGTTGGGCGTCGGCTGGATGAGGCTCACTTATTCGAGTGATGGGGACAGTACATTTATTCATCAAGTATTGCAACTTCATTAGGCACTGCTTGAAAGAGCATAACTCTCAGCGCCTCAGGCAATTGTACTCATCGATCTCAAAGTCGATGTCCCTGGCCACTTCCGTATTCATTGGGGCAATATCGCGTCTTACTGCAAACTGAAATGGTCATATATTGGCCATACTCTGAGGTAGAATCGTCTCCGAGGGCCATAATCGCACCCACTCGATGCACGGGACCTAGCAGAGGAGGTTACCGTCAAGCCGTCCTCCGATTGCCATCTTGGGTAGTCTCGCTTCAAAATAAAAACGCCCCAAATCAGTGCATGTCCAAGTCCACTCTCGGCTGGGGACCTGCCCGTCGGATCCTGAGAGTCCATGTGCGCATCCTAGACCATCATGCACACTCATTGCCTTCCCGACGGCACCTTGACCGATGCTTTTCTCGTTGGGATTCACTCCTACATCGCTTCTGATCCCCGTCCTCTAAGAGTCACGAACCTAGCATCGCAACTCTTTCTGCGATGTCCTGACTAGGTCAGGGGCTGCCACGGGATGAACACCAATAGTGATAACATATCTGGTTGGTGTAGCCTAAGGGCTTTTAAGGTGTCAACTGCCACCACTTGCGTTTAAATAGCCGGCTTGCGTCCCAGCAGGCCATCACCGCTCACAGCCCCGAGCCGCCTGCGTTGCCGTTGCGCTGCTGGAGGTGTTCGAGGTTCACCTTGCTTAGGTCCACATTCAGCGGGCTGTACTCTACGGGTCAGTATTTAGAGTTCCGTCGTGCGTGGTATACCAGCAGTGGGGAAAAGGGGCGCAAATGTGGTGACGCACGCCTTCAGATCATCGGACACCACACCACCTCTTGCCTCAACCTGCTCGACTAGCCGGCGGCGCTCCTCGATCTGCTCCAATATGAACTGGACCGAGACATTCAGGACGTGTCCCTCGGAACGGCCTTGGCCCTCTAGTCCGGGGACGATGGAAGCCATCTTGTCGAAGCCATCGCGGATGGCTTGACGGCGCTTTTGTTCTTTACGGAGATGTCAGCCGGCCGCCGTTGGGTGATGTGATGGAGACATAAACGGTATGTGGCGCATCAGGCTTAGAGTGATTACATGTGCGCTTTGGCCCAGCCAGGATCGATCTATGGCTATGTATCTGTGTGTATATACGCACACACATATATAGTTTGGGTGGGTCTTGATTCGTGAGATGGATACGTACCTGAAGAAATGTGGTTCTGGCGCTTCTGCTCTTCTGTCAACCGGGGCTTTTCGTCTTGGCCGTTGGCGCCGTCGCGCGGAGGTGACGACTTCTCGGGAGAAGACATGGTCAAGGAATGTGTAACGTCGGCAGCGTGAAGATACGTTGGAAAAAGTATCGTCTCCGTTTTAAGGTATGGTTATAAATATGACGAGGTATTACTGCCTCAGCTCCCGCCCCTGCTTTTGTTTCCTGTTGGGAAAGTACAAAGTGACTTGAGACCGATGAGACAGAGGTGCGTGACCAGTGTTGAGCAAGAAGCGAGGCAGACATGTGATAGAGGATGTACTGTCGCAGATCCGCAGTATCCCTGCAGCTGCATCTACACAGTAATCTTCATTCCGGCCGGGACATGTCAAGCATTTTGCGGGGAACCTTCAACCACGATTGATTGATTGATCACCTTCCGGGCGCCAGGTACCTCCCGTGCCTCCCTAGGGCCAGCAGAACCCCTGAGCTAGTGGGGTCTGGCTTCCCTTACCAGCTAGCAGACGTCACTCGCTGACTCGCCCCAGCCGCTTGACGGTCTAGGTAGGAGAGAGCCTCAACCTAAGGACAACTTCCTAGTCGCATGCCGTTCTTCAGCCTGACATTTCGAAACCGCGAAATCGCAATGGCTTATACATCTGTGCCCTCGGACAACCCACCAGACTATATCCAGTCCGCCCGAGAACATGGCATTCGGCTGAGGCAGAGCGCCCCTGTCAAAAAGGGGCCCCTCCCCTTCGAGCTGCCCATTATCAGCCATCTCAAGGGCAAGAGAGTCATCCTCGCCTCGGCCTCACCAAGGAGGAAAGCACTCTTGGCACAGGTAAGTCAAGCATGAAATCTCTGACCCCAGAACTGAAGTCTCCTCCATGCTTATCAGCTCTCACCATGCACAGGTTGGCCTCAAGGACCTCGAGATCCTCCCCTCCACGAAGCCCGAAGACCTCTCCAAGAAAGACTACAGCCCTTACGAGTACGTCTCAGCAACAGCCCGCCAAAAATGCCTGGACGTCTACGAGTCCGCCCTCCAGACCCAGGCCGAGCTGGCCAACTCCAAGGCCGAGACACCGGCCGACCCTGAGCTCGTCATCGCCGCGGACACGATCATCGTGACCAAGGACGGGCGCATCCTCGAGAAGCCGCGCAGCGAGGCCGACCACGTCAGGATGCTCAAGCACCTGCGCGACACGCGCGTGCACAAGGTCCTGACCGCCGTCGTGTGCGTGGCCCCAAAGGCGGACGCCTCGCACCCGGGCTACGAGATCGCCGCCCACACCGAGGAGACCAAGGTCTTCTTTGCCACCGAGGTCGACGGCCTGCCGGACGACGTCATCGAATCGTATGTGCGGACACGTGAGGGCGCCGACAAGGCCGGCGGGTATGCGGTGCAGGGGATCGGGGGCCTGGTGCTGATCGAGAAGCTCGAGGGGAGCGTGGACAATGTGGTGGGGCTGCCGGTGCGCAAGACGTTGGCGCTGATGGAGAAGGCGGTATTCCAGCAAGGGGAGGAGGAGGTGCAGTGGAGCGATGAGGAGGAGGAGAGGGGCGAGTGAGCAGCGTGGTAATTAAGGAGGTATATACCGTCTTCGCAGGTCGCTCATGCGGACGCTGTGAGCATCGATGGATGGTCGCACTGAGACCGCCTCTATGCCATAGACATCGCCCGCCCAGCTTTCATCCCATGTTGAGTCCCTCCTCGAACTGCCCTTATAAGGCCCTCGATTCCACCTGAACCTTCAAGATGGGGGCTGTTGGCGCAGCGGTTTACCGCAGCAGGTTGATTGATCTTGTGCCCTTGGAAGCACATCCCCGGCCTGGCAGTTCTGCTGCACAACCACGGGATCTCTAGGAGCGACAAACTGGGAAAATGGGACCGCCGGCTTGGAACGAGTAGGTGAAAGAGATCATAGGCCACGTGGGGCAAGCCACCGTCCTGGTGACGGAATATCCAAAAAGACGCCATAAGAACGTGTAAGATTTTTTTTGGCCTTTCTGTCCTGCGTTCGCATACTCTGTGGTGACTTCCCTCCCCGGGGTTCGTGTTCGATTCCCGTGTGGGAAGAAGGCGTTTGTCTTTTTTGGTTTTGGTCGCTGGTTCAACTTCTTAGACGGTAATTTACATAGACCAATTGATCTCAAGTGATTTGAGACAAGTAGCGACGGGTATACTCTCTGAATCGTAATCTCTCAGCATCGTGGTCGCTCCGAGCGAGATTACTTGTGTATCACATCGAAGAGGGTTTCTGAGCGGGAGAATCTTGATTAAGAGAAGGGTATCACAACTTTTACATTTGTACCTACTGGTATGTGTCTACCTGTAGCTCTAAAAACCGCAGCAACTCCGTCACAGTCATGGGCACATCATTCTTCTGATCTCTCAGTGAAGGCATGCCTGACACGTTGACACTTACACTCCCGTTCTCCACGTTCTTGGGCCCAATCACAACAATTGCGCCGTAGCCCTTGGCTTTCGCCTCGCGGACCTTCAGGCCTACACTCCGCGGACTGTCGTCCAGGTCCACCGCCAGCTGTGAAGGGTGGCTGATTGAAGTCGGGGCTGCCTCGCCATCTACTAATGGCTCACTGCGGCTGTTTTCCGTTCCCAGAAGAACGTCCATGGTGTCCTTCGCCAAAGCCATGACAGGTTCCGTATCGTTAACGGTGATGATAGCCACCTGCCTGGGGTTCAGCCAGAACGGCCACTTGCCATTGTAGTGCTCAATCAGCAGCGCCATCAACCTTTCCACGGAGCCCAGCACGGCTCTGTGGATCATCACGGGTCGGACGCGACCTACAACAGCCTGCTGGGAAGGGTCGGAAGCCGTCAAGCCCCTTTGCTCCAGCTCTGGCGCGGGGGCCTCATACTCCAGCTCGAAGCGCTTGGGCAGCTGGAAGTCCAGCTGAACCGTCGCCGTCTGGTGCTCCTTGCCGTCCGAGTCCTTAAGGATGATGTCGATCTTTGGCCCGTAGAACGCCCCGTCGCCCTCGTTCAGCGTCCACTCCTGGCCCGCGTGATCTAGCGCACTCTTCAGTGCGCTCTCGGCCTGGTCCCACTCCTCAAGGGTGCCGATGTAATGCTCCGCCGGCCTCGTCGACAGCACCAGCCTGTAAGGTCCCAGCTTGAACGTCTCGTACGTCTCGCGCACGAAGTCGAGCGTGCGCCGAATCTCGTCCTCGATCTGCGAGGGGCGGCAGAAGATGTGGCCGTCGTCCTGGTGGAAGCGGCGCACGCGCGTGAGGCCGCTCAGGGCGCCCGAGATCTCGTTCCTATGCAGCGGAGAGAAGTCGGCGTACCGGATGGGCAGGTCGCGGTAGGAGTGGCGGCGGGCGGCGAAGATGAGACAGTGACCGGGGCAGTTCATGGGCTTCAGGCCGTACTCGTCCTCCTCTTCAGTAGCAGTCCCGCCTTCTTCTCCAGCAGCAGTCGGGGTATCGCGCCGCGACGGTGATGTGCTCGTCACGGTGAACATGTCGTCGGCATAGTTTTCGAGGTGACCTGACTTTGCCCACAGGGCCTTCTTGTAGATGGTGGGGGTGATGACCTCCTGGAAGCCATACTTGACGTACTTGCGGCGGAGGAATTCAACAAGGCGATTGAAGATGCGAGTGCCAGCAGGTAAGAAGATAGGACTGCCAGGGGAGTAGATGGAGGTGGTGAAGAGCTCTTGTTGCACGGCAAGGTCGCGGTGGTCAGCGGGCGGTTTCGGGAGGGGGGACTGCTTCGGTGGAGGGCAGCTCGCGCACTGCCGTTGCTGTTGACATGTTGACGGCTGGAGCAGCACTCTCCGTGAGGCTGGCAGCCTGGTATGCCGTACACATCGTAATGAGGCCCTCGCGACCCTTGTGCCCAGCATGGCGTTGTCAATCCCAGGTCTGGACACACATTCGAAGCTCTAGGAATCCTCCTCGACAAGAGATGGAATCCGGCTAGTGTAGGTGAGGTGGGCCCATAGCAAGCGTTTATTGTGCCCAGGCACGCTCGTCATGTACCTTTGTACTTTGACGGACCCCTGTCGAGCCGGCCGCAGGGGACCAGCTGACCGGGGAGGGTGACAGGCCGTCCCGCCTCACCCGACGTCATCCAGGATACCGAGGGAAAGTACATTACCATCTCCTTCACCTGCCGCCACACCGTGAACAACACAAGTACACGGCCACAAAGACATCACTTCAACGCGTTCGAAAACGAAACAAGGCATTGTCTAGGGCCTCTCATTTCGCTACAACAATCGACAAGGCTGCCTGCTGGATCGTGACTCACTCACACCGACATTTGATTGCTGAACAGCGGACGCGCCGCTTCACGTTATCGCACCCCCGGCGCGCTTGAGAGAATCTAACCAGGCAGCACACCCAAAACCGCGTTTCGCCACTCCCATCCTCTCGCCCATCTTTATACTTCACCACGGTCCCATTTGTCGGAACACAGCGTCGACCTTCAACCAGTCTTTCGCTCTCGGGGGTCTGATAAATATCAGGCGCAGGCGCAGGCGCTGGTACGGAGTGTGCAAGCTCAGCGCCTGCGAATCTTATTCCACAAATACGAAACTCAGGACTGTTGCTTCAGCGACCAAATTCTTCTGCAGCTGGCTACCAGAGATGAGCAACTCGAGGCCGAGGAGGCAGGAGATTCCTGTGGAGAGCTCCTGGCGCATGGTTGAGGGAGAACATGACAGCTTCGATGCATCTCTTGTTGCCGATGACTTCCTTGACGACGGGACTCCCTTATCGACCGGACCATCCCAATTATCAAATTTGTCGCAATTATCGCAGCTCTCATCTCACTCACGAGGAAGCTGGAATATAGGAGGTTCCCAAGACGATAGCACCATCCAGGACTTTATCAGCAAAGCCGACGATGAACGCGTCATTATGAGGTCTCCGTTCCAGCCGTCAGTACCCGTCGTGGCTCGAAGATCCGCAAGGAACCAGAATCAGAGCCACGCTCCAGATCCCGAATTCTATATGCCTAGAGTCGACGTCGACAGTCCGCGCCGTGGATCGTCTTCTGGCTCGGCCCGGACTGTCAGGCCAGGTGACGGACAGTTTCTACGACAGCGCCCCATGGCAAAGGCTCGTGGAAGCCCTACGAAAAGACGACAGCAGACTCTGCCTCAGGAGCAGCCCCAAAGTATCGGCCAACGCATATCCTCAGATCTTCCCCACGCACTTTACGACATCATCGCCTGGGCTTGTGGTGTGGTCGGTATGGCCTTCCGATATGCGCAGAAACCACTCGCTGCCGCTCTCGCTATCTACTTTACCTTCGGAGGGCTCATAATCGCTCAGAATATGGTTACCCAATCAATTTATACCTCGCTTTCGCCGATATGTCGCATCCCTGGGGTTTCTTACCTTGACCTGCCCTTTTGTACGCATGGGCCCAATATACCACACTCAGGGGCCAACCAGCCCGTGGAGTTCGACGGTTTGATGGACGTCCAGGAACGATTCGAGGAGGTTCTCGAGAAGAGCGCAAACGGCGTCTCTTTGCCAATGGAAATGAAGCGTTCTGAGGCTTCGATCCGAGACCTGCGCACCTTGGTCCGCTACAGCTCGCTTCAGGGCAAAGATGAGCTGGTCCTTGAGTTCGACGGTTTCATCGACACGGCTCGGTCGGCGTCAAACGAGCTGCAGAAATTCAACTCCCATGTGGGCTCCGCAGTAGACTCGGTGATAAGTATCAACCGGTGGACGAGTCGCTACCTCGATGGCTTGGTAGCCGAGCAGGAAAGCCAGGGCCTGTTGAGCGACTTCACAACCTGGATATTCTCGCCCTTTCAACCGGCGACTTTCTCCGAGCGGAATCTGCTTGACAAATACGTTGAGCATACGGCCTTGGTCGGCGACAAAATCGCTGATCTGATTATCGAGGCACAGGCGGTTTTGAAGACCCTGAGCCAGGCGGAGAGTTACCTGGGGATCATATACGACTTTGTCACGCGCACGCAAGAATCGGTCCAGTCCCGCAAAGACGACGTCCTCTGGACCATCTGGACACTGGTCGGAGCCAACTACCGCCGGCTCTCGAAACTCAACTCTCAGCTCTCCCTCCTGCGCCGTGTCGACTCGCAGAGGATCGACGCGGTCAAGCAAGTGTCAGAGTTGATCGTGGAGCTGGAGAAGATCCAGGCCGGGCTGGACGACCTGCGCGATAGGGTCGCGGAGCCTGAAGTGGCGGCCTCTTCTCCAAAGGGGCCGATGCCGCTCAGTGTGCACATCGAGACCATCGATCGCGGCGTCGAGAGGTTGGAGCACGCGAGGAGCCGGATCAGGGCGATTGAGAATGACCGGATTCACGAGGTGCTGGCCAGGGGAAAGGTCGAGGAGCGGCTGATAGAATCCACGTGAAGATCTGGCGAAGCAATGAGTTCTCCTTTGGCGATTATCATTTTTTGGGTTAACGTTGAGATGATGAACCATAGAGCAACGACAGTTGGGAAACACGGCGTTAGAAAGGAAGGAGAGACTGTGCTTTACTGTATGACACGGATTCACAAAACAAGCCTGCATCACTGTAATTTGCTTTCTTCATTTCAGCAGATATTGGTAGCAAATGCATGATACCCCCCAAATTTTAGTGTTTATCCAATGACTTAAATCTGAGTGCCAGAATTCGGTTACATGACGAGAGGGCACGAGGAATTTGGGAGCTCTAGATACACAACAGCTGTTTAAGGATTCGTATGGAATCAGAGGTCGATTCAACGACGAAGCCACTGTCGCCTTAGGAAGATGAGCTTCTCACACAGCGAGAATACTTCTGCCTCTAAACTTACCTTACAGCCTAAGTCTCATCTCTATATGCGGTCTTCTCGCCTTTCGATAGCGCTTGTCGAATCCCAGGAGCGCAAGTAGAGATTAAGATGACGGGTGCTCTCGATGATTCAAGAAGCATTTAACAGATATTCACAGACTCCGTCAATCAAGTCATAGTCAGCTCTTTATGATCCCTGATTAAGGGCCTGGCTATCAACCTTCAATTTTGTGGTAATAATTAATAGATAGAGCCGTTAAGCTACGTAAGGAGACACTACACACCAAGTTATTCGCAAACTCAGCTTCTTCAAAGCATACAAGTTTTGCTAGGGGCATATTGCCCATGATAATATACACTACTATCAAAACTGTCGAGCAATGACTTGAATGGAACATGTCTGCTAGAAGAGACGCAATACGATGAATGAAGCAAAGTTGTAGAAGATTTCAAAGTAATCGATTGGTCGGTCAAATGTAGAGAATCTCCCTCAATCTTCTCCCGAGATATGGGCACACCGTCTGAAGTAAGCAATTCTCCGTGCAACTCCTTGAAGTAACAGATTACCGAATTGCTAAGGAGCGACGTTCTGATTATAGACATGCCTTAACGCAATTGTAGCGCCACGTGGGCCTTTTAATGCATACACTTGTCCCAGAAAATCGACATAGATCAGACATTAAGTTATCAAGAAACTGGCTACAGATCCCTAGCTATGTATCTTACGATAGCATGTAACATCCAAGACTCAGCCGCTGCTGCCCCGCCCAATCGCCGAGCCTCATCTGGCCTATAAGATGTCACGCAAGATCACTAACACAGAGTAGAAATGGCAGGATAAACAAAAACTTTACCGCAAGTTTTTCACATGCCCTGGTACTCAGTTACATATGATGTGCATACGTGGAGGATCCAGAAGCATCCGAGCAAGAATAATTTGTTGTAATCACATGTACAACGACAGTTTTGAAAGCCGTTGGGACCGAGCACTTGAGAACCTTGTCTATCCACCTCATCTCATCTTAGTCCTAGAGTAGTAGTGCCTCCCCTTTATCTTCCAATGAATATCCAACCAAAGGTAGTTGCTTGTGTCTCATTTGAAGCAGCGGATGGGTAATTGACAGATTACCTATTTTAGATCTAGTGATCCATTCTTGATCAGGATGTACCGTGGATCATTCAGAAGGAATGTATATCAGCATCAGTTGGTACCTCCTTTTACACAGCCTCGTACTATCTGAATGGTACGTATCCACGACACCGGAAAAGCGGCATCGTACAGTATATGGTCATGCCACAACACGGACCTCAGCTCGGATCTTTACACGGCACGGATTACTTAATAGAGTGGGTCGTCAGGAATCTTTTATCATCCTGCAGGTTGTCTCACCGATACCCGATTCCAGTTCTATACACATGTGCGTTCTCACCTGTTGGATATTTACACCCTTGTCTCTTTTTTTTTTCTTGACCCAGCGGCGACGAGTGCTCAGCCACAAACCACCCCCACAGACGCATGCAATTCGACCTTGAATCTTCAACAGGCTCACATATGGGACTCGAGCACGAAGATGGAGGGCCGGCGCATCATCCACCGCAGGACGAGGCCACATTCCCAATCACGTACCATGACAAGTATGTGATCCACTACGATTTCTCTGAAACCACCCAAGATGAGGCTATTGAGAAGCTCAAGACCCTTTGCGAGGACCTACACGGGGCTGGCCTCGAGGTGGAGGTCCGGCCGGGCAACGGCCAGTCGCTGCTGGTGTTCGCGAGAGCCCGCAAGGAGCACCTCGACTCGACCGTCTTCAAGTCCCGCGTCAAGGACTGGCTCTGGGAGATCACCCGGCTGCAGCCTCCCACTGGCAAGGAAGGCCCTCTGATCGACGACGCCTTCGAGGCCGAGTATGTGCTGTCCATGTACCACCTGGTCAACTGGTCCCAGGAAATTGGGGGCGCTGGCATCACCCCCGGCAGCGGCAAGTGGGAGTGTGTCAAGTCCATTTTCCCCATCCACAACGAGCCAGCCAACAGTGCCTTGCTCCGCCATCTGAGCAAGAAGCTCTTCCTCGAGGATGACGATCTTGACTCCATTAGGAACCTCTTCGGGAGCAAGGTCGCATTTTATTTCGCCTTTATGCAGACGTATACGGCGTTCCTCTTCTTCCCTGCCATCACAGGCTTCCTCGCTTGGATGTTCCTACCCAAGTACTCACTCATGTACGCTATTCTCATGCTATTCGGCTGCACCGTCTTTCTGGAATACTGGAAGATCCGTCAGACCGACCTGAGCATCCGGTGGGACGTCAGGGGGGTCGGATCACTCAAGGTCAGCCGGCCGAGTTTCCGGTATGAAAGCGTTGTCGTGGACGCCGTGGGCCGGACAAAGCACATCTACCCCAAGTGGAAGGCAATCGCGCGGCAGATGGTGCAGATCCCATTCTTCGTCGTGTCACTGGTCGTCCTTGGATCCATCATCGCCGTCGTTTTCGCCATTGAGGTCCTGGTATCAGAGGCTTATGACGGCCCATACCAAGGATGGCTGGAGTACCTGCCGACGGTCCTCCTCGCCGTGTCGCTTCCTTACATCAACACGTTCCTGGAAGACATGGCAGAGTGGCTGGCCGAGTTCGAGAACCACCGAACGAGCGACAACTTCGACGTCTCGCTCACGCAGAAGCGCTTCGTCCTGAGCTTCATCGCCAACTACCTGCCCATACTGCTGACGGCGTTCGTCTACATCCCCATGGGCGACCTCATCGTGCCGCAGCTCAGGGACATGTTGCGCAGGATGCTCGGCCGCGGCACCGACTCGACGCTGATCCACATCGCGGCCGACTTCAGGAGCGACCCGGACCGCCTCCGCAACGAGATCATCGCCATGACCATGACGGGCCAGTTCTCGGACATGTTCGAGGAGCTGATCCTGCCCTTCATCAAGATCCGGCTCAGGGACTGGTGGCACCAGCGGCAGTCCACGGCGAAGCCGACCTCGCACCGCCGCTCCCTGTCCGCCGTCGTCGCCGACGACCCGACCGAGGCGGCGTTCCTGCGGCAGGTGCGGCACCAGGCCGACCTGGAGCCGTACAACGTGCAGGACGACATCTCGGAGATGGCGATCCAGTTCGGGCACCTGGCGCTGTTCGCGCCGGCGTGGCCGCTGGTGTCGGTCGGGTTCCTGGTCAACAACTGGATCGAGCTGCGGTCCGACTTCCTCAAGCTGTGCACGCAGCACCAGCGGCCGCACCCGGTGCGCACCGACGGCATCGGCCCCTGGATCGGGGCGCTGGACGCGCTTGCGTGGCTGGGCAGCATCTCGACGGCGGCCATCGTGCACATGTTCTCGGGCGGCACCAGCTTCGAGGGCAAGGCGGCGTCGTTGCTGGGCCTGCTGGTGACGGTGTTTGTCAGCGAGCACATCTATTTGATGCTGCGCGTGCTGGTGCACATCGTGCTGCAGCGCCTCGTCGGCAGCCAGCAGCTGCGCCGGGAGAAGAACGAACGCTACGCCTTCCGCAAGCGCCACCTCGACGAGCTCGAGGCCCAGAGCAAGCTGCGCGACGCGCTGCTGCTCAGCACCGGAGGCGGCGTGGAGCTGCGCCGCAAGAGGAGCGATGCCCGCATGGCGGACCTGGACAAGTTCTGGACGAAACAGGCCTTGGTTGGCAAGAGCGAGGAGATCGGCGCAGCCTTGATCCGGGCTGCGGGATCCGCCGGGGAGAAGACCGACGGTGAGGTGAAGAAGGACTGAGAGTACCCGTGGCCAACACCGGAGGATACTGCGAGGTAAGGCTTCTGAGTTTCACAGTTGTCTCTCAGTATAGTTCATCCGAGGTCGAATATGTATTGGGATGTGAACTAAGCTTGCCGGCATTTGAGCTCCTCTGGAACAAGCTCACAACCACACACAGGATACATTGTCACTCTTCAGTCCAAACAAAGATCGACAATCACTCCCACTGTCGTCATTTTAGTCAGTCCCTATCAGCTGATACGTCGAAATACGAGAGCATTACTGGAAGAAGGGCTAAACTTTGCCCAAGTGATCTCACAAAACCTCCCGGACTGCTCTTGTCCCACGACGCACATTATATCAAGGAAGCCCAGGATGACTCTACCGGGGGTGATGACGCTGGTGTATCGAGAAAATAAGCAGGAGCGTGGTTTCTAGTCGCAAAATACTACGTCTTCTCTCAATGTCCAGGAGAATCAATCTGGCCTTACCACCTGGAGAAAGGAGCAATGACACGCCCTCGAGCGCTCTCGTTCTCAGCTGTGATGGGAGGTAAACATGAAGTAATTGCAAGCGACTGCAACAAACCTACCCTTCTCCCGTTCGGGGCAAGCAACATATAGCGTGGCAAGCAGCCTCGACGCTCTTCGAAACGGGCTGTGAGGCGGGTGATAGGAAGCGGCCGTATCGTAGCTTGAGATTGGTGAAAATCCAGAATCATATACCACCCCTGACGATTCTTCGGTGGCCAAAATTCGCCCAAATATTATGTAGTCCGCCTAGTATGGTCCAACTAGATTGAGCTGAGCACATAAACCAAATTCCTTGCCCTTCCTCATCTTGCGCAGCGTTCTAGGCCCAAATCCAACATGATATTAAATCCGCCGTCCCGTTACCCCGCCGCCCTGTGATAGTCTGACCATTTTTCAGGTCACGTCCTCGTCACAGAGGCTAACGCTGTCTCCTATTTTGTTCGCAAAATATAGAAAAAGAAACCGCCCGTGAGAAAGATCGATCAGTACGCGAAATAAGCCTGAGCGAGCGGTAGCGTCTCGCTGGGCTCGGCCTCGCAAACCTGCCCGTCGGCCTCGACGGTGTAACTCTCTGGGTCGACGCGCATGCGCGGCATGGCGTCATTGTACCGCATGTCCTTCTTGCCGACAGACCTGCACCCCCGGACGGGCTCGACGCGCTTGCGCAGATTGTACGTCTGTACGACCCCGTGCTCGATGGACGCCTGAGACACGAACAGCACCGACGTCGCAGGGACCAGCGGCGCGTACATAGGTCGCGCGACGACAGGCTGGACCGTCGGGATGGATGCGTTGGGATCGCCCTGGAGAGGAAAACATGGTGTCAGCTTGGTCGCAGTGATTTGGAGGCAAGTGAGAACAAGTCACAAGATGAGGGTGTGGAACCAAGATGAAAGAGAGGGTGCTTACCATCATCGCCCAAGAGACCAACCCACTCTTAACTACCAGGTTGGGCTTTGTGCCAAACCAGGCTGGGTCCCAGACCAACAAGTCCGCCAACTTGCCCACCTCGATACTGCCCACGAGATGGCCCATCCCCTGCGCGAGCGCCGGGTTGATGGTGTACTTACTGACATACCTCTTGACGCGGAAATTATCCGCGCCCGTCCCTTGGTCCTCGGGTAAGTGGCCCCGCTGGACCTTGTTCTTGTGTGCTGTGTTCCACGTGCGCAAGATGACCTCACCGCAGCGGCCCATAGCCTGCGAGTCGGAAGACATCATGCTGATGGCGCCCAGATCGTGTAGCACGTCCTCAGCAGCGATGGTCTCGGCGCGGATGCGCGACTCGGCAAAGGCCACGTCCTCGGGGATGTTCTTGGACAGGTGGTGGCACACCATCAGCATGTCTAGGTGCTCGTCCAGCGTGTTGCGCGTGTACGGCCTCGTCGGGTTCGTGCTACTTGGCAGCACGTTGGGGTGTTCCACTACGCTGATGATGTCGGGCGCGTGCCCGCCGCCCGCGCCCTCGGTGTGGTATGTATGGATGGTCCGCCCCTTGATCGCGGCGAGCGTGCTCTCCACAAAGCCGGACTCGTTGAGCGTGTCCGTGTGAATCAGACACTGCACGTCCAGCTCGTCACACACGCTCAGGCAAGCGTCGATGGCCGCGGGCGTGCTACCCCAGTCCTCGTGGAGCTTCAGCCCGCAAGCACCTGCGATGACCTGCTCGCGCAGGGCTTTCGGGTCGCTGTCGTTGCCCTTGGCGGTGATGCCGATATTGACTGGAATTGTGTCACATGCCTGGAGCATCTGGCGCATGTAGTTGGCGCCTGGAGTGCAGGTTGTCGCGGATGTGCCAGCACTGTAATCCCATGTCAGTATGTGAGATCTCAGGAAAGAGAATTATGAGCCAACGGCAATTGTGCAGAACTGACCTCGGGCCCGTTCCACCGCCTAACATAGTCGTGATGCCACTCGCGACAGCCTCGTTCGCCTGCTGCGGGCAGATAAAGTGAATGTGCGAGTCAATACCACCAGCAGTGATAATTTTGCCCTCCCCAGCAATGACATCCGTACAGCTGCCCACCACCATACCTGGCGTCACGCCCTCCATGACATCTGGGTTGCCAGCCTTGCCGATTCCTACGATCAGCCCGTCTTTTACACCGATGTCAGCCTTGTAAATACCCGTCCAGTCCACAATCAGCGCGTTGGTAACAACTAGATCTAGCGTCCTCGCGTCCGGCCGTCCCGTAGCCTGTCCCATGCCCTCGCGGAGTGTCTTGCCCCCACCAAACTTGCACTCGTCGCCGTAGACTGTGAGGTCCTTTTCGACCTTGATCCACAAGTCCGTCAAGCCCAGCCTCACCACATCCCCTGTCGTCGGTCCGAACATGGCAGAGTACGCGGCACGGCTCATCTTGAAACCCTCTATGCTGAGCGACGAGTCGGCGTCGGGCTCGGGCGTATGGGCAAACCCGGCCTGCTGCAGTTTGGACACGATCTCGTCCTTGCGGGAGGCGCTCACCACGCCCTTAGCGATGCCGTTGCCGCCCTGGATGATACGGTTTCCCGCAATTTCCACCAGGGTCACGGTCTTGGTGTCACCGGGCTCGAACCTGACGCTCGTGCCGGCGGCGATGTCAAGGCGATACCCGTAGGCCTTGCTGCGGTCAAACTCGAGCTGCGGGTTCGTCTCGATGAAGTGATAATGGCTGCCAACCTGGATGGGTCTGTCACCCCTGCTGGTGACCTTAACCCGCACCCTCTTGCGGCCTTTGTTGCACTCGACATGAGTTTTCAGCGTCACGACGGCCCCGGGCTGGCGCGCTGGCTCGTAGTCTTCGGTACGAGGCAGAGAGAACAGATCCGTGCTAGGGATGGGCAGAAATGAGCCGTAGAGCGCCCGCGCGAGATCGCCATCATCGCTGGCAATGGGGTTGTGGACCGTCACCAGGTATGTCCCTGATGGGAAGGTGCCCTCGACCTGGATCTCGTGCAGGGTAGCCAGCACGGAGGGCAGGACGTGACGGCGGCCCAGCATGGTAGCGCCGAGGGACATGAGGTCGGCGACGCTGTGGTTGCCATCGCGAATCAGCTCCTGTAAATTGTTGGCGATGAGGGCCTGGGAATGGGCGTTAGCAAGTTAAGAATGTACATGTCGGAGGGGGGATCAGAGGCCCGGCCCGGATGAGCTGGGAGGCTGACGCCGGTCAAGCAAGCTTACAGTTGCCTCGGAATGGTTCAGCTTGACGCCTCTAGCGAGACGCCGCTGGGCAAGAAAGCCCAGCTGTGAGATTGCGAGCTTATCAAGCTGATGATAGAGAGTGGTTGATTAGCATTTTCTGAGCCTGTTGGGGCAGAGAGGGCTGCGAGCCGAGGGTTGAGGGAACATTGGGGAGGATGCGGGTCAAAGCAAAAGCTTGACTAGGCAAGCCGAGCAGAACACAGCAGAGCAATGCGCTGCACTGCACTGCAGAGCAGAAGAACACAGCACGATGCAGCACATGCCCTGACATCGCCCCAGAGAAGATAGCACTCACCTCTTTTGGGACAAGATGCATCTTGCCTGCTTGTTGACAGTCACGTCTTCGCACCCGTCGTCACGAAGCCAGGAGCAGCTATCATGGAATTTTCATATGGGGTCCGGGTCGTATAATAAACAGCCAGCCAGCCAGTGTCAATGTCAGGTTCAGAGTCAAAGGGGAAGGGGGGTTTTCCGGTGCTGCGTCGCGAAGGGGTGTACGGATACGAGTGAGTAATAAAAAGAAGTCAAGCCAACGTCTCGGGAGCTGCCACTGGGCTGGGCTGGGCTGGGATGTGATGGGATGCGAAGGGAAGGCAAGGGAAGGGCTGGGCTAGGCTGAGCCGTGCCGGACTTGGGCTGGGCTGCGTGTACTCTGGGAATAAGCAGTAATACGCAGGCGACAGAAAGATGGACAACTGACAGACAGCCAGACTGACTGACTGACTGGCAGACTGACTGATGAATGGAGAGGAAGAGATAGATACCCAAGATAGATAGATACTGTAGTCTAGCTCGTCGTTCATGCGCGTTTCGTACCCAGCTCAACACCTACAGCACCCCAGGCAGGTACTACCCAGGTCGTCTAGTCTCTTACAGTTTACCTGCCTGCCTGCGTACCTACGTACAGTAGCTGCCATGCGTCGTCCGGCCGTTGTCAGTCCACAGCTGCAGGGCCGAACCAGCAGCACCCTTGGCTGGCTCGGGATTGGCAGTCGAAGACCGAGGGGTGCTGGCGTGGGCTGCAGAGTCTGGACCCTTCTTCGATCTGCCCCAGCATGGGGGAGCTCCATATCAGCAAGCCGGCCAGTCAATCAGTGAATGTGAATCAACGAACCTGTCCTGTACCGCGACCTGCAGCCGTTACCCCGCAAAGGGAGTCCGAACTGACTGGCAGACAACACTGACACACTGACAGGCTGACAGGTACTGGACGATTGAGTGACGAATTGTTTAACTTCAGTATGAACACCACCCAGGCACCAGGTAGGCACTTCTTGGTGATCTGATCTGATCCTCCTCGCTCCTCGCTCCTCGCTCCCAATGTCACCTCCAGACCTCTAGGGGCCCCAACTGATAAGCACTCCCCCTTCCCCCTCCCCCCCTCCACCCTCCTCCAACCCCACCATCCACCATCAAGGCCAATCCCGGGCCGCCGACTCGATCGATGCTCTGCCGCGCATGTGCTACCGCTGCAACGGCTATCGCCATGAACCACTCCCTCTCCTGCTCACCACTCCACACGCCCGAGTCCTGACATCTGCAGCAGGTCGGATCCGGATGTACGAGCGCCTGCTCCGATGGACCTGGCTCTGCCTGAGTCCTGCACGCGAGCTCTGATACATCACCTACCTAGACTACCTAGACTACCTGCTCAGTGCTCGTCGCGAACAAACACGCGCACGCACACACGCACACTGGCGCGTTCCGGTGCTCGGATTGTTCCGCTGTGGATATGTCTTCAGATGATTGATCGTGGTGAACGCAGCCCTGCCAGCATGTGTCTCTAGTATGCTTTCGAGTCTTTCGAGTTAGATGGGTCAGGCACCAAAAAACGGCGCCAATGCCACCCGACAAGTGCAAGCATATGGCCAGGGGCCCCTTCGATGCTGTGAGATGCCAGACGCCGTCGTGTATAGATTAAAGGACAAAAGTAAACCACTCCATTCCCGCCGGGGGGACTGACGCGGCACGCCGATGCGCTGGACACGGCTGTCGCAGCAAACTGCCAGCCATGGCCGCCTCGAGTCACCAGCACAACCAGCCAGCTCTCGATACAGGGCAGGCAAAGGGCCGGCTCGTTGCCCCGACCGTATAGCAAGAACCCACCCGGCTCGTACCTCGCTCGTATATACGCCGTGGCAAGCTGTCAGTCGAGCAGCGCAGACTCTCGACGTCCCTGCCCAGTAGGTGACGCCCGGCCCAGACGTAGCACATGTCAGGGTGACACCGGGCCACCCCAGGGCCCTCCCGTACCACTCCGCCGGAGAGTTTGGCCCACTGCCGGGATACCGTTGCACCCGCACAACGACGAATCCCAACGTCCCAGTCTCATCTCATCCCATCTCTGGGCTGCCGCTGGAGCTTGTCGTACTTCCCTGGCGATCCGATCGATAGGAGTCACATGTATATAGCTAGGCTAGCTGCCAGCGGTGATCATGCCTTGGCGCAGGTACCCTCAGCAAGAGGGACGGGAGGGGACGGGGACAGAGGGTACCTAGGTAGCTACACCACCACACTGAAGTTCATATCCCACAGCAGGTCATCACCACGTTCCAAGGCCTTATTCCACAGCTGGCTGACCTACCGGAATGGTCTTTTTGGCCCTGTCTCTACCGATATACTAGTACTGTAGCACCTGTAGCTGTCTTCGGGCCAGGCGTTTCGAAGCTGATAGTCTAGGCCATGAGCTGTGATCACTGCACCATTAGGCTGTTGGACGCCCTGCATGCTTCAATTGTTTCGTGAATTGCTGTCATCCTAGACCATGTACCAGCCTGCCCCTAGGGAAATCAGAGCAAGCAACAAATAATTACACAATCAAAACCGCGCAGCTGGGAAAGCAGCAACGTAAACCACGCCTTTACCCTGACCTGTTCTGTACGCCCCTCCGCCAAACACCACGCGCAGACCGACTCCAACCAGATATTGTGCCCACAATGATAAGAAAAAAGGGCAGCGGCGCTTTCGTTTCCATATTTTGCTGTCGCGACCACACGGTCTGGATCCGTCTCTTCTCAAGTGTTCTTGAATAAGAACACGCAACGCAGGCAGACTAGTAGAAAACAAGAGACCTCTCCCAAATCAGCCACCCTGGTATACTTCCCTTCTCCAGATCCCACAGCTGTAGGATCCCACTAGATCCCAAGTCTCGTGGTGACGAGACGGGACGAACAGAACATTTGTTGCTTGTGCGCTTGCACAAGTGGAAATTGATTCGGCAGGGCTGTCCACATGGCCATCACCCACAAGTGAGACGGGCCGTTGACGTCGACAAAAAGTCTGGCATAGAGGTTCGTGCTTCTGGTCGGGGGATTCCGGGGCTGGGTGTCGACGTTTTGTCTCGGGAATTGGGACTGAAAAGAAGACGAGAGCCGCACCGAAAGAGAAGAGGTATATCATCGTTGGAGTTGGAAGAGGGCCGGATCGATAGCGTGTTGATCAAGGAATGGGGCCGCCTAACCGCTCTTAGCCTTCTTGCGTCCCGATTTCTTGGGTTCATCCTTCTCAGGCTGCTCTACCGGCTTAGCAGACGCCCTCTTGCGCTTCTTGTCCGGGCTGGCCGATGGCGTCGCGGCCGCCTGCTGAGCGGGGGTAGCCGCGGCGGGCTCAGCCTCGCTCTTGCGCTTGCGGGACGCCTTTGGTTTGGCTGACTTGGTGACGGTGCTGGGCTCCTCGACAACGGGCTCCGGGGCCGGCGCGCTCTGCTGCAACTGCTCGGCAATAGCGGCCTGGTCGTTGGCGTGGTTGGCGTCACCGCCACCCAGAGGAGGCATGGGAATGTTGAACTCCTCGGCGTACTCCATCGCCTCGTCGTCAGTCATGTTCTTGGCGTTCAGGTTTCCAGCCTTGTACGACGCGACACGGGCATTGTACAGGCGGAGGTTGTACTGATAGGCCGAGTTCCAGCCCTGGTACGGTGTGTTAGTAGCTGAGGAAGAGAAGGAGGGGTGAGTACTGACCAGTTTCTCCTGGGAAGACATGGAACCCCAGCGACGCTGTCCCTCATCCTGCACGGCACCCTTGGGGACACTGTCACCAAGGTCGGCTGCGATGATAGGGCGAGCGGTCTGCATGTACAGGAAGTAGGGGGTCAGGGGACGCTTGGGCGCGTTGGGATCGTGCTGGCGCTTCTTGCGCTCCTTCTTCTCCTCCACGACGGGGACGGGAGCGGGAACGGGCATGGGGATACCGGGAACCTGAGGCAGCGACTGCGACGTAAACATGTCGGCGATGTCAGAGAGGCCGGCATCATCCTCAAGAAGGGTAGGCTCTCCGATCAGCAGGTTGGTCTGGCGGAGATAGTCCGCGTTGGTAGAACGGATGAACTCCTGGATGGTAGCAAGACGATGATAGACCTGTGATGATATTAGCACAAAGTACCGGCTGCTTGTACTATGTTGCCGCCATGGCGATGAGCGCAGATGGGTAACAAGCCGCCTCTCAGACTTTGCATTTGCAGCTGCAGTCTTGAGATGCGGCCTCAGTGTTGATCAATTGGTGTGGCATCATGTCAATCGAACAAGACGCGTACCAATTGACGCGACACACTGAATGTAAACAATACGACCAGGGGGTGGAGAGGTGGTGGATGCGCAGGCCGAGGATAGATTGCTTGTGATCACGTGAAACAAAGAGGGAGTTCTCTGGGGTGCATTTTGAATTGCATGTGCATTGGGCAATGGATTAAGAGGTGGTACAGAGCGGGAATTTGGTGCGATGGCTTGTCATGTAGGAATTTGGGGTGCTGTGAGGATTGATTTGGGACGGAACGGGTCTCGGTGAATGATGAAAGGCAGGCAGCGCGGTGATGGGCTATGCTGGCTTTGATCGTGACAAGGCCTGTGGTTGTCGGGTTGGGAACCCAGACAGGATGGTGCTGAAGCGAGTGCTCAGGCAGGGCGGGTGATGGTGGTAGTGCTGCTGGTGATATCGGTGGCGGTGTTGGGTGGTGTGGTGGCATGGGCTTGGGCATCGCAGAGCAGGTAGGAAAAGGGTTGGGGGTGCTGGCACTTACAGAGTTCCTCACTTTGATGAAGTTATCAACATCGATGACTCTGCCCTGCAGGTTGTTGCCGGCCAGGCTGGGCTGCTGCGGCTGGACAGACTGCGGCTGCTGGGGAGCGGCAATAGGCACGGGCTGGGGAACGGCCGGGGCCAGCTGCTTCTCCTCGACTTTCTTGGGGCGAGCCATTGCTGTGGTGGTTTTGGTGGTCTTGGGGTGGTTTTTGGAGGTTTGGTTGTTGTTCTGGAGGCGGCCTGCAGCAGGCGGGTTATAGAGTGGTGAAGGGTGAGGGAGTGGTGAATGCTGGCGCAGTGGAGTGGTGGGCCAGGTGCAAAGGGTGCAAGGTGCAGGGTGCAGCTGGAGTGGTGTGTCTTTTTCTGATGCTCTAGTGATGATTGCCTCAGTACGTTGTGGGTGGGAATGCCCTGGGAAGCCTGGAGGTTTAGAGGATGAAAGAGAGAGGAGGGGGAAACGGAAGCGACGGGCCAAGGTGGGCGGGGGACGGTTTATTGGAAATTTGGGGGGCCCAGAGCTGCTGGCTGATTTGGAGCGTGTGCAGCTTTTTGGACAGGACAGCTTTTGGAGCGAGCCCCTCGCAGGTGGTGCGGTTCGGTGCGCCTGCACCTGCACCCTGCACTTTAGACTGACTGCACCTGGGCGTTTTTCTGTGAGCGACCAACCGACCGAGTCTCCAAGCTGTCCGCTCACTCGCCCCCTTCCCCCCCAAGGTGCCCGCACCCACAGGCAGAGAGGCCAGGCGAGGCGAGGCAAGGCAAGGCAAGGCAAGGCAACGTGGGTGTGAAAACTGACTTTCACCTTTCGCTCTTTTGGCTGGGGCCTGCCCAAACCCCGAACGAGTCACCCACCCACCAAACCCCAAAGTCGGAAACAAGCTCACACAGCAGCTCAGCAATCAGCTCTGCCTTCTCCCCCCTCTCCCAGGCTGCCCACGCCTGGGCATTAACTGAGGTCATTCAATCATTCCCTCCCTCTTTCATCGCTTGAAGAAGCCTGACCTGGCTGCCTTCCCACCGCCCACTGCCCACCGTCAGAAAGACCCGGCCCGCCTCTGCTACTGACTTCTACTGTGCTGCACCCGTACTGCTGCACGCGCTGCTGCACTGGCGGACTGGCTGCGCTGCACTGCAATGCCTACAACGATCTGGGTCAGAAATGCCTCCTTTCGCCCTTCTGAGTCCAGTCTCGATCCCAATGCTTGCCAGGTGGACAAGGCCCCTCCGAGTTCGGGCTTCAGCACCACCTGCAATTGTCTGCGTCTGCACCTACGCCCGCGCCCGCCTCTACCTCTGTTGAACCTTCCGTCTCTGCCAGCAGCGGCGCTTGCACCTTCCGCTCTGCCAGCACTTGCTCGATGCCAAAGCATGAGCCCAGAGCCCAGCTGTGTGTGCTTGCACTTGTTTTCCTTGCTGCACTTCCAAACTCACTTTTATTTCACGCTATCTGCGTCCTGTCCTACAGATACTGGACAGCGACGGTGAAGCTGTCATAGCGCGAGCATGAGCATCTGCGCCAGTGCAGCAGTCAATCAATCTACATGCGATCCCCAGGCCCAACTCCGAAACGCTGCCCTCTTCGACACGGCGATGTGTGCAACCCGCCAGAAATCATCAAATGAGGGGCTGGGGATTCACAAAGAAGCTCGAGCCAATTATGTGGCTCAGCCCGCTGCTTGGCAGGGGTCGCAGTGGGCGCGCCAATCTCATAGGTGGTCTGCCTAGGTGCCGAGAGAGGGCCGTCCAGGTGGGAGCCGCAAAACAGAGAGCAGAGAGCAGAGGGAAGAGGGGAGAGGGGAGAGGGGGGGGGGCGAGAGCTCCAGGCCCCCTTCCAAAGAGACGAAACAAGCCTGCCCGGCCCAGCTCCAAGCTCTCCAGCTCCCAGCTCCTACCTCACTCCTCACACAATTCACAGCTTGCCACTTGCCCGCACCTGCTCAGAGCTCAAGCGACCTCTTGGCGTCCACTGCGGGCACCTGAGCTCTCGTAAGCCCAATCCGCTCCAGACCTCCACGAGTTTGGGGTGTCGTGATTTGAGTCCTGCGATATAGCTATGACCTACCACGCTGGTTTCTATATTTGCGCACTATATCTGCTTGTCCCAGTCAATCAAGCTCTTGAACACCTGGACAGCAAGCCGACTGTGGCTGGCACTCTTTCTCTCATGTCAGAAGAGGACAAGGCTGGCCACAGCAGCTCTAGGAAGGCTACTTGTCATCCTTTGCAAAGAACGCGCTATAGCTTCCGTCCCGCCCGCGGCGCCCACGCCGTTTTGCCTGTAACTTAGGCATTGCCCCGTAGAGCTTGTAGACATCGGGAGCTTGTACACCACTCGGCTCTACCGTCCCAGCCCATCAGATGAGCCTCGCCCTATTAGAGACAGTGCGTCTGACAACGCAAGCTCCCAGCTCCAGCGCAAGACCTGTGGATCCGTATCTGTATCCAGTCCGGATCCTGCCGAAACCCGTCTCTCAAATGATTTTCCATTACGTCTGCAAGTCAAGTGCGTACAGCGCGTTAAACTCGACAAGTCGATGTCGAGGACAGTTGCAGCTCCACTCCAGCCGACACGAGACGCAGACGCGCTGGGAGCTGTGGTGGGGACAAGCAATTGTGGTCCTCGAGCTCGCGTCCCCGCCTACTCAGGTACTGTACCAGGGTGCGCATCATTGATCCCACACATAGCATCGTTCCACTTAGAAGTAACCTCGCCTCGACCAAGGTCGCTATCTGAGACCAGCCTGAGCAGTTGCAAGCATATAGATCTAATTTATCATCTAGCATCCACTGATCTTCTGAACTTCTCAGCATCTACAAACCTCCCTTCTAGTGACGGTTTAATTGCGTGGTTCTTGCATGCCGCTAAGCTGAATGATCAGAAGTTACAAGGAGGAGCTCGGGCACCAGAAAGATGCTACTGCCATTCCTGCCGATGGCGAGACAGAGGGTAGAGCATACAAGGCCATCCTGTCTAGAGACCGCCTAAGAGAGGGAGCCAAGCTACCAGGCCAGGCTGTATAATCAAGTGCTTTGATGTACAGGCGCGAGACTGTCACTCTGACCAAGCTCTAGTTGCCCCGTAAAGACCTCTAGTAAGCGCGTCGCCACAGCTAGTCTACCACGGCTTGTTGATGTATGTGAGGGGCCTACCCAGGAGAGATACCCTATGAATACGCAGGAAAATGCACCGATAACAAGACTCTGAATCTTGTGGTGTTCTCGTATCTTACTCCGTCTTCGAAGACTCCATAGGGCGAAGAAGCGCGTCAGATGCGGTTTCTCGCCGCTCGAGACACCAGATGAGATGAGCCCTCCAGTTTAATTCCATCGAAGCGATCAGAAAAAGAAGCGCACTGCTCAGTGCCAGTCTAGTTGACAGGTCGTCCCAGCCCTGCAGCCCGCCCCATGGTAGATTGTTCCGCGAGCCAAGGGACCACCGCCCGCCACCATGTGGGCAGGTGGGGTCTCGCGCAACGGCCCGACGGGTCTTGGAGCGGGATGTCTAACACCGTCTTCCCGCGGTCGACGCCAACATCTAAGGGGTCGACCGCCGATAGATACACTAGCATGATCCCCTGAGCTCAAATACAGAGCATGCCTTCTCCATACGTGATGTAAATGAACCACTGGGACGCTTGATGCCAACAGTCGCGATGGCGGTCGGTCATCAGCGATTGCGGCATTTTTGTGCAATGAAACAAGTTGCCGGACATGCGGCCGCGCTTTCCAAGAGCCACAACAGCACGCTCAGGTCTTACTATCTCTTGTGTATCTCTTCATGTTAACGAATCTTTGCAGCCCATAAAGCTCCAATATACGGTATGCGTACCATGTAGACACAGGAGAGAGGGCATCCTAGACTATCATAGCCAGGTGCATGCGACCTCTACTACGCTTCTACAGTCGGCGGGCGGCTTGCGGTCTGCCAGCAAATTCTTATGCAGAAAATCTCGCTCCTTACACGGAAGACATGTTCTCATGGCTGCCTGATTGAAACATGGATGTACACATTGATGAACATCAGCTTTTGAAATGTATCCGATCTAATATATCAAGAGATACTATAGACAACCTGACGAGCGAGAGCACAAGGTTCGGGTGTGCTAAGACGCACCCGCCCTCCAAGGCCGCTGGGCCGCAGGCCTGGTAAAGGGCCGCATCGAGGGCATGGTAGATAGCAGGTGTTCAGAGAACAACGAAGAGGATTGTCGACATTCATCACTTGGAGAAATGGGAGTAATTTCGATATCTTGCTTTCCTAGCCAACACAGGGCAAAGAGCTCCAGGCCATGCTCTAGTGCTGCGCAAGGAAAGCCGTACTTGCATCAATAACTAGCTCTGAAAGCACATTTGAAATATAAGGGCAGATTAAACCTATGATATTGTAATCACACTCAACAATCAACTATGTATGCAAAATGAGTTTCAGGGAGACACCTCGGACAACAGGTCGTCTATTGTCACTGTCGCACCACAGTCATGCAAAATTGCAAATAGTCAATGGTTCCTTGGGCCTCCAAAACGGAGTGGTACGCGTGCACATTATCCACTATGAAAGTGAACACCAATTTCTCCATATCACTTCCTACCAGGATATGCATCGTGCCGCGCTTCCCCGTCTTAGAAGTCGGCCTGGTCGGAATTGCGAATAAAGTCGTAGTAGAACTTGGCCATGTTTACATGCTCAGCCATTAAGAGACGCTCGTTCACTGCATGGATATTGGAGAACGACGCTAGGCTCCCCGGACTCCATCTATAAATGTGCTTGCTTTGATAAGTCTGTTAAGGCAAAATGTTAGCTCAAGGATGCACTCCGCTTCTCCCTGTCCTAAGGAATAGGCCGTTCATATCCCTCGATTACTTACTACTGTAATGCTTAGAGTCAGTACCGCTCGTCATCGCCCCTGGCGCTGCGAGGACACTTGAAGCTTCTTTAGCGAACGTCTGGCGGATGGTGCCGGCGAACAAGTCCCAGACGGCCCCGCTTGTAGGTGATTGTGGTGTGATGTAAGACTTGTCCCTTGTTTCCAGAACTAACGTGTCATAATAACTCGGCTCCCACAGTCGGTTCATTTTCTGCCTCTAAGGTGTCATTCCTTTCGCGGCAAGATAGTCTTCGTAGTCTTTATCACCTTCGAAGGCTTTCAGCTGGAGCTTGTACTTCTGGGCAACGTCATCGACAAGCCTGACGATTCTGTCTTGTATCCCGCCGACACTGTCCTGTGGCGCATATCAGTGGTTAAACCCCAGAGTTACAGACTCAGGTAGCGCATTGATTTTTTTTCCTCCAGCGATCCAATCGACTGCCTATGATGTCTGAATGAAATACTGTGTCTGGGGCGAGATCTGGGCCAACACATAGGCCACTGCCGTGAGGTCGCCTCCGCGGACCAAACAGGTAAGCTCAGGATAGGCTTTGGGCGAGTGTCGTGCCAGACAAATCAAGGCCTGGTGCACAGGACTGCGTTCTTGGATCTCGGGTTGAATGGGTGCGACTCCAGTGACTTGACAATCTCTGATATGATCCCAATGGCGGTGTGCAGCGTAGGGGTGGAACTATGCCCACCTACGACATCAAGGTCAAACCATACATCTAGATAACCCTTCTCGTACACGGCCGGGAGCGCATGCATTGTGTCACCCAGGCTCTGCAGACCGGCGCCGCCATCATCGAGGATGACAGCAACTCCGCCTTCTCCGTACTTTTCCTCGAGGTACTCTGAGATTTCGCCGGCTCCTCGGTGCCCGGAGCACTCCTCGCCCAACCCGAAAGCAAACACGACCGTGCGGCGAGGCTGGTACTCGTCCTGGGAAAGGAGAGCTTCCATGGCGGACATGAGGGCTATGATGGCGGACTTGTCATCGGAGGCTCCGCGGCCCCAAAGGTACCCGTCTGTCTCATTGTAGTAGGCGTCAAATGGCGGGTGCTCCCACCGGTCTAGAGTGTCTCTCTCGACTGGAACGACGTCTTGGTGAGCAGTCAGGAGGATCGGCGCGAGGGTCTCGTCGGAGCCGGAGACAGTGTGTACAAGTCGGAATTTGTTGACTGTCTCAACAGAGGCAAATTCGTATCTTGACGTGTGGTCGTTCCCATTTTAGCCTCATCCTATGACCACCGTAGCCTTGGAATCGTTTGAGCATGCTACCTCCCAACAACTGGTTATTCACATGTTCGGGCATAGGTCCTCTAGAACCTCTGTGATCCGAACAAACGGCTTCCATCTTTCGTCATCGTCAAAATCCCCAAGGTCATCGTAACAAACCGAGGGCACGCGAACAAGTAGTTAGTGACGTTTGACCAGGGCATCAAGTGCCTCAGTTCCTGAGAATAGCTCCTGCGAGCTCAACAGCCCGTCTCCGAAGGGTCGAGAGGGCGAGACTGGTCGCATCTGTATCTTGAAATGTCGAATCCGGGAGTTTCGAGTGCTGAAGCACTGTCTGCCCCAAGATAGTGTTCTTTCTCAAACGCGAAGCCAATAGCGATTGCTGAGCTCACCACAGCAACCGCATTGACACTCGTCAGAAGCTTGAGGATGGCATTGATCATCGTGTGCGAATTTGAAGCCACGCAAGGGTTGGTTTTGTTTTATCCTGAATGGGGATGGGGGACATCGATATGGAGTTCTCCGACGTCAAGGACGGGCACTGGTTTAGCATGTCTATATACTTTGATCAGCCAGCGCGAGCATAATTTGCGGATACAGCTCGTGGTCCAAGATTCAATCGATGCATTGTCGCTCGCATTCGGTCCCGATGTTCTACTACACCAAGCCAATACATGAGCTCATCTGTGACGTGGTAGGCGTTTTGGAGTAAGCGGTGGTCGTGTACCACCATGTAGTGAGAACCCGATGTCTTAACAAGCATCGCTGCGATAGGTCTGTGAGCTTTTTACATTCTCTTCAACACCCGAGAGGATCCAGTTTACCTGCTAGGTACGCACAAACAATCTCATGAGCGGTTAGCGCAGCGTGTGCGAGTTGCATTTTCGCGGACATTTGTACGGCACTTGCCACGATCACCACAAGAACTTTCTTGAGTTGAGAAGAGAATTTGAAAGGTCGAAGGCTCTCCGACGGCGACGGCACCCACGTCGCTAAGGTTATGAAGACCTTCAGCATCGAAGGCGCGGCCGCGGTGCTATTCCAGGACCCCATGACGCGCAAATAGGCCTTCGAGCGTGTCTTCTCTAGTAATACCGACATGAGACTTGGGCTGCGATATGGCAGTGAGTAATCAATTAAAGTCATCAATTAAAGACCCACTAGTATCCACTTACCTTGAGTATGAGACTCGATAAACAGTTTCATATTTGCTGTCACCTCGGCAGCTGCAATAATGCGCACACTTTTATTTTGTGCAAAACACTTTACCATATTGTTCTGAAATATTATCGTAAGTCACCGTGACTCCTTGCTATCTTCAGCACGCTAGAGACACAACTGAGGATGTAAGTCCGTGATATGATCAAAATCTGCCGTGCCAAAAACAGACACTCCAGATGTTAGAACATCCTGACTATACCCTCTGCCTTAGACCACCGGAAAAAAAAAAATTATCTTAAGATAGATAACAGCATATATTGTAGGCAACCTCTGTTGGTACAATCTACAGTCATTTTTATGATAATCAGCAGGTTCTTAAATGGCAACCTTTGTCTTGAAAAAGCAGACTGGCATATATATAGTTATTTTCAACTTTAAAGTTCTCGAAGCAGTACGTTCAAATACACGAGCTTTTTTTACCCGGGCATGAGGTTCCTAGTGACTTCGGGGGAAAAGGAGCATTCTTTTCGGTGTGAGTTGCTTGAGCGAGCCAAATCTTTGACTGAATGGATGTACCAGGGGTTTTCTCACAGGATTCACTCAACCAAGCTCTCGCGCAGTCTTCCCTATGCAGAAGGTTGAAATTTTACCCAAGTTATAGGCTGAGTTCATCTCGAGTGTTAATATCTAGAATGCCTGCTAAGTGTGCCCAAGCAGCTTTGAGTGAAACTGGAAGGAAGTTTCGATGGACTGTAGAAGAGCACGGCACGATATCATTACTAAAAGAATCACTTTTTATTCATCCTCCAAACATCATCAATCTCATCTAGCAGAGTCGCAGCTCCCTGTTGGCCTTGGCTCTAGTCTGCCCCACGATCTGAAGATCTGGAACGAAGACGGCGTGAGAGATCTTCTACCTAAGAGAACCAGCCGCCGCCACCGCCCTCGCGACGGTCATCTCGCTTATCGCCGCCAAAGAAGTGCTTCGCAGCACCTTCAATGACGTCTCCAACCAGGTCGTTGTTGTCATCATCATCCCGACGTCTGCCTTCGTCCCGCCTCTCGCCGGAATAGCCTCCCTCTTGCCGGCCGCCTCCGTACTCGTCGCGGCGCCCAGAGTCGTAGCCTCCACCTCCGCCTCCGCCGTAGCCTCCACCGCCACCATAGCCCTGATTCTCTTGTCGGGAGGAGCCGTATCCTCCTCCTCCTCCGTAGCCCTCCGAGTCGTCTCGGCGAGAGGAACCGTATCCGCCTCCACCTCCGCCTCCGCCATAGCCACCGGACTCCTCTCGTCGCGAAGAGCTATAGCTGTCCGACTCTTCACGTCGCGAGCCACCATAACCTCCTCCGTAGCTCTGGGTCTCTTCCCGACGGTAGCTCGAGCTGCTGGTCTCGCCTTCCCAGCGCCTCTCCTCATGGTGCTGACGTCCACCATAGCTTTCCTGAGTTTCCTGGTAGCCATAACCGTGCTCGCCGCCCCGTCCATCATCCCTCTGCTCGGTGCGACGGAACTCCTGCCTCTCACGCCCATCATCGTACCGGGTCTCTGTGAACTCAGCCTGCTCGTAGCGACGACCATCGTTGCTACGGCCGTACTGCGAAATAGACTGGCTGACACCGCCGTCCTCGGTACGATGAGGTCGCGACTCGTATGTGTCCGAGTCCTTCTGGAACGCACCTTCCAGGAGCGATGACACGTTGCCAAGAAGACCGCCACCCTTAGTGGGGTTGTTGGAGTCGGGCAGGTTGACCCTACCGCCCGTCTGGTTGGAGACGATGTCAGAGAAGCCGGACGTGACTCCGCCGATGATAGCGCCTGCGGCAGCCGACGCAATCTTGTCCTCAACGGATTGGTCACCACCGCCGAACTGCTTGTGCATGCTCAATTTGCCGGAGCATCCATGGCCGTGGCCAGTGTCTTGCACGCCCTCCTTGTGGTTCTCTCCGTTCTTGACACCGTTGCGGGACAACTTGTTGCGGTACTCGTCTTTCGCGTTCTCGGGCATTTCGTTCCACCACTCTTCAACGCTGCGGAACATCATCTCGCGACCTTCGCGGGCTCCGTCCTCGCCCTGGCCGCGCTGGGCCGGGTGGTGCAGGACTCCGTGGATGAGGCGGGTGCAAACGCGGTTAATGTCGATGGACTCGTCGTCAATAGCTTCCATGAGCTGCGGGACGGCCCATGCGACAACCTTGCTGGCCGTCTTGCCGGCAACTTCGTTGAGAATGTTGGAGAAGTGGTCCTTAGACAGCATGGAGTGAGTGGGATCTGTGCTCTCGTCGTCGTTGAACACGATCAGCTGCTCGTTCTCACTGGACTGAATAATCTCATCAGAGCCGGTGCGGAGCTCGTTCTTGACCTGGTTGATGACAGGGACCACGAAAGGTGCGATGACAGAGAAGACGAAAACCGATAGCTGCTCCTCAAGCTGCTCAACAATCTGAGGCAGAACGGGGATCTTCTCGATAGCCTCCGTGACCTTTTGGAGGATATCGTCGTGGAACTCAATTGCGGGCATGATCTGGCGGAAAATATTCTGCACATAAAGCGTGTACTCCTCAGGATCACGTGGCGAAACTGACATCTGCTCCACCTGGGCGGCACTTGCGTTCTGCTGGATGTCATCCATCTTGGACTTCTTATCATCGTCCCCGAAAAGACCGTCTGGGATCTTATCCAGGAGGTTGCGCAGAATGCTGGTGTCTTTGTTCTGGCTCTCCTGGAGGGTGCCCTCAAGCTCGTCAATCTCATTCTGAGTGAGCTTGTCGGAGACCTCTCCCGTGACGGAGTGCAAGAAATCGACACCACCGAAGGTACCGGTGACAATTGGGTAGACTTCATGACGAGCGCCAGATAGACGTATCTGAGTGTTACGACCAACGTGGGGGAACACATCGCGCTCACCCATCTCAATCAGCGCCAGCTCGCAGTAGTTGCTGTGCGCCAGGAAGTCTTTCACATTGCGTTAGTTTCCAAGTTTGCGATTCTCCATGAAACAACTCACCTTCCAAGCAGTGAAGTCCAGTGCCCAGCAGTCGAAGCGCCTCATGCAGGTCCTCCTTCCTGTTATCACGCTGGTACCGTCGCCCAAGCTCGACACACTTAGTGAAAAGACGGCGGACGTGAAGAGCGCTGGTCATGATGTTCACGTTCTCGTTGGCGATGTAGTTCTTCATGCCTGTCTCTTCATCGATGGCCAGCTCAACTCGCTCATCGATGGGGCCACGCAGACGACGGTCGTATTGACGAGCATCCTCGTTGTCAGCGTAGTTCTTGGGGTTGTCAATATGGTCTATGAGGGCTGTTAGCACCTAAACGGGAAAGGAGACGCGTAAATTGACCAGGCTGAGTTACCTTCAGGCCGGTAGCAGCCGAGACGATCGGCAGTAACCTCAAACTCGCGCGAACCATAGCCAAATGTCAAGAAGCCTAGGACGCAGAGTAGAAGACGAATGGCCTCGGCTGAAACGCTCTTCACCGTGCCGACATCGATGGCTTGGGAATAATCTCGCAACCTAGAGCTACATTAGTTTGAAGGGCGGTAAAGGGGGTATCAGTTGGATCTTACCAGTTGCCAAAGTAAGTGCGCGACACCATCAGCTTGTCAAACTTCTTGCCACCAACGGCTCGAGCCATCAAGATCTTGAGAAGCGTATCCTCGATGTCGCCGTGGCGCCCTGTCAAGTGTTCACGTGAGTATTGGGGTCGTCCTCTTTTGGAGTTGGTCCGGTGGTATGTGTGTGGGCTTACAGTTCTGGCCCTCGACTTTGGAGATGCTAGCGATGTTTCCAGCGCCGAAGGCATGAGCGCGACCGGCGAAGAGGAAGAGAAGGACCAGCCCCATCAACAGGGGGGTCATCTTGAGGGAGGACGTCATGGCAATCTGTAGTCTGCGCATGCAGGCAATTGTCAGCTTGGGTCAGGTTGCTAAGAAAGACTTGAAAGAGCTGTTTGCGATCAATTGCGACAGACTGGCCTGGCCTGGCCGCAAGTCACGATTGATTTGGGACAGGGCCTTGTGTTGAAGAAGAGGAGAGTCACCAACCTGGCTGACCGCCTTGTTGCTCAGGCTTGCGTGAGACGACCAGAGTAGTGACAAGTTGAGAGCTCTGTGAAGCTCAAGTAGGTTATGGCGGGGTAGTTGTGTCGTTTTCTTGAGACGGGTATCTTCAATCAGCCCCTTCACAAACAGTTTCTTGATACGAAAATTGATGATGTGGAAGGGCAGAAGATGGAAATGGGAAAGGAGGAAGAACACACCGTCTCTGGTCCTGGTCAACCTTGGGAGGCGACGCAGAGGGACTGGGTAGGGAGGAGTGGTCAAACGTGCCAAGACTCCATACAGAGCTCAGGATTCGTGAGGGAGAGGGGCAGCTCTGTGGCAGATGGCGGGGTGATGAGGGTCGCTCACGTCGTCAGCCAAGAAAAACAGCAAGCGCTCAGGGGGTCCGTTTCTTTTTCGTAATGTGATTGTTATGCTACAGAACGTTGACTGTTTTGTCTCTACACACAGCTATCATGGACGTTCCCCTTCGTCCTGCTTTACTTCTCTATGCAGATTGTCGGAATGGACTCAAAGCTCTGTTCGTCCTTGGGCGCAACGAGGCGGAAGCTTTGCTTGTGACAGACAGTCCTGACGAGGGGCTCCCAGGATGTGAGCTTCCAGATCCGCCTTGGTGTGGAGACCCTTAATCAAGCTACATTCATGCTCCAACGAAAAACCAGCTGCGCACCACCCGCGGTAGCTGAACGATCTACGGTCCTGTAGGCCAGTCCCGGCCAGTCGATGGCTCTCTTCGTGTTTTTGTTGCAGGGAACCTTGTGCAGTGGGTTTGATTCAATCAACAGGATCCAACACGACGTGTCAGAACGCGGGTGCGCCACTCCTGAGGCCTCACGTCATCGTAAGGACTCCAAATCATCGGCGTGTAACCTAATCACTGCTTTTCACGTTGCCTTTGTGATAGCCTTGCCATACCGTCCTCTTTTACTGCAGGACAACATCTCATGCCTTGCTGAATGTCCCGTCAGATACTAAGGAATCGATACCTGCACCATGGCACCTAAGTAGGTCTTGAACCATTCCCGTGGCGGTATCCCAGAAGGCTTGCCAGATACTGGAGAGTCCACAGGAGATTAAAAAAAAAATAACCTACCTAGGTACCTAGGTACCTAGACGTTGGAGCTATTCTGCAAGAGGTTGGCCTATGACATGTTATCCCACAACAGGTTGTCCTATAGTTAATTCTCTTACAAGAGGTTATCCCACAGGACGTCAACCCACAGGAAACTGTGTCTTGGTCAGGTTACAATACCGTGTTTGTGATGCCTGCAAGCTGCTCATTCTCCAGAGAGTCTTGGTAACCAATTGTTCATCGTCCCTACAAGCTGCATCAGGGGCGCCGCCCATCATGTTTCATGTGCCGCCCGGGCCGTTGCGCACGACCTCCCACCCCCGTTTCCAAATGGCGATGGCCCCTCGAGTTCCTCATGCCCCCGAGTTACTGTGAGCGGAAACTTCAGACCATCTACGTAGATACCCAACTGTCAACGCGGCTGCTCCGAAACCAAATGGTGCTAGTCTCAGTCATATTAGAGTCAAGGGGTTTCTCATCTCCATATTCGTAGGCAAAAGCACCGTTTGCGAGGACAACCATCCCTAGAATCCACAGTCACTACGAATGGCCCATTAAGTGACACTGATGTCGATCTAGATATAGTCCATTGTAATTTACTAACATCAAGTATTTCCACCGCAGTCACGATGTCCGGCGATTTCCCCTCTGCATAGTCAGGCCCCAGCTGCAAATAGGACAGAAAGGAAATATAGCCACGTCGGTGATATCAGCTTTCTACAATACTTTACAGATATAATTCAAAAGTTTGTGGATATAATTTGAAGCAGCATAACAAGATACTAGCAGCTAGGAGCAAAAAGGTAATGCCTGGAGGTCTAGGTGTCACGTGGGTTTCACAAATGTCGACAACTCGATGTCCACTTCACCTAAACATAAAATGAACATGCGAAAATTTGGTTTCCCAATGACCTCATAAAACTATAGGCTTCAATGGAGTAATAGGGATTTGTAACTCGGATTTAAATTATGGCTGATTTTCTTTTCCTGTTGCTTTTTCTCATGTTTTTATTCGCGGAGGTTATCGAATGTACCTTACTGGAATATCCCAGTAGTTTAATAGACAGGGTTCAATTTCATATTCAACGATTCCCGCTGCCTGAAGACTCCAAGTCCTTTCCAACCTTCTCAGGTGAGTTATTGCGGGGTGCATCAAGTGTAGTACGCATTACCACCTCCTTCTCCAAAAAAGTAACCAGAAGCGCAAACGCGCTGAAAGCGAGGCACACATACCAAACATACCTTAAGGCATCGTTATATACATGAACAACCTGTCCTTTGACATCCTTGGGCAGGGACGACAAGTACGTGCTCGAAACATGCGAGTAAGCATTACCTCCACCAAGTACATCACGCACATTCTCGTCAGTGATCGTGTCCGACAGTTGTGAAAAACGGCTGTTGAAGATGGCAGCTGGGATGGCGATGCCCCATATGCTGCCGAAAGAACGAAGATACGCCCACAACGCGCTCGCAGGTACGGCATCAGATGTTGGTAGGGCGGCCTGGGCAGCGGGGAGGATCGTGGTGATGAGCATCCCGGATCCCCAACCTGCGATAATCTGATATGTGACTATCTTCGCAAGGGAGGAATTCTCATCCAAGTCGATGTAAAGTCCTGTCGCAAGCACAATGAGACCGTATGCTATGAGGTGTATTGGCTTGTACCGCCCCCATTTCGACAGTGCGAACCCACCGGACACGGCGGCGGGGACGTAGACCAGCACCGATGGGAGAAGGAGGACGCCCGACCGGCCAGTCGACACAAGCAGCACACCCTCGAAGTACAGTGCCATGAAGTAGAGCCGCCAAAACGTCAACGCTCCAGCGAGGAACGTGCTCAAGAACGCCACGGCGCTTGTTCTGTTCCCGAATAACCGTGGAGGGATTGTTGGATTCACACACCACGAACTCGACTCGTAGGCATGGAAAGCGGCCAGACCAGCGAATCCGACGAGAAGTGGGAATAGAATTCGCCAGGACGCCCAAGGATACCTGGTGTCTGCCCAGCTCAGGGAGATCAGGATGCTCACCACGCTACCGATCAACAGCCAGTTACCGATCCAATCCACTCTCTTCAGGCCTTGACGCACAGTCATTAATCTTGGTGCATCTACGTGCAGAAAGAGAAATAGCAGTATTAATGCCAGGGCACCAACAGGCAGATTCAGCCACTAAGGTTAAGAAGATGTATCAGTCAACTGTCTACTCACGAGAAGTCTCGGTGGGTATTCGGGGGAGGAAAGGTTGAAGGTCAGCCTTCAAGGGAAATATCACACAACAACAATAACTAGGTCATATAAGGTGAAACGAAGGGTTAATAGCTGTACGTACGAAAACCCAGCGCCAATTAGTTTGGCTTATGGCGCCGCCGATGGGAGGGCCGGCTGCGATTCCCAAGCCGAACACACCGAAAATTGCCGCGAGATATTTACCGCGTTCTCTGACAGAGGTCAAGTCCGAGACGATGATATTTCCAAGGACGCCGACGCCAGCGCCGCCTAGACCTTGGACTATACGACCAGCTGGCAGATGGATGTATGTCTTAGCCTTCGATCTTTAAAGTTGCAGAAAGTGATGGCTTGAAAAGTAAGGAGCACAGCCTAGACATACCAATGAGCATAGCCATAGAGTCTGCACCACCAGCTATACCACTGCCGAGCATAAACATTACGACAGCGAAAAGGGTAGGCCAGCGCCGGCCGAAGACGAATGCGAACTGGCCGTAGAAAGGAATAAAGACCGTGCTGTGCGAAGTCAGCAAGCGTATTGAAGCATGAGACATCACTGAGCCTTGCCCAATTCCAAAAAAGAGTATACACTGACGCTGTTAGCAAGTATCCATTCATGATCCAGACGTAGTTGTCTCCGGCATCGAGGTCTGACGCAATCTTAGGCAACGACGCAGTGGTGACTGTGGACTCCAGTGCGATGAGCAGTGTCGCGAGGCATATTGGCGGGAAAACTGCCCAGAAACGCCACCCACGGGACGGAGCAGACTTCTCCTCAGGCTTTTCAGGACCGCTCTTTGGCTCAATGGTTACATGTTTTTCATGGCTGCCATTTTCAGATAGACTGGTTTTGGCAGGGGTTTGGACGTGACCATTATCAATTGACATTTCGGTGTTAGCCATTTTCAGAATGTTAAGGAGATGTTCGCCAGTTTAAAAGCAAACAAAACACGATTGAGATGGAAATATGATGGCTAAAACATTGGGAAGATGAGGATTCCTAAGTGGACCAGCTCGAAGTCCCTTAGAGCTGAATGAGACCGGCAGTCCGAATCAGTTTACTTTGATCAGCCACGTCGAGCTGCACATCACATGCTAGAAATAGCTCAGGAGCGATGATCTTCTTGATTATTACAACTCTGATATCGGTAAGATGGAGTGAATATGAGGCTGCGCAAGCTGGGTCCAGCAGGCGTCAAGTCGGACTTGACTGGCTAATGTCGAGAAATTTGCGAACCCGCCAGTATTATTCATCACAGTTCCACAAACTACTATTATGATCTCACTCAACCAATGTTCTCTGGGCTTTTGGCGGCTACTAGCGACCTTTAGCCTCAAGAATATCAAAACTTGCATGCAACATTCGGCAGCGCTTCTGACGTGAGACAACAGATCCACTCCGACCACAACCCAGTAATCATTTATTGTCGTGGCCAAATCATTCTGAGTCAGTATCCTCCAAGAAAGAAAAAAAAAGAAAAATGAACAGTGCCAGCATTCATTCCTCCTGGAGGCCAAATTTGACGAGGTGATGTCCAGAAAGACCTCTATACCGGCAATGTATTTCAGTCATTGCATGACCTGTAAATGGCCCGTGGCTAGCCTCTGATGTGTACTTTCGCAGCCAATGTAATGGAGACATTTCTCACAAGTGTATTGATACTCAAAACCATGTATATATACTAGCGGCGACTCGTGTCAGGAATCCGCCACGACAGGCCATGTGATTTGTCGCCATTCTGCTAGTACAAGGTATCATTTGGATTGGGTAGGGCAAGGCCCAGCGCTTATCACTTACGTAGGAGCGTGAAGCAGGCTAGATGGAATCAGCTCTTGTATCGAGGAGCACTGAACCACAGGGGAATGCTTCAAGTATACTTCGACACCTAAAAGAATGAGTACTTAGCAATTCTCATCAATAAAAGTTCGATAAGTCGAGAACCTCTTGATCATGTCGTCAAAAAAATTTTGCGTCAAAAGTAGGAATGAAGTTGCAAAATGTGCGGCTGTACAAATTGCAACAGCTCCCCAAGAAGGCTTTTCATCAGGTACTTTGTGTATTTGCAACCTTCACTTGAAGATAATCCACTTCTGACGTGAGGAGGCTATCGGAAGTGCTGACATGAGGGCCCAACTCCTTGTCTGCCTAAAAATACCAAATTGTAGAAGGCGCCGTAGAGACCAAATCGAGATACAGATGTGGACCACAGTACAGACTCTCTGCTATGACGATAAGGGATGAGACTCCTTTGAAAGCTGAAAAGTTGACCTGAGAAGTCCCTCAATCTTCAAATCTTCCGAGTTATTGTTTTATACAGAGAAGTATTTGCTAAATATCGCTACCGGATTATTGCCCAGACACGATGGCGCTGTCTTTGGGAATATTGGCGGCAGTAACGAAGAGCGGCTGGTCGTTGCTGCCCAAGCTTTGTGCTCTCGCCAGCTTCGTACTACTCCTCAGTGTTACAATCTCCAAAATATGGAGCAATGTATCTAGCCGAAGCTTCAGAGCGCAACACGGATGCAAACCATGCCGCAAGTTTCCCCTAAGGGATCCAGTGCTGGGCCTTGACTTCATCATCACCAACATCAGGGCGTTCCAAAACCACAGGTTCCTCGAGCTCCTCTCAAGCCGCTTCCGCAAAGCCGGACCAACCTGGGAGGTGCGTGGCTTCCACCGAAGGTCTATCTTCACAGCTGACCCGGAAAATGTCAAAACACTCCTCTCGCTAAGGTTCAAGGACTTCACACTCGGCGGCCGGCAGCGCATCATGGGTCCGCTGTTGGGACAAGGTGTCTTCGCCAGCGACGGCGAGGAGTGGGCGCACTCGCGCGCCCTGCTCCGGCCCATTTTCGCAAAGGAGCACGTCGCCGACCTGAGCCTCATCGAGACGCACGTCAGCCACCTGTTCCGCCTCCTCCCCAGCGACGGCAGCACCGTCGACTTGCAGCCGCTCTTCCACCGCTTCACCCTCGACTCCGCCACGGACTTCCTCTTCGGCAAGGCAACTAGCACCCTCGTCAATGCGAAAGAGCTCGACTTGGCTTTCGCCAAGGCGCTCCGGTATTCCCTCGACCACATGGCCTTCCTCCTGATAGCAGGTCCACTGCGGCGCTTCTGGAAGAACGACCCGGAGTTCAACAAGTCAAACAAGATCTGCCGGTCGTATGTCGACACGTTCGTCGACCAGGTCCTGGAGTACAAGAAAGGCGAGTCCCCAGTCGTCAATATCTTGGCCGAGGAGGGCGGGATCCGGCGGAACTCATTTCTCAGGGACCTCGCCAACGCGACGAACGACAAAGGCAAGATCCGTGGCGAGCTCCTCAGCTTGTTGCTAGCAGGGAGGGACACGACTGCAAGTCTGTTGAACAGTTTGTTTTACCACTTCTCGCGTAGGCCCGATGTATGGGCAAAGTTGCGGGAGGAGATTAGCACACTAGGTGATCGTAGGCCGACATACGCGGAATTGAGGGCCCTCAAGTATGCAAAGTTCTGCATAAATGAAGGCAAGTCATTTCAGTCGCTGTGTTGCAATTCAATAGCTAACCACGATCCAGCGTTACGACTCTACCCACCGGTCCCAACAAGCGCGAAAGTCGCTGTTCGTGACACGATACTGCCTCGTGGTGGCGGCCCAGACGGAGAAGCACCCATATACATTCCAAAAGGGCTCAAAGTGCTCTACTCGACATACTCGATGCACCGCCGCCTGGATATTTGGGGTGAGGACGCCGACGAGTTCCGCCCCGAGCGGTGGGATGGCGCGAAGCATTCCTGGGTAAGTATCTTAAAGCTTCCCCTCTCAAGACAAAGTTCTCACCTTACTCATATATTACTGGAAAGGAATACCTTCCCTTCAATGGGGGCCCAAGAGTTTGCCTTGGACAACAGTATGCTATTACAGAAACGCTTTATATCATTACGCGGTTCGTGCAGGAGTTTCAGAGTATCGAGGCGCGCGACAACCTACCCTGGACCGAGACGTTGGGCCTGACGGTCACCCCGGCTTACGTGCGGGTTGGTCTTTGTCGGCCAACTTAGTTATGGCTGCTAAGAGCTATGCGCACAAGTTGGAATATGGCTGTACGGCAACACCTATGCAGACTGTATTGTAATGATGTACGCAAAGCATATTTCTTCTGTTTAGAACATGGGCTGCGTGGAAAGGCAGATGTCCAAGACACTCCCGTCGTAATATCCCCAAATTAGACTAGATAGATGTGGTCCCTCCCTCTCGGCAAGTGTGCTGTCACATGCGATTTGAACGAATTCGGACAGGATCCAAAGGGGGCAAAGAAAGAACTAGAGCCTGAATCTACCATTCTTGCGTGAAACTCTTGAAACTTCTCAGTCTGGGTAATCTACCTAGTCAGTAGCCATAGGTGAATTTCTGCACGAGATGAGGGCCAGCACAAACTTTTCTGTTAGGGGCTATCTTGCACGCGTCAGAGAAGGTTCATGGAAAGGCTCTTTCTAATGCAATCGACGGTACATGACGTCTTGAGAATGTTAACAAGCTCACGTGTAGTTGACAAGTAATCATGATTTCGATGCTGAACTATGAACTTGCACCAATGTAAGAATAAGATCGCGGACGTGGTTTCATCTTCACGCCCGCTTTTGCCGATATCGAGTAGAGGGTGTACATGTACGTGCACAGCCACCAACGTTGCAAATGCCATGCTTTACGACGCTCAAGACGATTTGCCTTCGAGTGTTGACTCCTGATAGCTGTTTCAATAGACTAACATGTTGGGTGCACCGCTGCGATATGCGTTAAATTGCTACAGTGCGATACGGAATGCGTAGCACTGATTTTCAGATCGACAAAGAGCATAACAGAGCGCCTCCGTCTTCGCCCTCGACACTTCAAGTCGCGGATGCCCTCACCTTTTTGTTTGCGCTAATATTAGGCCTTGGCTAATAAACTTTACGCGTCAAATGATCAGGTCAGTTTTATTACCAACATGCGTGCGCGTACTCGTGGCCGGCAGGGGGTGCTCTCGAACTGCGTGGCATCCGACAAGCTTTTCTCTCAAAGTTGGGACGGGGCCCGTTAGTGATTTGCATTGCATGATATCAGTGCCGATGATCCAGAGATGACTCCTGCTGAGACCACTGCGTTGCGGCCTGCGGATAACACGGCACTCGGATGATTGTACCCGTGAATGTGCCGTATCCCGTCACCGACTTAAGGCAGCTTCCTTCATCGACTCATGAGTGCCCACGGGCGTCAAAGTTCCCTGGTTATTACTCGAGCAGGGCATTGTAGATGATGCACGAGGTGGTTACGCTAAAAAATGTCGAAGTCGAGTAGGAACCTCCGCGACATCCGGAGGCGTCAGAGCTTGCGGAGCTGACGAAGATGTCGAGGTTGAAATTCATGTTTCCAAAATGTCAGGCTCTGACCCGGCGACTGAGTGATCCGGGAACGGGATGTCGCATGCTGGCATGTTGAATAGATCGTACATGTTTAGTGGGGCCGTCCCTGCTTATGCGATGGATCTATTCTACAGTCCAACAGCCTATACCTGGGAAAAGATACCTCTCGATGCACCTAGACTCGTAAGCGACTGCTCAGTAGAGGAGATAGATAGGCCTGAGAGCATTGCCGTTATGCACCGCGGTCACCAGAAAAGGAATCGTGTCTGGGACCAGGCAGGGGTTCTGTGAGCCCAGGTCCAAGGCCCGAGACGATAGGCGGGAAGGTCAAGACCTCACCTGTCAGATGTCTTGGCCATGCATTCCGCGAATGTCCAGTCCCTACACAGAAATGCGGCAAAGGGACCAGAGGTGATGTGATGATCAACGGTGACGAGGCTGTGCTCTGTTTCAGATTTTCGGGCGGTTTATGGGATATGGCATGCGTCGAATCTGAGTGCTGCTTCGGTGAGACAAAAATCCCTGAACCAATTCTGAGTCCAGGTTCCCAGGTCCGAGACAGCCGAGGGGAAAGAGGGCCAAGCTTCAGCAGATCTGCATCTAGCACCACCTGCGGACTTGGCATTGGACCCGGGTGGCCGGACTCAACGATCAAAACTAGACACTATCCAGATTGAGATACTTTCATTATCTTGGAGAGTGGAACCATAGACCGAATTCGTGAGTGAAGTTTGGTGGATCTGTGGATTTGCCATCCAGCTAGGAATAGTCCAGTGGAATGACAGTTGGCATTGGACGGGCTCATCTTGAGACAAACTTTGGGCCACGCGACTCGGGTTAATGGAAGGGAGCCTGGCCGTAGCGACGTCCCTTTCCACAGCCCTTTGCTACCCTCGGTGCCATGTTCGGAGGCCTGTCTGTTCTACTTGCTCTGGTGAAGGAAGAGTGAATGCCTTCGTCAGTCTCTTTTTGTACGCACGTGAGAATAAAAAGAGCGCGCGGGCGGGGAGCAGAGAGGCCAGGCCCACCCTGAGAAGACCCCAGCTGGGCGCGACCAGGGTGACGGAAGAAGCTCGCCCTAAGGCGGCGCCCGTCCTTGGCGATGCGGGCGAGGAAAAGCTTCAGAAAAGCTTCGCTTCGCTCGTTATGGAGTTCGGCAATCTTGGAGCAGCGGCAACGACAGTGATTCGTCCAACCTGGTGTGACGTGTTGTGGACAGTCGTGTTGGCTTGCTGGCGGAAAGCCACTCTCGAGGATGGATGACCGAATCGAGATCGGCCCAGACAGGCCTGCCCAATACCAACAAGCGCAGCTGCATTGCAATAGTGCACGCCGGCCGTTTGAGGTTGAGGTTGAGGTTGAGGTTCAGGTTCTGCTGCTGCCTCTGCCTCTGCCTCTGCTGCTGCTGCTGCTCCTGATCTTGCTCCCAGTCTCGATTCTGACTCTGCCGGAAACCGCCGACTCATCTCACACATCTCACACATCTCGCGCTCATGCCACTGAATAAGCAACAGCAAAAACAATGCAGTCGGGAAGGCTGTCGGAATGTACATGCAATGTGATTGGGGTTCAGCTGTGGCTCGAACACAGCCTTGATGCCGGCGCTGCACGATTGCAAATACAGCGCAGCAGTGGGTCGTCGCTGGGGCTTCCCCGGCATCTTAGGTGCAGCTTCGTGCAGGAAAAAACCCGGGTTGGCGCTGGGGGAACGATGATGATGAGCATGATGATAGGAGGAGAGCGTGAGGAGAGTAGGGTGAACGGCAACGAGTTCCCGGACAGAGGGCACCAGAGGGCACCAGAGGGCACCAGAGGGCAAGCGACCACCTCGAAGCAGCTAGTATAGAACCAAACCCCTGCAACGCTGGGCTTCCCCCCTGCCCTGTCCCTGCCCTGGTCGCCGGTGCCCAGTGCCCCCAGTCGTGACAGTATCGAGTGCCCACCCGACTCCTGCTGCTCCGTGTTGCTCTTAAAAGCGGCATGTCTTGGCATTCTCCTCGCCCTGGCCCATCCCCTCGTCCTTCTTCCTCTTCGGATTCCCTCGCACACACCTATTCTTGCCTCAGCTGAGCCCCCCCCCCCAAGCCTGATCCTGTGCCTGTGCCTGTCTGTGCACGCCTACTTCGGTCCTGCTCCTCTACTCTACGCCCGCTAGGCCGAATTTGACCTTTGGGTGGTCTAATCTCACTCGCCTCCCTTCCACTCTACCTGACGTCTTCGAAGGCTCGTTTTGCTGGCACCTTTTTTCCCCCTTCCATCAATCTCCATTTTCACCCGACCAACAAGTGGATGACGGACCACCTCGCCTGTTGTTGACCTCGCCCTCCCGTTAAATTTGTTATTCTGCGCCTCTAGATGCATCCGTGCCTCGAGCCCTGGGTTCCACAGCCCACACCATGATTGTCGACAATGATGGGCAACAGTAAGTTTAAATTATTGTTTATCCATGTTTAATCCGGCCGTGTCTGAGACGATCTGGTCCCATTTCTGGTTACGCAAAACGCCGAGACGTCAAAAGGCTTGTCGTCTTTTGATGATGTGCTCCCCCAGCCTTGGCCCTTGGCAGCCGCCTTGGCACGCGTGGCCCAGCCGAGCACGTTTCCATGCGAGACTCCCAATTCTTCGGCTCGCGGAGATATGCGTACGGGTGCTAATTCGCCATTTGTGTCACAGCCTACGTCGACGATATTCAAAATGCAGTGTACGTCTCGAGCGTGTTTCCTTGTGTCTTGTCCCCTCCTGCCCTGTACATCCGGCCTTGTCCCCCCTTCGTGTCCCACATCGCCCTACTGGGTGACGTTGGTGGAGTCACGTACTCGCCGATGCCCTCGTCCCCAGAAGACGTCACCGATATCACCTCGTTCTCTCACACGTGCTACTGTGTCTCGTTCTTCAAGGCACTGCGGTCAACGGTATCGTCTCAGCGTGCCGGGCCGCGACAGTCTTGCGTGGGACGTCGTCTGCCTGTCTCCCACGACCCACCTTCCCATGAGCCGCATACAAGGCATCACTGCTGTTCTCCGCTTTTCATCTTCGTCTCTTCATGTACTGACACCCTTCGAGGCTTCTATTCAGCAATCCCGTCTGGTCTGGCGCCGATAGCATCCCATCGACGATCATCAGGAACATCACTGCGCTCTCCGTGAGTCGTTCCCTGCGCGACGCGCCTTCTCCCATTCCTACAGAAGTCTTCCCTCGTCGCTTTCGACACCCAATTAATGTCTTGCAGAGTGACATAGCCTACTCTGCCGAGATAAACGACAACATTACCATTCTGTCCTCCAGATACGCCCAGACAAACAATGGTGTCATTCAAGGATTGCTCTACGTCCCTGATCTGGACGCCCGCGATCCGTGCAAGGCGATTGAACCTGCATATGTGCCCAGTACAGCTGTGCGACAATCCCATCTGCCACCCTCGGACTACAATCTGATCGCCCTGGTGCCTTGGTGGAATGCTAGCTGTACGAGGTCGTATCTGGCTTCTGCCGCGCTCGATCCCATTCGAGGGCTCATCACGTATAGGCCTGACGACAGCATCGAGAAGCCCCCTTCTGTTGACGACGAGGTATGGAACCTTCAGGACCATGACGCCTGGAAAACCACGACCAAATTCCCGGTCTATGCTGTCTCAGGAGCGGTCGGGTCCTCGATGATGACACAACTGAGTCTCTATTCCGGCAATGTCACCTCCGTTCCTTACGGCGAAAATATTTCTGCCTTGTACAACCCTGACGCCGACGACTATGTCCGGATATGGTCCCAAATACACGTGGCTACTGCGGACTCCTTACCGACAATCTGGATCTTTATACTCATCTGCGTGGCTGCATTGTTCTTCATCGTGGCTGCCATTTCCTGCCTCATGCATTTCGTTCAACACAAGCGCAGGGTCTCGCTTCAGCGTCGTGTGATGAGTGGCGAAGTGAATCTGGAGGCGATGAACATTAAGCACGTCACAGTACCTATTGAGCATGTCGAAAAATTCCAACTATTCACATACAACTACGAACCGAACGCGAATAGCTTGCCCCCCTCGCCTACAACGCCTCGGGCCCCGGCACGAGCCCACGTGCGAAATAATAGCGTGGGAATCGACGAGACTATTACAAATACTTCTATGCCAACTTTTGCAGAGAAAGCACTGCCCAGCCCGACAGCGAAATCAACCGTCACTGGCATTACTGCCGTTAGCACCGCAACAGACTACCAACCTGCCTGCTCGATTTGCTCTGAGGACTACGAAAATAGGGTCACTATTATTCGCGAGCTTCCTTGCGGTCACATTTACCACCCGGAATGTATAGACGAATTCCTCACCAGTCACAGCTCATTATGCCCGCAGTGCAAGGCATCCATGCTTCCGAATGGCTATTGTCCCAAGGTCACGAATTCAATGGTTCGACGGGAGAGGGCCATTCGCAAACTGCGAGGCCATGTCATTATTGATGACTCGGACGTGGAAAGTGGTCGTGCCCAACCAGACTCATGGAGGACGAACGTCAAGAGGAAGCTGTTCCGTCCTAGCAACAACGCCGACAACGTCGTGCAGCGCATACCTCCCCGTCAAGTCCAAGCAGCATCACCCGAAGTTCAACTGCGAATGCGCGATCTAGCAGGAGACGAGTTTCATGACGCTCGAAGCGTAGACGGACAGCCCAAGTGGAAAAGGGCCACACGAACGCTGTTCCCGGGATTTATCTAACTTTCTCTTTTTTTTGCGACTTTTCTTTTTGGATCGGTTACCACATGATACCCCGGAGCAAATTTTGTACCTGATTTAGTGAGCATCGAATGGCGTTCCTTGGGATGACGGATTCTGGCGATGCATACCGTGGGCTTGGAGGGATAAGCACCACGTGGGGAGAATTTCCGTGGTGGCCGCATGGCTAGATAGAGCACCACGAGGACAGTGGAGATACCCAGTCAATCAGTTTGGACTCGGGACTCGAAGAAAATCTGGTGAGAGGATGTGTATACCTACCTCTGAACACCCGGCGGGGTAACTCTAGACCATTGTCATGTGCATTGTGTCGAGACAATTGTACATGTAGCCACATCATCTTGATTTTGAAAAGAGAAATCGGACATCAAGATTTATATAAATATTTTCGTTCCAGGATGGTGACTCAGTGCCTACATAATGTTAAACTTGACCTGGACATCACAGTCTGCTTTAAAGATTTTGAGTGGATACTCTACAGGTGAAAACAAAATCAAGGATAAAGATCGATGATAGATGAGAAAATAAAAGGCGGAAGGAGAGCGCACAACGCGAGATGTTTTACGACTACCACACAGAAGCTACTTCAAGTCAATTGACCATTACATAATTTGTAGAGTTGTCTCCCACCCTGGAAACGTGCACAATTGAGTAGTAGGAGGAGGAAAACTTCCAATCCAATCATACCCCGAGTTATATTATCTATATTAATGTTCTATATAGTAAGAACTGCGCTCCTTAGGTCTAACAGATCAAGTCTTATTGCATGCCGATTTAGGCTGTAATCCGAGTACATAAAAGTTTATTACACTCTCAAATAGATTCGAAATTGTATATGCATCATCAAATATGCTTTCAATAATCCAGAAGAATGAAGTCATTGTCGCGAGCAGCCGTCGGAAGAAAACCCTTCCAGAAGCTACCTAGCTCTCGGTAATTCTTAATAGGTTCTTCAACAGTACAGTATCGAAATTACCTCTTTTTTGGCACTTCCAGCTTATCTGCGGGGCATCAAGAAGACTTCGAGAAGGTTGAGTCAATCGTTGCTATCAATGGCTCTTGATATTTGCGGTTCGCGCTAGTTTTGCTGTTGCTCCTCTACGTAAGTTGTGGTCGAGTTGACGGTGGAAGGAATGAAATCACAAATCGTTACCTTGGTGTATTGGTGCCCTACGAGAAATGCCAGTTATCAGTTACATTTTGCCCCATCAACCAGCCTTGCGCACAATGGCAATCTGAGCGGTAGCCTTGAGAGTGATCTTGCCCCCTTCCACTTTGTATCCAGGCTCGCTAGCCAGGAGCTCCTTATACTTGGCCACCGCCATATCCCACTTCTCATCATCTTCCTCGGTCCACCCGCCTTTAGGCTGGCCGACAGAGCTCCAGATCGCACGGGCAAATTCATCGAGGTCTTGGACCGGGAGCATGGCTGACTTCTCGTGCAGCTGTACATCCTCGAATTTGAATCCTCCCTTCACCAGGAGGCTTCTTATATACTCTCGATCGCTATGCTCCGGATGGGGTTCGATATTAAGCTGAGCACCGGGGCCCCAGATCGCCCGACGAGTCTTCTGGGCACATTCCCCTTGAGGAACGTGAAGCCAAAAAGCAGTCACAGCGGTGCCTCCTGGCCTGAGCGTACGATAGAGCTCCTTGGCCGCGGCGACCGGATCGTCGATGATGGGCAGGCCGAAGGATAGGAAGGCGTGTGAGAAAGTGGCATCCGGAAACGACAGATTCTGAGCATCCATGACCTCGGCTCTCGAAGGCCAGTTCTTGGCTTCGGCGAGATTGTTGTAGATGGCGGCCATGGGCGGGGCAAGATCTGTAGCAACGATCTTGATGGTATCAGGTGGTGACAAAGCCAGAATACTTTCCGTTACTGGCTCCAAGCCGCATGCAGAGTCGTGGATGACTGAGTCTGGAGGGAACACAGGAGCAGGAAGAAGAGTTATCACATGTTTGGCGATGGTGAGTGTCTCCTTGGCGCCGATGATTTCGAATAGCTTCTCATCGAAAGGCATTGCCTTTCTGGGGATGAAGCCAAGAGGGGCAGACATCTTGCTGAGCCTGCGATGGTGTGTTGTTGTGAGGAGGGGTTGGAAGGGGATGACAGTAAGCAGCAAAGGGAAAGTTGGTCACTAACCCCAATGTTTTTAGATTTGGTCAAATATAGATGAGACAAGGACTCAAGTTCTCTACTTATTTTCAGGCTTATTTAAGCCCCAGACTTTAGATAAAGGTATTGTTCAGAGTAAGCGGCCAATACATCCGAAGTGCATCAGAATCAACCAACCGCGCAACCAACGTTGTGAACTATTGCCCAACCAACGCATACCAAGGGAATGTTCCACCACTTTCGGCTGCTTCGGCATTCAAATAGTCTGCAGATTTCTCAGGCCAGTCATAACGACGGCCTTAAATTCGGCGGATCCGTTTGCCGGGCAAAATGCACCCTTTCTACACAAGCGATTGTGTTAAAGATGGCAACGAGTCGCCGCAACTAGCGAGAGGGCCATAACAATACTGTGATATTCTTCGCGAACAAAAGGATTTGGCCTTACCGCTCTTGTGTTGGTTTAGCCTAAGGTCTTTCAGCGGGTAATCGAACGTGGTCTTCACTCACGACACGTGTTACGTGACGAAGTGTAAGTTACGATGAAGCACTTGTGTGAGACTCTGACCTGAACCCGAAGATGAATTAGGCGCGCAATTTCTGCTCAAAAGATCATTAATGAGACGTACAATAATGACGAGGTACAGCAATGCTGGGTACAATTCCCTTTGCTAACGAGTGCTATGGATAGAATGTTTAGCGAATCGCTCAAGTAGGCATGTTTAAGTTGCGCAGAGATGTAGGATTTGATACATTATGACACCTACTTGATTCAACTATCTTTACATTTTGGACAATGACTTACGATCGCTGTCGTCCCTCTCACGTAGTACAGAGACCCTTGGGTATATACCTACTTGGGGAGAGTCAGCTGTTGTGGGTACCGTCCGCACTTATGTAGGTGTCTACGTTGGGCAACTCGGCCAAAAAATCATGGCTTAACGGAATTGCGTGCTCAGCTCTATCAGCACGCCATTTAGAAGCAAATCCTTTTCTCTGGTCATATGATCAATGTCACGGCCACATTGCGGTAATGCGCATTTCGCATGGTCGACACTTCTGCCTCGCCGACCCAATTTTCCACGTCCATTCTCCAAGCCGTCAGCTATGGCATCAACTATGGAAAAACATCCGCAGCAGACCCTGAAGTCGGTCGAAGTGCATTCCCGAAACGACGCTGATGCCGCTCTGGAGATGTTGCGAGGGCATGGCTCGCAAACAGAAATCCTTGATCCAGAAAAGCACAGAAACCTTGTCCGGCGTATTGATCTGCACATCATGCCTTTGATTTGCATAGTTTATTGTGAGTTGGCCGCAACTATTAATATCGTTCATTTTGCTAATGTGTATTATAGTTCTTCAGTATCTTGACAAGATCGCCATTTCTTATGCGAGTGTTACCGGCATTAAATTGTCTGCCCACCTGCAAGGCAATGAGTTCAACTGGATAGCGAGCATATTCTTCTTTGGGCAGCTCGCTTTCGAGTTTCCCACCATCCGCCTGATCCAACTGTTCCCCTTGGCTAAGTACGTCGCCGTCAATGTTACCATCTGGGGCGGCATTCTGGCTTGTCTTGCGGCATGCAAGTCTTTCGCGACTCTCATGGTCTGTCGCGCCATCCTCGGCATGGCTGAAGCTGCAGTCGTGCCGGCCTGGGTTGTCTTTACATCCCAATGGTATCGTAAGGAGGAGCAGGCTTTTCGCGTCGGCATCTGGTTCTCTATGTGCGGTTTCGCGCAACTCTTGGGCGGTTGTTTCTCCTATGGAGTTGCTAACCACGTCGGGGGCGACGTAAACGCGGCTCTTCGAGGCTGGCAGGTCATTTTCCTATTCCTGGGCTTATTGACCTCCGTAGTCGGCATTATTTTCTGGTTCGTGCTTCCGGATTCACCTCTCTCAGCCAAGTTCCTATCCGCCGAGGAGAAAGCGCTGCACGCAGAACGCATGCGAGAGAATGAACAAGGCATCGGAAACCGCATATTCAAATGGAACCAATTCTGGGAAGCCGTTAGGGACCCCAACACCTGGCTTTACGCCTTTTGGATCTTCGCTGCCAACATCCCCAACTCGATAGCAACAAGCTTCGGCAATATCCTTGTCACAGGAATGGGCTACACCAGCAAGGAAAGCCTGCTACTTGTGACGCCCCTTGGTGCCTATGAGATTGTTGTGTTGATCGGTCTCACATACCTCGCGAGCAAGACCGGCCAACGCCTGTGGATCTGCATCGCAGGCCACATACCCTCCATCGTCGGTGCGATCCTAATGGCAACAACGAACAAAGTTCCCGCCCTTATAGGATTCTATCTAAGTGGAGGCATCCCCATCGGCTGGACAACCATCCTTGCATTACAAAGCACAAATGTGGCGGGATCAACCAAGAAAATAACCGTCACTTGCATCGGAACCATCGCATATACCGTTGGAAACATTATCTCGCCTCAGACTTTCCAGAGCAAAGATGCTCCAAGGTACATGCCTGCAAAAATATCTATCTGCATCCTTTACGTTTTGATTACGATCGATCTGTACCTGATTCGCCTGTTGGCGGTGAGGGAGAACAAGCGAAGAGATCGGGAGAGAGAAGCATTGGGAAATAATTATGTGGTGGAGAAGAACCACGAATTCTTGGACCTTACAGATCGAGAGAACAAAGAGTTCAGGTATGCGGTGTAATAGTCTACGATAGCACGGCACGGCACGGCTATAGAACATCGTACAAATGATTTTCTTGAACTTACATGAGAGTCTCCAATACAAAACAAATTGTTTCATGAGTTACACGGGGACAAGGGGGGACCCGGAAGAAGATCAAAGCTTCGTCGCATTTACTCTCAGCTTGATGAGAGTCCAACAGTGGTTTAATGAAAATGCTTATTGATAAAATGAAAACTATATGCGTGATTCATGACCTTGGTTCTACATAGCCGCCGTCGTCGCGGGCATATTCGTAGAGTGCCACACTAAATTCACTGTCAGATGCAGCAGACCGAGACATCGTATCGTCCAGTATGTCGTAAGATGACCACCCAGCACCACTGCCACAAGGCTTAGATATCACCGGATTCTCGAGAGTCAACCCCTCGCATCCTTCCATGGGCGACCAAACAAATTTGTCTATGACCTTAATTATATCCCAAGATTCCGGGAGACTCGGAAACTTTTGCTGGACTTGTTCGCAATATCTCTTTCGAATCCAGTGGATTTTGCCGCCCTCTTCACAAACGGTGAGCATTATTTGACACATCTTGTGTATGCATGTATCTATGTGATGAAAGAATAAGCAGTCTCAAATCCAGGCTACTTGTTCTTTTATAGCATTTCATTATCTGTCTTGAGAGTGAGCCACAGAAAACGTGCTCCCTAGTCACTGTTAGATACTTAAGTGGCAGTGCAAGTGACTGGAAGGACGTCCATTCAGGATGAATTGGTCCCTTGCGCTATTTTATCAGATGCCAGCGGGGTTTTGACCTTGCCAGGCATTTTTATTATTTTTTGCTATATCGTGAATTGAGTTCAAGCTAAGTAAGAAGCTAGATTATGTTCACTTGGTAGCAATGATCTCGCATTTGACGGCGATTCTCAACGTTCTGCCTTTGCTTGTGATTATGGGCTTCTTCTGAGCTGTAAGCTTGATACCAAGTGGTGTATTGGCAGAGACTCGTCTAGTGTAATATCCTCCTCCAGCCAGCCCGTTTCTTTCCTGGGACAGTTTTCTCCATATCATCTTGCAACTTTGATTTCTCGTCAATACTTTGGTAGTCTTCGTCATCAGAGTCCAAATCGCGTGTTTCTCCAGACTTGAGCACAGTATTTGGCGTTGTCTCAGGCTGATTAAAAGTATGATTCATGGTCCCCGTGGCACGGCTGTAAGCCCCAAGAGTAGCCTGCGCTAGCATCTCCGGGAGCGATCGACCGACATCTTCCACGCCGATATCAATCAGGTAGTACTTCCAAAAGTCTTTTACGACTGGTGTGGCAGAGGCACGCACACTGTGGAAATCGCTCTCAAACCTTCCGGCGGACATCGGCTGGAAGTCACATGCCAGCGTCTCGAACGACAGGGCGTTTGTGTCGCATTTTCCTTGGCTCGGGACCTTCACTGCGCCGAAGCCCACCTGGAAGCCACCGATGGAGCCGATAAGTACAGCCAACCTCTCGCCGTCATCACGTTCGAAAACAATAACAACCGCTACTTGGCCTTCACTCTTTGGTAGGGGAAATGCCACTGGCCACTTGTTGGGTACCCAGCTTCGGGGTGACTGGCGCAATGAAAGGGGTTCTGGGATGTCTTTGGCGTTTTCAGCGGGCAGGAGGACCTTCACTACTCGGTAAGTCTCAGCAGAAGGACCGCTGCGGAGCTGGAGGATATGCTGCGGAAAGACGCCATCGTCGATAGGCGGTCGCTGGTCCTGACGCACATAGATGGTCTTCAGCTTCCCCTGGACTTGGACACTGCCAAACTGGCCAGCCTTGACACGGGCATAATGCTGGCCTTCCTTATCTTCTCTACCGGTGGATATCTTCTTCAGATATATCGCCAGGAAACTCGAGTCGGCGTAGTCTGGCGGGACAGGACAGTCGATAGTTGCCACGAATATGCCGTCTTTTCGTGCGGACAGATGCAGCTGGATACGAAGCCCTCGATTGGTCATGCTGTATGGCTCACGAGGATCCCCCCAGTCGTGGTACGGCAGTATGCCGTTGGAATGGGCAAATGCTGCCGGTGATGGCGCCAAGAGACCATGGAGCGCCTCGGGGTCTGCGTCCCGATTTACCCAGGCGAAAAGAGACTGGTCGTCGGATGTTTTCATAATCTCCTCCTGGAGCCTAAGAAACGCCCGCTCACCACCTTCGCCGTAGAGCATCGGCATGTTGACTCCGAAAACTCCCATGAGGCAATATGCTGAGTCTTCAGGCCGCGTTGTCTGTCGGCGCGCCATCCACGACATCCTCTTAGCGATGCTTGCAGATTCGATCGGCCGCTCGCCCGCCATGATGGTCGCATCAATTCCCGTGATTTCTGCGAGGAAAGGGCTGATAGCTCTCTTCTCGCCAAGGCTGACCCAGTTCTTTGTGAAGAAGATCAAATTTGCTGGCGCGAGGAGCTCTTGCAACGTCCATCCGCGAGTGAACCATCTGCTAGCTGCGAAAGAATCCTTTTTCTCGGGCGAGCCGAGGCTATCCCAGTTGAAGTCCTCGATGAAGGCGTAGCACGCTTTTGACATCTCGTACCAGATATACATGGAGTTTATGGCCTCGGACAATTCAGCACTGCTGCTCTTGTCTATACAACATGTGTCTATCCAGATATACTCATATCCATCGCTGCGGGCCTGGTGGCAAGCGCCTTGAACCTTGCGCAGTGAATTTGGGTTCTTGGTCCACTCGGTGCCGTGAACAATGTCTTCGTAAATCACTTCATTCGGACCCCATGTGTGCGACAGAATTGCATATCGCACGTTGTCTTTCCGCAGCTCCTCCGGAGTCTTCTCTACCAACTTCTGGGTGGTGGTGTGAAGAAGTCGCATTTTTGGGGGTTCTTGCGAAGTTGTTTCCCGGGTTTTCGATATAGACTCAACTCACACGCTGGGGATCTTGATAACCAGCGTAGGTCTTAAGTGAGCTATACGCAGTCCCACTTGAGGCTCTCGGTTCCAAAACAGCAGCTCGCTTTAATCGACCGGCAGTGTGGGCTGGTTTGGGAAATCGCTGCGGCGCGTCAGCCTCAGCTGGCCCGCCAATACCAAACCCTTGCTCAGTCACGTTGCAGGGTTGCAGCATCCTGCGTGATCCTTCGACTGTGTAGTGTGTGTTGTGCAACATCTAATACAACCTCGCGTGAAGGATTCGCCCTCCTTAAATTGCACAGGCACCACTTTCAACGAGGTACCACAGCATCCCACAGCCTCCCTCAGCCTGGAGGGTGGCCAGGTCAGAAGATCTCTTCCGCCAGCTATGCCAATGCAGGAATGGTTCATGTGGCCTATGTACTTTGGAGCTGGTGTGTCCACTCTTGGCCGTTGTCATAGTATTACTTTTTGGAATGGCCCAGCTATTGCAGGGTTGTTTTGCCTCAAGCACCAGATTATTGTTGCCTGAATTGAGACCCCAATGTCACGCATGGTTCAGCTTATGCATGCTACGGATTCAAACTGTGTTACACTGCAGCCTCTTGAAGGATGCGTAGAAGCTGGTATTGATAAAACAATGCGTCGGCTAACTCCAGGCGTTCTGGTACCAGTCTTCTCGATATCACAACAACATCATCAGTCTCGACAAGATCAATAGTAATCAGACACCAAATATCAACCCTAAATTGTCAGAGAAGGAGAGACAAAAGCTTCAGTACAATGACCACAGAGAAACCACAGCAGGTGGCTGAAGTCGATGCAAATGGGCCTCAGGCTCAAGAATCGCAGCATCCTGACCTACCACAAAATCTGCCCGTTGAACATGAGACGAGGCGTGCACAAGACCAGGTTTTGCCTGCGGGTTTGATACAGGTAGAAGAACAGACACCGTAAGTTCCATCTTCTCGGCGGTCCCCAATCTTCACCCTGACCTCATTTATTGACGAGCTCCTGCCAGACCACCTGTCCCAGAAAAAGTCGTGACGCCTCCTGCCAAGAACCCGCATATGGAGATGCCTCCGATCTACGCAGAACCCGAGCCGCAGATGGTGACACCTCTGTCCAGACTGACAGCAACGCCAACGTATATCGACTGCCCCTTCTGCATGCAACGGGCCCAGACGAACGTGTCTAAAGAGGGAACTTCAATGCAGACCATGGCAGCGGCTCTGTGCTGCCTGTTCTGTGTGTGTGCCGTATGCGTCCCATACATGTGTCACTGGTTTGAGGACACCCACATCTACTGCTCGAGATGTAAGGCGAGAGTCGCGACCATACCGCATGATGGGCACATAAACATATACCGACCGACTGACCCAGCAATGGTCGCGACAATCTACCAATAGCCACCTTAGAGAATATTGTGGGGGTGAGCTGAGACCGAGAATAGGTTGGGCTTTTATATTCGAGTTCCTTGGGAACAAGGCATTACATGTGAATACAGCCGTGCTTCCAAAGGGTAATTTACGCACCCACTCAAAGCAGCGCTTGGATATTTTAAACTGGATACCACATATACCTAACAGGCCCTTACATTAATGAATACATGATTTCCTTTTTTGTTAACAAAAAAATCCCTATTTGATTTTCGTCTTTCATCGGAAAGCTCTCTGAGTTAATACCTTAAGATGAAGGCACGCTGGTGAGGCATCATGAGGAAGATGTCTACAGTGTTTTGATTGTTGTGTATCAAGCCTATCCGTAAAGCTTTCATAAAGTCTCTTTTCAGCCAGTGGGCAGCTCATCAGGAATGTCTACATAACTCAGCATGGGTTCTGATTACTTCCGGAAAGCTTCCAAAAGTCTCTAGCGACTTCATCTTCAGAAACCAAGGAAAGACTTGTTTCGCCCCTTGTGACCCGGCTCGAACCACACATGCACCGCGGGCGAGTTTCCAACAACTCCGGGCGCGCATCACTCTTCTCCATTGGAAGTTTCAACGCTTTTACTTCAGCCAATGTCTCATAAAGTTTCCATACCTCTTTGAAACATCTCTCGTCAGGCAGCCAGCTCTTTTTTCGAGCTTGCGCTGACAATGATTTCACACAGGCCAAGCTTTCGCATTCATTCTGTATTTACCAGGTTCAAGTCGACTGGGTCGGAGGCTTCGACGTGAAGCCTGCGAAGCTGTTAGAACTCCCTCGTTAATATCAGATTTCTCTGCTGGTTTTCATGTGTGGCCCAGAAGAGTAGATTGTAATGCAACCGACGTACCTGGGACACTGCAGATGCTCTTGTTCTCATCTTCCTCCTCAGCTTGGTCATCTGTCTCGCCACTGGGTGGAGATGCCTTGTTGCGAGGTTTGAAGGTGTGATTTAATTCAGTCTGACGGGGCCCAGTCTCCGGCTCTCTTGACGAAGCAAACGGCACAGTGTTCCGTCCAAAGCTCTTTCCGGGGGCACTCATGACCGACTTGCGAGATCTTCCAGAAGGCCTAGTCCGCATAATCTCGAAAAGGTTATCGTCGTCATCATCATCGGCATCATCATGTTCATCGTCCTCGTCATCTTTGGTGTGGTTCTGAACGAAGTCCGATTCATCATCATCGCCTGTCAACTCGATGCTCTGAACTCTCTTCCGTTTCATCACGGGAGCAGCAAGTCTGAGCTTGTTTCTTGCCTCATGAGAAATTGCGGGGATAGATGTGTTCGACTCATCGCTAGACTCGTGAGTATCGTCATTGGATCGGTAGCTGGTGATGTGATTCTTTTTGCATGGCGCAGCCTTCTTCTGATTAGCAAGCCGCTAGTACGCACTGGAAATAAGACATGTTTTGGCAATTATCGCAACAACTTTGCTGGAGAGGCTTACTGGAGTCGTGGCTAAAGTGGGTGGTGAGCTGGGGTACTCAGAAGTGGGAGATGCCTGGAGTCCAGCTTCAGGGACGGCTATGCCATACTGCTCCCTGATTGCTGAAAGCTTCTCTTGATGCTTGGCCCTGATAGGATTCATTCGGACCTCGTGAAGCCGTGTGATCTCGTCCAACTCATTCTTTTCCTGCTGTTCAAGGTCGAGACATGCTTGCTCCTTCTTGTCTCTGTACTTTGCCTTGATTTCCAGGCACTTCAGGTCGCGAACAGCCTCAGCAGTCTTGATCTGTGCCAAGCACTCCTTCTCAACCAGTCGAACAATGGTCAATTTCTTTTGGTCGCAAGTTGGAGAAGCCATCTTGGGACCAGCGCAGGGGCGAGCTCAATCCGGTTTGTTTGGGATGATTGGGCCTGTCGAGGCAAGGAGGGCAGGGTAATGGGTGGAAAAGCGCGAGGGGAGGAAGAAGGGGGGGACAGTTGAAAAAGGGCAAGTTGTAGGCAGCAGATTGTGCGAAGGCTTTAATTTTGGTTGCACCTTCCGGTTTGATGGGATAGGAGTGGGCCCAGTGTGAAAGAACCCCGTAGATGGAAAGCAGGGAAGATATGGAGGATTATGAGAGCTTTTTGTCCTGGGAAAGGGTGAAAGTAAGAAGTCCCTTGGGGAGGTGGGTAGTCAGCTACAAATTTGAAGATAGCAGCTTCGCTGGGAAACACAAGATAAGCCCTGGAAACAGCTCTGCTTGCTGGGTCACTGAGACTCGAGTTCTCGATGTTTTAGGTAAGAACAAACCACGACTTTGTTCTTGTAAGTATGTTTCCTAACGTAAACCAATTATTCTTCTAATAACTTTCACACTACAAGTACCATTTAAAACCTTTCTCTTGGACCTAAAGAACACCTAAGGCCTTGGGAAAGCTATCTCACTGTTGTAGGGCTTTTGAATACTGGCACTCGATGGTACACGACATGTAACAAGGCAGCAGTTCAGATGATTCCACAAAAGTTAACCCGCAGCAGAACAGTCAGCTTATTGCCACCAGGGCTTACAGATTTGCAGGAATTTGTATCTGTCAATCCCATGAACCATGATATTGGAAATTTATAGTCGTGAACAGAATCAAGACAGGCAATGGAATGAAGCAAGCCCAGGATCATTAGATTTTCTCTGGAGTCAGGGTCATAAAGGCGCATACTCAGGACATACTACTCAGAGAGTACGCAAAGTCCTGTTGATGCGTCAGAGGCTCTTGAATGACCGCTTTTAAATCACACTCATTTCTATTACAAGCCTTTCTTTTTGTTTGAAACAATGCGCGGCTGGGAAAGCTGAGAGGCGCTGCCCAATCAAACAAAAGAATTACTATCCTGGTTTCATTGCTTGCTTCCAACATATCTGCGCAGAAAATACTGAGATTTGTATCTGTAATCGAGGCTACAAACAACACTTTTTAATGCTGTTGCTTTCACATTCTGTTCTCAAATACATATTCATACATTTGTAATGTGTTCTTGTTGAGTTTGAGGCATACATTACATGATAGGCACGGTTATGCAGAAGGCTTCTTGGCAGGCTTTCTCTGTCCCCGCTTGACCCGATGCTACAGTACCAACATCTTCTGGCCAACGACTTCTCAATGAGCTGAAGGCAGGCGACACAAGATACTTAGCGGCTGGCCGGTCCCAGTACAGATTCATTGTACACGCATAAGTATCCAGCAGCAGGTTCAAGTCACCTTTGTGCCTGATAACAGGAGCTCAACATCTCCAATGATCATCGCTTCAGACAGCCATAATCAAGAGCTACTCTAAACTCTCGTACCGACGTTTCTGTGGCTACAAACAACATGATGAATTCAGACAACGGGCGTGATAGAAACTACAAACAAATTATCATCATAGGTACCAGACGACCACATCCAGAAGACATGTTGGCTGAAAGTGGGAAGCTGATAATACCAAGGTGGAGGTGCAATCGGATGCTGCGCAGCATACTACCTGTCTCGACACCCTTCTTACAACCCAGATCAACACCGTATCATACTTCTTGAGGCGACCAAGATTGCTGGAGGTTCGTCTGGCAAGGGGGCGGGCTGCCTTGGAGAATGGGCTGATCCCGCCTGTCTGGCACCAGCGAGCTTTGAACTACATGCACAACTCGCTAGGGAGCACGACGGCGAGAAGACCTGGGGCTACCGGAAATGCGATTCCGCCGATTGCGATGCGGTAGAGAGACATATGGACGATCCAGATGCAGACACGCGAGTCCCAGAAACTCTGGACTGGGTCGACCATGCCGTCTTCAAATGGTACAAACCACTGGGAAAGACTGCCCAGTGCCATCCGTATCTGTTTACAACCTCTTTGGCTAGACTAGCAGAGGAGAGAGGAGTACGTTTTGTCGAAGGAAGTGCGGAGGCAATTGTGTACTCGAATACGCGAGATGAGGTCCAGTCGGTCACATATCGTGACAAGAATTCTGGAAGGGAGCAACAGCTTCCTGCGACGAACGTCGTCCTTGCAGCCGGTCCATGGACGCAGAGGCTCCTCCCAGAAGCACCAATAGGCGGCGAACGGAGCCACAGCGTCGTGATTGATCCTGGACGAGACGTGTCGCCAACAATAATCTTTTTTGATGCAGGCCACATCGTCCCTGGTGATACGAAAAACCAGTTGGAGGTCTACCCCCGCCCGGATAAAACCGTCTACATGTGCGGACAAACAGACTATGGCGCAACTCTCCCTGCAACCACCGATGAGGTGGAAGTCAATACAAATCTCTGTCAGGAGCTGATGGAAAATATCGCCATCGTCTCCCCAGACTTTGCCAAAAGTCAGGTACTTATAAAGCAGGCCTGCTTCAGACCGATCGTGAACTTGGAGGGTCGTGATCCCGAGCTAGGCCCTCTGCTGGGCTTCACCGGGATCAAAGGCCTTGTCTTAGCAGCCGGTCACAATCAGTGGGGAATTAACAACTCGCCTATCACAGGTAAGATTATCAGCGAGTTGGTGTTCGACGGACGGGCAACGAGTGCAGATATCAGCGAGTTGGATCCACAGGACTGTCTAATTTTCAAGTAGTCTTGGTGTCTTAGGTGAGGCGACCAATGTCAAGGTTTCTCACCAGATCTATAGCGCACCCAGATTAACCAAGACAACGTTGCCCGGGCCCAGGAGCGTCCCATTCACCGCACCCTCCAGTCCACCCGCAGTGGTGACATATAGCTGGCCCTCAGGCCCAAACTGACAAGCCGTGCTACTCGCGAGCTCTAAATCCCCAAGACTCCCAGCCACAGTCTCGATACCCCCATCCAAAGCAACGTGAACGACAGTGTTGTTGGCACCCGTAGTGAGGTAGACACTCCCATCATCAAGCAGCGCGAAATCATCGGGATTCAAACCGCCTGCGATGATCTCCACGGGCGCATCGGCAGGGAGCTTCTCGGCAGTGACAGAAGAGACGGGCACGCGCGCTAGCAGACCCTGATCGGTCGACGTATAGTAGACAAAGGTCTCCTCGCTGTCCCTGGGCCTATAAACTTTTACACCATTAACCCCGTTTGATTCAACGGGCGCCATCGTCGGGTCCGCAAGGGCTACCGTCGCCTCGCCGGTGTCGAGGTCGACCTTCCAGATCAGCCCCATAGTGCTGTCAGCTGCGAGGACGGTGCGGTCATCCCATCTCGCCAGGCCGTTGACCAGGCCCATCTGCGGGACGGCCGCGGCCTGCGTCACGCTGGCAGAGCCGTCTTCGGAGAATGTGAGATTCCACAGCACGGAGGAGTTAGGCTGCACGAAGGTGGAGAAGTTGGCGCTCGCAACGATGAAGGTGTCAGGCGATGATATGAGCTGTGTGATACCAATCAGGCCGGAGGTCTCAGTGATGTTGGCGAGGAGGGTGCCTTCGTGAGTGGTTGGGTCGATGGACCAGATCTGAGGGACGTCGAGGCGGGTTGTGATTATGGTGTTTGTTGATGGGCGGTATGCGAGGTTCTCGAACCACGAGGGGATGGAAGGCAGGGAGAAAACGGTTTCGACAGAGGGAGTTGTCGAAGCCCCATGGTTAAACTGAGGGTATGTGGCAGCGACGGCTGCTTGCATGAGCAACGAACAGTATGCTATACGAGGCTTCATGATCCAAGTTTGGGAATGAAGGCTTTAGAAGACTTGTTGTGCTAACCTTACCTCAAGGACCTGGACCATATGAGGTGGTCTACGGGGTGCCCATCTTATATAAGACCCTGTACGCCTCGACTTCACGACTTGAACTACACCGTCGGCAGTGAACCAAAAGGGGCAAACGGCCCGAGATGATCATTACTGCTGGCTGTCTTTGGTTTGAAGATCCGAGAAGGACGTGACGATATTTACTAGAGTATAGCTTTCAGAGAATCTGTCAGCACGGCGAGCCTGATTAGGCAGTGTGGCTGGGTAACTAACAACGACATTGTGACCCAAGCCTTAGCAACATAGATTTGACCGCCAGATGGCTTCGCAATTTCACTCTAGCGCAGCCAGCTCGAGATCCTTCGTCGCCCCGACTGACTCACCCGGAGCTTCAACAGGGGACCCGCAATTCCCGATACCGAGGTTGGCAGTGGGAGACGGGCCGTGCCGGGGCTGGTTTGGCGAGGTAGCAGATCGGCGCCGTGGCGCCTGGGCGCATACGCGAGAAAAGTTAAAGTGCATCGGAGAATAAATACGCGTTGCTAACGTGTCAGCGTCGCGAATAAATATTCTCTGTGTGCAAACACCCGGCGCACTATCAAAGAACGGTGGGGCATGAAGGAATGTGCCGATCTGAAAGCGAAGATCGTCAGACCTTGATACCATCCCTCGACAAACTATCAGGTACTCCCGCCCTTGGGAATTATTAGTTTTGCCGCAGCAGCATGCGCATGTCACCGAAAAACCCAGTTCTGAACTCAGGTGCAGCCAACACCAAAGACTGATCCAATTGACAAAGCCAGAGCTCATTCATCACATCGCATGAATCCATGCCCGCGAGTAATTCTTGATGAATGATTAGATGGAATGTGCATTACGTGTCCCGTAGATGTTCTCTGAGCATCTGGTTCGTATTGGTGTGCTAATAACGGTAGCCGTTCCCAACATGTAGATCATGTCTTGCCGAGGACGTCATTTTAGGGAAAGCTGAGCAGGACAAGACGTGATCCATAGCTTTAAAAAGATGCACGTTGAACGGCAGCTAGGCAGCTGTTTTCTCAAATACCACGGCAAATAACTCCGCATAACAAACATCTATGCGGAGTTCGCAGAAAACCGACCCTTGGGAGCTGCCGAGAGCGAGTACTCAGTGCACAGATCGCATACTGCTCAACGGCGGGAGGAAGGCGGCAGATGAATGTGTAGATTGAAATCGAAGGCGTTCGGATGGACGACCGGCTCGGCTTGACACTTTTTCAATCCGGCTATTGTCCGCGTACTGTAGGATTGGAGGCCAGGGAGTCTCCTTGGAGTCGAAGGTCAAGTAGCACTTGTATTACAGATGACAGGATTTAAAGCAGGAACTTTGCTGGCGGTGAAAGACGTGTTGTGAGTGCCGTCCCATCTCGGTGCGCCAGTTCAGAGCTGACCAGCACAGTGGTCACGTTTGTGCCGTCCGAATTTGTGCGACAAGGCCAACCACGGTTGCGTTGTTGCATGTGTTCCAGTCATTCAGCCTCGTCGCAACCACGGCCGTATCACTCGGCCTGGGGAGTTGTAGTGTAGCTCGCGACGAGCTAGTGTCCCTCATACTGTGGTTGATATCTGCTCCGGTCTGGTTTCTCCAGTACAGATGTCGCCAGACAGCTGCTGACAATGCTAGACTACAGAGTAGAGTGCCTGAGTGATCCTAACTGGTACGGATGAGGTCAGATCTGGATCTGGCACATTAAGCAAGGTGGCTGCCAGGCTGCATGCCGAGGGCGGGCTGCGGGAGTCGATTCGAAACAATTCATGCATTTCCCCCTTAAGCTTAAAGCGCACCCCGACGCCCCAGCCGCGGGATGGTGGCACATTTCACCCGGGAAGCGGTGGCTTTGAAACAATGTTGCAGACTTTTTGACAAGACGGGACAATAGTTTGCAGGGCTTCGCCATGTGTGGATTGGAACCTCGGGCGCTTGGCCATGTAGGGAGCAAGGGATGAATGAATGGCCACGTTGGGGTTGTTGAGTTTGGGTGCATGTGAAGGGTCAGGTCAGGTCATTTAACAGTAGCTGACTGAACCTTCTCTCAACGGGCTTGGAGAAAGTGCCGATGGGGGGAGATCTGTGCACCGTATAAAGCCAGAACGGAGTTCCAGTTACTGCATTTCTCTTTTGAGCAAAGGCAAGTCCCTTTTTTCTTGACGGTTGTTGATCCTTCATTTTGTTTTCTGCCCGTCGAACCGAGCAGGTGTCGTCGTAAGTGCCCCATAAAACCTCTCCATTCGCGACAGACTCAATTCCACCGCGCCATCTTAGTTGGTACTGCGATCGAGGTACATGTACCTCGGGTACTTTGGATGAACGAACTTTATCGACTGACCGAGTGCTCGTCCCACAGCAGAGATTCTGTCCAACATCGGATTCGTTGTGCCCCGTTGCCCTGTTCTCGAACGAGGTGTCTCTCACTTTTCAGGGTTGGATCGAATTGTGAACTAGAAGAGAGGTGTGTATTCTGTCGTACAGAGAGACAGACAGACGGACAGACAGACAGACATACAAACCTGCTGTAATCACACGCACACAGAGCCAGAGAGGCACAGGAGACCTGGAGGGCCGGCTGCTGCCCACCTGTTTCACCAAAACCGGCAAGGAGGACCCGCTGCTTGAGGCGCCTGTGGGTGAGTGATCCTCGACCCCTGCCTAGGCCCGCTGGCCCCCGACCTTGGCCCCTTAGGAGATCCGCCTGCACACGGGTCGAGACCACCTGGGCACCTGCATGAGCCTTGTCTGTGCCCACACCTGGCGCGCGAGTCTTGTGTGTGTCTGTGTTTGTCTGTGTATCTGTGAGGTGTGCTTGCAGCTCCCTGGCTCCCCAAACCTTGGAACGTACCTCGACATGCCCACCATGTCTGCGCCGCTCCTTCGCAGACTTGCGCCGCCCCCCCAGCTGTCCCCAGAATTATCACAATAATCTACCACATTACGGCTGCACCTCCGTCTCTAAAATAGATCCATCCCCGGCCTGCCGTCAGCCGCTCCAGTCTGTCCATCCTCGCTAACCACCAGGATGCGTGTCCTGCAGCCACATGGCAGATTAAGTCCTGAGCATCACCATTCCTGACCCCGAAGCCGACGACCCTCTCCTCCTCGGTTCGAACCACCACATTTCCAAAACTTTACCCAACCGTGGTCCGGTTGCGACGAGCTGGCTCCCCGCCGTGTCTCCTTTTCAAAGGCGACATATCACACCGGCCGCATAGAACCCCAACCGCATGGCACTCGGCTCGCCCCTCCGTCCATCATGGTCAGCCGCCTCCCGAAGGACCATGTCTCCCGAAACTCTTCTCCCCAGCTTTGTCGCCGATGCGATATGGCCCGACCACAAGTCTCCCCTCCAGACTCATAGACTACACCCAACCTCGTATCTCGACGGCCTGCGAGGCGTGGCCAGCTTGATAGTTTTTTTCTGCCATTACACCGAGGAAAACCACCCATACTTGGTGCCCACGTACGGCCTCAACAAGGACGGCGAGTCGTCATGGCTGCAGTTGCCTCTTGTGAGGATAATCTTCAGCGGGCGACCCATGGTTCACATATTCTTTGTTATTTCGGGCTTCGTGCTCTCGTACAAACCACTCAAGGCTATACGCTCAAGAGAGCTGGAAAAATGTTACACTGCGCTATCCTCGTCCACTTTCCGGCGGCCATTCCGACTATTTGGGCCATGCCTGGTTTCGACGGCCATGGTAGCGGTGTTGATCCAATGCGGCTTCATGTACAGGCCTCTGCCGAGCCTCTGGAAGCAGTTTCTAGCCTGGATCGACGCAGTTTTCCACAGCATCACCTGGCCGTGGGCCTGGGACTTTGACCTTCGGCCTGCTTTCGACATCCACCTGTGGTCGATACCAATCGAGTTTGCCCACTCAATGCTGCTATTTCTGACTATCCTCATGGTTGCGAGGATGCGGACGCGGGCGCGCCTGGCGGTTGAGGTTTGCCTGATAGCCTATGCTGTCACATGTGGGAAGTGGGCGGCATTCGAGTTCTGGGCGGGCATGATGCTGGCCGACATACACATTAAGAGGACGGCACAACTGAAGCGCTACGAATCCATCGACTCCATATCACCCTCGTCGCCGGGCACATTACCGCGAATAATCGAGAACCCGATGCTGCACTACTGCGTGCACGGCACCATCTTCCTGGCCTGCATCTTCACCGGCGGCTGGCCCAACTTCGACGCGGACAGGTCGCCTGGCATCCGGTGGCTGCTGGCGCACACGCCCTCATCCTTCCCGCCAGTGGACAATGTGACGCCGCAGAAGTTCTGGTTCGCGGTGCAGGCGATAGCGATGGTCTGGACGTGTGGAGAACTCCATTTCGTCAAGGAGTTCCTTGAGGGCGAGTTCGCGCAGTACTTGGGGCACATCAGCTACGCGATATACATCGTGCACGGGCCGGTGCTGGAGTGTCTCCAGAGACAAGTGGCGGGGCATGTCTACGTTGCGCCCGTAGGAACACCCAAGCTGCAAGGCTACAGGCCCGAGATCCTCCCCAGTGGAGTCAAGGGGATGGTTGGGATCGACACTGCGATACAGAGGACGGTCTGCTGGGCTATGGGGCTGCTGCTTCTGGCGCCGATTGTAATCTGGGTAGCAGACTTATTTTGGAGATTAGTAGACATACCCATGGTCAGGCTGGCCAGAACGCTCGAGACACAAGTGCTCGACAATGACGTTGACCTGGGCGCGAGATCAAACGGCAACGCCCACTAGAAATGCATTTGTATAGTATTAATTAGCAAAAAAGACGCTGCGATTGTTACAGCTTGGCTCTTTCACGCTACAGCCATATTGCTATTTCAAAAGACGAACCGAAGCGAACATGCATGTGAAGCCGGCAGTCGGCCTTTGATCAATTTTGGGTTGTAAGACGGACCAACGACGAGCCATGTCCAGGCATCCCCAGACGCCGGTGTCAGAGCATAACCGGACCGGTTCTCGCAGGCCAGACACGGCACACGCAAGGTTCAGAGCCCTTATTCGCAGTCGAATCAGTCGCCACGTTCTTTTCGAACGCCGCAAACGCCGCATCGGACCAAAGGGGTGGTGGTGTGCCGACTGGAACGTGGTGTCTCGGGATATCGGGTGCGAGGCGGCTACGGCGACGGGGACCTCCTAGCGCTGACAGGCCAGGAAGCAAATGCCATGCAGCGGACCAGTCCACTATACACAAGCAGTTTAATGCGCTTCTTACTTACATAGATTAGCAGGTTGCAGGCCGTTCGTTCGTCTTTTGACTCCGCCTAGAAGGTGACATGTGACTTCGCGAACGCAGCAGTTCACCGCCCGCGACCTCGCATCCTGGATGAGTCACGCCTGGAAGGTCTGCGACCCGCGTCTCCGCGTCTCCCTCTTGTCCTGTCTGCTGCGAATGTCGGAGAACCTGACGTCCTCGCCCTCGCCGTCGAGTCACAGTCCTCAGGCAGCTCATGTCGCTTATTAATACCGGGAGGGCCAAGGCTGGATGTTGGTCATACCTCAACTCTCAGGAAACCAAACCATCCCTCTTCCTGCTTGCCTCAGGCGTGAATTTCCTTTTACTTCTCTCAAGAACTTACATGCTCAACATCAACATCGACCGTTGCTCACCTGAACGGTCTTGGACCAGGATAGACCAATTGGACCGGACGTAGGATACCCCTCCCATATACACCCACTGCCCACCATGGACGCCAGCTGTCAGTGCGGTTCCGTCACCTTCAAGACGCCCCTTGAGAAGCCCCTCGCCCTATATATATGCCACTGCACAGAATGCAGGAGGCAGACTTCCTCGGCCTTTGGGACGTCGGCCATATTCCCGCGCTTCGCCCTGCCGGACGCCGAGCTGCTCAGTGTCTACAAGTGAGTTCCAAGCTGCCCCGTATTGCCTTTGCGTGGAGGAAGAGGAAGATGAATAAGTGTGAGTGTGAAGTGGCTTAAAAGAAACAACGAATAAAGGAGAAGGAGGAAGTGTGGACTGGATAAAGTGAAAGGAACAGACCGGCTGATACTTATATCCGTAGACGGCCCACCCATTCAGGGCAAACCCTCTACTGGTGAGTCCGGAGGACCTTGATGGCCATCCCCTCGGACCCCTTCCGGATTACTGATACGAAGACAACAGCTACTTCTGTAAGAATTGTGGCACGAGGCTCATCCACACCACACCGGTGAGGTCTCCCCTTTTAATTCTCTGGTCCCCTTTGATAAGCTGTCGCTATGTGGCACATACACGCCCCACCTGTTAGGTCATCTTGATCACACACTCTTTCCGTATATCCTGCATGTACTTACGTCTGGCTCATTCTAATGTGCCACCAATCGCAGAATAAGACCGTCGTCTCCGTAAAAGGGGGCTGCCTCGAGGGTTTGGACTGGGCCAAAGCAATTCACATCTGGACCAAGAGCGCTGTAAGCAATACTTTTTTTCTCTGCACGGAACCCTGACAGCATCAAGAACATATCACATGGCAGGCTGGTTCTTCTGCGCCGTCGAATGAGGGGAGGGGGTGGGAAACAAAACATCCGGGACAACGTGACATGCCCCGACATTCAACAAACCCATTGCCGTGCCTGCGCAGAAAGATGGCTCTGTTTACCATGAGTAACTAACTCACGCGTTTCAAAAGATGATCCCCATCCCGGAGGATGCAGAATCCTACGAGGAGTCCCAGACGACCGGGTACAGCGACTCGCAGGAGACGCTGGATCAGCCGGGGATGCTGGCCGGGTCGGGCGGCGTGGCCGGCGAGGACATCCGCGAGGTCCTCATGCGGGAGAGGCAGGCCAAGAAGAGCGCCGAGCTCGAGGGGTTGGGCGGGGTGGACGCGGATCTGGTGCGAGATATAGTTCACTGAAGTGAGGTGCACATAGTTCACTCAGGTGAGACGGGTGATCACAGGACTGGAGGGCTCAGGAAGGGCAAGAGCGTGCCCTACCGTCTTGTTCGTCCGGATCCCGTTTCTGTGTAATGGGGGACCGAAGCTGGTGGTTGTTCGGGGATCTTTTATCATCTACTTGATACCATTCAACACCGTTGAAAATTGCGAGGTGAAGTAGAATGAGCGCTGGGGCTGATTGAATCCAGGAACAAATAAATGAGGATGTATACGTGAACAACCAATATAATTTCATCAAGAACAGACATCCTCACATGCAGTAGAGATGAAAAGGGGGTGGGGGTTAAGTCTCTATACGCGACACCAGCTAGTCCGATGAACGGCTTTTTATATTTCCACGGGCCTACGTATATCTACCAACGAGCAAGAAGCGAAACCTTTGGTATTATCTCATAAAACACAACCGTTACAACCCCCAGGGTCAACAAGCTGAGCTGGGTATTACTAAAACACATATGCTTCGCTTCTCGAGCGTCTTCGGCCAACCCCCGTTGTTATTCTATCCACGATCTACGCCGCGGGCGCGTTGGTCTGCTGTACGAGGTTGCCCAGGCTTACTGCCGACTTCAGGGTCAACCCGCTCGTGTCGATATCCGGCTCGGCGGCATTGTTGGTACCCGGTGTCGCCTGGGGGGCGGCAGCTGCAGGTGGAGCGTTGACGGCGACAGGAGGTGTGGATTGGGCTGCGGCTGTGCTCTGTCCGGCGGCGCCGCCTAGGTTGATTGATGACTCTAGCGAAGAGGCGGGAGGCGCTAGGGATCAAGGTCAGCAACTAAGTTCATTAGTGGTAATGATTCCGAGAAGAGACTTACGAGAAGCAGCTGCAGGAGGCGGCGGTGGAGTGGCAGCGCTTGCTGGTGGCGCTGCTGCGGGAGGAGCACTTGCCGGCGGGGCCGCTGCAGGAGGAGGTGATGCCGCAGGAGTGTTCGCGGGGGCGGCGGCCGGCGGAGGGCTGTTTGCTGGTGGTGTCGCAGCCGCTGGCGGTGGAGCGTTGAGCGAGGGAGTCGTCGTGTGCAAGCTCGATGGGACAGCCACACTGATCACTCCTACACCGTTGCCATTCGAGTTGGCCTGCCCCGTGCCATTACTGGATCCTCCTGCGGCGGCGGCCGGGTTCTGCGCAGCCGGGTTGGCGGCGCAAGGCATGGTCAGGAACACAGTCTGCGTGACGGTCTCGGGGAGCAAGCTGATGATTTGCGTCGGGGCTGGGCCTTGAGCGAAGACGGTACTTGTGAGGAACTCGAAGGCGGGACTAAGGTCAAATGATCAGTACACATGAATCGAGCCTGAGGATGTATATGGGAATCCCAAGACTCACGCATTCGGGTTGGCAGCCGGAGCGGCCGCAGCATTGCCAGCGGAACTGTTCGATGCTGATCCAGCCTCCGGTGCGGCTGCTGCCGGTGCGGCTCCTGAAGCGGTGTTGTTCGATGCTCCCGCGGCGGCGGCAGGCTGGTTCGATTTCGAGGCGGCAGCCGCTGCTGTCACGGTCTCCTTTACTGTCTTGGTGACGGTCGCAGCCTGTCCGTTCCCTTTTGCCTTCCCCTTCCCCTTGCCGCCTTGGGCTGCCTCCAACGCTCCCAAGAGCCCCAACAGTCCTCCCGCTCCTGCGCCCTTGCCCTTAGCATTTCTTGCTTCTATGCCATTGCCAGCCCGTCGAATCTCATGTTGGAAGCCGCTCGCCTGTGAAACTGGTCAGCACCGGTGATTCCCAAGATACCACCGTCTTCGCCGGGTTTACGCACCGAGGCCAGTGACACATATCCTATTAGTAGCAGCAGATACTGCAGATGAACTCTCATCTTGAAGTCGAGACCAGCGAGGCTTCGCCTCAAGCGAGAACCCCTCTCAACCCGTGGTGAATTAAAGAACGGCGCAACAGACCAGCCGTTTTTTGTTGTCGGTTCGTGAATTCGTGGTTAAGAGTGTGTAATTCGAGAATGGGATCAACCCTCGGAGAAAGGAAGGTGGCGGTGATGATTACCGGGTGATGGAACGAGAGGAGAGCCAAGCCCAATAACTTCGTAGGCCCGGACCAGCGATGCGAACGAAAGATCGACCGGAGGAGAAGCGAAAAGGTTTGCCGAGATGGGATGGCCAAGGGTTTTGGGGGAATCGTATCTGGGCTGAAAGGAGGGATGGACGTGCAGGAAAGGCAGAAAGGAGTGTGCGTTACACTGGGTGGACCGATCTTGCGACTGGCAAGCCCTCACAGCATGGAACAGCAACCGGGCGGTTAGATGCCGTGTTCTCGCACCTCAGGCAAGTATACGTAATTAGCGGGCTCGGGGGGAACGAGGCGCCTCCGCTGGTCGAAACGACTGTGCCTGACAGAACTCAAAAGGAGCCCACAAGAGGATGACGAAGTGAAAGGTCCAGGTAAAGACTGATGCTCTCCCGAACGAAAAGATGGGATGAGATGAAAGTGGTGGAGACGCAAAAGGGGCGACTTGCGAGAGGGAGAAGAGAGAATAGGGCATCACAGCCAGGCAATAGTGGTCTGGATTTGGACCATCAGGCCATGGGGATGCCAGGACAAGAGATTACAAACCTGTGCAGACCCAAGACTCGATGCCTGGACACTCGTGAGGCTGTTTCGGCCAGGGTTGAAGACGAGGAAAGAGACGACTCCAAGACGGTGGCAGCGTCAAATGCTTGGTTTGACCCCCGCCGATTGCGAGCCCCATGCAACGGGCCAGTAGGAGATTTTTCCCTGGCGAGTGTCAGTCGCGGTACTGGGTAAGCTTATTGTTGCTAGATTGAGCCTCATTGACAAAAGGTGGAGGGGTGTGGCCTGGCCGGGGGTGGTGAGACAAGCCCCTGACGGCACATGTCTGAGGTTGGCCGTGGCGAAACACCAGCTCCTAGGTGGCCCGCCTGCGCTACCAGCAAGGGACGTGGGTGGTGGCTTCGCGACCGAGCAAGAGCGAGCGGGTAGCAGGCCCTTGGTAATGGCATGATCGTTATAATGGTTCTAAACGAGAAGCGAAAATCTTCATGCAAATCCAGAATAAGAACAAAATCAGTAAACAACGAGATCGTGACGGGCATCGCCAGAAACAAACAAAATCGTGCAATGTTTTCCTGTCAGGCGAGTAAGCACTGAGAGTTTAGTGAGATCTCGAAGTCTCGCACAGACCAGCGTTCGCGATCTCAACTCTGAGAGCATACGAAGGCGCAGTATGGTGTGCATTGTGCCTTGAGGCCATGCAGATGAGTTGGAGGCTAATTGACGGGATGATGAGGTGCGGGTTGGTACCGCCCACTGTACTGTCCTTCGACTGATGAGAACCGGCCAAGGCATTGGACAGGCGAGGTAGATGAGAGGGATTCTTGGGAGGTCATCTCTTGTATGGGATCCTGCGACTTTTGCTTGGATTTGGCTTGGCCGGGGGTAATCTTCTTGTCATCAGGAACGACTGGAGCACAGGAGGCGACGAGATCTGAGGAGCTGGGCTGGCTGGGCCGGCCTGGGCCGTACGATATTGCATAGGGCAGGAGAAAATCTGATGCAACGCTGATGGCGAGACCCTCAATCTGGAGGCCGTCTCTGCGGGTCAGGGGACCTGCCAAGAGACGAACTTGAGGTCGGTACACGAAGGCCTATGCAGTAATTGTGCCCCCAAGAGAATGCATGTCATGTGGTTAGGTAAGGAACGCATAGCCACGGAATGCATTTTGAAGGACAGAGCCCCAGCCCGTTGGCAAGTCATTGTCGGCACGGAGCAACAGGCCTGGAGAACCGAAGGTGTCCGAGTCCTCCGAGTCCGAGTCCGAAAGTGGTGACGATGATGATGTTGTTGAAGCGCAGGACAGCCAGCCTGACAGAACTGACAGCTTCCAGTGCGACTTGCTGTAGCACAGCCACGATACAACGTGCAGGCCTGAGTAGAAAGATACAGTACTATCCAACAAGAGGCCATCCTGCGGGAGATTGGAGGGTCCTCCACAAGAGGTTATTCCCAGGTAATTATCTTACAGGAGGTAACAGGTTACCCTATAAGACGTTATCCTATAGAAGGTTATCTCACAGGAGATGATCCTGAAGAAGATTGTCCAAGTGCCATGTACTGATCAAAGCGTGCCGGACATTTGGAGACAGGACCGGAGCCGAGCCGGGCTTACCAACACCAAGGGATAGCTACTAACAGCTTCTATGACGACAGTAAATCCTCTTGGCTCCATCGCTCCCAACGGTTCAACGACTTGCAAAATGACACCGACAATATAGGCCTTACTGACATTCTCAATAATGAGCAAACTCCCGGACATCTATAAACAATTCATGAATTCCCGTAAACATTTATCGGTTTCTTCTGTTGCCGAAACGTCTGTGAAACGTCTGCTCATGATAGGACAGTCAAGGTGAAGGAAAGACTCGACCCAGCCTACACCCGTTGACCTAGCTTCATTCCTCAAAGTAAACACAAGCCTTTCGGCATCACCAACTTTGTCTGTAGCCCCATATCGTTGCCAAGGGAAGACAGCCAAGATGGCGGGCACCGTCCATGTTCTGGACGACTACTACCTCGCCATCACCCTCCTCATTACAGTGGCATATCAGCTCTTCTTCTTCGCCATAGCCTTCACATTCAAGTTCGACAAGCTCACAGGTACTGGCTCTCGTTCTCACTCTTTCAATCACCAGAGACACCAACTGACGTGATATCTCAGACTTCGCTGGCGGGACCAACTTCGTCGTCCTCGCCATAATAACCCTCGCCTTCTCAGGGCCGAGCCCGCATGCCCGGCAGATCGTCCCCTCCATCTTCATCATGCTGTGGGGGGTGCGGCTGTCGGGTTTCCTGCTCTTCCGTATCCTCAAGACGGGAAAGGATGATCGCTTCGACGACAAGCGCGACAAGTTCTTCCCGTTTCTCGGCTTCTGGGTCTTCCAGATGATCTGGGTCTGGGTCGTCTCCCTGCCCGTCACGCTCATCAACTCGCCCGCGGTGAGGCAGTACCCCTTCATCGGCTTCGGCACGGGCAGGGACATCGTCGGCATCATCATGTTCGCCGTCGGCTTCGTCATGGAGAGCGTTAGCGATGCCGAGAAGTACAGGTTCAGGAGCACGCAGGACAAGAGCGCCGTGTGCGACAAGGGGTTCTGGGGCTGGAGCCGGCATCCGAATTACTTTGGCGAGATCATCATCCAGTTCGGTAGGTTCAGACGCTATCTCCGTCTCATCTCTTGGCTTTACCCCATTTTAGAGTTTGCGCCCGCTGACAGTTATGCCCAGCCATCTATATGATCGCCGTGTCCTCTGCAGCCGACGGGTTCGTCCGAGGGCAGGCCTACAACGCCCTTTATGCCTCGATTTTGGGACCGATACTTCTCACCGTGCTGCTCATGTTCGTCTCCGGCCTGCCACTCTCCGAGAGGCCTGGTGCGAAGAAGCGGTATGAGAAAGGTACCAACTGGGACGGGTACAAGCGCTATCTCGACCGCACCAGCATCTTGATCCCGTTCCCACCACAGTTGTATGCAAGAATGCCTGTATTCCTGAAGCGGACGGTATTCTTGGAATTCCCAATGTATGTGTTCGATCCCGCGAAGCATGCGGACGGTCCTCCTGGCCAGAGCGCAGCGGAAGAAGGCAGGGGTGAGCAGGTGGGAAAGCCAAGCCAAGCGACTGAGAGGGGCCAGAGCACCGATGGATTGACAGGCGAATCACGCCAAGGTTGAAGGGAAGGGCAGTTATGGTGATGATCTCACTTGTCACTGCTTGTAATCTGCGGCTGGATCAGTGCTTGACCGTTCCTGACTCGCACAATCGTAATGTTAATGAAATAGACCAGTATGTCAAATGGCGATAATACAGTCAGTAAAATATGAGATTCAACTCTCAGCGTGATGCAAGAAGTGGTGACTCCAGCCTCCACGTATTTGTGCTTTCGCGTAAATCGTATTCAGGGGTATCATAGACTTTTCCGGGACGCCGTCCATGCAGATTTGCTCTACTCCATGAAGCTACTTCGAACTCTTCGTTGACTCCGACACTGCTTTCTTGTCAGCCAGCTTCATTTTCTTGGCTTGCCTCTTGCTCATGACCGGCAGCGAGGTTTGGTCACCACCGCCTCCATCATCCCCGCCGCCTTCATGTTTCCGCTTGCCGCCTTCATTTTTGCCCTTGGGTTGTTGCTGATTTTGGCCTTGCTGCTTCTTGCCAGTCTGATTCTTTTTATGGTCTCCGCCAGCGTCTTTGCCCTCAGTATCACGCCCTGGTATCTTGCCCTCGGAATCCACAATGTCCACAACACCCTTAAATGCCCTTCTCTTGAGTCCCTCGTTGACGACCACCGCCCGAGGCTTCACTCCGAGGCTCTCCAGGCCTTTCTCCGGGCCCAATCCCCAGACCGCGAGCAAGTTCACAACATCCGCCGGCGCCCTCAGGCTCCCCGCCCCCTTCCCCTCAGAGCTCAGCACGATCCCGCGCCCCCTGGTGGCTCTCAGCAGCTCGATGACGTTGGCGATCCACACGCTGCGCGCCCTCTGGTCACTGCTCCCGACCAGCTGGCCGTAGCATATCTCGAAGTAGACGCCCCTGTTCACCGCGGCCATGCAGGGTTTCGGCTTGAAGTGGAAGGGGAAGAACTGCGTCAGGTCCAGGCTGATCATGGAGATCTCTGACATGGTCGTGCACGCTGCCGAGAACGCCTTGTCCGTCGTGGGCCGGCACGCGAGGATGTCATAGGCGGCTGCCACCGAGGGGAGCCGGTAGTTGGTCGTGGGGTCGGAGACTATGACTGTGGCGCGGCGGAGGGTCGTGGGGAGCTTGCTCGCGGTGGCATCGTCGCTTGTGGGGTTGGGCGTGGAGGACGGTTGGTGGTGGTTGTGTTGCGGGAATGATGAATGGATAGGCCCAAGATGTGGTATAGGATTGTTGATCTGTGAGGGTATGGGTGCCGAGAAAGTGTGGTTTATGGCGACGACATTGTAGCCCAGCGAGGCGCTGAATTTGAGGGTGCGCTCAAGCTCAGAGGTCGGGGTCTGCGGCGTCCAGTGGATGTTAAGGTCATAGAGCATCGTGACGGTAGAACGAGCGTCTGGCCTATACAGACATATCAGGAATCTGTGGCTGTCGCAAGCAAAGTAATTGTTTGGGCTGAGAGAGATTGTGCAATATTTGGATATTGCGAGGCTGAAGAAGTGCCGTCAGCGGGGAGCTTTCAAAAAGTTCACTGATCTGCACCTGGACCCTTGCGGAGCTCCCTGTCAGTCATGGACCAGGCTCCCCTGCTACTGGGTCTTCATGACCGACTTCACCTCTGGACAACCCTAAATCAACCCCAAGCCAATACTGGAAGACTTTCTATATATTCTTGTTGAGGAGAGTGCCTGTGTTGACCCGTGGACTCAATTACTCTCACAGGATGAAACCTCTGCCTGTTTGAGATCCACAACCAGTAGCGGCGCCATATGAACCTGTTGTATCTCAGCATGGCACAATGTTGATATAGTGGTGAGAATAGAAAGAGCACAAATCCGCTACATATCTATCGTGATCCCAATCACGCCGACTGTATGTCTATGCTCCTTGTCCCACGCCGTAGCCTTTCTTGATTCTAGCCAGCATATCTGTAACGACCCATTTCTGCTGCTTCAACGTTGCCACAAAGACTGTGTATGGCTTCCTTGTAAGCAAGTGCATCACTAAGAAAGATAGTAAGATAATATCCTGACGTTGGAACACCGAACTTGACGCAGTACCTAGAATTTTGACCTCGCATCTGAACTGATGAGGTGGTAAGAGCTGTCACCTTGTTATTTCCTGTCGTGATGCAAAAAGTGACGCGGAGCATGCTTGCCCCACTGGCTACTGGCTCATGTCTTGTGCCCAGCATGAGACCCTGGACGATGACTTACAGTAGCGACCGCGGTCCCAAATGTGTCGCTCAGTGACAAGACTGCGGCGGACGAGATCGGCCCCTTGCGTCATTGGGTGCGTACAGGGTTAGGCGAAGCTTGCCACGCTCGCCTGGCGATTGTAATTCCTGTCGGGCTTGGGCTATCTTGGCACTAACTTCCAGTGGCCTGCCAGGCGACACAGCCTCAAACTCAGACGCGGCAAATTATCTGGTGACTGGGTGACTGGACATGCGAAACGGGTCCAACACGCAACAGACCTAAGAGGCAGCCAGCTTAACAACTTCGCCAACGATACCTACAATTGTCCCTCATTTCCTTCGGCCAACAGCATACCCACGCCTGCCATTTGACAGAGCATCTAGCAATACTCCTTGAGCCGTCACGACGTCACGACATCACGAGACCAATCTGAGCACCCAGCGCCTGTAATTAACGAGACCCCACAGCGGCCTTATACACTGCACTTGCCTCCTAGTTGTTTCTCAAACACAACACACCCTACGCCCAACTCTCACGATGTGTCTAATATTCACCTGTGGAGAACACACATTTCGCAAAGAAGTCGAAGGCTACCAGGGCGTCGTCTGCCAGTGCCACAACTGCGGCAACTACTCCGGCCATGTGATCAAGACGCACCCGTGGTTCACATTCTGCTTCATCGTAGGTTCTCAACACCCCTTCTCGCCCCCTTCATACCCGGCGTGCCCAATCCAATTGAACGACACTAACCACCCACCAGCCCGTGATACCTCTGTCTATGAAAGGTTACGAGGATGTCACATGCCACATCTGCAACTTCGCCCAGCCACTACAGGCCCGTCCTGATGTGCAGTCCATGAAGCGGGACGGCGAGGGAGGGGGCGTTCCGTTACAGCAGCAGCCTCCACCACAGCAGGGCCCGCCGCCGGGATGGAATGGGCAATCACCTCCACAGCCTGAACCAAATCAAGGGATGAGGTACGGATAGTCTTGTCTGGCAGGATTGGCAACGGCAGTCATTTGTTTCGGCAGGTGTGTGGTGCGGATGGAACGGCTCGGCCAAGATTGTGCCAAATGGTGGATGACCTGAACGGTAGCCCGATACGGAGTAAAATATGTCCAGTTGTGGTTGTGGTGGTCCGTTCCTAAGCTTTATAGTGGTCGCGAGGGCTGGTTTTGAGATTCTTTACAGGAGAATACCCCATACAAGTATTGTAATTTATGTATTTCGATGATTCGTCTATCAATCCTTGCGCAGGAACTTTTCTTACACACACATGGGCTGTAATCGCTTGCTCGTTCTTCGGATTGCTGAGATAGTCTTATGATTACCTCTTGGTAGACAATCCTGATATGCATAACAAGTTAAGCATGAGGCGCTGCAGGATCTCGACGGAGCCAAAGGCAATGCGAGATCTGCTAAATTCACTACTTTCTGAACTTTTGATATCAACATAAATAGCGATTCCAGGAATTCAAAAACTCGCGGTGGAGTCTGCACCATGACTCTCTGTTTTTACAGGGTAGCGTAGACTAGAGCATGGCTGCGATGGTATGGTCGGAGCGAGACCATTCTGCTACCCGTCAGAGACTTGTATCACCATTGCGAATGGTTCTTTGATTAATCGAAAGTATCAAACTCCTCTGATGTACGTGAATGCCTTCCCTGTATAGCAACCGGTCTTCCTGACTCTATCGTGGTGACCGCGTGTTTTGAAATGAGCGTGTCTCACTCCGCCACCACTCGAGCCTAACACAAGCCTCAAAACTTTCCGACAGACACATTTACACGCAAGTAATCCCATCTCAATCAATTACGTTGATAAGGCATGTTGTAGTGCTCATGAGATGCTCTAAGGCAAGCTCTGGGCGACCAAAGGCATGCTTCGCTTTCAAGCCCTAACCCTGTGGAAGGGCTGCATTCGAAAGTAGAGGCCCAAGCCGGGAAGCATGACGTCTGACCACAGAGCTCTTCAGGCGGCCGCCTTTGTGCAAGCTCCTCCCGCGACCTCTTTCGGCTCAGTCCGTCCACGACTCAAGAACTCGTTTACGAGGCTCCATGGGGAGCTAGAGCAATAATCGCATACGAATTGAATCACGATAAAAGAGAGGTTCAGCGGTTGGAAGAGAAGGTATCATTACACAGCTGGTCAACCATCGAAGACGAACCGACCAACCTGCCCCAGCACGCACGAGAACCTGGCGCCCGAGACATAATTGACAGTTGACAATCGGGACTATTCACAATGGCACCGCCCCAACGTCCTATGGTGCCGCGGCAGGACACCGGGGTGATGGCACCTCGGTCGGCCCTGGGCATGCAGAACATCTCTGTCGACCGCGTCCTCCGCCATTCCAGCGAGATCCCATCCGGCCAACCTCGCCTACAACCCATGCAAGGCTCTTCCCCCCAGCCCCAACCGGGCGCCATGGCATCCGTTCGAGCTGCGGCTCGCGCAGCAGCTCGTAGGGCGGGCGTGCCCGCGAACGCAATCATCACGCCACCCATTGCAGGCGCCGTGCCGGGCTCGCGAATAGCCGTCCCACAGAACGTCCCACAACGGACTACCAAGGTCAGCGAGAAGCTGGTCCTCATCCCAGACGCGCCTGATGACGACTCCCCCGAGGACGAAGATGTTGATGAGGCCTCGGCGAGGGAGGAGGAGAGGGCCAGGAGGCAGGCGTTCATCCAGCAAGAGGAGGACCGGCCGCTTCGGGACGAAGAGTTGGACGTCCTCAGGAAGCGAGGTGGAATCCGTGGAAAGAGCTACGCAGAGCGGCTACCGAAACGACAGCGAGCAGAGAAGCTGTCACGGCTGACAGCGTACTGCACGGCGCAGGGCTTCAAGATGAAGTCAACGGCCGAGTTCCTGCGGACGAAGCACGAGGCCAAGACAAAGCTCTATGACGACTGTCTGTACGTGGTCTACCACCTGCCATTGATGAACGGCACGGAAGGGTATCGCGTGCGCAGCAGGCCGATACTGAAGACACCGGGAACTGGAAAGACGGTGTTGGATCTTGAAATCGAGAGAAGCGAGAGGAGGGACGAGCACTATGGCTGGGCCAATGATGAATTCTCCGGAAGTCCAGGGGGGATATCATCGAGTCCGACGGATCTGCAGCCGATTACGAGCAACGGCTCGGATGAACGAGGCCGGGACATGGGACGGGAAGGCGACGAGGACCGCGCGTCCCTCAGTCCTATCAATCGACTGGCCCCTGACGCCAAAAACTTTGCCGAGATGTTTGTCTTCTCATACGGTGTTGTGGTCTTCTGGAACTTCTCGGAGCACCAGGAGAAGGACATACTGGGCGACCTCACATTCGCCGAGAGCGAGAAGGGCATCTCGCTTGCCACGAGGCCGTTCGAGCCTGGCAATTACGAAACGGAAGAGTTCCACTTTGAGTACTCGGCCGACATCAAACACCCTCGCATCTTCAACGATATGATCACACTGCTTCCAAGGTCCGACCACATGGTGAAGTTGACTATCAGTCACGCTGTGGCACAGAGCACGAAGCTGTGCAGCTTTGAGGAGAGGATGTCCGAGACAATGAAGCACGCGGAGCCCGTGCCCAAGCGCCTTGCGATGACAGGCGAGCTGAGTATGGGTAGGACCGAGATCGTCAAATTGCTAGGGAGGCTTTTCAAGAGCCGTGTCGACATTAATTTGTGTAAGTACATCACCTATCCGATATTCACACTTCAGCGACAGGAACCTGTTCGCTGGAAGATTCATCAATCCCCAAATGCTGTACTTCTGAAAGTTACTCACATCCCACAGCATCAAACATTCTCCCCGTGCCCAACTTCTTTTGGGAGTCAGAACCGACCTTGCACCCCCTCTACATGGCCATCCGGGACTACCTCGAGATCGATCCGCGCATCACGGTCCTCAACGAGCGGTGCCGTGTGTTCCTGGACCTGGCCGAGATCCTGTCCGACACCGTGGCCGACGCCAAGATGAGCGCCATCACGTGGATCATCATCGTGCTGATCGTCATCTCCATCTGCGTCACTGTGAGCGAGGTCGGCCTCAGGTTCGGCATCCTTCAGAAGAGCAACGGCCAGAACGGCAGCTGGAACGGCACCGAGCGCGGTAGCAGCATCAGAGGCGTTGAGAACACACAGGCCAAGGTCTACAGGCCGGGCAGCATCGAGTGGAAGCTGGCCAAGGCGAACATCACCATGGATGAGTTCAAGGGCTGGATCGCCCTGAACGAGGAGCAGAGGGGCGAGATGTGCGGGAGCGAGATTGTCGGGCAGACGTTTGCGGGTGTGTAGATTGTCGAGGCGGGGAGCTGCGGGCGCGTCTGCTCTCGTGACATCGGTGCAGGGGGTTGGTTGCATAGATCAGAAGTGTGTGGGTCGTGGGAATGGGAGACAGCGAAAGTTTATCTGCATGTGACAGGCGTACATGATACCCATTCTGCAATAGCATGAGAATTCACAAAAAGTTCTCCGAATCCCCGCGTTTACCTCGCCGGTGGTTTGCGTGCCTTTGATGCGTCTACTGGTTCCGGGTCTGGTGATGCTGTGTTGAGCGGTGCTGGCTTTGAGGAAGCATTTACGAAGATGAGATGGCTACGAGTCAAGATGACGGTCTCGTATGAGACACCGAGATGGCGGGCACAGCAAGACGCCCAGATTCCCTCCTCGGCTGAGGTGTTGCAGTTGAGAGGGTCATGGCTTAGAATCATTCATTGTCTAGGCGAAACCGGCTCATATCTCACATCCGTTGAACATCAGCCTGAATTGGACTTACGGATGCCGCCGCGTTAGCAGCCATTCTCACGAATACCCTGCTGTGCCTAAAGCGATGTTTGATTAGCGATCACCGAAACGTCTCTTCTGGCCAGGCTTTTCAACCCGCTGAGACTCCAACTCAATGCCAGGCGGCAAGTCACGGTCTCCCCGGAGAGAGAACCACAACATGCGCTCCGGATCCTCACCCACCGACGGCCGCGTAGTGTTCACTTGCTGCTGTCCTGGGCCCGCACCGCCAGGCTGAGAAGAAGAGGGATCACTACTCGGAGGGACAGACGAAGCATCCGTCATAGCCTGGTCGCCCTCGGTATCTTCCTCATCCTCATCCTCGTCCTCATCTTCATATTCGTCCTCCAGATTCTGCCTCAGGCCAGTCCGCACGTTCTCGATACCCATGGCGCGCTCCTCGGCCGTGTAAGCGTCCTGATAGTCGTCCCTGACGAACTCGGCGAGCCGCGTCTTGCACCACGCGCGAGAGTCGAACCAGACATCGCCTATGCCGTGGGGTTCCGGGTCGCCCTCCTCGCTGTCATCGGAATTATCGTCGTCCTCGTCCTCGTCGTCGGTGTTGCGCCCGTAGCCCTGCATTTCCGCCTCGAGCCTAGCACGTTTATTTCGTTCCTTCCTCTCCTGCGAGTCTTCCGTGGAGTTGAAGCTAGTCTTCGGGTCGATGCCAGCGGCGAGTGCCGCCTCGCGGGCAGATTCTACAAGTGTCTCGACGTCGGGTTCGAGCTTCTTCCGGAGTAGCTGCATGACCACGCCTTCTTGTGTGCGACCGGGATAGTTGGTGGAAGGGTATACGACGACGCGCTGAAAGGTGGAGGAATGTTGCTGGATTATCTCGAGGAGGTAGGACATGTTTTGTTTGAGAATCCGCGCAGAGTTCTGGAGATTCTGGCTATGAATTTTCAGGGTTGTCAGTGGCGCATTATACAGTATGAGAGGAGAGCCACAGAGAACCCCCGAGTACTCACGGGTTAGGTAGCGGGTTGCTCCTGTAGATGTCGGCCTTGAAGCGTTCGAGGCCGTTGCAGAGTTGGACTAAGCGGAGGCGGGTCATTTCTAGGGCGCGCACTTCATCCGGGCTCAGATTCAAAGAGCCCTTTTGCGGGTGGCCATCAGGCTGATCTTGTGAAGCCATAGCTCCAGCCATGGCTCCGGCCAGAGGGCTCATGGAAGCCATTGTCGCAAGTCTTCAACCCACGCAAGGCAAGGCAAGGCAGGCCTAACACTTGAAATTCTGGGGATAGTATCCAGTCGTTGTCAATTTTGATTGGTACAAGTGAGACAGCCTCGAGGTTCCGCCAAAGTGGGCGTCGTCGGGCAGTTTGGTTGTTGTTTTCCAGACAGCAATTGAGCGTTGCTTGATGCCAACGGAGCTGTCGCGAGGCTGGAGCGGAATCAGAGAGCTTCATGCCTGCCAGGCCTGTCCGGTCGTGCCCCACTGCGGCTGCGAAACCGTGCCCGGTACAGTACCTAGGTACCCAGGCGGCTAAACAGCTACCCCAACTTTTCGGAGACGCAGGCCTGCTCCCCCGCAACTCGCTTCTGACAAACGTTGTGCTGACCTAACCGTGTCATGGCCGGGTTCACTTCAGAGCTTCCCGAGCACGCCATCCGGGCTAGAGATGGCATCACCGTCGACTCCCGAAACGGAGCGACTGTCAATGTCGAGGCTACTGCAACGGGTTCCTCCGAACGCCCACCCAAAACGGAAGTCGGAATTGAATTCAAGCAATCATACGGGAGAGCCTGCAGCCCTACCGCGAGCTAGACATGGGATCGCCAGGCACGAACGCAAGCACGTCAGTATCTGGAGAAGTGATGAAATTCTGCTTCAGACTACCACCTAGGTACCTAGGTACTCTTGGCAATGGTGAGCAAACGGCTGCCGAGCACGCGATCATCTTGGTTTGGTGACACGGTGATGACGAGGACATGGCTGCATGGTCAAGAGGTAAAATCCGGGAGCTTGAGTACGTGGTGATGGAATTCAATTGCACACATGGCTTAAATAACTAGGTACCTGACAGGTACTCTCATTTTCCGCCTCATGATTTTGACATGACCGAACATTCTTTCGCTGACTCCTTCATCTCTGCACCAAATGACGCCAGCTTGATATGGCAAGTCAATGAAATGAATATGACCATGATGATCCAGATAGACAAATGTTATGAATGTTGTGACAAACTCCTTCATAATGAGATTCCAAGACCGACTCCAGGTTGAAATTCGTACAATCGTGACTGGCCCATCTACCTCCAGTCCCTCGGGGAAAAGGTGATTTGGAAGGGCCGACAGGTTCGAGCAATGCCGACTAACGTGGGTGGCTTGACCAGAGCTATTCTCCAGCGGCTCCAGCTTGGTGGGAGAGCAGCTTCTTGGTCGGGATTCCGTTAGGGTCCACAGGAGGGAAGCGAGCCATCCGCTCAAGGTCGTCCAGATCCATGTGCGAGCGAATATACCTAAGATCAAAATGTCAGCTATGCCGTTCAGCCAACAAGATGGTTGCATGATGGCTTACTTGTTTCGCCCATCATCGTTGGGGTTGTGGTCCCAGCTCGTGAACTGGCCAAGCTTGAGTGCTTTCCACACAAACTTTCTCTGCCTCTGACTCAGGAGGACTTCGTTGGTAATCTTCTCGAAATCCCACTTTGCCCTCGCCTCAGCTCCAAACGCCTCAAACACCTCCTTGATCTTGAGTTCCTCGGCGCTCAGGTTCGCCGATTTCTTCGAGAGGCTCTTCACCAAGTCGTTCACCTCGTAAGGGTCGTCCTTCAAGTTGAACAGCTGCTCACCATCGGCAGGGCAGATGATGTACTTCCACGGGCCGCGCCTGATCATCATGAGCGGCGAAACAGTCCCTTCACCAGTATACTCTGCGAACACGGTATCATGTCCCTCTTGGCCGAGCAGGTGTGGCATCATGGATATGCCATCCATGGGGAAACCTGGTTCTGGCTTCGTGCCCACCAGGTCGCACATGGTAGGCAGGATGTCTAGAGTGGAGACATTCTGAGAGACACGGTGGGGAGCAAACCATTTGGGGTATGAAACCAGCATGGGAACACGAACAGAGCCCTCGAAGTAGCTCATCTTATACCTGGGTTTTGTTAGTATCACAACATCCAAGAGACCCTAGAAGCTGTGTGGCGAAACTTACCACAGACCACGCTCGCCGAGCATGTCACCGTGGTCACCAGAGAAAACGATGATGGTATCATCGGCCAGGTCGCAGTCCTCGAGCGTCTGCAATAGCTTGCCAATGCAGTCGTCGACGTAGCTGCAGGAGCCGTAGTATGCCCTCTTGGCCTGCTTGATCTGCTCATCTGTGAAGTTCTCATCCCAGAGGTCACACACTCTCAGCAACCTCTGGCTGTGGGGGTCCAGCTCCTCCTTGGGTATCTTGACCTTTGGCAAGTCAATATCGACTCCCTCGTACCGTTCCCAGTACTTCTTCTCAATGGTGTAGGGATCATGAGGGTGGGTGAGAGAAACCTATACGATTGAGCGGATACTGTTAGCAAAAGGCTGGGCGCAATTGTTTTTCGTTTTGAATCTACGGCATGTCATGGCTTCTGGATGTCCGGCCATCCATTTTCATTTCTTTTTATCAAACGTACCGTCAAAGAGAAAGGTCGATCGTCGGATTTCCGGACCTGGTCGTAGAGGAATTGGGTGGACTTGTACATGACCTCCTCGTCATAGTCAAGCTGGTTGCTGCGGACGCACACTCCTGCCTGCTTGATGGAGCTGGCATTGTGATACCACTCTAGTCTGGTCTCGGGGTTGTCCCAGTCAACGGACCAGCCAAAATCGCCCGGGTAAATGTCGCTGGTGAGCCGGGTCTCGTAACCGTGCAATTGGTCGCCAACGAAGTGCATCTTGCCGGCAAGCACGGTGTGGTAGCCACGGAGCCGCAGATAGTGTGCGTATGTGAGGACATCGCTGCCGATCTGAGATGCGTTGTCGTAAGCCCCAATCTTCATGGGCAGCTGACCCGAGATCATACTCATGCGCGAAGGCGCGCAGAGCGGAGATGGGCAGTAAGCCGAGTCGAACTGGACAGATCTCGCGGCGAGGGCATCAAGGTTTGGGGTCTTGATCTGGGAGTCCGGGTTGTACATCTTGAGCTGGGGCGCTGACATCTGGTCGGCCATGATGTACAGGATGTTGGGCTGCTTGCCATTGCTCGAGCCGGGGAAGGACCCGTTCGAGAAGGCGTTAGTACCATTGCCCTGTCCATTGAAAGGAGCTTGTTCCTTCGTCAGGTTTGGTGACGAAGGGAGAGAGTTTAAGTCGGGTGCCATTGTATCTGTGTGTAGGTATAAACAACTCTGTAGGCCCAGACAGTAAACCCAGATACCTCGGGAAAGAAAGCAACCGGAACAACGCAAAGCAATAGCAAGAAGGTGTTGGTGATGGTGTGGTGTCGACGCCGGCGGGTACAAGAATTGAGATCAAGAGTGAACCAAGCTTAGAACAGACAAGAGCGGTAGAAGAAGAGCAAGAGACAGTCCGTCCGTCACGCCCAAATATGAACCCTTCCCAAATTTCGCCTCCGCGCCCCAAGCAATGACCAGAGGATGACCGAGGCCGGGGTGAGAAAGTGTGCCCTAAGTGCTGCGTGTCCGTCTCAGCCCAGCGGTTGTGACGGTTGACCGTACGTAGGATGGAGACGTTTCCGACCGAGGAGTACAGCCTCCTCCCTGACGGGTACAGGGAGATACAGAGATACAGGTGGGGACGAGAAGCAAGGTGAAGTGACGCGAAGTTCCACGCTGGTCCGGGGGAGTCCTCCTGCTCGAACAAGAAACGCGGTGAAGTACTTCAGACAGTATACAGTAGGCCGTTCAGTGTTGATCAACGGCTCAGCAAGCGAGCACGCAATTGTTCTCCTGAATGTAATCACCTCTGTAAATCGGCAGACAGTGGATATTAGATCTTGAGAGCCAGCGATTGCGCAATCGGTTCATGACACACGGACAGGAGCGACCTATTTATGCTCTACGAGTAAACCAAACGAACGCGGCTAGCCTGGGGCAGGAACACGTTGCTGATGCGGTGAGACAAGACGGGGCAGGGCAAGGAGAAACGGTGATTGGGCTTGGGCTGGGCTGGCTTGATTTGCAATTAATTCCTTGGACAACGGCTGGCGGGCCCCCGTACTGGTTAAGCAGTCGCCAGCAATACAGTACTGTAATCAGGAACGGGACGAGAGCGATAGAAAAAGAGCAAGGGAGAGCAAGCGAGCGAAGGGCACATGAGCACAAAGAGACGGCACAGACCCCACTTCAGCCTGCCCGGCTTCCAGAAGGAAACGAGGAAACGAACGACCCTGTTTGCCCGCCTCGCCCTCTTCCATGCCCTTCTCCTTTCCGCCTCGTTGGGGTATCGACCGAGTCCCGGCTGGTCATTGGGCCAGGAGAAGCTCCACTACTGCAAGATTTTGGAGATCTTGGGCTATGGGGAAAGACCCTCCCTCCCCAGACTCCCTCATCCATGCGACCACACGGACGTAAATTCCCGGCCTCAGTCTCCAATCTGCTGTGCTCTGTAAAACTTGCAGGGATCCCAAATGCTCAGCCTGATAGTCCAGAGTACGCAGAAATAGATCAGAATGGACAACACCTACCCGGCCTGCCTGGCTAAGATGTTATCCAATAGAAGGTCATCTTATAACAGATTATCCTATATGAAGCAAGAGGTTATCTTTTAGCTGGTTATCCTACAGGAGACAAAAGGTATTCCTGCAGAAATTACCCTACAGGAAGGACTGCTAAGTACTGCCCAGGTGATTAATTCATTCCGCATATTTGGGGTCCTGTTGGGCTGTAGTGCAACCTTTCGAGAAGAAACCTATTACGTGGACAGCCGCAGTCGGGCAACATGAGCCATACAATCCCCAAATTGTCAGATTGAAAGGGTCGCAGGAAATGTCGCCATTGGTCCTAAAAGCTAACACTCATCTTGGTCCTCGGGACTTGTTAGATAGCGTGGCGGTGAGTGGCCAGCAGGGGCCGCCATGATATCTGCCAAAATCCCCGTTGTTTTCTCGACCTCACCTCCGTCTGCTCCTTATCGAACGTCCGAACCAGCCGGTGGTGCCATTGATAGAAATCAGGGGTATACAGTACTGCACAGGAGACTGCGAGATAAGGGGTGGACACGAGAGCAAGATCTGCGGTTCACCACGTACACCGACGGTCGAGGAGCTGACAGCGGGGTCTGGACGACATGACATGCACATGCAAAAAGCAGGGACGGGTCTCCCCGGTCGATCAGAGCCTCGTCAGGCTCGTCAGCGACCCATTTCGGTGGACCCCATATTCGTCAAGAGCCGCCTGGCTGAATTATGCAGCCCATCTCAGACTGACGAAGACCGCTCACGAGGCCTAGTATCACGTTGACAGCTTGACTAGGGCTGCGACGCATTGCTCCACCACTGATCCCACCGATCGTTATCTCTCAGATTGATTGCCTCCCGTTGATCGTCTGTAGGGGATGGAAAGGAGGCGAGCGGCGAGACAGCAGGATCACCATTCTCGCAGCAACCCAGTCGGCCACCGGGGACCATAGCCGGTGCCACAAACTTTGCATGCAGAGTGCCATAGTAAGACCCAAACTCAGTCCAGACAGCCAGGCCAAGGAAATCCGGACAACTCATCACGTCCCTCGCTCTGTGGTTTTGCATTACCACCACATCGCATCGCCGGCATCAAAAGCTTCGTCTTTGGTCCTAGCGCTACTGCGCCATCCAACCGCACCTCCCCTCCCCGCTCTCCCCAGTCTTCGTCTCTGACGAGGGAGCATTCAGTCAGACTCGACGGCTCGGCCGGATAATGAGTCTGGTGATTTGTTTGCATGAGTGAACAGCTCATCCCTCCCTCTGTATCGGGTATATTGAAGCGGCTATCCCGCCGACAGCCGCCCTCTAGCCCAGCAGCTGGGCGAGACGTACGCATTTGTTATCGTGCCCAGTCGAATCGAGAATATTCAACCAATCTCGATCCCTAGCGAGCGATTCTCACTCCCGCAGTTTGCGCAGTCTGCAGCAATCCGCTATCCCTGGCTCGATGCTCCTCCTCCTGTCATGTGCAACACGGCTGGCCGAGTCAGTTCGGGCATGGGCCTGACCACTGACGGGGGGGACATCGCCGACGGGCAACATCTGGATGACGGCTGACGGCTATCGCGGGCTTCCCCAAAGCGGACACGGGCGGGAAATCAAGGTCTTACATTTGCGTAGATCTAACTACCGTAGGTCTTGGCTGGCAGCCATTAGATGTGCACTCCTGCACCTCTCCATCCACCTCAAGATAAACCACGACAAATGCCTGATCTCGTGACGACGCCTCAATAATCTAATGGCCTCCGCGGGCTCTTCATCCCCTCCTTCGCGTCGTAGGCGCTTTCTTCGGGGTGACACTGGCAGTCGAAGAGCCCGTGGTGGAGGCGGATGACGACCCGGCGATGGGCTGCGGGATCTTCTCTTTCCGCTTGCCCAACGCCTTGGCGGATGGCTGATTCCAGTAGTACAGCATTTGAAGAGCAAGCACGAGGTTGAGTGCGAAGCCCGCGACGAAGCTGTACAGGATCAGCTTGTCGTCCACCTCCTGCAGTGTAGTAAAGACGCGTGCTAGCGAGCCGAGCAAGTAGTTGAAGACCTGTTTGTGATAATAGTCAGCCTTGTGTGTTCCGCATGAAACTTTGACTCCCAAGGAGCAGGCTGCCCCAAAACAAGACATGCTCTCGTGCACAAGCAAGCTCACGAAGCCACCCGTCGCTGGACGTGGTGGTAGTGTGACATGAGCATCCTCCAACCTGAAATACCCCGTAGTCAAAATTAGGAGAAGCCCCGGTTTTGAGACTCACCGTGAAAGCGCTCAGCTGGCCCGTACCACCCTCCTGCCAGATTGCCAGAATCTGTGGCACCTTGCTCGCGACACCCAAAGTACCCGCACCCGCCTGGAGGAGACCCATGGTCTTGGCATCGATCAGGCCCTCGGTGAAGAGGGTGGCGACGGCACCAGCCAAGACGGCGACGAACAGGGCGGCGACGCCGGCCCTCCCGCTGTAGTTGAGGACCAGCACGGTGATGACGATGTTCTGGCCGAGGATGAGGGCGGTCTCGCCGTAGGTGGAGAAGGGGAAGCCGTTGCGGACGTTGTAGGCCAGCGAGATGAGGTAGCTGGACGTCTCGAGCAGGTACGAGAGGAAGCTGATGCCCGAGGCGGAGCGCGAGCGCGCCAGGTTGATGATCTGCGGCACCTTGACGACCGCCGAGGCGCCCACGATGCCCACGCCCAGCGCCTTGGACACGGCGAGCTTCAGGCAGTCCGCGTCGGCGACGTCGATGTCCAGCACCAGCGACGAGTAGCACTTGTCGCCGATCAGGGACACGCCCAGGTCCCGGATCGGGGCCGGGAGGTTGTGCGTGATGGGCTGCAGGAGGGGCTGCAGGGTGTCGCGGAGGGATTCCATCTTGGCTGGGTGCTCTTTCGGTAGGGACGGGCCGCGGGCGACAGGCTGGGAGGTGGATGGTGTTGATGGCGAGATGCCTGTGACAGCTGTCACTAATTTTCCCACAAGGCTGACTCTCAAGTGTGATGGAGCTGACAGGTGGGCCTGGACCCGCCCCGTTGACCATATGCCTAGATTTAATTGGCCAAAGCTCCCCGGGGTCCTGGATCACTTTCGGGAGCTATAACTGGAAGCTTTTCTGACATAACTGGAGCAAGCCATTTGAGCATTCAGACCGTAGACAGTTAGATGGATGCTAATTCCACAATCTACTTTTTGGAATCAATGCTAGTTTTCATTGCTGAGCTTCGGAGCACTATAAAATGCAAGCCTTGCTGTTTTCCTGATTCTTGTTCCCTGGGTTGACCACGCTCCTGAACGCAGGTCTCCGGCTGAACCTCAGTACCTCATTCGACGTAGGTTTACCTGCAATCCAGCAACAGGGGGCACCAACCCCCCACGAGCATTTCCAGCCTTTGACCGTGGCCGTATGCAGAGAATAAGTCCTATAAGGGCCCAAAGAAACGTAGAAACTGCCAAGAAGTGACAGGTATCACTTTGCACCGTAGAATATCCACCCAATTCCATCAATCATGGTCAAAAAAAGACCACCCGACCTGCAAATGGCAGTGCCACGCCACGCCCATTCAGATATCTTAACGGTGTCATTGCATCCCAAGCCTTCAAGCTGCAGATGTTGCACGCCTTCCGACAATACGCCTCAACGCCTGACTTAACCACCCCTAGTTCTTCTTGGGCCGACCGGGACGGCCAGGACGGCCGGGACGTCCCACAGAAGCCTTGCCAGCAGCTTTTTTGGGAGTGGCTTTGGCAGCAGCCTTCGGAGCTTTTTTCGTAGGAGCTTTCTTCGCCGGCGCGGACTTCTTGGTGGCAGCCTTCTCCTTCTTTGCCGCTTTCTCCTGCTCCTTCTTGATCGCCTCGTACTCCTTCAGCATCTCGCTCGCGTGCGCCAGGTTCGTTTTCGGCTCCCAGGTGTTGTCCTCCTCTCCGTAGCCTTTCCACTTGACGAGGAAGAGGGCCTGCTTGGTCTTGGCGTCCACGCCCGAGTCCAGGATCTCCTCGACTTCGTACTCTTCGGCGGCTGGCTCTTCCTTCTCGACCTTGGGCTTTCGGCCGGCAGGTCTGCCACGGCTGGTTTTGGGTGCCTGGACCATCAATGAAGAATATGAGTAACAGATACAGTATTATGCACTGGCATCAGCCGAGTAGACGTAGATATAGACGCACCTCCTTGACAGTACCCGAGGCAGCGCGGGGTCGCTTCTTGCTCGCCTCCTTGATACCCTCCCTCGCAGCGGCGACAGTAGCACGACCGCGACCAGAGCGCTTGGCTGCAGGCTCATCTGCCTCCTCCTCGGCCTTCCGTTTGCGACCACTCGTCGCCTTCGCAGCCTTGGGAGTCTTCTTGGCCGGTGTGGATACTCGCGACGCAGGCTGGGGGGCGCGCCCTCGCTTCTTGGCGCTAGCAGGAGCGGGCACGTCCATTGGTGCCTCGGGGACGGCGTTGTCGGTGACCAGGCCGTTCTCTATGTCCTCGTCGGCGTCTTCGTCGTCGTCTCTGTCCTCTTCGCCCTCGTTGTCGATCCGTACAACTGTCTCAGCGACCTCTTCCCTCAGGATATCGGGGATGACAGGGCCGGAATCGAGAGGCTCCTCGTCGTCGAAAATGTCGGTGCCAATGTTTGGGATTGGCACGTCGTCAAAGAAGTCGTCCCTGGAAGACTATACATCAGCTGACATTGGCCATGCGACGCGGCGCAAAGCAGCTGCGGGCCGAGCTGAGAATGGGCATTGAGTGGGGAGAGGAGTGGGGCAGTATCAAGTCGCAAGCCGTCCTTACATGTCTTCGACGAAGGGAGGCATCGTGTTGTGCTGCGACGCCCTCGGCGATCCGCTGTTGAAAACAGTCCGGGTGAAGAGTGACGCGAGCTTGCGCGGGCTCAGATATTCGGCCGTCTTGGGTGGCGCGTCCGGGTTGAGGGCCCCAGGACGCTACTCCGCTATGGCGCAAAGCTGTGTGAGTTTTCAGAGATGCTGTCCGGGACGATGCGACCGGGGGAGATGACCTGAGATGCCGCGCACAGGCAACGATGCGGTTGTGAAATAGGAGGGCGCGTCATGATGGACGACCAGGGGCGCGGCAGAGCGCAGATGGGTTGGTCACACGCTGCATTGTCGGGACTTACACGAATTTAATAGATGGGTCCTTGAACTGGAGATAGACTGCCGCACAAAGTCACTTGACCCTGAACGTTTTCGAGATTCAATTGGTATCGCAGGGGGATGAGAAGGGTGGCGTCGAATTCGCGTATGAGAAGCAGGTAAACACTGTAACAGGTGTTAGCGTTCTAAGTTAAACGCACCCATGCTTGAACCCCAGGTGTTGCAGGGCTTCTAAACATTCGACGGAAGCTCACTTTGATCGCAGTGCCCGACCCGCTAGCTGACTGGATGCCTCAGTGAGTCAACTTAACCTGTGGCCCTATGCGACTCGATCTTAATGATTTAGAGGATAAGAAACCTCAATTTGGTAGATCGGATCTTCAAGATAACTCAAGCAGATCATACGGGAGAGTGCGCGAAGTACCGTGTTTCTACTATGTCTTCCCCAAGTCGCCGCGCCGCACCGCTACTGTGCTCACCCTTAAACCGCAGATATCCTTACTTGCCATCAACATGCATATGTCAAGGCATAGTGTAAAAGTAGAACACGTATACGCTGGTCACAGTCGTGTAGGATCAATCAATTGATACCATGACAGAGTCATTGCTCTTTCTTGTTCACCGAGACAATCTTTGCTGGTGTCTCGTGTCAACTGCTGCTTGGGATACGATATGGCACAAGGGCGTCTATGTCGGTCTATCGGTATCACTGTCTTACCGGAATTACCTGCATCAAGAGCATACCAGCACGTATCGCTATACCAGCATTACATCCCCTGCGGACTCAAATATCTTCCGCTATGGTCGTGGTGAAAATATTCCCACTCAATCGGGCCCCCTGGAGCCCCGTGAATTTGAAGCACCCTTCGTGCGATGGCCGAACGGCTTAGTCCAACTCTTCCACCCTCTCATCATCCTTGATATCCTGAAACCGACCCTCTCGAAAAGCCTGTTCCACCGGATTCTGGACATCTACGATGCCAGTCTTCTTGAGCCTGTCAAAAGAATTAGCACCACCATACTTCTGAGAAATAAGCTGGGCAATGATTCATTCGGTGAGCTTACCTCTCGAACAGCACGAACAGCCTCTCAGCCTCCCGTTCTTTCTCCTCCTCCGTCATCTCTGGTAGGTCTGGGCCGCTTTCTCGGTCTAGGAACTGCCCGGTGATGGGGTTCACTGGCCGCCCGCTAGGCCCGGCGCCGTCTGCGCCTATAGCATTCTGTGGCACGGGGATGTTGTTCTGGAACAAGAAGCCCGACGCAAAGCCGTAGCCCACATTCTCAACAAACTTGGAGGCATCCTTGTCGGAAATCTCGAACAGGAAGTGCGAGATAGCGTCTCGGAGCTGTGGTGTCAATGGATTGGTCGAGTTACGCAGTAACCGGGCCGGCAGCGTGTCTCCACGTCCGAGGATCGTTTCTCGGTCGTCCTTGGCCGGGAGGACTTTGCTTCGGATGTCCTTTTGCACGCTTTCTGGCGCCGACTCGTGTATGCTTCGTAGAACGCTGACCAGGGGTGTGACGGTCTGTTCGAGGTCGGTATCACTGTACGCTTTCATTGAAAGATCAAGCAGATGTATCAGTCTTTCCACTGGAGAGGCTTGCTGATCGCCTTCCGGGTACAAAGATGTCTGGGCTTCGCTGCTGTCTAGCTTCAAGTTGACTAGAGCGTTTATCAGAGGGCTAAATGGACCGTCAAGTGGTCGTGACGGCGTCGGGTCCCGTTTTGTGAGCAAAGTTATAATGTGAGGCACAGCTGGCGTGAAAGATTCGACCCTGGCCTTGCAAAAATGAGAGACGTTGAACATCAACTTCAGCGTATCTGCCAGTGCCATATCCTGCATCGGATCTGCCGCTGACTTTCCAGGATTTGAGGCCAGATTTGCATGATTGGCCAGCTTCGCGATAATAGTGGTCGCAAGCCCGTGGTCGTCAATCAACTTTGCTAGGTCGACATTTGTCCCGTAGGTCGTGAGAAAGATCACTCTGGAGCAGAGGAACTCATCATCCCAGGTGTCTCGCTTCAGCTGTGCGCAGGCCTTCGTCTCGTAGCCGAGGTCGACAAACACTTGCCGGGCGTCGGGCTTGATCAACATCGCGTTGGCCAAGCATCTCAGGGCATTGTGTGAGGTCGTCGTAGCAGATGTGTCAAAGGCGTGCCGTGTAAGCGTCGTTATCCCCTCTTTGGTGAATATGGGATCTGCGTTCCTTGGGTCCCTGCCGTAGACCTTGACTTCCTCCAAGGCCGCATCACGCTCTAAACAACGTCAGGAGCTACGGTCTTTGAGGGGGAAAAGAGCGTACTTGAGACGACTGACGTTCGGTTGTGAGGTCCTGCTTTTCCAGGTCGGTGGACAGCTTTCCCATCAATTTGCCAACTGCCTCAAGCTTGGCTACGAGGTGTGTTAGCGCACAGAAGCTTGTGCCAGGTGTGTGTCACTGAAGATCCGGGAACTTGCCTGCACCTGTGAGACTTCCACTCCATGGCTGCCCCGCGGACGACGCCATAGCATGCAGACTTTTTTGGAGCCTTGATTATTCCGCTGGATAAGGCAAGTTCTGATCTTTTGGTCTTGTGCAGACACGAGCAGATCGGCTACGTCGGGAGTCGTAAATTGGATGTCGTGCAGAGCAATGCTCAAACCTGCATACGCGACCCTTATAGTATCGCGGCCTCGTGGTCGTGGTCTCGTAATGTCGTGAAAAGAAGACGAAAAGGACAGAATGCCTCCGGCCAGATGCTCAGGTGAAGATTAAAGGATGAATCCTGGGGGAGGGGTGTCCAGATATCCAGGTAGTCGGCGCCGAGACCCTCTTTTCGCAGAGAGTCAACTGACACAACGATTCATCAGCAAGCACATGGACCAGATGCAGGACGGGATGCCGAAAAGGTAGAAAGCCCAATCAAGGAACAGGCGGCGGCAGCATGAGCCAACCGGGATGGGATGTGAAATGGGTGAGTGAGCTGAGATCGCAGCCCAGGACTTCCCGCCGCAGACGCAGAGAAATGAAGATGTGATACCGGAGCTTGTGGTGGATGAGATCACCTGGTGAGTCCAGCCCGGGCCAAGGCCAGACAGAGGCTGAGCCCGTCAGTGGGCCGGCCCAGTGGTTACAGCGTGCTGCACGTCTGAAGTTCGATGCCCAGGTGTGGGGAGCCTGCAATGCAACCCAGGGGAGCGGCAGCTGCGAGGGTCCCCTGAAAAAGGGTGGGGGCGCTGCAAGTTGATTTCCCCAAGGAGCGCCTTGGGCTCAGCTGCAACGGCTACCGTTACGACGCTCCTTCTACTGTGCACGGTCAGTATGTGGCCCAAGACGCCCAGGTGGCGTCCTGCCAGGTGAGATGGCAGGCGCACAAGCTCTCGTCTCCTTGACTCCCAATGAAACCTCGCATATATCGAAATTGATTTATTGAAGCTTCTTAATGTGGACTGCAGGCATCGCCATCCCGTCTTCTTATCACACTTGCGTCACCTGTATCTGTATGGCACTGATAATGTGATCTCTTCGCCTCTATACCCTGGTTCATGATGATATTATACAGCTCTTTGGTATTTAATACTCTGTTGTACAGCCAGGTCTTATGGTGACCGCTCCCAATGGAGACCGACCCGGGCATCTGAGCCGCAGATATGCCCTTGGTACCTGACGCACCTGGGTATGGTAATGACTCCTTACCCCAGCTGCTAAACGCCTTGTATAGATCAAACCCCCTTTTCAACGCCGAACAATGCCATAATCATCAAGTGGAGATGTCCGAGTCGGAACTACTTACTCAACATCAAGCTCCCTCTTCCTCTCTGACGACCGCTCATTGACGTCCCTGAAGACCTTCTTTCCCATCTCGAAGCTGCTGATCATGATCGCACACGCCGGTGCCACTTTCATCACGCGTGGTAGCCATCCCCTGAACAGGCCAGAGGGGCCCTCAGTCCTCACGATGTGCTGCAGAAGGCGTACCATTGTCTGCTCCTCAGGCGCCGCGCTTCCCTTCAAAGCCTCGCCTGCCACGCTCTTGCCGCTGTCATGATACACTTGAGTGCGCGTCTTGCCGACATCGAAAGGCATCGTTGCGATACACGCGAACGCCCCTGACAAGGATCCCGCAAGAAAGCTGTCCACGAAGGTGTCGCGGTGGTTCTCGTGGCTCTGCGACAGCCGGCGTGCTTCAGTGTCGCCAATCAAGTCCCGCCCCTTGCTGCGCTCTCTGGCATCTATAAGCTTCCCTCGAATCGTCTCGTAGCCCCACCAGTACATGCCAGAGAAGGGCACGTCCCTCCAAAGAGTCAGGCTCAGGCCCCTCCATAACGAGCGATAGCCGTGCGTCTTCAATTGTTCCCGCATGCTGTTGAGGGTGTCCTTGACATGGCTCGTGGCGGTGTCCCCATGAGAGGCTTGGAGTCTCGTTCGAAATAGCTCCATCGGTCCGATGGCCGTGGCGGCAACGACTCTTGCGAGGATCCCGGCCACGAGAGGCGCGTAGTTGGCGTCCAGACTAGCAACAGGACTCCTCTTGTCGTATCGTAGCCATTCGTACCCTGGGAAGTAGATCATGTTGGCGGGGATGGCCATAAGCAAAGTAGGCGACAGGCCTCTCCATAGCGTGAAGAAGCCCTCATTCCGAGCGATTTTGCGCATGCCATCGAATGTAGAGTTGAAGGTTTTCCTTTGTGTCTCCTGCACCGCGCAGTCTGCCCTTGGAGGCCCGTCGACGTGAGGACCAACGACACAAACTTCGGCATTGTTGTTCATGAAGAAGACTTCTCTGCAGCAGGAGGTTACACCGAGATTCGTGGGCTGAAACACCTGGCGAGACTTGAGGGCGAAGTGCTGAGGTTCGGCCGTGGCCTTCAGGACGTTCTGCTGTTGGCTCAGGCTCTGGGATTGCCAGCGCACTCGGACGACGTCGAGCGGTGTCACTACCTGCAATTAGCCTTGTGCCCACCGCGATCGAGTGATGTAAAGACCCAGCACATACTGGTGAGGCCAGTCAACAGACTTCCCGTCGTCGCGGACAACATCTTCTGGAAGGGGGTAATGTCGGAGACTGTGCCGCTGCTGCTGTCCATGCTGTCCTGCTTGGGAGGCAGCACATTGCGCGGGCTTGATTCGTTGGTCGCATCGAACCGGTCGTGATCCTGCCCGGGCGGGCTGCTCTGGAAAACGGTGGTCATTTTGGGCGCATCAACTCTGGCTGCACAAGCGTACACCTTCTCCTGTCCACGCACTCGGGACAATGCGGATGAGCAAGGCCGGCTCGATTATCTGACCCAGTCACGCAGGATGCGTGAATCTGGAAGAGAAATAGGCCTTGAAAGGCCTTGCACATGTGTGTGACGCTGTGTAGGTGCGAGGTGTGCAGAAGTAGTCCAATTGCTGGGCTCCAAAGTTGGGGAGGGGCTTGGTTTGCGATATACTTTTTTATTACAGTAAGAGTCAAAGAAATTCCTCGATTGCCCAGGACGCGATGGTACCGGGGTTCCGATGACAAGCTTCATCACTACTGCGGTACGTACCATTTGATGATGTCACCCCCACCTAGCTCGCTCTTATTGGCCAAACAGGTTCTCTTCAGACAGCGATATCGCTTTCGCTTGATGCAGCTATTTGCCTCCTAGGGGATAAGCTCTTGTAGGATAACGCCTACAGTAGGTAATCATGGGATAACCAGCTCTAGGATAACCTCCTATGGAATACCTATTCATGGGATTAACCCACATGAGATAACCTTGTAGCTGCTATGGCATGCTCTCTTGTGGGATGACCTCTGGTGGGAGAATCTGTGTCTACCTGAATACCTCAGTACCATCGCCGGCCTGCTTTTCTCCGATATAGCACGCTTGGTCCACTGGAAGGCGCGTGGTCAGCCTGGGTTTGACTCAAAATTCAAGAGATCCTCACATTGTGCCGTTACTTACCGCAGCTTGTCTACACAGGTACCTGGATGCATTACCCAAGCATTAGGTCCCGCTCACCTCGGCTCGGCCTGGCTGCCTGGGTGTAAGACGGCGGGTCCGCGGAGTCACGCCGAAGGGTCCTGCAGAGTCCCGATAAGATAAGGCGTCATAACGGCCGGCGGAACGACCTCATCGACTACCCGGGCACTGCAGCCTTGTGTCTCCATCTGCACATACTACCGTCCATCCTTTAATAAATGCAACTCCTTTCACGTATACACATTCAGGTCGAAGGGGCACTCGTTCACCCATCCTATGGCCCCTAAAAACACTCAAGAAAGCATCTCAGACCCAGCTCGAACGTCAAAGCTCGTTTGATGTATTTCTAAGCAGGCCGGCCTGGACCGTGGTAGGACTCGTTCAGCACGAGATGGATCCCCAAGGAGCCAACCCAGAGCTCGAATCATTCCGTGAGCAGTGGCGAGCCGAGGTCCGTGCTAGAAACGCAGCGCCCTCCGGATCGCAGCAGCAAGCCTCTTCAAGTAGCAGTCATGCCAATGGCTCGCAAACCACCGCCTCGCTGCCGCCACGGCCCGCCCACTTGGGTGCCGGCAGGGCCAAAGTCCTCGAGACCGACGACGACTATGTACAGGCGATAGCATTCGACGAAGCAGACCCGCAGTCAGCCGCGCGACAACCTGAGCGAGAATCTACGGATCCGGTCACCGCACTTGACCATTATGAGCATGCCGTTGAAAAGGAAGGCCAGGGGTCTCTGGGGGACAGCTTGCGCTTATACCGAAAGGCTTTCAGGGTACGCATTGCTGCGTGTCGATCTCAAGCTGTACTCTTGCTGATGGCCATGTACAGATGGACCACAAGGTCGAACAGAAATACAAGAACAAGCACCACGCAGCTGCTTGGGCCAAACCAGCCCAGACGAGTAAACAAGATACTACCACGAAACCACGAGATACGGCACAAAGTCCAACGGAGAAAAAGTCCTCTCAGGAGGAAAAGCCCCCTTCAGAGGTTAAACCTTTAACAGCAGAGGAGCTTGTCGCAAGTTTTGCCGGGCTTTCGATCGAGCCCGCCGCGCCATATATCAAGGGCATGCCGCAGCCTCCCTGCCCGATTGCCGAATTGCCAGAGGAGATCCTTGTGCACATTCTGCAGGACGTGGCGATGGCAGATGTTAGTGATTTTGTACGGTTGTCCCGTGTTTGCAAACGCTTTGCCTGGCTGGTCGCGACGGAAGACAGCATATGGAGGCAGATATGTCTAGGCTCCAAGTTCGGCTTCGCAGGGATGCATTGCGAGTTCCGGACAAGTGTGGACTGGAAAGCTCTTGCAGAGGAGCACACGCTTCAGGAGGACCAAGAAGAGGTAGCCCGCCTTCGCCAAGAGGAGGCCCACGCCACCACTATTGCACTCCTCAATATGACATATCACTCGTGGCAGCGCATGTTCCGTCGACGACCGCGAATACGCTTCAACGGATGCTATATATCGACGATAAACTACATCCGGGCCGGCCAGCAGACCAATTCCCTAGCATGGAATTCTCCCGTGCACATCGTCACGTATTATCGATACCTGCGACTTTTCCGAGACGGCACGGCCATCACACTGTGCACGGTTGAGGAGCCGTCGCATGTGGTCCACCACCTGACGAAGGACGCTCTCGCGCTGCACAAGGGCGGCGCAATGGCCCACATGCCGAGCAGCACAATGCAGCATGCGCTGAGGGCCCGGTGGAGGCTGAGCTCGGCAGCAGACTTCACTGACGAGGACCAGGAGGTGAGCCTAGCAGACTCGGAGGGCAACATGTTCATCGAGTCCGACGGCGGGGGCAACTACCTGTACCGAATGGAACTGTCGCTACGGACGGCGGGCAAGTCAGCGAGCAACAACAAGCTTGTATGGCGCGGGTTCTATAGCTACAACAAGAGCGCGGACGAGTGGGACGAGTTCACACTCAAGGACATCAAGCCCTTCTTCTTCAGCAGGGTGAAGAGCTACGGGTTCGCAGAGCTTTAGAGCGGCCAGTGGTGAAGTGCATAGAAAATAGCAGAGAAGAGCAACAGAGCAGAAGAGCAGATTAGATGCCCTTCAGCAACCTAGAAGTCAAGACATGAAGAAAACATACTAGCCCGATGAGGCACGACATGCTCTTCTGGGACGCACAGGAATGACAAGAAATAAATAAAATGATAGAAAATTTGGTTCGGTCTGTCCCGGGAATGAGAGCGTGGGCAGCATGGATGGCTCGTTCATCCGACATCTGGCAGGTTGTGCTAGGCTAGTCAAGCATGAAGTCGTCGTTTCAGATTGATGTCACCCACTCAGCGCCGGTCAGAGCGGGAGGCAGCCACCGCCCGATTCCACGAGGGGAGGTGAGCAAGGTCCCGACAGATGCCAAGCAGAGCGAGAATGACGGCTGCGCATCGCGACGTTGAGGCCTTGCGGACAGCTCGAGCTCGAGCTTCGCACCGATAGTTTTCATCGGCCATCGATAGCACAACGCCTCGCTAATCTGGCGGGGAGCCCTGGGTGCTGGGACTAAGAAGCTACTCGGGCAGATGAAACGACGGCACTAGCTGCGGTCCGTCCAGCTCTCCCAGCAATGGTGTACCGGGCCATTGGTGCGGGTCAAGCTGGTACCGTGCACGTTATGCTTTATTTCTTCTTCGTACCCGGGTTATAGCGCGTGTCCGGAATTCCAATTGTTCGCGGATTGGAAAATGCGCGGGGTCCGACTAGAACACTTAGTACGTCTGTTGCGTGGGGGAAGAATGACGATAAGATAGATCGCTAGAGAGAGTCGATCGGAGAATATGGGTAAGACAGTCTCATCATGCAACTCGTGTGTGTGTGCATTGCTTCTGACCGTTGGTAGATGCAGCCAGATAGAACCGAGCAGGCACAGCCGCGTGTCCGTCTGCTGGCCCCCAAGGTACCGATCTGGAGACGCGGAGGGGGGACGGGCACGGGCACGGGCACGACAGAAGCGACATGCAGGCGGGTGGCGAAGACTGCTGCAGCTTGAATGCAGGCGTCAGCCACAGTAGACGCGAGATGAGCTTAAATCGCTGCAGTGGTGGCTGTTCTGATTTAGACGGTCAGACAAGATGTAGTAGGCAGGATTCTGGTGTCAAGCAAGAAATCAATGACAAGTGGTGATGCAGCCACCGGGCAGATGGTTGGACATGGGGTTTTGCGGATTGGTGGTTGCGATCCAGTGGCTCTTATTGCACAGGATGTTAGGCGCTGCCAGCGCATTCCCCTCCATGGTGAGAGGCCAATGGGCAGCGAGATAACGTCTACGGCAGAGACTTGTCCGGTGGTGGTTGGCCTTTGGTGTCTTGTGTCATCATGGGTTGTCGATGTGCTGGCGGTACCGCATACAGTACCGTCAAGAGGCTCATGCAGGGCAGCAGGGGGATGTGATGTGTGATGGGCCGAGGCCCAGATGGGGCAAGCGTGGGTAGCATTCCGGCACCGCCATGTGGGACTAAAAGAGGAGCTCTCTTTTCTTCGGACTAAGATGAGAGAGCTTGGACTGGCCATCTGGCCTGGACGACAAGATTTGGATGTGTTGAAGTAACGGGCGTCTGTCGATGCCCTCAGCGGATGGAGATGTCAGGGTGGCCCATGCCCCCCACTCCCACGTCCAAGTAGACTGCCCAGGTGCTTAGGTACCTAAACTACCTAAGTTTGGCTGCACACCATCGGGCAAATCTTCCGTGTCTTGGGTAGTACATGCACAGTACTGGACCCGGTTCGCAGTAGATGACATGAAGGTTTGGAAAGTTTGAAACGAGCAGAGGAATGAGCAAGCCCTGTCGCTGTTCATGCCGATCCTGCAAGTGTCCGCGGTGATTTGGGATGGATCCTGTCTGTGCCTGTGTTCTCGTCCTCGTCACTCGTCACCCGCAGACTCTCGACGAAGGCCATGATCCTAGCGCTGGAATCGGCATGGGCGGGCTCTCTGTCTCTGTGTCCTGCGTGCGGCCTACGCAGAAGTGGGTGGGCCAGTCCACACCCTAATCCACCTGCACCTGCATACCCAGACACCTAGATGCTGTACCGATCCTTGTAGCGCCGCCCGTGGCTGCCATGGGTATGTGAACCTATTGTCGGAAGCCATAGCTTCCCCCTCTTATTGCTTTGCCCATTGCTGCGGTACGTATTCTAGTCCTGACTCTCGGGCCAGCATGCATAAACCACCATAGCAGTTCATCAGGCAGAGGCTGGGCCACGGGATGGCGGGGCTGGCCTGCTATTTGCTATTTGCAGGGCAATGACGGTCTCAGTCCTCCACGTTTGAGATTGAGATGTCACATCCAGCGGCCCTGCCCTGCCCTGTGGTGCCCTGTCCTGACCTGTCCTGCCCGCCCACCTCAAGATCTGTCCTTCCTCATCGACAACTCCACCTGCCCTGCCCTGCCGTGCCCTGCCCACCAAGAGGCTGTCCAGGTAACAAGCGACAGCCTTGGACAGACTGTCAAGAAGCACCTCATCAAACCTCCCGTGGGCTAGCAGACCCGGTATTCTGGTGAATGGGACATTGCCCAACGCGACCAGACGAGAACGGGTGGTGTTGGACCCCTCGAGCCAGTCCCGATCTGTCTCCCGAGGCTGCAGGTTGCACCCCTCTCGCACCTTTAATTTCATCTCCAGGTACAGGGCGATATTTGCACCACCACTGCCTGCACCCAGCGCCGCCCAACCTGTGTCCGATCTGCGCGTCCAGGTGGTACTTGCATGCTTGCCGGGCCATTGATTGCACCTGCTGTACTGTACTGTGTTCCTATTGTGAGTTGCCCTCCCTGCCCCTAATCAGGCCGAACTGCCGTCGGGCGACCACAGGAGAGGATGGGACCTGCGTGACTCGGCGGCGCTGTGCCTGTATCAGGCCGTCAAGAGCGTGGGCGAGGGTCGCAGCGAGCAAGTGACTGTGACAGTCCAGCAAGCCAGCAATCCAGCAAGCAAGCAACCAAAGCAGCATCGACGTCTGATCTGACAGATGAGAGTGACAGGGCCCGTCCAATTAATTTCATCTGCAACCCGTCCACCGTCCAGGACCGCGAACAGATCCGATCCCGTGTCGACTGGTCCATCTATTCCCACTTCCAGCTCGTACCCCTGAAGCCTGCCTTTCCCAATTCAACCCAATCTTTTTCCTCCCTCTCACGCTTTCACATCTCGGTTCTTCTGCCCATTCCATTCGTTATCGTTTCCCCTGCTGGCTGCTCTTGCGCCTGCATCCATTTTTGGTTTCCTTCTTCTCGTGGCCTTACCTGGTGGTCGCCACGTCTATACCCAATCTTTCCTTCTTCGATACCCCCCACACCACACCGCGATAGCTTCGCCACCCTCATAACTATCAGTCCCGTCCAAACTGCCCCCATCACTCGACCCCACGACCTGCGGCGCCCTACGATCCATAATCCAGGACCAGACCCAAACGAGATTGCCTCAACAGCCGCACGCATCAGTCGAATTTGGCCAGGTCGAAGATCCGTCCACTTTAATTTTCTGTAGCGCTGCTCAGATTACTCCTAGCTTCGATCGATCGAGACGCGTCCCGCCAGTCTATCGAGGGATCGTCCCCTTTCACGTTCCCCTCCCCACCCCCTTTCGTAGCACAGTCGTCGAATGTCTCATTGCCACGAGCCTAACAGAGAGATCTCCTTTTTCTGAGGCAAGATGGGCATGTTTTCTCGCCGCAAGGGCAAGGACGGCAAGTCCAAGAAGAAGGGCGCAAACGACGAACTCGACCAGCAGCCCGCAAAACCAAAATGGACGGATGCATGGGCTCGCACCTCTGTCGAGCCGGAGGAGGTGCACGAATTGGTCAAGCGGTGTACTGAGGAGATCAAGTCAAGAGGTACGCCGCCTGTCTCGCGTCGGGAGAAGCAAATCATGCTGCATGCTCCCTATAGTCCAGGCCCTCTTTGTCCTAGGCTGCGCCAGTGCTCGCTCTAAACCTCCGTCGAGATACATCAAGTGCCATGAAAGCTGATCTTATTTTTGCTGCGCAGCTCTCGATCAGCCCTTCCTGCTACTACCATTCCGACCGACATCTGACCCCAGCGCAGTGCGTACATTTGTACGCCACTTCTTCGACAATTATGCGCTTCGCGGCGAGACCTTGGCGCAGGAGCTACGGATGGCTGAGCCGATGGTACGCCTGACGACTAAATTTGGTTGACACGATGCTGAAAAATATTACAGGTCATCGCGGGAGCCATCAAATGGTGCTGGAGCCGTTTACAAGGCGGCGTGGTCGGCTGGGATGCTTATGAGCTGTTTAAAGTGGGCGAGCAAGGTATGCGACAGCCTGCCTCTCGGAAACTCGATGAAAGGAGGCTGACTGGGAAATTTGCAGATTCGAATATGGCTCGCGACTCGTTCAAGACCTTCATCCCATTGAGCGTCGAGAATGGCGCCCGCTCGAGCATCATCTTCAACTTCTTCGATCTTCTCGCGGCAGTCGCTGCACACGGCAAGATGAACGGTTTCGGTGGTCGCAAGCTGTCCCGAATGGCAGCTTGGTGGGCTTTTGAACACAAGGACACGGGCAATGGTTTTGACGGTGGATATAAGGCGTGGCTGAGGTGAGCTTCGCCATATTTTTCTCTGCATGTCAACCAGGACTGACCGTCAACAGGGCCGCCGATGCGACGAGTCACCTCTTCTTCGCTTACCTCAGGACACTCGCCCCGCAACAACAGACTCCAGGTGCTATTTCCATGCTGCCAATGTCCCTCTCAAAGCTTCTTCAGGAGACCGAGTACCCACCGAAGAGACCAGTCTTGATGCAGTCGTCTACATACAAAGTTGTAATGATCGTGGAATCAGTCTCACCTACCCCATTCGCCCTGCTGCGACGCGGAAATCACTTTCAGTACCGAGAATCATCTTTACAGCATTTCTCCGAGTATGAGGATCCAGTGGCGGCCCTGACTGAAGAATGCCGCCGAGTCTTGAGAGCCGTTGCAGCTGCCAATCAGACCCAATCCGTCTCCAGTTCAAAACACTCGACGAGTCTACGCGACGCTTCCTGGTCACGATTTGAGGATATTGGCTTCACCAGCACGCTCGATGACGAGGACGATTTTGACACCGCACCAACGAGTCCGGGTCCCCAACGACAGGGCCTGAGAACCACTCCCGCATCTGGTGCTGGTTTCGGTGGCAGACCTACGACCCCATCGTGGGCTGACTTCCTATCATCTGGATTTGTTGATGACGGCACTAACGGTTCCAATAATGTTCTCCTCCCTCCAGATAAAGTGCTGCCCCCGATCGATACGAACGTGCGGCAACGATCTGCTCAGTCACACAGACCGAGGTTGGAAACCGCGCGCGAGGTAGAGGCTGGCGAGCTGGCCAGCATCACCAGGATCGATCTTGACGATGCATTCTGGTGGGTCTGGATGATCAGCTTGGCCCCAGAAGAAACACCCGAGAGGAAATCAGCCTTTGGACGCTGTGCAGTCATTGAGACAATCATCAGGAGTGGACGATGGTTGGTGTTCGAGGAAGTTATCAAGGGCGCCGCCCCCGAACCCCAGGAAGGCGCGTACGTTGCCGAGAAAAAGAGCTTTTTCAGCTGGACAAGGCGCAACAAGGACAAGGACAAGAGTGGGGTGTCCCGACGTAAGTCCACCGCTGGCAAAAATGTCCTTGAGAAAGGCGACGGTCACTTGAAGCCTAGTTCAACAACCGGCGCAATGAGCAAATCAAGCCTCGGTCCGGACCAACAGGCAAAGATCCAAGCCGCAGCGCAGCAACTTCAGGCAAAGCAGGAGCGTGAGAGGAGGGAGGCTGGGATGGGCGTGGGCGTTCGTCGTGGCCGGACTGATGCGGAGCTCGTGGCTGAGAAGACTCAGAGTGTCATGACGTTGCAGCCCATGATCATGAGAGAAGCCTCCCCTGCCATGAAGTGGGCAAACAAATACGACAAGGACGCTATTCGTGAGGCCTACTTGGCGAACTCGAGTGCAGGACGTGGAATCGGCCAGAGCACGATGCAGACAAACGGACATTTAGGATCAAACGGCTATGGCATGATAGCAGAAGAGCCTTCGTACCCATCATCGCTGCTCCCACCACCTTCACCTTCGGCGCAGTCCCAGGATCATCGAGAGGGAGCTCTGAGCCCTGCTCCACCCATGAAAGACAACGGTCGCAACTCTCCGCTGCCGCCTGTCCCTCAGGAAGAGCCCAACAGTATGGATCTGGTCCGCGAGGAGATGGTTTCTCCCGAACCCGCAGAAGGGTCTAGCCCGAAGGCGCACAAGAAGCTTCACAAGGGCGACAAGAAGGGCGGCTTCCGGAAGCTGTTTGGACGGAACAAGAGAGTTTCTCAGGTGCCAGAGAATGCGGCCATGGATCTGAACCAGTTCCTCGCCCAAGAGCAAGGCAGACAAACCCCGGAGCCTCTGGGGCACGAGCAGCCCGAGACGCCTAAACAAGACACTCCCAGGACGCAACCTGCTGAGACACCAGCTACCTATGCGACTCAGCCTACTCCATCTTCCCAAGCTCGTGACGAACCAACCGAGCCTGCGAACCACGAGCCAGCTTACGAGCCATCGATTCATGATGATGTCTCTCGCGTCGACACTGCCGACGCGGAGGAGGCCCGTGATGAATTTGCTCGCTTCGACCAGGGACCTCTATCAGACCAACCGGCGTTTGCTCCGGCCGAGGGTGCAGATGAAGAAGACGATGATGCGACCCCTCCACCGATCCAGCGTCATAGGTCACCGGCTCCTCCTGAGCCATCACCTCAGCCCAAGCCCAAGCCCAAGTTCGAGCCGCAACAAGAAGGTCCCGCACCCGCCATTGAGCGATGGGCGCAGATTCGCAAGAACGCAGCTGAACGTGCGGCTGCTCAAAGGGAGCGCCCGAGTGATGACCAGAGCCGTCCCTCTGTCGGCAAGACGGAGCCAGAGTCGGACACAAGTGGTGAAGAGAGTAAGTGAACACCTAGGCCGTTAAACTCGTGAACTTACGAACAGACAACTGACGAATCCGAACAGCTATCGAGTCCCGCGTCGCCCGAATCAAGGCTCGTGTCGCCGAATTGACTGGCAATATGGAAGGCGTCCAAGGTCCTAACTCGCGACCTGCAGTCCCGCGTTAGGAACCCGCGACTGATCACGACAGGGCCGGAGACACGCACGACTGGACGGGAATCCTAAGATGACGAGCACATGAAGACAACAATATCTGACTGGACAACCTACCCACCAACGTCCCTCAGCAGATATCACCCTTTACCTTTCTCCCCATTCCCAACGCCACCATTGTCGCGGGCTTGGCTTCATTCAAACCCACACATCCACATACCCGTTCTCGAATCTCTCGAGACCTTTCCTTGCCTTTTATTCCTCCAATTTCGACGTTTTCTTCGAATATCAAAATGATACCACTAGAAAAGCTTCTTTTCTGTTTTGTTTCTTCGTTTCCCAATTCACTGCGATGCACAAAGCAAGCCTGTCCTTTTCTCCAGATCTTACGTGTACTAGCTTTTCTCAAGAGTTAGCCAAACTAATACCCCTGATACACCTCTATTATGGTTTCAAAAAATACTATCCTTATCAGTGGGGGAGAGCCGGCCGGTGTGTGCTCGATCGAAGCGGCCGGCGACGAATTAGTTCAAAGGGATTTGCGCAAAGTGTCTTGGGCTGGTTTTCCTGCGCCTGGCGGAGTGGATCGAATATTCTTTTTGGAAAACCAGCCAGGTCTCCGCTTACGATTGGCTTGGTCATTTTCAGAGCGGTGCTTTGAAAGATAGCAGCATGCCAGTGCGGTTCTTGTTACATAATTTATCGTTCCCTCGGTCCGGGTAGCTTTGGAAATCTCGTGTGTTCTCATCGGTGCGGAGTGCCCCCCGATTTACCCGAGGCTTCAGGAAGGATAATGACCAGACAGTTCTCTTCGTGTTTTGGTTGCCAATGATTCCCAGTGTTCTATAAGAGTGGCATGACCCAAGGCCAGCGTAGGTGCCCAAAATAATGCTACGAAAATAATTTGTACTACTGTGCAGGACATCTTTGCTGGGCATCATACAGCAAGGTCCGGAAGACTTTCTCGTAACTGATGGATTTGTATACCTTCACCTCGACTTGCTCAGAAACCTACGCGTGTATAGCCCAATCCAGGCGCTCTGGACAGACCGCGCCGCTGACTCCAGCTTCATTTCTCTTGGAATGTCTTCGATGAGCCCCAAGACGTGATATGCCACGCCGTCGAAGCATTCTTCGACTGCGTATCTCTTCCCTGTCTGCTAGCCTCTGTATAAATCACCATGACAAGCGAGTCGGCACGAGCCAGGTCTGTCTGTTCCTTCACATGCGGCAGCTACAGTCAGGTCGCAAACACACACACACCTCCATTCACCTTTCCATCCCGTCTTTACTTCATCTGCCCTTATAAGCCCCTTGAAATTAGGGCAGAGCAATACCGGCCCTCCTGGCCGCTTGGGACAACTGGTTACGACCATGGCTAGTGAACAGGAGATACTACCGGCCGAGGGATCAAACAGAGCTCGCGGGTTCGAGCCTCCCTGGTAGTATACTGAGGAAGTAGCAGTACGCGACGAGAGACGTAGACGCTGGTCGCCGAACTCTTTTGGTATTATGTTCTTTGGCTACTTTTCCTGCTGGACCTTTCTCTCTTTTCCCCGGAGGCTTCATCGTGGTTCAGCATTTGCGAGCAATGAAATGGCCAATTTGAAGTGCGATGTTACGCATGGATCGGTGATACTGTGGATAGGTGGAATTTGTGCGATACACTCAATTGCCCACGAAATTAGGCCCAAGGAGGATTGAGCCGCAGATCATGGTGTGAACAAACAATATTATCACGATAGATGAGCCAGAAACTTCATGTCAAATACCTCATTCAATTATACGCTATGCCAATAAACACCATGTCCATTGTAGGTTCCCATAATTCCGATCCGTAGGCATTCGTAAAGGAGAATCTTTCCGTCTTCTGACGGTCGAACCGATCAAATCAAAATCGCTCATACTCTATCCTCGGCATCAGCCAGGTTCGCGAGGGGCACATAACCCTCCTCGTCCTTCCTCCTCCGGCCTGCCAGGCCCTTGGCGCGGTCGACAATATCCATGGCAAAGTTCTTGACAAACTCGACTTTGCCGGGCCGCTTCGCCCTCCTGCTCAGGGCGGCCTTGCCAGCAGCCTCATCCATCCAGCGCGGCCGGCTCCAGAACTTGAGCAGCAGTGAAGACATCACGACGGACACGGAACTCAGAGCCATGGCCGCGCCGGCGGCCATGGGGTGCAGGTGGAGGCCAAAGGGCAGGAAGAGGCCCATGGCGAAGGGGAGCCCGATGAGGTTGTACATGCAGGCCCATGCCAGGTTGCCCTTGATACGGTTGAAGATTGACTTGGCGAGGTGCAGCGCCGCGGGGATGTCCATCAGCTCGTCGGGTCTCATGAGCACCACGTCCGCCGCTTCCATGGCGACGTCTGTGCCAGAGCTCATGGCAATACCCACGTCGGCGGTAGCGAGCGCGGGGGAGTCGTTGATGCCGTCGCCCACCATGGCAACGCACTCGCCCTGTTCTCGGAGTTGGCGGATGATTGCTTGCTTCTGGTCTGGGCTCACACCGGCGTGGACGTTTTCCTCGGCAATGCCAACCGCAGCGGCAACAGCATGCGCTGTGCCGGGCTGGTCACCGGTTACCATGGCCACTTTGACACCCATGCGATGCTGCAAGACCGAAATGGCAGCGGCCGCGCCTTCCTTGATCGTGTCAGAGAGACACAGATGACCGGAATACTTGCCGTCGACGGCAATGAAAATGTTGGTTGTTCCCGCGGAATCACCAGACTTGCCAGAGGAGGCGTTCTTGTTGATACGCTCGGAGGCATCGATGGCTTCTGAGGGGACGTCGACGTTGTTCTCCCTCAAGAACTTGACGTTGCCGACGAGCACGGTGTGCCGTGTGCGCTCGGCGCTGGTGGCTGGTTCAACGCTGGCGGATATACCACGACCGACGGCAGCAGTGAAGTCACCAACGCTGCCCTCAATGGTGCCCTCCGCGTCGATTCCGATTTCCGTCTTGGCCGCACGAAGAACAGCTTTACCGACAGGGTGCTCGCTGCCCATCTCCGCGAGACCGACGATGGTCCACCACAGGCGACGGCGCCACTCATTGTCTTGCCATAATGGAACGACCTTCATGCTTGCTACCGTCATCTTTCCGTATGTAATGGTGCCAGTCTTGTCGAGAACGACTTGGGTGACTTTAGTGGTGGTTTCCAGCGCCGCTCCGCCCTTGACCAAGATGCCGTTCTCAGCGCCAACTCCTGTACCGACCATAACGGCAGTGGGAGTAGCGAGACCGAGGGCACATGGGCAGGCAAAGACGATGACGGAGATGCAAAGCTTGACACACACAAAGATCTTGCCACCGCTGGCTGCCTCTTCGAAGATCTTGGGTGGGTGAGTGAGGACATGGCTGAGGATCATCCAGACAACGAAGGTCAGGAAGCCAAGAACGAGAATTGTGGGAACAAAGTATCCAGCCAGGGTGTCTGCCAGTCTCTGAATCGGCGCTCTTGTTGTCTGAGCATCTTGGACGAGCTTCACGATCTGGCTAAGCTGTGTGTCCCTGCCAGCGCGGATGACCCGGAGATCACAACGCCCATGGCCGTTGACGGTACCGCCGATTAAGTTGGACCCCTTGCGCTTCTGAACAGGCATAGCCTCACCAGTGACCATGCTCTCGTCCACGTATGTCTCTCCACGTACCACAACACCATCAGCAGGGATCTTGTCCCCAGGTCGGAGAATAACTACATCTCCGACTTGGATGAGCTCTGTCGGGATGATCTTTTCCTCAGCAGCATTGCCGTCTGCCATTGGAGTCTTTGGCTCGCCGTTTCCGGCAACGTTATCCCAGTTCTCGGCAGCCTTCTCCGCAGCAATGGGATCGGCGTAGATGGTTGCCATAGATGGAGCTAGCGACATTAGTCGAGACAGCGCTTTGGACGTCTGGCCCTTGGCACGATTTTCCAGGAATCGACCAAGTGTAATAAAAGTAATCAGCATAGTGCTAGTATCGAAGATCGTACTCGGTCTTGTATGAGGTGGAAAGAAGAAGGACACCACCATAGCGACACAGCTGAAGAAGAAGGCACAGGAAGTACCAAGGACAACCAGGACGTCCATGGTGGGTGAACCGTGCTTGATCGACTTGTATGCAGAAATGTAGAAGCGCTTTCCAATACCGAACTGGACGGGGATCGTCAAAAGCAAACACACAATGTCACCCAGGAAAAGACCATGGAGGAGCTCCCATGACCCAAAATCCAGGAATGGCAGTGCCATCGGCAGGATCATGCCGATGACGAAAACTGGTATGGCAAAAGACAGAGACGTCTTGAAGGCCCGTCTCCATTCGTTTATTTCTCGTGTCTTGGCGAGAGACTCTAACTGGGCGTTGTTGTCGTCGTTGTCGGCAACGAGTGCGTTGTACCCGGCCTCCTCGACTGCTTCAACAATCGCCCGGAGACCTGTAGTGCCCGGCTGGTGGTTCACAGTCATGCGTGATGTTGCAAGACTCAATTTCGCTGATGTAACACCTGGCATGTTTTGTAGCTTTTCCTCCAGTGACGTTGCTGCGGCACCATCTAGCACCCCAAAGACTTTGAATTGCGCTGTGGACGTGGTTTGCGTCGCACCTGCGGCCTCGGATTGTGTCGAAATGATCTTGGCGTCAAACCCTCTGTCCTCGATGATCTCGACGATCTTCTCCGACGGTAGTGTCGTTGGGTTGTGTGTGATCACGGCTCTCTCGGCCAAGAGGCTGATGTTGAACTTGATCATTCCTTCGACTCCTTTAAACCCGGATTCGATCGCCGAGGTACAGGCACCGCAGGTCATGCCCTCGATTCCAACGGTCGTCGTTGTTTGCGACGACTTCCCTGCTGAGCCCTTGGAGCCCGTCTTTTCCTCGCGTTCCAGCGCCTTGGTCTCGACGATAGTTGCGCCGAAGCCCCGGTCCTCGATCATTTCTGCGATCTTGTCTGCGGGTAAGACGTCCGGGTCGTGGTCTATAACGGCTCGCTCGGATAATAGGGAAATGCTGAAACTTTTGAGGCCAGCCACGTCCTTGAATGCGCCCTCAATAGCGGAGGTGCATGCGCCGCAGGTCATGCCTTCGATTGCCACGACGGTGCCAACGTACTTTGCGCCGCCATCGTCCATGGCGTCCTTAAATGCGTCGTCTACGTCTGCTTTTGGCGTTTGTATGTCTGTGGCGAGAACTTCGGCGTCGAACCCTCGGTCTTCGATTATCTCGGCTATCTTCTCGGCGGTTATCCTGGTGGGATCGTGCATGATGACCGCTCTCTCCATTATCAGGCTAACGGACACGTTGCCCACACCGTCCTTGTCTTTGAGTCCGCTCTCGACAGCCGAAGTACATGCGCCGCAACTATAGTGAGTCAGTATTGCCGGCTGACTTCACAGGGCAACGGGCGGAGGAGACTCACGTCATGCCGCCAACTTTCAAAGTGGTGGTGGCCCATTGTGCGGTAGGTGGGGCGCTCAGTAATAAATCCCCAGACGGGATACTGATATGTGAAGGAGCCATGTCGCCGGCAGCCTGTTTGTGGGCGGCGTGTATCGACAGGTCGAGTGCGCGGGTTGGCTGGAAGGTGGCAGTGCTAAGACGAGTCGCAACACATTTGGGGAAAAGATAGGCAATGCAGGGTAGGGGGGTATCTTTGTAGGATAATGCGTATTATGGACTCGCGCAGAAACCAGAAGTCCAGCTTCCGGGGCTGATATCAGCTTATGTACAGGTAGCGGGGTGAGGCGTTGGTATTGGGAACCGGGTAGGCACCGGGTCCGGACAGCCGCGCGCGCAGGAAGAGGCGGCAGTAGGTGTGAGGATCGACTCGACTCGGCCAAAGTAAGTCAAGGTCAAGGTCAAGGTTGGAGGAGGGTGGCAGCCGGCGAGGAGAATCGTAAGACTGCTGCAGAAGTGGGCGCGATCAAGCTGCGAGGCAGACCGGGGATAAAAGGCTAATAGGTGCGAAAGAGAAGGAGAAAGAAGCGAAGGATGACTCGGTCGGGAGCTGGAGGCTTATGGCTATGATAACCAAGCGAGGAGCCCTGTTTGCTGCGAGCCTGAGCCTGAGCCTGAGCCTGCGTGTCGAGGTCCTGTTGCAGTTGAGTCGTTTCTGGGGGACTAGCTAAGGTTCACATAGTTTCAGGTACCCCTGATGCGGATCAAGAGAAGCGAAAGAGAGCGTCAGAGAACACTTTGACTGACTGACAGCCATGGGCCCGCAACCTGGGCTGGATTCATCAGCGGTGGGTGGCCCCTTGATTTCTGATTTCAAAGGCGGATTCCGGCCGTCCAGGCCAGGGTTCAGGGCACCAGGGGCACCACACCCGACAGGGATCCCAGATGCTCGGGGTACGGCCTGACCAGTACACGGCAGTCCCTCCCGTAGGACAAGCCTCCTGTATGATAACCTCCTACAGTACCTCCTATGGTATAACCTACTACAGGATAATCTCCTGTTGGTCAACTTCCTTTTGGGTAGTATCTTGTCTTGGTAGATGCCGTCAACCCTCCTTCAGGTCCCTATCTACTCTATGTACTCTCGAGTAAGTACCCAATTTTGGGATGATTACAAGAGGTAGTAGGTCCGGGCCACAGACCGACCTCCAGTCCGTCCGAGGTCTGCCAAGGAGGCTGGGTAGACACGTACTTCTGCTGCGCATAGGCGCTGTGTGTACGTACTTTGACGCGGCCAGTGCGGTGATCGACTAGGTCTCCGCCGTCGTGTGTGCTTATTCAAGTCCTCTCCTGGATCCTGGAGGACGAGGGGACAAAGAACAAGGGACAAAGAAGACAAGAGGTAGGATGGCAGACGACGTTTCTTGTTTCGAGATGTGATCGTTTGGTTTGTAGCCAAGGCCTGTGTTCGTGATCAGGCCCCAGGCCGGGTCACTCTTCTGTGCCCAGAGTGATCATGCAGATCATATCTTTTGGCTATCTTCTCACTGTGAATTGCGACATGCAATGCCGAGCCTCCGAGGCCACCGCATTAGGAACAGGTGTCAATATCTGCTTGATTAGGTTGTAGCCCACCTCATATCTTTTCAATATCACATGTGGCTGCATACACCGCGTAGTAGCTGCCAATGATGTAGCCACATCCAGTCCTAAGGAAATTGTTGTTCGGAAATTGTGGTTGTACAAGGCATATCGCCGTGTCTTCAGAGACAGAGCTTCTAAGAGCGTGCTTTCATCTCAGAAAGCTGCAGCACTCAGATTTGGAGCAGCAGTCCCCAGCATCCGCATCCCCGCATTGCTGTGACCAGGTGCCCAAGTGCCGTTGGCCTTCGGTCCTCAACCAAGACCCCTGCCCCCAGAGCTTCGAATTCTCAAACGCTTGTGTTTGACGTGTTTGAGAATTTGCTCACAAAACCAGTCCCTTTAGCGGTCTCAGCCAACAGGCCAGTCCTGGCTCCACTCTCCCACACCCAGCAGAGCCGCAGAACCCTTGTGAAAGCTTGTGAAGCTTAGTGGGCTAGAACTGTTGTGCGCGTACTCTTGCCTGCCACTATCGCCTGCCACTATCACCTGCTACTATCGCCTGCCACTATCGCCTGCCTGCCCCGCCCCAAGGCTACCCTACCCGCCCATTGAACACCAATTACGTAGAGCTCGATTTATCTTCGCTCATCACTCCAGCTTCACACCTACGCCCTCATTTGCCACCATGGAGCAAATCAAAGCTTCCAATGCTCTCGAGGCAAGTCTTCAACCCCCGGTTCTGCGCCCTCCCTTCACTCGCTGACGTGCTCCTAGCCCTTCCTGGCCCTCACCAAGTCCGCCAACTCGCCCAAGGCAGCCGCAGACCTCATCACACACGCGACATCTGCCCAAGGCACCTACATCTTCACGGAGCTCCTCGCCAGCCCGTCCATCCGGGGCCTCGCCAGCTCCCCCGAATACCAGCCCTACCTCACCCAGCTTCAGATCTTTAGCAATGGCCTATACTCCACATACGCGTCGACCCCGAACCTCCCCGAGCTCAACGACCGCCAGAAGCTCAAGCTCCGCCAGCTCTCCCTCCTCACCCTCAGCCGGGACAAGGAGAACCTGACCTACCCGGCCCTGCAGCAGCACCTGGGCCTCGCCTCGCCGCGGGAGGTCGAGGACCTCGTCATCTCCGCCGTCTACGCGGGGCTGCTGAACGCCAAGCTGAACCCCCTCCGGTCCGTCGTCCAGGTGGCGTCCGTCGCGCCCCTGCGCGACGTCCAGCCCGCCACGGTGCCCAGCATCGTCGCCACCCTGCAGAACTGGAGCCAGCGGTGCGACGCCACGCTGGCCGAGATCGAGGCCAACATCGCCACCATCAAGAAGGAGGCGGCGCGCAAGGCCAACGACAAGAGGGAGTGGGACCGTACCTTCCAGGCCGTTGTCACCGCCGAGACCAACGAGCCCACGGACCTGACGGGCTCGGGCATAACCGCGAACGGTGGCCGCGGTGCCGGCCGGAGGCTCGGCGGCGGCGCGGCAGGGCGCACTGGTCTACGAGCAGGGAGCGGTGGAGGAGCGGGAGCCGGGGGAGGCGGAGGCGGTTCTCAAGCCGCAGCAGGCGGTGCTGGCAGTGGAAGTAAGCGCGGCACGGACAAGTTGACGGAGGGCTTGGAGGACGATGACGACGAGGCCATGGATCTGGACGATAATGCTGATGCGGCGGGTCAGAACCAGAAGAGGACGAGTCGACGAAAGTTGTGAGTAGGCGTCGACCAAGGTATCGAAAACTGCCTACGGTCTAAACTTCTCTATGCGTCTGCAAGACGACGGAAAGTATTGTCTACAACTACAGACTTCTGGGGCGTTGTACATATTCGCATCAAATCACTGGCGGAACCATAAATTCCGTGGCGCAGCCTACGTGAAATAGAGAAGCTTTCACACCGCGAGGGACACGGGCATAGGTCTCAGCCATCCGTCTTCGTATTTTAATACGTGCAACAGCAAAAATGGGCGAGTTACATGGCTAAATGCTCAATGAGAAACAGATCCCACCCTTAATCAGAGGAATCGTACATCGGTCTTGTTACAAAGCAACTTTTTTCATCTCCCGCCACCCAGTGAAGGGAGAAATGTGAGAAAGAAGAGGCAAAACACTGCGTAATCTCCGAGCCAAGTCAACGCCATACCTCCATTTAATGTGATAACTGGGCTTGCCCGTCCCGTCCAAAAAAAGAAGAATTCGCCTGCAAAATGGTATCGTATCCTGAACAAGACCAGAAGAATGATGTAGAAACAAGCAAACAAAAGGAAGCGATGAGGTCAAACGGTTTCAAAAAAACGTGAAGCAGAAGAATCATGGCGTCGTCAGATTAAAGGCACTAGAGAAAAAGGGCCCGTATCTTCCCATCTCGCAGAAGCTCCACCGTGTTGGCTGGGTTGGCCGTTCAAAGCCGTTTTCCGGGCACGAGGATGAAAAGCACCAGTAGTGCCGCATCTACCGTCGCCGTCACAGCCAGGACCATCAGGGCGCGCTTTGCGAGCAGTTTGCGGACGTATGGCTCCCTGACTCGGGAGAAGTTGAAGGGTGTGTACTCGCTCAGGCCAATCAAAGCCAGGACAGGGTCGAGGGAATATTGGTATGAGGCGAGGAAGTATACGCCGAGAGTGAATGGAAGAATGAGCTGTGATCGAGTGTCAGTCATGGTAATTGTTCAAGTCGTATGCGGGATGCCTTACCCATAATCTTGTCAGCCTTGAGGAGTCAAGGAAGATCAAGACAAAAGCAGCCCAGAATCCACCGAACATCGAGACCAAGCCGATGATGAGCCTCAAGATCAGGGTAGGCGGAATGAGGTTGCCCAAAGCCTTCATGCGCAAGAAGCCGGGAAACGCGTCTCGCTCCATGGCCTGAAACACATAATCCTTAGCCAGGTCGAACACCTCCGGGTCGTCTCTGCCTTCCTCCTCGATAGACCTCGTCACCTCCTCCGTGATTTGGCTGGGGAGGACGATCTCCCGCTCCGCTCCGGGCAGTAGGAAGGTGTAGAGAATCTTCTCAGCTGAGGCTCGGATGTCCTGCCTCGCGACCTCGTGGAACGGGCTGTTGGAGTCGGTCATCAGGTCGCGTGGCGTACTGCCCGTGCCGGGGCTGGGCCTGGCGCGCTCGCCGCTGCTATGCGGGGAGTCGTGGAAGCCGGCCGCGGTGGGCGAAGCCCTGTCCTCACGCAGGTAGGCCGACATCTGCGCGTCCTGGTCCCGATCCTTGTCGGTGGCGTACATCGATGGGCCCGGTGCCGCGTAGTTCAGGTCGCCCATGCTCTCTAGAATCTGAGAGGAGCGCTTGGAGGCGTGTTCGGGTTCAGGCGTGCCTATCAAGACGGATCTTCGCATCTCGCGCACGTAGTGCCGACATAGTGTCATGTGCTGAGCAACATCAAGCCTGTTTATCGAACGAGGTTTGTTAGCAATTGAGACAAGTTGGCGGGGCAGCCACCCCCTTGCTTCTTGTGTTTGGGCTTGGTTTTTCCGTACCAAAAGTCTAGATAGTCCACCGATCTTTGCTGATCTCTCATAAAGATGTAGAATGAAAACAGGTCGACTGGTGGCAGAGTCCGCCTGCTCAGCACTTCGAAAAGGGTCGGCAGCCGGTTCCGGTTCAGGTCGGGCACCGGTGACGGCGTGTGTGGGTTCGACATGGTGAGTTGATTGTTGTCGCCAGATCACTTGATTCGAGTCGCCAATGGCTTGGAAGTCTGCAGAATCGGAGGAAAAAATGCACGGTCGGGTTCCGTGGAACAAGCGAATGTGCTTTCGATTCGCGAAATACTGGAACTTCAATCGAAAGTGGTGGGTCGGGATGTTAAAGTGAGCGGTTTGTCGAAGGGGGTCGGTTGGATCGAAATCGGCGAGGGATTGTTACGAGAGTCAGGAGGGAGGGACGGCCAGGTGTTGAGTGCGAAAAGAGCGGCAGGGTGTGCTCTGCGCGCACCAGAAAGACTGTAATTAGACCAATGAGGTCACTAGTGATGGTGTGCAACCTTTTGATATGCTCGGTCGTGCGCGTTGTGGACGGGGTGATGGGGAGGGTAGATGGAGACTCGGGATGGCCAGAGGCAAAGAGGTCGCAGATGCGTGCACGGGCCAGGCCACCCTCCGTGATGCCAATTGAGATTTGCTCCACGGGAGTGGGTTCCCCTAATTTACCGTGCCTGCTCGCCAGCCTCCCGTCTTCCTTCAAGTCGACGGCTGCCGATGCACCTTCGCAACAACCACTTGTGATCTGTGCTTTGAGTGTTGGAGACAAAGAGTCGAGGTTTCTGCTTCACGGGACGATGAGAGAATCATTGAAAAGGTTCAGGAATAGACACTCAGTACATGGGTCGTGCCGTTTGAATGGGATGACGCCGAAGCCCAGCGAAATGTCCACCTTGAGCCAATCACCGCTTGCCCAGGCACTACTCAGTGCTCACGGCTGCGTTGGCTAGCGGTATGCGTTACTTGCATTCCTTGTGAAGCATGAGAGTAAACACGGAGAAATCTACCAAGTGCACAGGTTAGGAGGGGCTTTAGAAGTGTTTCCAACGGCAGGACTGCTAGAAATACTGTTAGAAGGCCTTTGACTTGCTATGAAAGCTGGAATCTGGAGTGTCAGAAATGACCAAACTAAGAGTGATTCCTGCTCATACTGTGCTACCAACGGCAGGTTGAAGCAGACGATGCTGCATCTTGCAGTGACTGTTCCCCCTGGCCGCCTCTCAGCCACCACAGCCACATTTCACTTATGTCAGCCGCTCTGTGATTACGTCAGTTTTTTGAGCCAATCACAGCCGGACGCCAGTTTGAGGCAGGGCCAGATTTTTTCCACCCACAACTTTTGCATCTCTCTCTGAGCGTCTTCCGTTTTCTAGTCGAGTGCAGCCGACAACCTCGAAGACGACAACGCCCCAACTCCCCACCGACGACTCACGACACCGTTCATCCTTCAGTGAGCTCGACCCCTCTTCATCTCGCCGAATTTTAAAACCCTGCAGTGTCAATTCTAACGAAGGCTTCTTCGAACTGTAGAAATGTCGTCCAACAAGAAGACTGGCCGGTCCGCCATCCAGGACGTGGTCGCCCGCGAGTACACCATCCACATGCACAAGAGAGTACGTTTTGCCGAAATCGACGACCGAGACACTGCGAAATTCGACGGGCAATCGGTTATTGGGAACTAGGTGCTGACGGATTGGTTTGGAACAGCTGCACGGTGTCACCTTCAAGAAGAGGGCTCCCCGCGCCATCAAGGAGATCAAGGCCTTTGCGCACCAGGCTATGGTATGCTGAACCCCCCAACTTTCCCGAACCGAACACCACGTCCGCCGCGACCGACAACATCGAACGCCACACGCGGAGGGATTGGCATGGCTGGATAGTCTACATTTTGAGGGAGACGAGGACAGATTACTAACCCGACCTTCCACCTCACAGGGCACCTCCGACGTCCGCCTGGACCCGCAGCTTAACAAGAAGGTGTGGGAGCAGGGTGTCAAGGGCGTGCCATACAGAATCCGCGTCCGCATCTCCCGACGAAGAAACGATGAGGAGGGTGCCAAGGAGAAGCTGTACAGCTACGTCCAGGCCGTCAACGTCAAGAACCCCAAGGGCCTGGTCACGACCACCGTCGAGGAGGAGGAGCAGTAAGCGAGCGTCGTGTTGACAGGGGAGGCTCTAGAAGGATAATTCGCGCTTGCGAACAAGCCGACGAAAAGTCCTGGGTGTTTTGGAGGGTCGGTCCGTGAAAACTTGGGTTCCTTGTCTGGTCATGGTGGCATCTGGCTTTCCGGAGTTTTCTACGGCTTTTAGCTTCATACTACCGAGGAAGCAAAAAATGAGACATACGAAAGACAAACAACCAACATGTCCTCGACGTTGACCCAGTTCGCCGGAACATCGAGCTTGACCGTCCTTCTTGAAGACTACCCGGACAAGGGGGAGGGACGACTTGTATCTAAGATACCCATGCTTCGAGGGAATATGCGAAAGAAAGCACCCAGGCCAATGCATGTATTCTGCGGAAGAGACGACCTCTATGCCTGATGGCAGAAGCCAACAAGACATACGGCCCTAGTCCAAACTATCCGACCCTGTAAATGCGGAATCGCCGAAACCTCCAAACCAGTGACCAATGCCATATTCTACACTTTGACTCCATGCTCCCAAATGAAAATGCATACAGTAACTCAGTCGTCGTCAATGTCGCGGTGACGTGCCGTCACCTTCCGCTTGAACTCCTCCGGGTCCTTGTCCCAGAGCTCCGCAGCCTCGGCATTCAGAGGCGAGTCACTTAGAGATGGGGTTAGCAAACACGTTCCAATAGATTGCACAATCGCGCCTCCTCCAGCCAGCCCAAAGTGAGCCCCACGGCCCATCCACTCTATCCCTCCACTGAGTAATCGAAAATATAACTCACTTGTTCGGCTCTCCCAACAGACTCTGCAGACTCAGCAGGACAGTTCGGATGTTGTATGCCGCAGACCACTTAGATTTGAGGATGTCCAGACAGATCCGGCCCGAGAAGTCGACATTCGGGTGGTAGATTGGGGTGCGGAAGAGCACCTCTGGGGCCTTGTAGGGGTAGTCGGAGGGGAAGTTGAAGGACAGCTTGAAGACCAGGCCGGCGTAGGGGGTGTCGTCGACGCCGTTGATGGTGGCATGCCACTTGGTCAGGTCGCCGTCGGCTCCCGGGAACGCGGAGATTCCGGGGGCAGGGGAGGTCATGAGCTGCATCAACTCTGTTTGCAGTCTGTAAGAAGCGCAGTGTCAGCAACATGCTACTGTGCCCATATATCCAAGACGGATATATTGTGCTGTGATGAAGGCTTGGTCCCTCCTGTCTGCGTACCTCTTGGTGACATTCTGAGAATCAGCTTTCCTGGCACCACCGAGCACGCCGCCTGCAGTCTGAGGGCCCTCCATGTTCACGAGACGCGATGCAATGAATAATTCAAAAATTAGTCAGGAGAGGTATAGCAGGCCGAGATATCGCCCACGTATCCAAGGATGGATTGAGAGATCAATGCTTCGGGAGAAAGTGGTGTTGGGTGAAAGCTGCGCGGCAAAAATTAGACTGCGAAGGGAGATGGCCGTTGATGAATAGTCAAGCCTCCGACCAAGAAACAAATTCTCTAAAGCACGAGCGCAATGCTGCGATAACTCCAGTTGTAAGAAAGGGTGTGAGAAGTTGAAGGAGGAGAGGGAGATAGAAGGGTGGTGGTTGGAAGCGGCTGGCCAACCTTGGAATTGTCAAATCATTGATCGGGACTCCTTCAGTCTGCTTGCGGGCCTGAGCTCATTGTTTACACCAGGGACTCCCCGACCCCACCTAAGCTCTCCAGCAACCGCCAGAGTTTTAGCAGGGCCAGAGGCTCGCCTCTGCCCCCTGTGCAGCTTGGGCCCCACCCCCTTGGAAACCGCGTTGCTCAGCCAATCCACTGGGTCTCCAGCACATGCAGGGTCTCGGTCAACAACATCCATGACCCGTTTTCCCGCCTGTAGCCTGTGAGAGCCTCATCCGCGCTCCGAACGCGACTCACTCTACGCGAACAGCACGCGACCTCTTGTTGTTGTACCACCACATGGTGAACTGACACACCACATCGTTCCCTTGCATGCATGAATAGCACTGAGCATAATTCGCATTGGAGATTGCTGGTTGGCAGCCTCATCGCAGATATTTTCGTTACTCTGTTGCCGCCCACCGGGTTCACCACCCCTGTCGTCATTGAGCTGGTGTGCACTTACACGCAAGGCAAGACAAGGCTCAAACTGTGCGATTTGAGCTACCTGCCCATAACTACTTGTCCAGGTCAAAATGCAGCACTCCCAACTGGACCCTCTGCCATCCGACCTTCCCTTCAGGGTTGTGTCCAAGACCATTGGTAGAGGGGCATATGCATCGTGAGCTGCCCTTCTCCGTCCCCAAGTCATGCCCACATAATCAGACCCATCTCAGCCCTATCTACATACTGACAGACCCACTACAGCATCAGGAAGGCCGTTCCTCTCGAGGCACAGACACCAGTCTTCGCCGTCAAGTTCATTCATAAGGACTACGCGATCAAAAATGGCCGCATCTCAGCAAAACAGATCGCCATGGAGGTATCGCTTCACTCTCACATCGGGCAACATCCCAACATCATCGAGTGGTTCGCTACCGGAGAGGACGCCGTGTGGAGGTGGATAGCCATGGAGTTTGCTGACGGCGGAGATCTGTTCGACAAGATTGAGGCCGACCGGGGCGTGTCCGGAGACATCGCCCATGTCTATTTCTTACAGCTCATCAGTGGTGTCAGCTTCATGCACTCCAAAGGCATTGCACACCGTGACTTGAAACCAGAGAACATATTGCTCTCAGACAGCGGTAACCTGAAGCTGGCGGATTTTGGCATGGCGACTCTGTTTCAGTACAAAGGCAAGACCAAGGAGAGCACGACCATGTGTGGCAGCCCGCCGTATATTGCTCCCGAGGTGCTCCGCTGTGCCTCTGGCGACAAGTCTATGAAATATCGCGCCGACTTGGTGGATATTTGGTCATGCGGTGTCATCTTATTTGTGCTTCTAGTCGGGAATACACCGTGGGAGGAGCCGACTGAGAAGAAATGGGAGTGGCGAGAGTACATCCGGACCAACGGCCGAAGCACTGATGAGTTGTGGGAGAGGGTGCCATCAGAAGCGTTGTCTCTTTTGCGCGGCATGATGAACATCGAGGTCGAAAAGCGCTTCACGTTTGCGCAAATACGACAGCATCCCTGGTATACCCGACACAACGAGCTTCTTACCTCAGACGGCAGGGTCTTGGATCCAATACAACTGGCTACCCAGATGCTCGCGAACCTTCGTATCGACCTCACGCAACAGCCAACCCCGTCTCAGAGGGCAAATGCCGACTTCATGGAACTGGACAGCCAGCCCACTGCGGCCGACTTCACAGCCAAGTTTTCAGCGACACAGCCAGAGACACCAATCAACGATGTCGCATTTGATTGGGAAAGGCCAACCATGCGGTCCATTAATGGAGCCATTTCATCGACTCAGCCCGCTGCAGGTGCCAACCTCTCCGTTGGCAGCAGAACGAGCCACTCGTTCGATGTGCTGGCAGATGAGCCGACAATGAGCCAATTCAGCCACACACCCGGCGTCCCCGTCAGCTTGACACAGCATGCGCGCCGTTTCAGAGATATCGTGCCTGCCTACTCACTCACACGTTTTTACTCTCATATGCCGGCACAACTCCTAGTTCAGATGCTGAGTGACGCGTTACACCAGCTGAACGTCCCGCTGCAGCCCCCGGTAGTGAACTTGCATTCGAGGGATCATATCACTTCGATGAAGGTGAAGACAGTAGACGGGCGAAACCAAAGCCTCCACGGTGAGATCATGGTGGACATGTTCATGATACCCGACGGCTCCGGCGCAGAGCTGCTCGAGGTGCGGTTCGTCAAGATCAAGGGCGACCCGCTGGAATGGAGGCGGCTATTCAAGAAGATTGCGCTGCTTTGTAAAGATGGCATTTACAAGAACGAGTAGATTTTGGATATTCCAACCTTGTGAGGTTTTTGCATTAGACGGGTGGCACAGGAAAGCCAAGATTGGGGGAAAGTATGAAGCAACAGATATCCTGGAAAGACTGCATGATATGATGATGAGAAGAGCACGATAGCCCTAATGTATGAAGTAATAGACCAGAAAAGCAGTGTTTGTCGTCATTGGAATAGACAAGCTCTTGATTCTCCACCGTGAACTGTTATTTTCTGTGTGCCTAAGTAGCTATCATAACGCCTGTGAACATTTCAAAACGCCCCACCTCATCTCGTCTGCCTGCCCTGCCCGTCGTGGTCTCTACTAAAACAGATTGTTACGTTCAGGCCTCTTACGATGCATCCAATCGATCCCAATCGTCGAGGTAGAAGTTCTGTAAAGTCGTGTCCCAACTTCTGATAGTAATAGACATGACCTGCTTCAGCTCCTGCCACACGGCTCCATGGCCCGTGGCACCGAGGGCCCGTTGACACTCATCGCAAAGGCAGACAAACACTCGAAGATAGGCGTGGACCATCTCATGAACCAGGGTCTCCAGCACGTCAATCAAGGACCGCATGACAATGCCTCCTCGCTTTAGTTTGGGGTGGCTGGCGTCGATACTGATCTTCGCTTTCAAGGCTGAGGTATCTCCCTTGTCTGTCACTTCTGTGAGGCCCCAAACGGCTTGTTCGCCTTTTTCAAGCTTCCCGATCTGGTCGAATATGTCTGCCCGGAATTCAAGCGTGACGCGGCGGTGTTTGCCTCCAGTCAGATGGCCCGAGAAGAAGAAGTTGTCCAGACACCGCATGAGATGCTGAAGCGACTCCTGGGTTGGTTTTGCTTCGCGCTTGACGAAGTTGACAAATTTGGATCGGTAAATAGTCTGGTTACTTTCAAGAAGCTTCTCACACTCAAAAAGTTCCTTGGTCCTCTGCAAAAGGGCCCGTGGCTGGTAGGAATGGTTTTTGAGCTGCAGCTTACGGCCTCCACCCCGAATGAGGAGAGGAGGCACTGGCTCATGACTTTGAACTGAAAAAAGAGGCATATTTTCGTTGAGAATCCAGTCGATAGGGGTATCTTCATCCGAGTCTCCTGCAGCAACTTCATCATATGTCCAGACTCTGGGAATTGAGAGCAACACCTCGGGATACCCATCACTCCTTGTGGCTATTATTATATATATTCGACCAGAGAAATACTATGAGTCCAGAGGGACATGATGAATACCACAGGGAGAGAAATCACGTCTACTCCGTGTTTTTCGGCCTCGGATGAGCCATTGTGTGCAAACTCGTGTCGTGATCCCAGAGCGCCTTCGACAAAGCAAGCGTTAGCCTTAGTAGCAGCAGCCCCTGGGGGCTTGATCATATTAGATTTCCGACTGAAAAGGGGTAGAGATAGGATCTTAACTCAATTGATTATCGTAAACGTGCGGGTACTTGTCATTTGGATGCAACACAAGACTGCACGTAGATACTCTTTGTCCCTGCCCAGACATAAGCATGGACAATTTGGGAAATGAAACAAATTCTCAGTTTGGAAGCCGGAGACTTTCAAGCAATACCGCTTTCTTCTCCTTATTTCCCCCCTGCTCCTCCCAGGTGGAGCGGAAAACAGTAGACGAATGTTTTCACAAAGAGAACTACAGAGCAGAAGAGGCTGACTAGTGACAAAGAGGGAGACGCGATTTTCCCAAAAAATTAATTTCGAGCCAAAGCCATCTCAGGAAGCCATTCTTTGAATTTGGTATCGTGTGCTCTGGAATCCATTGAGGAAACTTGAGCTCGTTTCAAGGGCGGATAGATACGATCACTTGGTTTTGAACTCGTCCACGGGTCCAGCCGGAGAATAAAGAGGTCTTGTCTCACTGTGAGGCATCTACATGGCCCATCAATACGATTGTTCTCGCTTCAAGTTCTAAGAAAGAATGAATCCCATATCAAATATTTGTGTTCTTCACGAGGGTAATGGGGAAAGTTCGCCTGGCGGTGCATTTCTAGATCCCGTTTAGGTGCGGAATGGACCATTTTAGAACGGCGATCATGCTAACTCAAGTAAAGACTACTCGGTGTGTATGATAATTCCTCTTCGGTCTTGTTCTACAACCGATGCCATCTGATCAAAATTTTGGAATCTCTGGAGGTCTGTACATTTTTTTACTAGCAGTCTAGTAGGTTTTTGTTGATCAAATTTGGAGTGATGCGTCGATTACGTCGATCTGCCGTGGGTGTGGATTTGGGATGAGCTATGTCGTGTCGTCATAAACTCCCGGTCTACTACATGTCTCTAGAGGATGATGCGTACTTATACTCTTGAAAGTTCTTTGCATCAAACGCCGTTGACCCCAGAGATACTTTACTAGTCATGTCACGTCTTTTATCAAAGCTCTCTTCCCCTGTTCTAGTTCGCAGCGCATTCAGATCCCCCACTAGTCCAACAATAGTATCCAGGGCAACCATGGCGACAGGTACTTCTTCTCTTTGAATACGGAAGAATACTTACTGACCACCTCGGTAGGAAAGACAGAAAACAAAGACCTTCAGGCCAACTCGCTGTTCGATGTGTCCCACATCACAGCGGTTGTGACCGGTGGCGGCACTGGCATAGGCCTTATGATAACACAGGCTCTGCAATCTAATGGAGCAAAGGTGTATATCACAGGCCGTCGGGAAGATGTCTTGAAGCAGACAGCCAAAGTGTACAGCACTGGGCCCGGCAGTATCCATCCCTTGGTCGGCGATATCAGCAAGAAGGAAGAGACCATTCGCTTAGCCAAGGAACTCGAGAGCCAGGAGCCAAATGGCATTCAGTTGCTGGTCAACAATGCCGGCATTGCGAGGGACGATGATACGAAATTCTGTGAGTGGAAATTTTCCCCAACAGGTGTTGATATTGGGGTTGCCTTGCTAATGTTTACCAGCGGCGAATGGCGAGCCAGACTACAAGGACGCGAAGGCCATCTCAGAGCACTTCCTCCAGACCAAGGAGGAGCAATGGGCCGAGACGTTAAGGACGAACGTTGCAGCACAGTACTTTATGTCGATGGCTTTCCTACCGCTTCTCGGCAAAGGAGGTTCCCAGAAGCCCGGCTACTCATCGCAGATTGTCAATGTTTCTTCCATTTCCGGAGCCATGAAAGGCTCCAGCCGAGGGCAATTTGCCTATGCCACGTCCAAGGCCGCTTTCACTCACCTGTCCCGCATGTTGGCGACCACATTCAAAGATGTGCCGGTCCGAGTCAACGTGATTGCACCTGGGCTGTTCCCGAGCGAGATGACGGCCGGGTCTTCAGACGAGGAAAACAAGAGCCAGCTTAACACCAAGTCGACGAACCCTGCCGGCAGAACAGGTCACGACACTGACATGGGGGCTACGATTCTGCTCTTGGCTGGAAAGGGCGGACTTTTCTATAATGGTCAAATCCTTTATCCGGATGGCGGTGAGTAAACCTGCCAACACATTGTGTGTGCCGTGCGAACGCTGACGTGTTTTTAGGATCGACCTTAATTAGCCCAGCTGTCAATAACTGATGGTTATTGACAATTGGATTTCTATAGACATATCTCCTGAGTAATGCCAGTTTTATTCAGCGACTCATGGAAATGAAAGCTTTGCATGCGCTGTGGGCATCAGCTAGTCGGCCCATCTGTTTAGATTGACATGAATGCTATGCAACGCACGGGCTCTCATGTATGGATTTATAATAGATATAGTTCCAATTGAAGATCAAGAAACATAATCTCCAAAAGGAAAGTTGTTGCCGACTCAAACTAATCCTAGCTGTGTTGTGTGCTTCAAATGTGACCTCTGCCCAGGAGTTGAATGGCCAGGTGTCTGCGTGCCGCCTCCGTCAACTCACCGGGCAACAGCAGCCAAAGACCTAAAAGTCTATCCGACCCATGCGTGTTTCCGTCAATTTGGATTTCCAATTATCCTGAATGGCGAGGGTGAGATGTCACTGGGTGGCATCGTACTACCCCACGACCCAAGTCCGGCGTTTACGGTCTTTATCGGGGTTCGACTTGATGAGGACAGGAGGAAATGGCTTACGTCCGAGTTGACAAGACTTGTAGCACGCATCAACAGCGAACAATGCGTTGTCTATTAGGTGATAGAAATTCAATCACGCTGTATCCCGTATTGAGGGGTTTAAAAAGGAGGAGACATCTCGCTAAAAAGAAGAAGAAAAAAGAAGAAGAAAAGAGGACGCAAGAATCAAGACTATTGAACCAGCCACATACGAATCTCGCTCTTTAAATCTGACAAGATGTCGACTTATACCGCCACGGACTATCTTTTAGATCGCGCCAATATCCATGACACAGTGACGAAGCTGGTGCGAATAGTGTCACAATTCACCCTGTTGATTCGAATGACTAATAGACGAAACTAAAGGCATGGTACTACGATACCCGCTCAGAAGCCGGGCTGCGCGATGAAGTCTTTGCTCCTGAGCTGCACGTAGACTACTCCAAGATCCTGGGCGGCGAGCCCTTCACCGTCACCGGCCCGGCGTGGGCGGCGCAGGCGAAGAAGCTTTGTGAGAGTTTCGACTCTTCACAGCATCTCTACGGGTAGTCATATATCCCCCCATTCCAACAAAGCCCTGAGTTGTGCAGTTGGGACACTGACACGGACCAGATACCTTATAATCGAGCTGCCCCAGCCCGGCTCATCGTCAACGCCTCCTGAGAAGTGCACAGTCCTCGGCCAGTGTGGCGCGTCGATGGTGCGCCAGGGAGCCAGCGGAGGGAGCAGCCTCTTGCAGAACGGGGTAAGCCGTGCCTGGGCGAAATCATCGTCTCTTTCTCCGGTGGATCTCCATGCTGATGCTTAACATCCAGGGCCAAGCCATCATTGAAGTCGTTCGTCTACCAGAACTGGAAGCTAAAGGGGTCAACCCATGGAGGGTCAGCAGCCAGATAATCACCCCGGCGTGGGAACTAGGAAACAAGGCTGTCCTCGAAGGGCTCCAGGCCCAGGAGTCTTAGACCGTGAATGCAGGACGTCTGTCTTTTCTAACGTCTGTATTGTCTGTTCGAAAGGAATTTCACCGTGCTATGACCGATTGTACTGCGCGATGGGATATCTCTGTGTATGAAATCCAAAACAACAAGTAGGCAGACCGATTGGGTAAAGAATGCCAAAAACGTTATCTGCCCCCATTTATGCAGAAGGGCCGCCCTGCTTGCCACTCAGAGTCAAGCTCTCCTCGATGGCCTTCTTCAGATCCTCGTCGTCTTCATCATCTCCACCAGCGCCCTCAGGCTGCTTTCCCTTGGCCTTCTGCCTCCGGAACTCCTCCTCAGCCAAGCTCTGCTTCTTGACGTACTCCATGATCACTTCCTCCTCGGACCTCTCGGTCGTCCTGCGCGCGAGGTCCGCCTGGTGCGCTCGCTCAGACTCCTCCAGTGCCTTGCGCAGTTCCTCGTCCTGGCCACCCTCCCCGTGGCCCTGCGCAGTCTCTCTCGACTCCTGCAGGGCTCGCTCAAAGGACTCGTCCTCGGTGCTGTGCCCTTGCGCAATGACACTCTGCCTGGCCGCCTCCGCGATCAGCGCCTCAAACTCCTCGTCCGTGATTTCCTCGCCGCCGGCACCGAGCCCGACCCTCTTCTCGTCCGCCCACGCGGGCGGCTCACTTGGCTCCGACGGCCTCTGCTTCCAGTCGCCCATCTGCCTCTGCTGCTCCTGCTGCTTCTGCTCTTCCGCGATGCGCCGCATCTCCTTGACGCTAGAGCGGATCTGGGCCTCGATCATGGCGTCCTCATTGGGGTCGCCGCGGGATGTCTGGTTGACGGATTCGCGGATGGCTCGCTCCATGCCGGGATCTTCCGGCTCCGCGGTAGGCTGAACCCCTGCTGCCGCTTCTTCCCTCTTCTTCTTCTTCCACGCGTCCCTCTGCTCGTGCAGCTTCCTTCTCTCCTCCAACGACATGTGCCTTGTGTTCCAGAAGCCCGTTTTTGGTGGTGAGTCCGGAATTCTATCGAGATCATCCTGGGATGCGGTCGATGCCAGGCCAGAGGGTGTTTCGTTGGCGCCAACCTTCTCTTTGTATTTGAGGACATACAAGCCCCTCAATTCAGAGCTCATGGAGTTGAACCGCACGATGATGTCCTGCATCTCTTCAACATTAGCAGAGCGAAGATCAGCTTGACCCTGCAGTATTCGCGAGGTGACCACGTATTTGTCTACGCTGTGGTGGAACTTCGATCTGATTTCTGCGTGCACGCCCTTCATCATGTATGCGGGTATCGCCCAGATGCCTAGAGAGCAGTCAGTGTCGCCGCATCGCATCTTGCACTGTTCAGATTCACTCACCAGCAGCAGGCTTGAGGATCAACCCACCAATACCCTTACCCACACCCTTGATGAATCCCTGACCGCCCTGCTTCTGTGCTCCTTTGTATGGCTGCGTTACCAGCCCGGAGACGCCGTCGTAGAAACCGAGACCGAGCTCCTTCCACGCAACCACCACTCCGCTGCCAAGCCCGGTGACTTTGTCCGGTTTGCGGATAGTGTCATCATTGTACAATCGAGGCGCGTTGCGAAACCCTTTGGCCAGCCCCATACAGAAATTCATCGGAGACTTGAATCCTGTCTCGACGATACGGGTGACGTTCTTGCCAGTGTCAAGGCCCATTCCAAGCGCGGTCTCGACGTCGATGTTCTTCTTCGGCTTCCCACCTTGGGAGCTGCTGGGGCCTGAAGGTGACGGAGAAGTGGCGGACCTGGTAGGAGATCTGACGGGAGATTTTGAAGCACTGGAGGCTTGAAGCGTAGATCCTCCTAGGATAGATGGGTCTCGGCCTTGGGAGCTTGATGTGTCCGACTGCGCCGGAGGGCTCAGGAGTGCCGACGGTTGGGCTGACCAGGTGCTAGCCCCATCGGAAGGAAGCGTGAGCTGAGAGGACGAGGCAGCATCGTTCGATGTTGCTGAGCTGTCGTCTTTCTTTGGAGTGACCGATCCACTAGAGGACTTCTTCACAGTCTTGTACCAATCTCTCGGTATGTCACCAATAGCCATGGCGATGCTCCCCATGTCTCCTACAAGGGCTGCCGTTACAGCGGATATCGGATCCCATGGCTGCTCTTCTGTGTCGTGCTCTTGAGAACGATACCTGAAAATCAGTTAGCAAAGTAGTATGACCGACCTAGAATAGGGAGCTCTACAGTTTCAGATCTGCATAGCGCAGTAGACCCTCTTTCACAAGTACCGCTGCCGCCAGAGCACTCAGTCGGACCTTCGTTCGCCTGACGCGCCAGACAGCTGTACGACTAGGAGCGATAGAACACCGCAGATTGTCGTAATCGAGGAAGTCGTGGAAGCTCTTGGCGCCCTGATCTGCGCCCTTCTCTTGCCTAATCTTCTCACCAAGCTCCTTTGCCCTTGCTTGGGTCTCAGGCTTCAAAGCCGAGGTGATGGCCTCGGCCAGCTTCTCCGCAGTCAACTGCTTGTAAGGGATGGGAGCCGGGCCAGCGCCAGCCTTCGCGATCATGGCCCCCCAGAACGGTTGATCACCAAAGAATGGGACCACAACGGTCGGCGTCCCAGTCTTGATGCCTGCGGCAGATGTGCCGGCACCACCGTGGTGGACCACACAAGACACCTTCTTGAACAGCCAGTCATGCGGGCAATTGCCCAGCATGTAAACACCTTCAGGAATACCCACAGAGTCGGCCCCAATGCCGCCCCATCCCTTAGAGACAAGAGCTCGGACTCCTGCCTGAGTGACGGCATCGAAGATCATTCTCGTGAGCTTGTTAGGGTCATCGACAACGATGGAGCCGAAGCCAATGTAGACAGGAGGTGGACCACTCTCAAGGAAGGCTGCCAGCTCGGGCTCGGGCGTGTAGGAAGTGGCTAGGTCGAGGAAATAGAAGCCGGATATTGAAATTTCGCGCCCCCAGTCGTTAGGTTTAGGGATGAGGGCTGGAGACCAGCAATATGTCGTCGGGATTTGTAGGCGTGACAGAAGGCCTGGGGCCCAGATCAGGGACAGTGGTTCGAGGTCAAGTACCTTGGTCCGAAAGCGATTAATGACATCCCCCAATCCTTGCCATGTCATCATCTCTACTAGGGCGTAGGAGACGAAGTTGGTCATAACAGTATCAGTATCGGTACTTTGGATGTTGGCTAGAGGGTGTGGGAATGCTCGCGTGGGTGACCACGGCATCGTGAACATCATGTGCAACGGTATACCCATTTTCTCAGCGATGTGAATATGGCCAAAACTTGGCGGGTTTGCAATGATGGCATCGGCCACGAACGGCTTGTCTTCAGGGTTTCCAGGTAGACTGTAGTCATCTCCCAGGGGCTCGTTTGATAGGTCCGTCTCGACGGGCGGGCCCAGTCCATTACCAGCCTCGATGCAGGAACGCCAGGTTCCAAGAACAATCTGCTCGATGCCCTTCCGCCGCTTGGTGATCTCGCCGCTCTTGAGCGCGTCAATTCCAGGCATGAGACCGGGGTTCTTCACCATGAAGGCCATGAGCTCGGCAGGGTCACCACCGATGCAAAAGAACTCCAGTCCATTCTCTTCGACAAACTTCTGAAAGGTGGCATGAGTCGCAATCCGCACCCTGTGTCCGTAAGTGTCTTTCAACACCTTTCCTAGCGCAACAAATGGCTGGACATCACCACGTGAGCCGACGATCTGGATGACCAGATTTAGTTTGGGAGGTGGTGTTTGACCAGGTAGGCCACCCAGGCTGGGTGGTATGTATGCTGGTGGTAGAGGCCCTGAAGGAGTCTTCTGAGATGGCAGTAGCTGACTCTTCAAGGCTGGGGCCAAAAGCTCAGACAGCCTCCGGTTGGTCTGGCTGATATTGATGTTGACACGACCATCATCTGAGTGAAAGCTTTAGCAGAGTGCCCATGGGGCTTTGAGGACGTCGATCCCACGGCCGCAGCTCACCTGTGACTGCAGCACCGGCATTAAACCCAGCCTGGGACAAGTTTAGTTGATCATGCACCTCGCCATAGGCCGGAGGCGCCTCGTCACTCGCGCCCAGGTCCAAGGGGCTGCTCGCGTTGTCATGGCTGTAGTTGAAGCCATCCGATACCCCAGCAGTCTGCCGCAAGGTGGACTGCCGGGACAAGTTCTCAGGGTTGTGCTTCTCGACCATCGTGCTCGGATTCGAGTTCTGGTTGAGGGTGGGAAGGTCTTGAGAGAAAGAAGGAGTACCGAGTCAGCGCAGGCCAGGAGTAGAACAAGACCCGCCAAGCTCTGGTACCAGGACCCTGGTATGGGATGGATGCAGGAAATCGGGGGACAGGAAGGCGAACTTGGAAATCAGTCCATAGAGAAAGCTGGCAGAAAGACAAGAAGTGATCGTCATGCGAAGCCAAGTGCAGCTCAGCCTGGGACGTCACCGGCTGCGGGTAACTGCTATGGAGGGGTAGTTTGGTTGGTTTATAGAGGATCGCCAGGACTGGTAAAGTAGACTGTTAGTGGAAACCTTGGAAAGCTTGGTAGGCCCATCCTTGGGGAGAGCAGAGCAGCGATTATTTATTGTACAGCTGGTCCTATAGACGCCTATGTTTGAAAGGGTTGCCTCATGCAAGTGGGCATGGACCTGTCAAACCTGACTCCGTCTTGGCTCCGTCCTTCTGTGCCAGTTCATTTTACCGTTGAGAGGTCAGGGTCCTATTCCCAAAGCCAGCCAGAGTCGGGCTATGACGACGTCTAGTGTGGCGCTGCATCGCTCTATCAGGCGCTGGCTCCAGGGGGCAGGCCAATCAAGCCACCTTGTATACGACAGGTTCCATACGACAAAGGCGTTTAGCGCGTATACGCAAATCCGAGGATAATACGAGCAACAATTTGCAAACAACGACTATTCAAGACAGAGCCTCGACATGCTCTCCACTATGCTCAGCTTCTCTAGATTCAACATCTTTGCTTTGAAAACAGAAAAAGTAAATCAAAGAGGAAAAGGACCCCTGCTGACCCACGTTCTAAGAACGCCTAGAACATGTAAGAACCTTACATCGCAAGGCTGAACGTGGATGAGGTTGAAGTACAGAATCCTCCGATAAGCCAAGTACCTACTACTGCTGCAAGGAATAAGGTGTGGTGGTCCATGACGAGTCCCTTGCCATGTGCATTCCGAATCCGTTGGAGTGCATGGCTCCGGAGTCGATGCAAGCTGGAACGGTCCGGCCCATCATCCAATTCCCGTATCCGTCGGGTCAGCTTTGACTTCGCGTACCAAATAAGCTTAAAGGAGCATCGTCTCTATTCGCATACTTGAACAAGCACTGCACATGGAGGCTCAGAGTAGCGTTGTGTGGAGGTTCCATAGCGGGAATCTTCTAGACTTTCGTACCTTACAGCTCGGAGGCGCTACACCTCTGTGCTGTCACTATCACACCGCAGGCTGGTTGTAATATACTGTGTGATTCGGTATCATTCCCAAATGCAGTTCCAATTCAAGTGCCCACAACCCATCTGACGCCTAAAATAAATGTCTCGTGCTAGGGAGGATCTTCGGCCGCATCATTGCTGCAGAATAATTGTAGCGTCGTTCCTCACATCTAGGCCCGTTGCCTATTTATGGCTTCCTTCGTGCAGCCAGCAATATTTCACATCAAGTCGTCTCACTCCTTTCTTGTAGGCGGACTTATTGCCCATTACCCGCAATAACCTATCGGCAACCATCTAGCTCGAGAACTTGCGAGTGATCTTTGCAATGACTGGAAAGAGGTTAGAATGGCCACATTTCTCTTTCATTAGTATGGGGCCAACTTACTGTGGAGGGCAACGACAGAGAAGATGAAGACCAGAGACAGCACCAACACGACCACGGGGTCAACCTTGAGACCGGGAGACTCGTCGGTGTAGAGCCCTATTATAGCGAGACTCGTTAGCAAGAAGTTCGTCATCTCTTAAGAGGGGTTCCTTGAATGACACCACTTGTCCAATAACCATCGTGCGTCTCCGCTAAAGTGCCACCGGCCAGCATGATAGCAAGAGTACGCATGAGGATCTTCGAACAAGGTGTGGCTCATCCAGGGGAGTCGACGCCGCGAGTGGCGTCGACCAAATGAATGGGGCAGGGGCGATTCGTACTCAGCATCGTCGAGCTGCTCCCGCCGGCGCCGGCCGAGCGCGTGCTGTTGGGCCGCGCATTGGCAATCTTCTCCTTCTGGTCGGCAGCGGCCCGTCTGCGAATGACGGCGCGGGCTCCGCCCGGTGGTGGAGGGGAGTCCGGGCGGGCGGTGGACTGGCCGGAGGCGGGTGGTGAGTTCACCGGGGATGCGGGACGAGGGGAAGACTGCGTATGGAGAGAGCGAATGGTTAGCTACAAGATGTCCAGCTCGGGACGGCCAAGGCAGGGGAGAGAGGGCGGTGATGGCAATGGGAGGCGAGCCATTTCGCGATGGGATGCGCGGGCGCACTCTGCTCAATGAACCTCTTGTGGACAGGGGAAGACATACCATTTTGACCGAGGGTGATTAAAAAGGTAAAGAACGAGGTGCGGCAAGAGAATTGAGAAGGGCAGAGTCAAGCTTCTGGTTGTTCGTGAACTCGAAGGAATGGAAAGGAAGCAGTGATGGCTTGCTGGATGGTGGTGTGTGTCGCGTGAATGGAGCTCTACTCAATGGCTGCAGGTGCTGGCCCCCAGAAATTCATTCAAACAGGTGTCTTCAATTGAGAGCGCAAGGCCAAGAAGGACTGACGCTAGCCAGATCTGCCCACAGCAGGGTACGTACTCCGTCCCAGCAGCCGGCACCAGCAGCCAGCAGCAGCTACGAGTAGCAGCAGGCCGGCAGGCCGGACAGTCGGCTCAGGTTCATCCGACCTCCATTCCAGCGCCAGCTGCCCAGGACCACCCCTGCATCAGGTCAGAGGAAGGACCCTGGAATAGCATATGAAAACGGATCCATCTGGATATGGAGCTCTTTTTGGCTTCACATGGGGATCTGCAAACTGGCCCAGTTCTAGATCAATTCTAGTGACCGTTTGTTCATTTTGGTCCGTCTTTGGGCATGCTTGAATTTCGGAACCATGGATTTGACCACCAACCACCTGGCCTCACTGTCCCAGCTCTGTCATCTCGGGATTGCCCGGTCTCTTCATCCAGGCCGATGTTGCACCTCACCCGCAGATAGGTAGGGTACGTAACGTTATGGACGCCTTCTCCACCACCAGCTGCCAGATATTTGGAATAGGTTTACAATAAGCTTTGGATCATCGTGCATATTCCTGACTCCCGGGGTCGCTTGATATGATGCTGGTCTTCTGCCCGTCTGTCCCCTGCCGTCCCAGCACGTGGTTCGGCGCGTTTCTCTAGCTTGGTTCTACTATCCCGTTGTGTTCCTTGATTCAACGCCGTTTCTTCATCTTGTAAGAGCTTCAAATCTTTCATGTCATTAAACCAAGCAATGCAAGTACACACAGAACGGCTGAAGTAGACCGAAAGCACGATAGAGGTTAAGGTTCACAGCACTATAATATTCCCCTTCTGTCTGCTTGCAGACACCTGTGTCTTCTTGTCTTGTATATGTAAAGTAAGCAAACAGCAGTAATGTTTGGGGAATGGTGAATCGACAAATGAAATAGAAAGGTGTGAGTTTCCCTGCAGTCGGGGAGAACATGTGGTAATAGAAGCCTCAGAAAATGCCGAATGCCTGCCAGCCTGGTCGCTTGTTCCTCCTTTTTACACGCAAAATCATCAGGCTGCTCCCCTTTTTCTGGCGCAATGGCAAAAGTAATAGTAAAGGTCGGTATGTCCTCTTTTAGTCTCCCCTTCCCGCCGCTCGGAGGCTCGAGGCTTGTTGAGGCCCTCCTTGTCGAACAGAAGATGCTCGCTCCGAATGCTGGCACTGCTTCGCCCACTGCTTCCCGCTTCCCCGTGTCCTGTCGCTGATCTGCTCCGAATGTCATCCCCAGCAAGGGCGCACAGGGAAGCGTGGTTCACCTGGACTCGTTGTCGAGAATCCGCACCCTATCCTCTTCCCCAAACTCTTGCTCCAGGCTGGCAGGACATCGCTGCGAGAGCCTTACTATTTATATGCATTAAACAGTAGAGGTCTATACCAGTCGCAACTGGCGATGCACTTCCCAACGCCTTCCGCTATGAGCAAACTCGAAAACACTGACGCAACGTAATGCGTTGTCCCCTGCGTGACGACGATGTACCTCGTATGGTTTGGGATATCGGATTGTCGCAGGTGGCAGGCGCAAAGGTGGATTGAAAAAGAAGAACATAGAAAAGTATTAACTCTCTCAAAGAGTCACGTCGAGGACAAGGCTGACGTCTTGCACGTTCGAGCCGGCCAGGTCTTCAAGGACGGGTATCAAGTCTAGGAGCTCGTTATCGTGCGCATCGGAAAACCAGCTGCTTATAGGGACGGCATGTTGCGGGTGGAAAATGTAGGATGTGGGGGAGTTGTCGATGATAATTGTGTCTTTCAGGTCTCGACCGATCTTGGCGAGGTCCTTCACGTAGTTGCCACCGTGGTTGTGGCAGCTCTCTCGGAATAACCTGTGGTGGACGACGCCATGAATGTCCAATTGATCCAGCAGAGGGTCGCCGTACTGTGTTTTCCGTCAGCAGAGCACACCGGGTAGACTTTGGCGGGGAGACATACCTTGGACACCGACGCTGTGAACACGACAACTTCGTAGAGCTCGCCCACTCTCTTCATGAACTGGTCTACACCTGGCCGCTTGATCACGTACACGTTGTGGTAGTTGCCCTCAATTTCCACGGGTATCGTGAAATCGGCTTGGTGGAGAATCTAAGTTTTGTCAGCGCTTGAGCCTATGAACGATGACTGAGTATGGAACTTACCTTGAAGGAACTGTGGACTAGAGTCTCATCCAGATCGAGGACAAGGCACTTCCTGCCCTTGAAATGTGGTTGTATGGGTGGCAACAGAGCTTCTTGAAGGGGTTGATCTGTTGCGACAATCATACCACCCTCATTTTGAGGCGCAGTGGGCGCGTCTGGCATTGGAGCAGGAGGGGGTGGTAAATTCGAAAGGTCTTCAGAGTCGACCGGTTGTGGTGGCTCGGTCGCCTGGAGGGCCGCAGCATCAACCATCTCGGTATCCCCATCCCCGTCCTTGGCAACAGGACCTTCCGAAGCTGAAGCACCGGCCTCAGCCTCTTGAGAGCGAGGTGGTTCAACAGTCACTGTTGGAGCTGTTCCTATCAGTGTCGATTGTTTCGATTCCTCTGCAAGAGTTGACTGGTCCTGAGTAGTAGCACCTGAGACTCTCTGTGCCTTGGAAGGCTCGGGAGGATTTTGTGTCTGTGACGCATCTTTCTCCTGCGTTTGGGATTTGCTGGCCGCAGTATGCTCCGAGGGAGTCTGAGCCCTTCGACTGGCAGTTGTTGGTCGTGGGGGCAGCTTCTCAACTTTGTGAGTCGGGGCATCTGCCGGCTCGTTGTCCACCACGTGAGCATCGTCAGGAACACCGCAGCAAAACAAGGATAGAAGGCCGCCCTTCTTTTTCCGTTGGACTGGCGCATTGGATGTATTCGGCACCGAGTTGCCAGGAGTTGCCGCCTGGTTGGCATCGATAGCCGATCGGTTGCTGGACGCGCTGCCGTTCCTGTGGCGACCCATAATGCTTGCCTTTGACTCTTTCGAGCGCCCACCGATGCTATCTCTGGATTCGCTCGCAGTCGCTCCGCTCAGTCCCGTCGAGGTAGGTGACGATTGGCGCTTCTTGGACGATGATCTGGAAGGAACCTTCAACAGTCGACCCTTTTTGGAGGATGATCCGTCCCCTGCTGATGCAATTTCTTTCTCTCTTGAGCTGTCGTAGTCGTCTTGGGTTTTCTCGATTAGGTCTCGGGACATTTCGCCGTTTGAGCTCGATGATGGGATCTACGCTGGCAACTGGGATCAGGCCTGCGATCACATTGGTCAGCATTGGAGTAGAGCACGTGGGTTCGACGGCCAGCTTGTGTAGATGGGCGCGGAATGATTGACGGCATCATTTTGGGCGAATCCCCGGCCATCTTGTCATTGCGAAAGCCAAGGGCCTGGCCCAGAGCTGAACGGGGGTTGTTCCCGGAGAGCGCAATGCATGAAAAGTTTCGGGGGCGATGATGACCTGCTGAGTTGGCGTGGGGAGGACCATGGGCGAACGAATGCCCATGGTCGCGTTCTGTCTGGATGGAAACTGTGGGAAAACCTCACATACCTCTGTAGTCGCAGTCAACGGGGGCTCCAGACCGTGTTCAGTGTCCCGTAGCTCTTTCGACGGTCGCAGGCCTGAGGGAGGACCAATTCAGCTTGTCGACAACGATGTTGTCGAGAATGAATAGTTGTGGTTGTGGTCAAGTGTGTCGGAGGTGTTTCTCGAGTAAGCAAGTTGGGTAATTTCGAGCTCGCAGATTCGACCAGGGGCTGATCTCGGTCGGGAGATGAGGGTGCCGCTCGCGCGCCAAAAGGAGGTCGAACGGGGGGCTGATGATGCTGTGGTGACCTAGGTGGGCAGGTAAAGCAGATGCAAGGCGACTCTCACTTGGGTGCAAGCAAGAGAGGCGGTTCCCAGGCGGGCACGAGGTCGAAGTAGACGCGAAGGAGGTGCAAGCCGCGTCGCCCGTCAGCCAGACTGGATTCTGGACTTGAAGGTACGCAGCGGATGGAGAAAGGAGCTCTGGGAGGTTGAAGAAGGTATCGGATCGGAGGCTGAAGAAGTCTAGCAGCAGAAGCGAGATTGGGCCAGCGTCCAAAGAAAGGCAGTCCTGGGAGGGCAGGCCTGGCAGGGTGGATGGGTGGACTGGCAGGTAAATTGCGGTACAGGTGCTAGCTGCTAGATAACGCACCCCGGCCGGGAGGAAGGACATCTTGCCCAATTCCGCCTAATGGGACTGGTGCTGGCTGGTGAGTGGCTTGGAGTAGCACGTTAGTCTCCAAAAGCGGACCTCGCTCCGGCCTGCACTAACAGCAATGTATCTGCTCGCCCAAGGATCCTGGGCGTGACACCGTCTGCCATGGCCCATCATGGCCCATCATGGCCCAAGGCCCACGGCCCTGGGAGGGCAGGGCTTCCCTTTTGGGTGCTGAAGCTTGGGTCTGGTCTTATTAGCAGGCACAGCAGGGAGATTGACACTGGACACTAGGCCGAGGACGGGATCTAGAGCATACTGCACTGTAGGTATTTTAGTCGCCAGTGGGGGCCCTGATTATTATTGTAGTGAGATAATGACAATGTCCTCCTGCAGGATTTCTGAGGTTTGGTAGTGTCATAGTCTCATACCGTGCAAACCCAGCAACAAGTCGCAGGGAGACTACTGTATCACCTGCCTGTTTGGCCTGTTTGGCCTGGGCGAAGCTTCTGCTTCTCCCAAGGTTGCGATGCCATGGGCGGGAATAGCCAGACTATACCTAGGTACCTAGGGGTCTCTTGTCTTCCTCCCGTGGCCCATAGTACACTCGGCAGCAGCTCAATGCGAATCATCACCGACGCCCCGTTCCGTCCGCACCCGCGTCATGCCTGCTCGTGGAGCTGGTCATGCAGACGGCCAGGGGAGCGGGCGAGCGAGATCCAGACAGACGGCCGGACAGCCCAGCAACACCATCATGGGGACGAGGCATGACACAATTACCCGAGGGGCCACAAGCAATTATTGGTACCTATGAGGAGCTGCTCTGCCCAGTCTGCACAACTTGGGGGAATAGGGGGCCTGGGGCCACGATGGAACCAACGCACGCGGGCATCTGGGCACATTGCTTCTACTGCGAGGCGGAGATGCGACACTGCGTACTGTACTGTGCTGGGGACTGACTGGCTGCGGTGCCACTGTGTAGTCTGTGTACATGTATGATTTGGTTCCCGCTGAACCCACCAATCCACAATCGGAGCCCACGTTTCACACTCACGGTGGAGATGGCGGGTAGCTGAAGCCAGAGAAGCTTGTGAGGCTTCCAAAGGTTCCTCGCTCGTTGAAGATTCTCGTGCAGGCTGGCATGGCGCCGCCCAGGGCATGAAAAAAGCAGGCGAGAGGAGGCTCTGCACGGCTTTCACGGGATGTCGTCTACGGGCTTGCACTCGAAACCATCGTAGGTGCCCTGATCCCGATGCCCTGATGCCCAGATCTGCCAGCTGAGCACATTGTGCCCTTGGGCTCAATGGTCGGACGGCGCAGCCAGTCACAACGCTGATGCACACATGCTTGAACTCCGGCAGCCGCTACGGTCCGAAAGCAAGCACCACTTGCTTGCCACCCCTGAGATGGAGACGGATATCCGTCTGCAAGGCCGTGGGCTGGCCTGGTCTTGATTGGTCCTGTTGCCGCCGAACCATGGAACGGAGTGTCATTTCATGTCATTCAGAGGAACCAACCTGCCAGCCCGTCCACCCAACTCAATGGCACACCCTGGTTAGACTTTGGATCGAAATGAACTCATGGTAGGCCACCAAAGGCCGTGGGTAGATTGTCTCTGATTGCCTCTATCTCTGTCTCTGCGCGGGGATCGCTGAAAACTGCGGTCTGACGACTTTGTTACGTTAGTGAAGGCTGTACGGACACACACAGTTCAAGGCACCCCAAATGTGCCGGTAAAACTTGATCAATATACAGTACTGCACTCCCTGTAAAATAGCCTCGTGTGGGATAAGCTCCTGTGGAACAACCTCCTACTCCCTTTTAGGATAAACTACTATAGGATAGCCTCCTGTTCGATGATGATACACCTAGGAGTAGGTGTTATCTGCACTTCTGACCTCTTTCTATGCTTCTTGAGTAATGGCCAGCCTCTAGGACCCCTGCAAGTTGCACATGCATACATACGGCCTGGCCTGGCCTGGCCTGGGCTGCGGGCTTGACACTGACTTACAATGAGAGACACCGTGGAGTAGCATGTGGCCTTCTGTCTAGTCTAGCCTTCAGACACAGCCGATCTTATATCATGTCTTGCTAAAGTCTGGCCACAGTGAGCCTGCACGCCTGCAAGTGTGGCTGCATTCCTGGACAACGGCAGATCTAATTCACCGCCGCCGCGCACGAGCCCAAATCTTGAATCTCTATGCAGACGATGCATTGGAGAAACAAAAACAAGCAAGAAAAGAAGCTGCTCGAGCTCACAGACGATTTGAGCAATCAGAGCTTGAGAACTTGCAGGGCTGAAAAAAACGAACTCATAGTCGATGAGCCTGCGCTCAACGGCGATGGACCGTCCGTTGACAACCTTGGAAGCTTGACAAAGTAAGCACCTGGGAGTGGGGAGCCCGAAACCCTGGCCAGCTCGATCTTCTCCGCTTGGGGGCCCTCCTCCGTTAGAGCCTCGGGCTTGGAATTCTGGGGTAGCAGGTACTAGCAGCTAGGGACAATCACATGCCGCAACCTCCAATCCCGAGTCCGTCAACCCGCGCCGCAGCTCGGGTGAATGACATCGGAACAACCAAGTATGACTTGTACGTGGATGGAACGCCAACTTGGCACAATACAAGCAAAGCCGCGGCTTTTGATTAAATTTTGAAATCATTTGCCCTCGTTGATCTATTGCCGATTCTTGTCCAGGTTTGAATGGCTTTCTGAACTACCCAGCCGCAACATAGTCGCCGCTGACGGGCAAGGGCACTCGACTCGATCGCACAGCGCCGCCGCCGCACCCAATGGCAAGCCCTCCAGACCTGTCTCGATAGAATTTCTACAGGCCAACACAGCATGGCGGGCCAATCGACACTGCGGCGCTCAGCCGCCGAGGGCGCCATTCTGGAGTTTGTCGAAAAATACTCGGCCATGATCCGAACCCGCTTGCGCCAGACTTCGCGAACAACCCGCCTCCTCGCAACCCTCGCCCTCGTCTCTTCCATCATACTTGGCGCAGAGGGCTCCCGCCGCTGGTGGAAGCGCAGGAAGACAGAGAAAGAGCAGGGCTTCAAGCTCGTGAGAACCAACTCGTGGCTGCATAACAAGGACGGCTCTCGCACCATATACGTCCCTTACAAAGACGGCACCTCCAAGGTTGTGATCTATACGACCAAGCCGTTGACTTTCGAGGCGCATCGGAGGCTTTTCCTGAACCCGCCACGCGTCTCAGGCCTGGGCGATGCCACCGTTCCATCCGCGCAGACGAAGCCGGGCCTCAACCTGGCCTTCCTCCATCAGTTTCTGAGCCTGATGAGCATCATGATACCGAGGTGGACGAGCAAAGAGGCAGGCCTGCTCGTCAGTCATGGAGTCTTCCTCATGCTGCGGACTTATCTCTCGCTGGTGGTCGCCCGGCTTGACGGCGAGATCGTCCGTGACTTGGTGGCTGGCAACGGCAAGTCATTCATCTGGGGTATTGTCAAATGGTGCGGCTTAGGAAGTTTTGCCTCCTACACCAACGCAATGATCAAATTCCTCGAGTCCAAGGTATCAATCGCTTTCCGGACGAGATTGACGCGGTACATACATGATCTGTACCTCAACGACAATCTCAACTACTACAAGCTATCTAATCTGGACGGCGGCGTCGGCCAAGGAGCAGATCAGTACATTACCCAAGATCTGACCCTATTCTGTGCTGCAGCTGCGAATCTGTATTCGTCCCTAGGGAAACCTTTCGTCGACATCTGCGTCTTCAACTATCAGCTCTACCGATCTCTCGGGCCGTTGGCGTTGACTGGTCTGTTGAGCAACTACTTCTTCACTGCATCCATCCTTAGGCGCCTCTCGCCTCCATTCGGCAAGCTCAAGGCTGTTGAAGGCGCAAAGGAAGGCGACTTCCGCAGCTTGCACGCTCGGTTGATAGCCAACGCCGAGGAAGTAGCCTTTTATGGCGGTGCAGAAATGGAGAAGCACTTCCTTAACCGCGAGTTCAAATCCCTCAAAAACTGGATGGAAGGCATTTACATGCTCAAGATCCGCTATAATATCCTAGAGGACTTCATTCTGAAGTACAGCTGGAGTGCCTATGGTTATCTTCTGTCCTCGTTGCCAGTCTTTCTCCCCGCTTGGGGAGGACTGGGCGGCGCGTCAGAGCTCTTGGACTCCGCCGAGAAGGGTGGCCGTGAGCGCGGCCGCATGCAGAACTTCATCACGAACAAGCGCCTCATGCTCTCACTTGCCGACGCTGGTGGCCGCATGATGTACAGCATCAAGGACCTGTCTGAACTTGCTGGATACACCAGTCGTGTGTACACGCTCATCTCAACTCTGCACCGAGCGCACGCCAACGCGTACTATGCTCGGGGTAGACCCAACGAGTTGTATTCCCTGAGTGATGTCCAGGGCACGATTCAGAAAGGCTTTGACGGTGTGCGGCTTGAGAACGTGCCTATAGTGGCTCCGGCTCTGTGGCCACAGGGAGGCGACGAGCTGATTGATTCCCTCAGCCTGATTGTGCGCCGCGGTGAGCACCTACTGATATCGGGCCCCAATGGCGTCGGTAAGAGTGCCATCAGTCGAGTCCTGGCAGGACTATGGCCTGTGTACCGTGGTCTAGTCTCTCGGCCAAAGGCCAATGGCGAGGACGGAATCATGTTCCTTCCGCAACGGCCATACCTCAGCGTGGGCACGCTGCGGGACCAGGTCATATATCCGGACGGCGAGGCAGACATGCGCGAGAAGAGGAAGAACGAACACGAGCTCAAGAGTGTCCTCGAGGCTGCAAAGCTGGGGTATCTCCCTGATCGCGAGGGCGGCTGGGACACCAAGAAGGAGTGGAAGGATGTCCTCAGCGGCGGTGAGAAGCAGAGGATGGGGATTGCGAGGCTGCTGTATCATGAGCCGCAGTACGCCTTCATTGATGAGGGTACGAGTGCGGTGTCGAGTGATGTGGAGGGCCTGTTGTACGAGACTTGCAAGGAGAAGGGTATTAGTAAGTGGTTCCATTCCCAAGATCATGCAAACTACAAATCACCGTTTCAAGGTTTGTTGGCACTCTTCTGACTGGCATGGATTTATAGCACTCATCACTATTTCGACGCGAGCCTCCCTGAAGAAATACCACACTTTCAACCTCGTGCTCGGCATGGGTGAAAATGGCGACGAGTGGGAGTTCGAGCGCATCGGCACCGAGCGGGAGAAGATGCACGTCGAGAGGGAGCTTCAAGAGCTAAGGGAGAGACTGGCCAAGGTTGAGGAGTGGAAGACAAGGAGGGACGAGATCGAGAAGGAGCTGGCGCAGGTGTGGGTCGAGGGCGGCGACAGCCTGCAGCCTCCTGCATACACGGAGAAGGAGGGCGGGCAAGGCACTGGCGCTCATGAGCAGGGAAACGTGGATGTACAGACATAGCGGATGAGTGTGTTTATTTATGTGTGTATGTTCACATTTTGGTCCGATTCATTCTACCGTTCTACGAGACTTGAACGTGCCAATGCGTTCTTCCAGTGTCCATCGCGCTCTTTATCTTCCTCCATGATCGCGTCTAGAGTATCTCTGGATGTTTATCAAAAGTCCTCCAGATCCCCACGAGATCCTACGCTCCAGACGATCCCGAATAGTTCCCAGAAGCGCCCCGCGTACGACTGCGTTCTCCTTGGGCAGCGATCGACAGCCGAATCAGACCTTCTGGACCGGCGAATCGTTTCCTTCTAGAATGGTGGCTCGCCATGCCCTGGCAGCCTCTAGGTCACCTACGACAACGCCGATTTTGTTTCCAGAGCGATCGGAGAGGAAAATATGAAGATGACCCCCGGAGTACCCACGCCCCGTCATGTTGATGTCATGAACGGACGTTGAATTGACTGTTTGTCCATTCGTGGTCTGCTTTATGATCTGAAGACCGCAGCCGTTGGAATCCCTCTGTCCGAGTCGATTGTTGTAGGAGAAGAGCTTGAAAGGCGCAATAACGGCCCGGGCGGAAAAGCAGAAGACCCTGACGAGCTGGACGAAGAGCAGCGCAAGAAGCATGGTCAGTCCAATTAGCAGCTTGGTGAGTGCGTGGAGAGTGAGTATGAGTATGCTGGCGGGCCAGAGAACAAAGACACTCGAAAACGTGACAGCTGCCCAGATGAAGATGCGCAGGAGGGTGACGAGCCTGGTGATCAGCTCCAGGATAACTATTGTGCAGATGATGAGCCCAAAGACGGACGCCGTGGTGCCGAGGCGTGACGCGAAGTCCTCCCTGATAGCCCGTAGCTCGTCCATTGTAGCAAACTGGTCGTGCAACCTGTTCCCTCGTTTGTTCAAGTTCCTTCAGATAGACGCCTGCTTCTTGGGGACGGGACCTGGTAGTCTAGTCCAGAGTTGATGGTTGAGAGTAGCCCACGGAGGCCAATCCTTGAGAGGGTGGTGGGCTGGCGACCGACTAGGCAGGAGCAGAGCGACAGTCGATAGACGCAAGGCAACTGACAGTGAATGCGAAGGCAGTGACGGGGACTTGCAACCTCTTGGTCAAGTAAAGCTGCGAACCACTGGGGATCACCAAGCTTACCATGGACGAAAAACAGATCTCTGTCAGTCCCATTGAATGGGCGGCGACACTGGGATCCACTGACCCGAGTTGTCCCTATGACAGTTTCCTAGAGATCAAAGATCAATTACACTGGATTCCCGTCGTCCGACGCCTACCTCTCCCTTGTGTGGGCATTACGCTGCCATTAACTCAATTGATCTTGTCGCCTGCAAGTATCTGTTGGGCTCACCGAAGTTTCGCGCATTCAGAGCGGACAGAAGCCTGATAGCTGACAAAGGAAAACTTGTCTTAAGTGGTGCAATGACCATCCGTCGTCGATTCTATGTCTACCCCGACTACAGTACATTTTGGCCGGTGTCCCACAGGTATTATACACCAATGCTGCCGTGTTCCCGACCAATTCACTCTTGCCACTTTTCGCTCTCTAGGTCTCCCTCTCTCCCGCTTAAGAGAACATCCTGCTCATGTCACCCCGGAGTCTCTGGTAATCGAACAGTCCCTCAATGCTACCAACAGCAGAAACAGCGACATCCTGGTCCCAGATTCTCCTCTGCGCGAAGTTGATCACGTCATTGGCGGAAACAGCATCGATAGTTCGCTCGATCTCGCCGGGGCTCATCCGTCGGCCAGTGGTCACAATCTGTCGGCCAATGTCCTCAGCCAGGGCGGTGGTGCCGTCGAGGGACAGCAGGATGGAGGCCTTCAGCTGGGCCTTGGCGCGCTCGACCTCGGCTTCGGTAACGGACTGGGACAGGCGAGACCACTCGCGCATGGCGAAATGGACGAGGTCGTCAACGCGGGTGAGCTTGTCGGTGACGAGGTAAATGCCCCAGAGACTATCACAAATTAGCATGCTTGCACAGAAATCACCAGCCATGAGCGCAAGGCTTACCCGGTGTCGCTGTAGCTTGTGGAGAAGCTCATGAAGCTGTTGGCCAGGTCGTGCTTGTGAACGAAGCCGCTCAGCTTGCTGCCCTGGTGAGGAGCATTGCCCAAGGCCTTGTCGTAGTTGCCAACAATAGCCTGAGCAACCAGAGCAGTGAAGTAGTCATCATCGTTCCAGCTGACACCCTCCACGGCAATGGCGATGTTGGCGGTTGGGATGGTGTCGTCACGTATCCGGACATCAGAGCCAACGAACTCGGGCTTCTTCTTGGAGAGGAGGTAGGCGTGGGTCTCGGGAGACTTTGAAGACAGCTTGGAGAAGTTCTTGTCGGCAAGCTCGACGAGCTTCTCGTGGGGGATGCCACCAGCACCAACCAGAACCATACGGTCGGCAGTGTAGTTGTTCTTGATGTAGTTCACAAGCTCGGTCCGGGTGATGTCACGAATGTTCTCCTTAGGACCCAGGATCGTGCGGCCCAGTGGCTGGTGCTGGAAAGCGGTGGCGTGGAGGTGGTCGAAGACAACTTCTTCAATCTGCTTCTCAACCTCCTCGGACTCGCGCAGAATGACATCTCGTTCCCTCTCGATGGCAGACGACTCGAGCTTGGAGTTCTGGAGGATGTCGGCGAGGATGTCGACACATTGTGGCACATCCTCATTGAGGGCCTTGGCGAAGTATACGGTGTTCTCGCGCTGGGCTATTGTCAGATCTGATATTCCCCGAGCTCAATCGTATGACGCGACGTACAGAAGTGTAGGCGTTCAGGTGCGCGCCGAGGTTCTCGATCTCGAGCTCGAGTTGTTGTTGTGTCCGGTTGGCCGTACCCTTTCAACAGGTTAACAAACTGTCCAGAAACCCGTCCAGCCACCTCCATTGGGGTCTGTCTACCTTGAAGGCCAAGTGCTCGAGGAAGTGCGCCGTGCCGTTCGTCTCTGCTGTCTCTGCTCGCGAGCCAGCATCGATCCACATGCCGACAGTGGAGGTCTGCGCGTAGGGGGAGTGTTGGGTGGCGACCGTCAGGCCATTCTTGAGAGTGGTGGTCTGGGTCTTGATGGGCGCGGCAACGGGGGTAGCGAAGTTTCGTCGCAGGGCGGCGGAAGGGAATGCCCTCTTGGTGAGGCCCTTGGAAAGGTTCAGAGCGAGTCTCCGGGATGCCATCGTGAGCGTTTGCCAATCGCCTGGGCTGGTCTGGAGGAGAGTCAATGGCACGCCTGGGAGCGGATCGAGGCAGAAAATACCTGGAGACTGGCGATGTACGGGTTGGATGGGAGGGCAGGGTGGATTGAGGCGTTTAATCGTCGAACAAAACTGATGTCTTCCGGTAAGCCAGCCGCGACTCTGGCAAGGTAGCTCGAAAAATTGCCTGGCTTCTAAGGCCAATTTTCTTCGCCGATTACTCCCGACGATTTGGCCGGCTACTGATTGGCCCAAGCCAGAGGGAGTGCTGATGTCACCCGGTACCTGGGTACCCGTACGTCCAACTCCACTACAAGCCCCATCGCAGCGGGAGGGGCGGAGGGCAGTAATACGGTGATCTCTACAAAGAAAATCAATCACAAGTGACTTGGGCTGTAATATGCTATCAATTGGGATATGTACATTTGCGAAGGTGATGGGCAGTCTCTACTGCAGACCAAAGTAGCTGTCCTGGGTTATACAATGGAATTGTCACATCAGCACAGTCGCCGGGAAGGCTGGCCGTCAACTCCGTAACCTCTTACAACCTGCAGGGATCCCAGAGGTCGGCTAGGTACTCAAGAGCACATGAAGAAGGTTGTCCTACAAGAAACAGGAGCCACATTCGGAGCTCATCTCGCAGAAGGTTTCCAGTCAGGAGGTCATCCTGAAGCCTATAGAAAGTTATCCTACGAGAAGTCATCACACTGGATTGAGTATTGTACTTTGTACAGACAGACTGGCCGATTGGAATCCCTGTGCGCTGTACATCAAGACAGAAACCGTGGAGAGAGCACCACCTCCGCCCGCATCTGCATCGTGCCTGCAGGGAACCTGGCCATCTGTGCCCAAGGTCTCTAATTACCTACTTGTGACCCTTAAGTGGCGGGACTGAACTAAGGATCCTCTTCTTCCCTTTGCATCTTCTCTCGTAGTCCAGAACATTGAACAACCCCTCAAAACGGCTGGGCCACCCCACTGGATCTCGTCAACTGACAATTGGTCTGACATCACTCCTTCACCATCTCTACAACAGAGGATACCGTTGCCAGCTGGCATTACCGTGACTGCTGCCAAGACACCCACTCATATAGAAACACATAATCTCCACCGGTAAACACCCAACAGAGAGAACTGTCTCGCTACCATGAGTGCCCCAGACGAGGATTACGACGAGCTTGTCTATCACGTCCCAAAGCAGAAGAAGCCCCCGGCCGATCTAGACAAGATGGGAGCTGCCATTTCAGTGTGGCCACCTCTGGGTCAGGTCACCCAGGTCCAAAAGGGAAATGTCGGATTCGTCGCACTACTCGAAGTTCCCACTGACCAGGCAAACCAGCCATGGGAGGTTGCGCTCTGGCACTCGGCAGGGGAAGAATGGACCGAGACCATGTTTTCCCCCGCTGAGAGAACTCCCTCGACCCTGCAGAAACCCAACAATTCGGTCGATCGTACCTGGTTTCAAGGCCTCGTCCCCGTCAAGTCTCTTCTGAACTTCACTGTCAAGTATCGATCTGGACCAGAGCAGTCGTGGCGTTGGATCCGGGATGAGCACGGCCTGGGTGACGGCACCATCATCCTTAATGGCAACCCAACGACTGAGGCTCTTTCGGACGACTTTGGAAAAATCCTCAAGGGCTACGATCCTAGCATCACTGTCAAGGCCTGCCAATCCCAGTGCCCTGGCACTCGTCTCTGGGCTTTGGAGGCTAGTGTCGAAGCCGCCAAAGGGGAGGACTCCACCTTTGCAGATATCAATCTGGGGTTGCCATGGGGAGGCTTCCTCCGGTGGTTTTCCCTGATCCGTATTTGGGCACCGTGGTTGGCTCCGAGGCACGGCAAGACCAAGTTCGAACTTGATAAGGACGCTGTACTATCAGCATTTGTCAACTCGGAGGGACAGCATCTCGTCCTACTCGCTGTCAGTGGCATAAATGATGTGATGGCTTTGTTCCGCAGTGATGATTCAGGAAATGTACAACTCCATCTACGGAATGATGGTGAGAGCTCAGAGGGTGCGCTTGTTCTGGCTGCGGTCGGCCACAATTTTGAAAGTGCGAATGCGGCCGTCATGTATCATGCCCGACAGGCCATTGCTACAAGCAAGAAGTCAACGGGAGAGCTCGACCAAGAGATGAAGGCTCTTCAAGAAGGAGTCAAGCCAGAGTGGATGGAGAACTGGTACGACGGTCTCGGGTTTTGCACATGGAACGCACTTGGCCAAAGACTCACGGATGAGAAAGTTCTCAACGCGGTCGATGAGTTGACGAAGCATAATATCAAGATCACGAGCTTGATCATAGATGACAACTGGCAGAATATAGACTACCGTGGCGAAGGCCAATTCCAGTACGGCTGGAATGACTTTGAAGGTACGTATAACCTTGCCACTTACGTTTTGTCTTGATGGCCAGTTCTAACCATGCTGTAGCCGAGCCCAAAGCCTTCCCCAATGGCCTCAAAGACGTCGTCACGAAGATCAGAACCAACCACCCTCACATTCAACATGTGGCTGTGTGGCATGCTCTTCTTGGGTACTGGGCAGGATTGAGTCCCGATGGGAACATTGCGAAGACTTACAAGACCGAGGAAGTCGTACGTGAGGACCAAAATCGCAGGTGGCTCCCTCTCGGAGGCAAGATGACGGTGGTCAGCAAGGAAGATGTCCACAAATTCTATGATGACTTCTATCGCTTTCTCTCAGACTCTGGTATCGACGGGGTCAAGACCGACGCGCAGTTCATGACAGACACTTGGGTTTCTGCCAAGGCTCGTCGAGAGCTCATCACGGAGTACCTTGATGCCTGGACAATCTCATCCCTCCGGCACTTCAGTATCAAGTCGATCAGCTGCATGTCTCAAACACCAGAGATCCTGTTCTATTCCCAGTTGCCTCGGAATAGGCCTACGATTCTTTGCAGAAACTCGGACGACTTTTTCCCCGAGATCCCATCCTCACATCCCTGGCACATCTGGACGAACGCTCACAATGCCTTGTTCACTCAGCACCTGAACATTTTGCCTGTAAGTTGTCAATGGCTTAATTTGTTCTCAAGCAAGATTCCCTTATTAATGGGTACAATAGGACTGGGATATGTTCCAGACGGTACATGACTACTCTGGCCTGCACGCTGCGGCTCGTTGCGTCAGTGGAGGGCCGATTTACATCACGGATGTGCCAGGCCAGCACAATATTGATCTCATCAACCAGATGACTGGCATCACTCCACGTGGCAAGACCGTGATTTTCAGACCCAATGTTCTAGGTCGAAGCATCGACCAATATGTCGGCTACCACGACGACTCTCTACTAAAAGTTGGCTGCTACCACGGCAGGGCAGTCACCGGGACGCCAATCATGGGCGTTTTCAATATCTCTGCTCGGGCACTTACGGATATAATTCCCCTTGATCGCTTCTCAGGGGTTCTGCCTTCGTTGCACTATATCATCCGGGCACACACCACAGGGCTCATCACCACACCAGTCCAGACCAGCCAACCGGCCTCGAAGCTCACTGTGTCGTTGGACGTCAGGGGGTACGAAATCTTCACGGCCTACGCATTGTCTCCGTTTGACAGTGACAGTATAGGCCGTGTCTATGTGGCCAATCTGGGTCTGATTGAGAAAATGACGGGTGCCGCGGCTATAGTCTCGAGCGAGTCGGATTACCTGGAAAATGGAAGGGTGCTGGTTCATACTAGTTTGAAGGCCCTGGGTGTTCTCGGAATCTATGTCTCCAAGCTGCCGGAGTTGAGTCTGGATGCCGATTTCATGGCCACGATTCAAGGCCAGGCGATTCCCCGTCACACCGTATCCATCAACAAATCTTCTAGCTCTATCCTCGAGATTGACGTTGAGAAGGCTTGGAAAGAATTGGACTTGAAGCCTGGCTGGAGTAACGAAGTTGAGGTCAAGGTCTATTTTGGTATTGAGAAGTGAGATGTGGCAGGAAGCCATCATCTTTAGCGTAGATACAGGGCCACTTTTACAAAGCTTGTCTCTCCTTTGAAAATTTGTTGCCTCGATGTGCCACACTATGTGTTAGCCATTTATCTACTTTTCAAGTGGTCTAGCTCTTGCAACAAGTTGTGAGGATATCCACTATATGAGGCATCACTACAAGCTCCCTCTGTGCTGACTTGAGAATACCCTCAAAATGTCTACCGTGCTATCATGCAAGTTGCTAGATACCGATGTGGAAGTGATGAGAGTTTGCTCACGCAAAAGGATATGATCAGAGGAGGGCAACGATTTTCGTTCAACGCTGGGGCAGCCTGGATAGTCGAGATTATTGGGCGCGATGGAAGGTCCTTGCGATGAGGAAGAGACAACCATGAGTTGTCACTTCAAATATATACACCAACGCGGTATTGATCGAGCCAGCTGACGCCTCAAGCGCTGCCGATGTAAGAATTCTCTCTACCCAGTGGCACTTCTTCTCGGCCAACTTGCTAAGAGATGCTTCAGTTTCTCAGGCAACGCATTGACTGTAATACTCGTTGGTTGCCTTGCACGTTCCTTGTGCACAGGTAGTTGGCCCAGTATAGCCTATACCACCGCATTGGGCCCAGAGGGCCGCGCCGGCGCCTGAGCCTGACCCGGAGCCGGATCCAGAGTCTCCACCGGAGGAACCGCCCCCACTGGAGTTCCCGGAGCACTGGATGGGAGCTGGACCGGGGATGGAGTAGCTCTTTCCGCCCATGTAAGGCTGACCGGAGTTGTCATAAATGTTGACCTGAAAGACACATATCTTAGCACAAAACAGAAGGATCTCAGTCGGAGATAAGCAACATACCAGAACACCAGGGTCAGTCGGCGAGTATGCACCAGGAAGGCTGACAGTATTGCTTCCCGTGTTTGTGCCCGAGCCGGTGACCCGGATCTGAGCGCATTCCATGTAGAACTGGGCGCCTCCCTGGGTCCCAGCGCTGTGCAGAGCAATGAGCTCGACGCGAAGGAGGTAGTCTCCCGGGGCGATGCAGGAAGGCATCGTGAAGTAGTGCCAGCCTCCTCCAGCAATCATGTTGTCCACTGCCCATTTTCCGCCGGAAAGGCCCTCGTGTGCGACCTTGAACCACTTGAGCCCGCTGGTACCCGTGGTCGCCGCGTTGTCGACCTTGGCGAGGTAGTAGGATATTGGACCCTTGTGGCTGGCTGCAATCGGGTTGTCCGGGTCATTCGCACCTTGGGCACCCCTTATAAGTGTATCAGTAACAAGGAGCATTGGATATAGATAGTAACCTCTTACCCGATGACATGACCCCACCAAGCTCCGACCTTTGCCCCAGCCGGGATGCTGATCACATTGCTGTCCTTGTATTGAATACCCGTGTTACAGGCGAACGACCCATCATTCGGACTATAGAGAGGGTAGTCACTGGATGGAGCACGAACGCCCTTGAGCTGGCCTTGGTCCTGGCCATTGACGGAGAGCTTCTGCATGATGGAATGGCCTGAAGCACTGGCCGCGAGAGCGGCCACGGCGAGAAGGAACTTCATGATGCACTCAAGAGCTCTAAATAATGTGTTGCTTTTGAGCACCAGGAGCTCTCCATTCTAGTGGCAAGATACATCACGGGTTTATATGCACTTCCCGCGAGAGCTGGATATCTAAATCTCGAAGTCAATAATTGTGCATGCGGATAGATACAGGGGTTCATTGTGTATCAATTTTCCGAGTTCAGGCTGCGAGATGAAATCAGATTAAGTGTTGTCTCAAGGTAGCTGGGCGAAGGACACAGATCTTGGTAAAATCTAAGCTTTTCTAGACTCTGCCCAGACAATTCTGCTGCGTGAGGTTGCAGCGCATCAAATGTTCGCCTGAGACTGGCTTGCTTCCGTCACAGGGGCCATCATGGGTTCGTATTCATCAAGTCTGTGACCGGGGGTGAGTGCTCCGCATGGCGGCTTGTTAGATTGGCAGGAGTGGGAAAGGCGATGAGACCCAAACAGTTGAGGCTCTTGGCTTTCGAACTAATTGGCAGCGGAAGATAAAGACGCGAGTTTGACGGTCCATAGCCTCCGGGTCCAAACAAGTATCGTCAGCCTAAAAAGGAATTCATATGTTGCTTATGCTACCAAAAATAGATAGATGGCGCTGTTGTGAATCATCGCTTTGTCTGTGTCCTTAATATTAAGAAGATGTCAAACACATAAAAAGAAGATGAATACATCAGTTCAAAGGATATGAAGCTTACCAGTGAGTTCGCAGAATGGGAGACACTATTATGTCTATTCGTCCTTACCTGGCAGCTCTGCCTCAACCCTGTCTCCTCTATCATCTATTCCCCAAGTTTGTTTGCAAACCCATATGTGCCCTGCCATGTCATATAGACAATAAGAAATGCAGCCTGACCGCACTTACATAGACCGTGTTGTCAGAAAGTGGTCGTGTGATGCTCGTTTATACTATTCTCCAAGGATATCTCCAAGGATACTGAATACGCCCTCCTGAAAACTATGGGTTTCTATTTAAATATTAATAGACTAACTTTGACTGGGTGTCTGCGGGCAGCGCTCGTGACCACAAGTAGGACCCATTCCCTACGCGATCATCTCGATCCACAGTCAAATCTTCAAAGCCAGCGCATACTATGCAATAGTAGCTTCTCTATCCCAGCACAAATATAGTAGCCGATCAGGGGCATCTCGTGGAAGACAGTCTAGCCATGGATTTGTAATTGAAGGCTACCTAAGTACAAATGGAGAAATATCAGGTGATTTCAAACAGAAAATCAACCCAGAATTTCCATCAATGCAGCAAAATCAGGAACCCCCAGTCCTGAGCTCGGGTCCCAACCAACCGTCGCCTCCCACCCCGTGACAAAGTCTTGTCCACCGTTCGTCGAGCACCCACCAATCGTTCCACTGGCCACATCGGTCAAGGCCGCCCTCACATTTTCCGAATACAGAATTGGGTTCAGGAACCCGAGCACGGGCTTGCCAGCCCTCAGCCTCTTGTCATTGATCAGCGTTATAATGCTGGCCCACACAGGGGTGCTAGCGCTTGTCCCCTTGGTCGTAAAGGCATATTTGCCCTCCCCGCCGAGGAGAAACCTGGAGCCGACGGCAGTCAGGTCTGGGATGCCGCGGCCTGAAGCGTTGTACCACCCGGCATGAGTTCCGTTCAGTGACTTGATGTAAGCTTCCGTGTCCTTAGCCTGCCAGCTTGGTACCGGGAAGTAGTTCGAGAAGCCGCCCGAGGAGAAGGAGGCGGGCTCCCATGGGATGTACCGTCCGGTCGCTCCAATGGAGGTCACATAGGGGCAGGAGGCGGGGAAAGTAGGGATGAACTGCGGTGGATCGTCCGGGTTCCCAGAGTTTACCACGCAGTTGGTGGAGCTTGCAGTGCCGGCCGCACCACCGTCGCCCGACGCGACGATGACAGACACACCTCGCGCAGCTAGCTGCATGAACAGGTCGCAAACGTGAAGGGCGTAAGGTCTGGGGGTCGCTTGCTCGTCATCTGTGTACGATACTGATAGAACCTTGGGCAGGTTTGCGTCTTCGACCTCTAGGAGGTACTGGAGGAACTCGAGCCAGGGCTCATTGAGATTGGCTGGGGTGTTGGTCAAGTCCGTCCCATTGGGACCAATATACTGGCCTCGACCTCCGGTGGAAAGATACGATACCGGCAGTGGCTGCGTGAAAGGCATCGTGTAAAATGTGTCCAAGAGTGCCTCGCCTCCAGAGCCGTTATTTGTGGTGTTGCCGCCATTGATGGACACGACGTTGAAGTTGTAGTCTGGGCTGTAAGAAGCGTCGGTCCTCCTTGGGCTGTGGGCGACCAGGAAGTCCCGGACCGAAGATTGGTTGGGATACTCCTCAAGGAAGCCAGCTACGCCAAGGGTGCTCCCGGAAGACGAGTCTGGTGGAATGTATGTGATATTATAGAGGTCGACGAGGCAGTCTGGGGTCACATTTTCTGAGCAGGATGCAGGCCATGCTGTCTGACGACGGCTGGTCCTAGCGAGGTCCACGCCGCGCTGCTCATTGAAATTCTTTCTGGCCGAGCTCTCCACAAATTGAGTGAGTGGATAGACAAACTGGATATGATGCGCCAGGTCGCTGGGCAGGCTGTACTCAGTGGTTCGAAGGACTCGCCGCGATTCTGGCGTTGTGTACTCGGCGAGATTGCATTTCAGCAAAGAGTTCACCGTACCGACAGAAGCGTTGAATGAAACCCAAGACTTCTGGGCCAGGCGATCCTCGATTCCGTGCGCGCTCAACCACTCCATCACATCTTGCATAGCCTCGGCAGCGGGTTCCTGGTATGCAGCCAGCTGGCTGCTAGATAGATGGGCCCCATATTCGGCATTATTGATATCGCTAATCTGGTCGAGACGGCGCCGCAGCTCGTCCAGACCTGGCTGTTGCAAGCTGATGGAAACCCTCGTCACCGTCGTGTCGACGTCGGGTTGTCCAACGTACTTCCATCCGGACGGTACCGTCGCAGTTTCGTGAATCGTCCATTGACTGGCCGGCCTCGCTTGTGTCGCTGTCGCCAAAAGCAGCACCCAAAGAGCTGATGGTAGTAGTGGCGCCATTTATTTCCTATCCCTTTGTCTGACTCTCGAGAGAAGTGACCGCGGCTAAAGATCGAGGTGAGTACATGGGCGGCCCGACACCGTGCTCTGAGCGAGCAGTGCTCATCACCTTATAAAAGACATGATTTACGAAAATAACTATGTAGATCGAGCATCGAACAACGTTGTATCGGGTCGGCAACGCCGGCAGGTCGTTGGGTGAGCAGGATAGGGTGCATTGGAAATTACTTATGGGGACAGACCAGCATAACCTCGTATCTTCGACTCGTATTGGAAGCTCTGTCACTGTTTGCAGCGAGAATAGGGGCCTATCAGGGCCCACCCCGGCCCTTGACAAGCTCCATTTTAAGCTTAAAAAGACATCGCGGATCAATTGCGGACCTCAAAATAGCAAAAGGCTTGCACACTTTTCATCAAGCCTGCGAGCCTGCTACGTACGTAACAGTCCATTGCTCACATTCGACATGTCTCTTTCTCCTTATTGATACTGTAGCAGCCCATATCGCCTCATTTCCCCACAATTCATGCCGCCTGGGGCTTGATGCCGAGGCGCTTTGCTTCCGAGGACACTATTTCTGGTATGGCGTCCTTAAGGTTCCCGCGAGTGGGCTCCCAGCCGAGGTTCTTCCTTGCCCTGTTCGCGAAACTCTTGGAGTTTATAGCCCATGTAACGCTTGACCATAAGCCATCACTTTTGGTCTTTTCCAGAGTGGTCACCTCGACTTTTGGTTCAGCCATGAAGCCTTGCTTGACCATCTCATCCGCGACCCCTAGTTGGAACTCCTCGTCAGCTTTTGTCGAATGCGTAAGTCGCGCATGTACCTCAGGTTGGAAAAACCCGGAATGATGGAGCTTCCTGGATAACATCGTAATGAACTCACACTTTGCAACATCGCCCCATTTGAATGGGCCGGCCTCACAGAAATAGTACCCATGCGCTCCAAAGAACTCTGGGTTTTGAGTGATTTTGGAATCCTGAGCCGACTCAACAAGTTTGAGTATGAGATCTGACACGTCGTGCACGTGGATGTAATCCCATTCGGTAAGACCCTTGCCAATGACTGGAGCAAATCCGTTCTTCAGTGTAAACTTAGCCATATCATAGACCTGAATGGAGCGGGTGTTTACGGGTCCTCTTCCTGGTCCACAGATGCAGGGAGGCCCGACAATGGCAGTTTTCACTGCGCCAGTTTCGTTGGCTCCCAAGACGATCTTGTCTACGTCGCGGTGAATCGCCTTATCGGGGAGGGATGTGATCTTGTCAATGTCGGCGATGTCGTCGTACCTTTCATCAGGGTACGGTGCCTCGCCGAAGCGATTGTCTTGAGTATCTCTCTGCCAGCCATGTTAGCTAAGACGAGCCAGCGTCGTAACAGGGCCTGACAGATCTACCCAAGTCAATAAGCCAGTGCCGCAGAGGTGAATCCAGGCGCCCGGCTTCTCCGTCGTATGACCAGCTGCAAGACCCTTCGCAATCGCTTTAGCAGAGGGCACGTCGTCGGCAGATTGAGCAGCATCTGCGAAAGAATTCAGTCAGGAACCTGGCGGCGGCGTTCAAGAGCTTGAGAGATACTGACGAACGACAATGTCTGCCTCGGCAGCAGCCTTCTCGATGACGATTGAGTCGTCTAGGGAACCGTAGACAAGCTTCGCATTGGGATACTTGACCTTGACTTCCTTGCCCCTTTCTTCATTTCGTACTAGTAGAGTATATTCATAGTCGGGATGCTTCTTCTCAAGGGCGTAGAAGGCGTCACCACCAACGTAGCCTTCAAAAGTCTCGGTTAAAACACTGAACCCATGTGCATGGACGAGGAAAAGGCTCACCAGTGACTCCGGTCCTAGCAACAATCAGCAGCCATTACAATCACATATTTGAGGACACCACGGCTTACAGGAAGATCTTAGGTGCCATGTTGTCTTGTGGATGAGTGCTAGTCTTCTCTGTGTTCGTTTACAGCTGCTGAAAGATGTTGATGGCAGTTAGGTAAGAACAAGGTGTAACACAGCCCTCACGATGATGAAGGCGAGAGATGAATTTGTATGCGGAGAATTCGTAGCAATCACGAGATCTAATCCACCGTTGACATTTCTGATTAGGAATGCACTTGCAGACCGCCAGGACTAAGTTGCACCGGGTCCGGCCGGATTACCGAACAGATGCGAGGTTTCGTGACGTTAATGATGTGTAAGCACGCCCTGCGGGGAAGAGCAAGCACCTACATTCGTCTTGAAATCGTATCACTGCAAATACCCATTTCTGCTTCAGCCAATTGCATTTTACTTCGTACAGATGCTCGTGAAAACCATAATCCTGTTGCTGAGAAACACTTCCATCTTGTGCATGATTTTCAGCGCACAATGCACCTATTACAGTACCCGTGGTGCTCTGCTGGCGCATCCTCCTTCTCGCTGCGGTGGATTCTCACGTGTACATTTGTCATCGACAACACGACAAAAAGGTTTTCAAGATTATCTCAGATGTGCACACATACGCATCATGTCACCTGCGTACCTGTCAACGCACACGCGCAACTTGGCAATATGCCATGTTGCAGATGAGCATCCTCTTTCTATTCTGACTCCAGGATACATCGTTGTGTTTGCTTTGCGGTAGTTGGCTGATTGCGTTTATTGGTGCGAGATATTGTTTTAGATTTACCGACTTTACGAGTCGGATAGAAATTTGTGCTCAAGGAATAGTGGAACTTGATGAGCATCCATGCTAAGGTCTAAGCCAACAATACGTGTGCAGTCATAGCAGGACCTAAATATCGAGCAAAGCCTGTAGATTTGAGTAGAGCGTCTCGAGGGACAAATTGACAAGTAGTATGAAGAGTAGCCTATCGTCCCATTGAATAATTTCTATCGAACATAGAGCCTGTCTGATTACCGCTGAGCCACCGAGCTCTCTCGCTCGACAGATCCAAATTCATCACGCAACATTTCACGTGCGAATATCTCATCACATCTTGAGAAGTTCACATGAGCTACAAGTTTTGAGATTGAGAGACACCAGGTGTCACCTGATATTTGCTGCAGTTTTTGGCCAAAGGCTGCAAAATTTCGACAAAGAGAGCTCGATAAACTACTTTATCTGTGCAATTGTGTTTTAGAGCGAACCTGGATGGCACATATTCCGTGCGCTAGACTTGCACAGACACCGGTGGATATCTGGAAACCTAGAGACTACAAGAAATTGGGTTAATTGACACATTAGTTCGGTGCTATATCCGCGAGCATCCTTTTCGAGCATTTTTACATTGTGCACTTTGTATAACAAAGCCTACTTCAAGCACGTTGAAGACATACTGTTACTGGAAAATACAGATTCTCTTAATAGACACATGTTCCGAATCCCTCTACAGTGTACTCTCCTGTATCAGAGTAATTCTTGTCTCTCTTCGCATTATACCACCAGAACCTCATCCAGCACCGTTTCAAACGGCCGTGAATACCTAGGCATCCAACAGAGATGGATCTAGGCGATGGGCAAGGAGATATTCGTGCTAAACTGAGCGAATCCACCGACTCGATGGATCCACTGGTTGCGGCAGCTGCCTCCAACAGGGAATTAAGCCTCTTACTCAAGCTGCCCGACGAGATCCTCTTGGTCATTTTGCAACTGCTTCTACCAGATGTTCGAGACCTCTTTTACATCCGTCGGGTTTGCAGAAAGCTTCGACACCTTACTGATGATAACTCGTTGAGGTCCAATCTGTTCTGGACAAACTGGTTGCAGAACATACGGCCTGCCTCTCACATGCTCTTTCCTGACCGTTTCGTCAGCAGAGAGAACAATCGAAGCAGCTTTGGAATAGTTCCACCGCTACGGATTCCGGAATTCGAAGCGAATCTCCGTAAACAGACACTTTGCAAGCCGTGCCAACGTACTCATTGGAGAGGAAGGCCGCCAAATGTGTGCAGATTTATGGAAACACCACAAAAATATTTACACTGCGGAGGTTGCAACAGCCACCACACAAGTCACGCCTTCTCACCCATGCAGCGACAAAAGCCGCACACAGGTCGCATTTGCATCGGCAGGGAGGGACGCCTACGGTTGTGTGAGCACGTGTCCATTGATTGGGCTGATATCGAAGCCCACCTGATGGCATCGTCGAGAAAAGAGGACTTCTTTGAGGCCGTGTCAGACTTCCATATTGTCTGCAAAGATCCTAGCCACAACTTTCCATGCAAATCCACGTCGCGCGGATCCCCTTCGGAAGCATCCTGCAATGATCACACATGGCCATGTGCACGACTCAGCTTGAATCGAGACGCGACCCTCTTTTACATGACACCTATCACGCTGGTGTTATGTTGGAAGCCGCATTCGAGCTCAAGAATACTCACAGTGCCCGAGAATGGACAGCTTGAGGCAACAAAACTTCGGGAGTTGTACAACGACTATGGACAGAATGCCGCTCGATTTATTGTCCCAGGCCCTAGCCAAGCCCCCATACCGGAAATGCTTTGCTTTGACCCCGATAAGTGTGGCCACGTTCTGTATAGAGCTGGCCAGAAACCTCAGTCAGGACCCTGGTTTTGCAGTCAACACCACTCGGGAAAGCCTGGACCATTAGCACCAACCGAGATTCTTCTGGATGAAGACCACCAGGATGTATCTCGCTTCGCTGGACTTGGTTGGACTGACCACTACGTCGAGTTCAACGAAGCCCGAGGGCAGAGTGGCGTCTACGTCTATGACTGCGACGACGATCACAATGTGAAGGACGGAGCTCGATGCCTGATGACCTCATATAGACGAACCATCTCGCTCGGCGCGGTCGACAGTCGTCGGCCGGAGGCCCTGAATCCGAGCCACCAGTGGTTCCACGCGATAGACCAGGACTCATACCCGAGCACACAGGCAGAGGGGGGCCTGTGGTCGAAGCTGACGGCCTACTTTCGAGCTGACCCACCCGAATCTCGGCCGAGATGTCGAGACACTGCTTGCAGGAATTACTACCAGTCGCCAGGCCCTTGGCATGAGGACAACATGCATTGGCCGCATCCCGATTCCATGGCCTGAATTGGGCCTAGTTGAAAGGATCGGATTCACGGTGCTGTCGTGGTTGTGTACATGCGATCTTCAACCTGGCTTCGACTTGACGCAATTCTGGGTCCTCTTGCTTCAAAGTACAACCCTTGGTACCATCGATTTTGCCATCGTCCATCTTCTTCTCACTGGGCGAACCCTTACAATGTATGGACTTGAATACTTTAGTTAAGCCACATGTACTCACATGTCAACAACGGTCATAAGAAAGAGTTTAATTAGATCAAGACTGCCGACTTAGCACTCGGAGTTATATTTGTCGGGTAACGCGGTCTTCAGTTCAGGGCCTACACCGTTTGTGGCCACTCTCAAAACTCTCATTATATTAGCACAGTGGGAATAGATATCGCATGGACGACTCAGTGATTTGGACTCTTCCCGTCTTATTAGAGTGATTGTGAGAAAGTAGCTGGTACTTGTCGATAATGTATCCTGCTTTCGATGTTCTGACCCAGGCTCTGACTCGGGCATGCTGGCCGACAACATTTGCACCGAGACGCCCGTTGCAAGCCAGATCGAACTACACGTGGGATTTGTCTCCAGCGTGTTCTACACGACCTTAGTATTTCGAAGAATTCTCCAGTCTTGCGGTTTCCCGGTCAGCAGGGTTGGGAGAGGGGAGAGGAATAAGATAAACTTTAGTGGATGACGATCCAACGTTGTAGCCGTGAAATCCTATTACTGAAAACCCAATCACGGTCGATCCTGTTGACCGAAGGGTAGGTGGCACGGATGCCGACATGCTATGCTACAGTGGCATCGATCTTGTCGACTGTAAATGAATGACTAACCGTCGACATGCTGCGTTCAAAATGCTTGCTGTTTGATCTTCAGTACACCAACGCTCCCACGCACCACGGCCAGCCGTTTTGAGGCTGAAAGTAAGTGCAAGGCCGGTGCCTCGCAGTCAGGCATTCCAAGAGGGGGATTCCAGCTGATAAGCCCCAATAAATAGCCGGCCCGATCCACTAACCCACATACGTCCGCGGATCTCGGGACCTCCACCCATCCCGCGTTGCTTGCCATGTGTTCCACCTCCTCCCATCACCTCCTCATCTTCGTCCAATCCGCTACCTCCAATGAGCCCAGCTTTGCCCAGCGCTGCACTACTCAGTCCACCATCTCGAACCAGGGCCTGATCTGGGGCAGATATCTTCACAACAGACAGCCGGCAACATGACTAGATATGCCTGCCCTGTGGCGTCTCGTCCGGGTTCGAGAGTTGTAGCAGCCATCATGAGCCAGCCCCGGAGGACCTCACGTCTGAACAATATCGACAGATATGAACAACAATCGACTTCCCAGGTGCACAAGACGATCTAGACGGCATTTGCAACGGCGCCGTACTACTGTGGCACAGCTGCATGCCGCACCCCCCCCCCCACCCATAGGCACCAAGTGGTATTGCTCAGGGGTCGTATCTTCCTTAGTCCCCAGGACTAAAAGATAACGATGCAACCCAGGTTGTCCCTATCATCGCCGGTGGCGCGCCTTACTGCCCTCACCAACCACTCGGTGCTGCCCGTCGATACAGCCCTGGTCCTGGTCCTGTATGGAATGATATTGGCATGCATATCTTTGCAGGTCCTTTCTGCATTGCTGTTGAGTTTGTCAAACAACAGTGTCAGTCTACCCAGGCCTAGGGCTTATCAACTACGGACTCCCTGACCATAACTGGCAAAGTCCACCTATTTCCCCAGATGTTGACCAAGAGATTACCAAACGTGATTTGGTGTCCAGGCCGCCGGTTTCGAGTGTAGAAATGGATCCAATATCGAGCTGATATTTAGGGCCATGAGCTCGAAGCTGATGACGCTGTCTTCCTGCAGCCAATGTCTCATCTCTCCTATTTCTCCTTCCTGTACCTTTCAACTATTTTCGTTTCTCCCTGTGGTCTTTCAAGTGTCTGATCCAGACTGCCGGAAACCAATCCTCGATCGACTTCCCCTGAGAACCGGTGGAACGGCAAGCTAGTCGCCGCCTATCAACCTTATCACGAAGTCGAGGTCGAGGAAGACACTCGCAACCATGAGTTTGAGTGACGAGCACCAGCCCCAGAAACTGGGCCAGCACAGCCCCGAGTTTGGCGAGCATTCTGGAGACGAGACTGTAGCTGCGGTCCAAGACGGGACAGTCATCAATGCTTCTGGGTACAAAGACCAGCTGAGGCGGCAATACGGCCTTGTTGGGCTGGCCGGAATCGCCCTGACCGTTGACAACGCCTGGGTTGCTCTGGGGTCGTCGATATCTGTCTCCATCGGTACGCAGACCCTGTTTCGATGACATCGACGACTTATACTGATATTTCCCTTGTCCCCGAATATAGCGAACGGCGGTCCTCCTGGCCTTATCTTTGGGCTTATCGTTGCGGCCTTCTACTACTCGTTCATTGGTCTTGGTCTTGCTGAGGTGTGTGTGGAGGCTCTACCCACTTACCCCTGCGCGTGTCCTGATATCTCCTGCAATTGCCGGTGTTGGGACCCGCAAGCGAACATATCCAGAATAAGCAGTATCAGAGGTGAAGAATGAATGCTAATGTAAACAAACATTAGTTCTCAAGCAGCGTGCCAACAGCTGGCGGTGTTTACCACTGGGGAACAATTGCTGGTGGCCCCAAATGGGGCCGTATGGTCGGCTTCTTCACCGGATGGATAAACTTCTACGGATGGATGTTCGACCTGGCAGCTCTGATCCAAATCACGGCAAACATCTCGGTCAACCTCTACGTCGTTTACCACCAGTCGACCTACGTCTACGCATCATGGCACGTATACGTCGCATACGTTCTAATCACATGGTTCTGCGTGGTGATCGTGGTCTTCGTTAATCGAGTGATCCCACACACCCAGACTTTGGGCATGTTCTTCGTCATTGTGGGCGGCATCGTGACGATCATCGTCCTAGCTGCCATGCCGAAGCAGCACGCAAGCAACTATTTCGTCTGGGGCTCGTTTGAGGAGAACAACGTCACAGGGTGGCAGGGCGGCGTTGCGTTCCTGCTCGGCGTGCTGAACGGCGCGTTCACCATCGGCACACCAGACGCCATCACACACATGGCAGAGGAGCTTCCGCACCCGAGGAAGGACCTTCCCAAGGCCATCGGCCTCCAAATTGGACTGGGCTTCTTGTACGCGTTTGTGTTTGCGATCACGATCTCCTACGCCATTACGGACCTGAGCGTGCTCACCACAGGCATCAACACTTATCCCCTGGCAAGCATCTACGCGCAGGCTACAGCGAATGGAGATGGCAGCCAGAACGTGGGTGCGCAATTCGGGTTGCTCTTTATCATCTGGTGTTCCTCGATGCTGTGTTGTATCGGGACGACGGTCACGGTAAGAATCTCTCTCATGCAATCTTTCCCGGAGCCGTGGAAGGCTAACATAGATGCAGAACTCCCGCATCTACTGGGCCCTGGCTCGCGACAACGCCGTGCCTTTCTCCGGCCTCTTCTCCCAAGTCTCTGAGCGGCTATCGTGCCCTGTGCCAGCGACACTCTTCGTGGCCGTCGTCGCGACAGGGCTCGGCGCCATCCCCATTGGAAGCTCGACGGCCTTCCTCGATCTCACCGGCTCCTTCATCATACTCACGACGATTTCGTACGCGATCCCCTTCATGGGGAACGTCCTTACCAAGCGACAACACTTCCCCAAGGGCCCTTTCCACCTCGGAAAGTGGGGCACCGCTGTGAACTTGACAGCCGTCGTGTTGATCACGTTCTTTGATATATTCTACTGTTTCCGTAAGTGTCTTGCCGCCACCAGGCTCTCATTCCGGCTGGGCTAGTTCTCGGGTTGAGAACCGGTAGCTAACCTGTATTGCCAGCTTATGCGCTCCCCACGACCGCCGAGGCGATGAACTACAACAGCGTGATTGTCGTGGGCGTCGTAGTTCTCACTGCGGCGTGGTGGATCATTCACGCGAGGGAGAATTACCCTGGTCCCAAGGTCATGACAATGTACATACACGAAGGGCAAGCGGTCGAAGAGCCTCTCGCGGCGGGCGGGTTGAACACTGAGAAGCAAAAGAAGGACGAAAAGATCTGAGGGCTGTCTTGTTAGAGATAGAATTTGTGGGCAACTAAGTGGCGTATATAAACAGGCAATCTGAAAATGGGAAAGATACCCGATTTGAATACAAGATAAGATTTGAATTTGTTCATAATTGAGGGGAGATAGATGATGGCCTGCTCATGCCGTGAAGCATATGTGACAATCCCATGGTATCCCGAGTATAAAAACCGGATGCTCCCCATGCGTAAGGAATGATGATTCCTCTGGGATCTTTGGCTATCCTGCCGTCTAACTCGATCTATCCCGTGGTATCCTAAGAATTGACCAGCCCGCCGACGCTCGAATCCATGACAATAAAAGCAGCCCACCCTGACGAGCTCCTGAATGCTGTCCTAATAATCTCTACCCTACTAAACTCCTGGCTTCAGTGGGTAAACTGTCGATCCCCTTCGGATCATGCCAACATGATGACTTTCATAGGAGGGCCTCCTAACTTTCATACAGATAAATTCCCGTCTTCTAAGCCTTCCCATGGCCGTCGACGCCCCACCTTCGACTCTCGTCGCCATCCTCCCACTGCTTCTCCACGTAGCCTAACTCTCTCTTGACCTTTTCGACAAGTTCCTTGTCACCCATGTTTTTGCCCATATTATCGCTATTAGAGTAAGTCAGTTACGAGCAGCATACATGAGTCGAGACGCAGCTTACCTGATCTTGATAGCGGGATTGTTGGCTGCTGAGCTAAGCTTGATGACGATGTTCATTGGCGTGGACTTGGAGCCGTCAGCCGTACGCACAAAATCATTCGTCAGGAAGGTTCCCACGCCGAATGTCGGCTGGAAGCCGGCTTCCTCGGCGACCTTCTTGTACTCCAGGCACCGCTCAATGTTCAGCGAGTCCGAAAAGACAATGACCTTCTTGTCCTTGATTCCCACGCTATCGTAGAACTTCCGCATGGTGCCGACAAATTCCACCGGGTCTCCCGAGTCCTGCCTGACGCCAGTGAAGACGTCCGCATACGTCTTGGGCTTGGCAGCGCCGTCCGATAGGCCCACTTTTGCGATGACATCCTTAGTTGCCGATATGAAGTCGTCTGCGATCGAAGGCTGGTGCTCAGTAGGCACAGGCGCATCTGGAAGACGCTCGATGGTCTTGTTAAATGCCTTGAGGAACTCTGGCGTGCCGAACGTGTCGGTCAGCGCGATGCCGAGAACGCCCTCGCCAAAGCAAGACACCCAGTGCCGCAGCGCCTCCTCTGTCGCCCGGGGATAGTCATTCTTGATGGCGGCGATGCCCATGAACCACTCGTGCGCGACAGTGCCCACTGGTGGGATTCCGAAGCGCATGGCCAGGTGGACATTGCTGGTTCCTGATAGCTTTCCCGGGAGGCCGCGCTTCTCGGCCTGCTTGCTCGCCTTGACGAGGCCCCTGAATACAAGCGCCTGAGTGTGGTAGTCGCGGCGTCTGCGCGTGCCGAACTCGGAGAAGACGCATCCGGCTTCTAGGAGCTTGATTCCTTTGTCATATGCCTTCTCCTCCTGCCCGTCATAGTTCCAGTCCTTGTCCATGAACTTGAAGTAAGCTTCTGAAGTGAGGGCCAGAATGGGTATCTCGTAGAGTATGGTATCCACCCATGAGCCCTTGATATAGAGCTGGATGTCACCGAGATCTGTGTCCGCTCCTGTGTCATCCCCAGTTGGCGTGAAGGTGATGGTCACTTGCTCGCGAGGGCGCAGGCGAAAGTCCTGGAGGAACTCGAGATAGGCGGGCGTGAGGTATTTGCAGTGCTGCTGGAGGAAATGCAACTCGTCGGGGAGGAGGGAGATGTTCCCAAGCTCTGGATAGCAAGCTCTTGATTAGCTCTTGTGCGACGCGACAGTGTATTTGTGTGTTATATGGTTTGACATACTGGTGATCTGGGCCTCTAGCCAGCGATAGGCAGCTCGCGACAGCTGCTTCTCCGGAGTACGGTTGGTGAATCCATAGGTCACGGGCACATCTTTGAAGTACTTAAAGACGGCGCATTGCATGGTCAGCTTGTAGAGATCAGTATCCAGGAAGGATATGACACCCTCTGGGTACGGGGAGGAGCTGTTGAAGTCCATGGCGCGATCAGGGCTGGCCAAGTGGTGACTGCTTGCTTGGCCGTGGTTTGCTTGTGTCGTGGTGGGCTGCAGCTAACCTAGAGCAAGCTTGAAGTTCCGGTGTTGACGGGAAGTCTGGGCAGTAACCATTAGGGTGTGCAGTCACCATCAAGGTGTGCAGTCATACATTATAAGTGCTGCCCCTCATTCCCTGCTTTCTGGAACTCGCCGGTGGGCACGCATCCCACTTTGTTGCACCCTTGCACCCATGCCGCAGAGCGATTACGATCAGTGAGACATCAACGTGGGGCAATTGGCCCCCTGCAGATACCCCAAACACCTCTCTGGGTCCTAAGGAGGTGCGGTACTCAGGTCGCCTTTGTGTTGCGTCTGAAGCTACCACGACAAAGTTAGACGGCACCCAGGGATGTATAATACTTAAAATGAAGGTTTCAATTAGCCAAAGGATGCAATTCTATAAAAGAAAATCTCAAAGAAGTTGTACCACTCCAGGCTTATAACAAGTTTCCAAAGGAGACATCACAGGCTAGATAATCCCCGAGGAGATTGTCCTAGGTATATGATGTTATTATATCACTTTGAAGACTTCTATCGATATGTTTACTATTAAAGCTGACTTCTTGAATGCCATGCACAATATACTCACATGCCAATAAAGTCAAAGTATGAACAGATACCTAGGGACCGTAACTGTAATACAGATACTGCCCTGAGTGCCCATGTACAGCGATAGCTAGAGCACGGGCCATTCCACCCCTGTCTTGCCTGCCGCCAGGGCCAAAAAAGTTACTGCTCATTGCCCAGGGTCTGGCTAAGCAAAGAAAAAAAGTTTTGGATTTTTTGAGAAGTCAAGAGACATGCGATTCCCTGCTGCAAAACACATTCACTTGTCATCCACGGGTCGCCCTTCACCAGCCCACGGTCGCATCTGACCGCTCACCTCAGGGAGAGGAGCAGAGACATTCTCCTACAGCTCCAAGAGTCCAAAGCCAAAGACAAGATGGACATCCACCGCTGCCGTTTTGTTCCTTTCCCAGCGTCCCCCATCAACGCCCTCGCCTTCTCCCACCCCCTGCTGTCTGCCAAACGACAAGCTCGACTAGCGATCGGCAGAGCGAACGGCGATGTAGAGATTTGGAACCCGCTGAACGGCAATTGGTTCCACGAGACCACGATACATGGCGGACGCGAGAGAAGTGTTGACGCCCTGGTCTGGGTCACTGGGGAAGACGAGACGCTGCAGGACGGGAACGTCATCGCAGGGAGGTCGAGACTGTTCAGCATCGGTTACACATCCACTGTCACCGAGTGGGACCTAGAGAAGGGGAAAGCCAGGAAACATGCCAGCGGGCAGCACGGCGAGATATGGTGCCTTGCCGCACAGCCCGCACCCCCGAAGGAACCCCACAACGGCGTCGTTCCCGCCAGCCAGCCCCAAAGGCTGGTGGCCGGCACGATAGATGGGAGCATTGTCCTGTACTCGATCGATGATGACGACCTTCAATTCCAACGAACACTGGTCAAGACTGCCAAGAAAAACATCAGGATGGTCAGCATCGCTTTTCAATCCCGGCAGGTAGCCGTTGTCGGCTGCTCAGACAGTTCCATCCGCGTCTTCGATCTGAGGAGAGGAGAGCTTCTGCGCAAGATGACACTGGGTAAGGATCTCATCGGTGGCTCCAAGGACATCATCGTTTGGTCCATCAAGTGTCTCAAGAACGGCGACATTGTTTCTGGCGATTCGACTGGCCAGATCTGCATCTGGGATGGCAAGACCTACACCCAAGCGCAGAGAATTCAAGGCCATAAGTCCGATGTCCTGAGTCTTGCGACAGGCGTGGATGGGTTGACTATCGTCAGTGGAGGAATGGACCGGCGAACAGCTCTGTACCGTCCCATGAAGAGCGACCCTTCTCGTTGGCAAAGGGTTTTCTACAGGAAATACCACGACCACGATGTTAAGACCATGGCTTCTTTTGAAGGCCTGGGTATGAGTGTTATTGTGACTGCAGGTAAGACTGTTCCCATCCAGTACGAAACCGTTGTATTTCTTGCTAATGCTCTCCGCCAGGACCCGATGCCACTCCTGTCGTCACGCCGCTGCGCCAGGCTGGAGTAGAGAATCATCGAACACTCTCACATCTACCCCAATCTATCCCGTTGCAAAGTGCGCCTCGAGCCCGCCTGATCGTCGGCTGGTGGGATCGGGAAGTGCATATCTGGAAACTACGTCGGCCGATGAAGGATCTCCTGGACAGCGACGATGTCGAACAAAGCATTGAGACCAATCGCAAGCTGCTTGGCCGAATCCTCATCAAGGGAGAATCGAACATCACATCATGTTCCATCAGCAGGGACGGCTCGATGCTTGTTGTATCCACAATCACGGCCATCAAGGCATTCCATCTCACAACAAGCGATGAACTGAAAGAAGAATTGAAGATCCGCAAGATTGAGGTGCCATCGTCCATTGAGAGCTCAGGGGCGACACTCGTTCAGATCTCCCCTGATGGCCGATGGCTTGGCTGGATCCAGGAGGGCAGCCAGGTCCGCATCGCAAGAATAACACAGGAGGAATCGGGGATCTCAATACACCCGCGCCCTGCGAAATTGAATCGCTTGCGAAGAGACGTTCCCAAGCACGTGCGGTTAGGGGGTCTGGGCAATTACGACAGACGCGTCACTCACATCACATTTTCACCGGACAGCAGTGTTCTCGCCACCGCCGACTTGGCAGGCTACGTCGACACATGGATCCTGCATGACAGCAGCGTGCAGAATGGCGCAGAACCGACAGACGACGATGGCGCGTCCTCTTCAGATTCGAGCGATTCGTCAGACGATGAGGACGTGTCAGAACCCGGCCCCGCCTGGATTCGTAACCCTAAAGCTTCACTTTTCCCAAAACTGTCACATGCGCCAGTAGTGCTGTCGTTCTCTAACGACGCCCTCGGGCCGAAACTCCGCGAGGAAGGCGAGGAAGGCCCAGACAATTACATCCTCTTGGCTATCACGGCAGCCTCGCGCATCTACACGTTCAATCCTTTGGAGGGGTCGCTGACCAAGTGGTCGCGAAGAAACACCGTATGGAAGCTGCCAGAAGAGATACGAGCTACCCGCGACCTGATTAAGGGTGTGGTGTGGCAAGGCTCCAGGATCTGGATGTACGGTACTTCGTTCCTCTTCATGCTGGATATCTCGCTCGACTTCACAGAGCAAGAATCAACCCCATCGAAGAAGAACCGGAAACGTAAGCGAGGAGCCGACAGTGGTGCGGGAAGTAAGACGGAGGTTGGCGCACTCGCACCACATCACGTACGCATGTCACTTGCAGAAGACGGCAAGACTGGCCAGTGGGTAGACGTGGACATGGCGGATGCCGAGCCTCAGGCAGATGGAACCGGAGATGAGGATGAAAATGACAATGCGGATGAGGAGACTGATGGCGGAGAACTAGAGAAGCTGCGCAAGCGTGAGCAGCGTGGGCGGTCAGAAGGGGAAGGAGATGCGCCAGGCACTGAGGAGCAACGCAAGAAGTGGTGGCATACGTACAAGTACCGGCCGATACTTGGCGTTGTGCCACTGGAGAGTGAGGATGGAGAAGGCAGGATCAATGGTGCAAATGGCACTAGCACGAACAAGGCCCTAGAGATACCAACGATGGAGGTTGCGCTAGTTGAACGTCCGAAGTGGGACGTCGATCTACCTGCGCATTATGTAGAGAATTAAGCTGCAGATAGCTACCCTGGATGAATAGAGGATTGAAGCAAGCTAAGACGTGTCTGTGCATACGGCTCATAATGTGTATCTGCTATTCTTTGGCTGCGGCAGGAGATTGGACTGGACCGGGTACGATCAACATGCGCACAGTGCTCTCTTCTCACGAGCGCGGGTTTCTCAAGATCTTATTCCACAGAGCTTGGATTCACTCCAGTTGAATGTATGCTCCCTTCATCACGGGGGCACCAACCCTTGAGCTTCCAAATCAAGATGCGCACTCCTCTCCCTACGACACGCCTCGAAGAAAACCTCCTCTGGAAGAATGCAAAAGTCGCTCACATAAACAGTCTTGGGTCTTCTATTGAAGAACTTGAGGTCATAGTTGAGGACAATGTGGGCAAAGAGGAGCTTGAGCTCATGGGTGGAGAAAAAGCGGCCGGGGCTGAAGAAAGACAGTATCATCAGCGAATCTTCTCAAATGTAAACGAATTCGAGAGAGACTCTTGAAGATTCAGGAAATACTAAGAAAACTTACCAAGCGTGCTTGCCGTGGCCAAACGCCAGGAACGTGTCCGTAGTATTTACCATACCGAGCTCTGCCTTGCCAACGAAGCGGTCATGGCGAAAGGTCGTAGGGTCATGGTAGAAATTCGGGTCCATGTGTATCTCAGTAGTGGGCATGCCGACTTTAGTCCCTTCTGGCAGGAGAGTGCCGTCAGGCAGCATGACGCCGCCCTTCTTGACGACCTGCCTCTCGACGCCGCGGGCTTTGAAGGCGCTGGAGCGCAGTGACTCGCGCAAGGTGCTGTCCATGAGCACAAGCTTGTTGACGGCAGCCTTGTTCCAGACTCCGCCGGCGTCGCGCAGGACGGAGGCAGCTTCACGGCGCAGCGCGGCATAGACCTCTGGGCCAGCACACAGGATGTCGATGATGGCGGCCATGGCGGCTGCGCTACTCGTGTGGATCCCGACGAAGTTGAGCGCCAGGATGCGCGCACATAAGGAGCGCGGGTCGTGGTCGAGCGGGTCGCTCGACTTGGCTGCGAAGCGCGCCATCAGCTGCAGCATGTCTGGGTTGCGCTCTTCGTGGTGGGTGTCCTTGGCTGCCGACGCCTCAACCAGATGTTTCTGGATCAGTGGCACCAAGTACCGCGAGCAGCGGTGCTCGTACCAGCGGGCGGGCAGGGCGGCAAGGGGCCCGAGAATGGGCTTGAGCATGGCGGGGATGAGGTAGCTGATGATCGCAGCGCATTGCCGAATTGTTTTGACGAAATTCATTGAATAGTGAAAGTAGTCACTGTCATGGGCGACTTCCTTACCGACGAAGACTCGGTTCGTGATACGGGTCAGAATAGTCGACATTGACGCTTGCACACCAACGCGTTCCCATTTCCCAGGCACATTTCCAAACCATTCGGGTAGGGATTCGGCCATCTCCTCCATCATCACACCAGTCATGGCATTCAGATTCATCTTGTTCAGTGCCTCGACGTGGAACGGACGCATGAACTTCCAGCTTCGCGGAGACGTATAGTTGAACTCAACATCGGCAAGGAGCACCTTGTATATGGAGAGGACTGAATCTGACTGGGCAAGCAGCCATGACATGTAAGAGGGTGGCAGCAAAACCTCGGCTTTGAAAGTTACATTCGGTGTAATATATGGCTTTCCATGTTTGCCATACTACATGATTTAGATTAGTTGGCAAGGGACATAAGTGAGCAGAAATTGTACTCACTTTTTGATAGCCCTCTTCGATATTCGGTTTGGAGTCAAATAATTCCCGCAGATTGGCTCTAGTCTTTGAGAGCCACTCATTGCGAAGACCTACCCACGGTACTCCCTGCGGGAGGACGCGAAGTCTGGTTGCTCGAAGATGAAGTAGGTAGATGATGACAGGGCATACTGCAAACAAGTAAACCTTCCAACTCGCTGAGCTACCATAAGAAGTCTGGAAAAGCCCTGTCTCGGATAGACCGACCGTTTCAAACGCGTTCGGCATGGCGGAGTCAAGGAGCCAAAGGGAAAGATAGGTTGGTCAGCTACATAAGACGTTACACTTCAAGTTGGGAGAGGTTAGTACGTCTGGGGTCGCATATTTTTAAATGTCTTGCTTAATGATGATTAACGATGCGCGTAGACAATATGAAGACAACAATACGAAGAAATTGTCCAACGAGGTGACAAAGCGGCTAAGACCGCAATTGGAAGTACACTAACCATCAGATAGAGCTTCAACACTGAAAAATTCTCATGGCTACAGGCAGATATTCTTGCCTCGTGACCTTCGATGTGTTGAAAGTCTAAATTTGAAGATCAATGGTAGCCTTGGGTCAAACCAGCCTATTTCTACTTGATGGTCCAGCCCATTGCCAGCTCACACACGTTGAGGTTCGACCCTTCAAAGGCTCGCTTTTCGCCGGATCTCTACAAAGCCCGAACAGTCAACCCTCTTCTCCGATGCTCACTGATATCGAATTTCGTAGCCTTCATGTTAGACCTCAAAACTTATGTTCTAGCAGAAAAGTTGGTTTTATGGGAGAAGAGAATGGATTCAGAACACATGATGCAGACCACTTCTCTGAATGTATATAGACAATTTGGAAGGAAAGGGAGATTCGTGATGGATGAGGTCGATACTGCGGAGCCACATTGATTGCCTGTTGCCAGGCAACCATCCCTAGGGGCTGAATTGGTCCTCTCGGGTTGTACACTATATCACCAGCATGTAGATTTATAGGTGTGTCTAGCAGGACTTTGCATGAGGAAGAATATGACCAGGGCCACAAAATTTGAGAAAAGGCGACCTGGCTGCCTGGAGGTGGGGCTCTCCAAGTGTTTGGTATAAGTAGATCCGACCGCGTTTTCCAGATGGAAGCTGTGGCAGATCTAGACAATCCACTATACTCAGCCTGGCGCTTTACGTTGGCCAGAATTCGTCCTATGTTTGTGGACCCTTCCGAGACAGCGGCAAAGATGGTCCCCTCTGAGTCCCCGCGTTACCACTGGGAAGTTGATGGGCCAAGCCCGCCCTTCCCGTACATCCCCGGCTTCGCTATCACAATTCGCCCCTCCACATCGCCAAGCGCGGAGCGGGATGCACAAGCGGAAGCAGACAAGATTCTCAAAGCCAGATACCCTCCAGGCTTTCACAAAATCTCGGCGATCAAATATTCTATCGCACACCCGGCTTGCGAGCTAGAGATAAAATGGGCTGGTAACACCCGCCACCATGCTGATGAGCATATCTTGCATGTGGATTCAATAATTACACGGCCGGCCAGCGATGTTTTCTGGAACGTGGTACGGTGCCACCTGGACGATCACAGGGAGTCGAGATGCATAGCCAAGATTTATGACCCGGTATATTCCAGCGATGTGATGTTCGCTCAAAGTTTGGCAAATGGGCAATTCAACAACGAGGCAAAGGCGTACGTAAGACTCGAGGGTGCGGGTATCTCGGGTAAAGTGACACCAGTGTTCTTAGGAGGCTGGAACATGGACGTCCCTGTACCATCCACAGACTTCGGAGGTGTTGACTATGCAACTACCAGGCCGGTCGGGTTGCTTCTGTTTGAGGACGTCACAGCGGCAGACCTGGCGAGTACCTATTGCAAACACTATTTTACCAGCGGCTATGTAGAGGCCCAGCCCCAGCTTCCTCGAGCCTGGAAGCTGGAGGTCTTGGCCAAAATCTACGAAGCCGATGCTCTTCTTCGCAATGCAGGCGTGGACAGCGGAATTCATATGGATCATGTCTGGGTGGGAACTTCCGAGCTAGTAGAGGGAAAGTCAGATATCAGAGTGTTTATCACAAATTTCGGAAGGGCCAATATCCAGGTCCTCGAAGAGCACATAGGAGAGACACTTGCACGTCCGGAGTCCCCTATTGAGACTTTCTGGGACGAGGTGACGTACAATGCGTATTGGCTGACGCTAGACATCTGGACGGAGGACGAAAGTTTAGAAGACTACCGTCAGTGGCTAGTACAAAGATGGGGTGATTCGACTGAGTACCGGCCACTGCCTGAGAAACTGCGGAAGCGCGTCGCCAATGGAAGTTGGGGAAAGAATGAAGGGAGGTAGAAGCAGGTCGAGCGTGCGAGTGAGATGCGAGAAGATGGACAAGAGTCTTCGGTCATCCAGGACTTGTAAAGCCAGGTTAGAGGAAGCATCTGTCCACTGCGGTCCTTGGAATACCATCATCAACAAAAAGGACCATGATTCAGCCAATGATTTCTCGATGCAGGATTGATCAGAGATGCATCCAACACAAGGATGATCTTGAGTAGAGTAAATTCTTGTTTTGCGGATGACATGCTTAGATTTGCCTTCCGAAGTATTATTCGAACGCATTAGATGTATCTTTAACCCTGATCACAACATTGAAGAGGACCTGGACGTCACTCTCTTCGTGTTGTCCACATAAGTATGCCATTTCAAGGAGTTAATTGTGAACAACAACAATGCCTATACGTTGATTTTGTACTAGCAGTGCTGACTGCGAGGTTATGAATATTTTTCTGAAGTTGTTTGTGAATGCTTGAGACTTTGCATTTAGTGCTGACGAGGGTTACCGGCACGAATGTGGAATGCGAGCTATAAGGGCGTAATTTGCAGTTCCCCACTAAGGTCATGATAGTTTAGTGGTAGAATCCAGGCTTCCCATGCCTGGGGCAGGGGTTCGATTCCCCTTCATGACAGAATCTTTTGCTCAAGAGGTCTTTTTTCTTCTTTTTCGTAGCGGGTACTTTAGTTAGCGTTATTCTACTTGTCTTGATGCCTGCCTTGTTGTAGCTCTACTTCTGGATCCTGGGTCTCACAGATCCCTTCCCATTAGAGCAATTTTGTACTTTTCGTTCAGTACCTGTCAATTCCTAATCCCCAACTGTTGTCATCAGCTATCACAAATAGATGAACTCACCTGGTTGTTTCCATTTCGGAATTTGATTGCGTGTGGAAAGTTTTGACTGATGTATATACACGAGTAAGTATGGTGGGAGGGTGGGTGACAGTGAAGGCCATGCTTGGTGGTGACAGGTCAGCCGATTAACAGCAGCATGCCAAGCAACCACAATCCTGTGTTCTTTACCTATACAGGACAGCCAACGGAAAACCTTCTGGAACTTCTTTACATTATTCAACCAGACTGGGTGATAGAGCACTTTGCTTAGCTTCCTAATCAGATCATTACAGCAAATATGGCTTGGGTTGGACCAATTTACGAATGCGCAAGTACTAAAGTTGTATTTTACACGCTTCTCAATCGCAGGCCCGTGACGAAGGTGAATGGTTCAAGTTGTAAGACTTTCGTCAGCTTTCCACCTGCTGAGATCATTGTTCCGCGAAGTGAAACTCATTACTGCTCATGCATCCCAGTCAGTATTGCAGTCACTAACAGCCTTATTAGTGTTTGGAATCTCACATTTCTTCATAGCAACGCGAAATCGTGTTATAGAGCATGTTCCTAGTTCGTTTTCGCCAAATGGATTTACAGAAAACGGTGACCTGACACTGATACCGGAGAAAAAGCTGACATTGTGATAGTGAATGATGACCAATAAAAAGGCCCAAGTTATGTTTTCAGACAATACATCGTTTCTTCCCTAGCATTGGACAATAATTCCGCCACTTCTGTGTTATTGCTACCAATATTCAGATGCGCATTTCAGATTCAACGCCATGTCCGAAAATGTTCGGTGCGGAAGGTGAGAACATACAACTTCAGGGTTATTCGGCAGATAACTTTGCACCGAGAGAACAGACTCCTGATCCTCCTCATGTTACCATCTCCTCACAGGGCTCAGCAGTTTTCAGTTCGTGTTGTTGACAGGTCGCCGTCCGAGAACGGACCACACAATTTAGAAGTACGAGTAATTACAGCGTGGAACATCAAGGAAAATCTGAACATTGGGAGACAGAGATTTCAGTGTGTTAAATTTCATAAGTTAAGTATAAAGCACTGTGGATTATATAGCGAGTAGTAGAGTGTTAATGAAAGCGTTATTGTTTTAGCTAAGTTTGCTTTAGCAGAGGGCAAGCCTTTAGAGTGTAATTTATAGGTGCTCTAACAGGTATACACTCCTTTATAATAGCTTTTAGCAGCTTATATATATACCAAATTTATAATATACCCTTTAAATATTATTAAGTATTTACTTAAAAATAATTTAAAACTAATTATTATAAGTATAGTTAATTAAAAAGAATTTTAATAAAAAGAATATTAGTTTAATAAAATATAATACTTTTTTTTAAAAAGGTACTTAATAACTATAATAAAGTATTTAGTAATAATAACTTTAAAGCGCTAATAAGTTTAATAATAGTATATACTAATTATTACTTTAAATATAAAAATAATTCTTTAAAATATATACTTTAATTTCTAATTCCTTTTACTTATAACTATTAATTATATTAATAATAACCTTTTTTTTATTATTTATTTTATAATATATAATACTTTTCTACTTTTATTTATAAAAACTTTATATATAATTATTTAAATTATAACTTTTATAAATAATTAATATACTTTAAACTTATACCTTTATAAAATAGTTTTTTTAAACTATTACTTATATATCTATTAAAAAACTCTTTTATTAATTCTTTTTTATTATAAGCTATATTAATAAAAATTATAAATAATTAGCCTATTATATATTAAAAATTACTAAATAATATACTTTTTAACTTTTTTATTAATTTTAAAATACCTTACTTTTTTTCTATTTATAAATACTTTTTATTATTATTTATTTATTAAAATATTATTAATATATTTATTTAAATATAATTAAGCTTTTAGCTAATAAAAAAGCTTATATTATTATTAAAGGTAAATATAAAAATATTATAAAGCTTTAAAGAAAAAGTATTAAAAAGCTAAATATAAATAGCTTAGCTTTTTTTAAAAAATATATTTTAAAAACTTTTTATTATATTAACTTAAAATTTTAAATATTTAGCTATATTTTACCTATTATTATTTATAATTATAAAGTATTTTATAAATTATTTTTTAAAAATAAGCTTAAGCTTAAAACTATAATTTAATATAATAAGCTTTATTTTATTTATATATATTTATTTATTAATAGTAAAAGTAATAGTAACTATTTTAATTATTTTAATAATAGTAATTACTATTTATAATACGCTTATAATAAAAAGTATACTTTTATTTTTATTATTTTATATATTAATATTTAAGCTTTTTATAATATAGCTATTAACCCTAATAAAAAGGTTTTTATAAATACCTATACTATTTAAAAAAAGCGCTTAAAATAGTATCTTATTAATAAGCTTAATAATATTAAGAGTAAATACAGTTTATTTTTTATACTTTTAAATAATAGTTTTAAAAAGCTTAATAGCAATACTAAGGATATTAATATAAAAAATATATTTAAAAATAACAGCCTATTAGTAAGTAGTAATATTATTAAAGCTGCTAATAAATATATTAAGTTATTTCTAAATATATTAGCTAATTTTAGTATTAAAAAATATATTTTTTAAGCTTTTTATAGTTTTTTAATTAAAAGCTTTAATAAAAAAATTATTTATTAAGTTTAAGCTATTAGCTTTAATAATATTAAAAATATTAATAAAAAAAATTACTATATAACTAACTTTAAGTGCTATATAAAATATATTTTTATTTATATAATAAAAAATATAATTAAAAAGGTATATAATATTTTTATATAAAGCTTTATAAATTATTTTTATTTAATATAATATTATTTTTTAAAATTATAGTATAATTAATACCCTAAATATTTAGCTATTAATAAGCTTTTATAAGCTTAGCTAAATAAAATTTATTAATACTAATATATATTATTTAATTTAATTTATTAATACTTTTATATTATAAAGGTTTAATAATAATTAAAAGTATTTAAATTATTTTTTTATAAAGTTTTTTATAAGCTTATTAATTAATATTTTGTTAATTTTAAAATATTTAATTTTAAATTTTTTTTTTAATATTATTTTTTTAATTATATTTATTAAATATTTAAATATTTTAATTAAATTATAAGCTTATTTTTTATTAATATAATAAGTTAAATAGTTTATTTATTATTATAATAAATTTTTTATAATTTATTAATATTTAATAAAATATTAATAAAAAAATTTTAAAATATTATTATATTTTTAATTATATAATTTAAAATTATAAATTTAGCTTTTATAATTAAAGTAATTATTATATTTTATTTAATTACTTTTTAATAAATTAATTTATTAAATAGTATAATTATAAATTTTTAAAATAATTTTTAAAATTTTTTATTATTTATAAAAAAAGCATTTTTAATAATTAAAAATATATTAATATTTTAAAATCTTTTTTTATATTTAATTTTTAATATTTTTATTAAATAAAAATATTATATTAAATAATTATTTATATTAAAGTATATAAATTTAAAGTTTATAAAGAATTATAAAAGCTATATAGCTATATATACTATATTTAAGTAAAGTATTATTATAGTATATAATATTAATTTTATATATTTTTAATATTTTTTAATTTTAATATATATAGCTTTTTTAATATATTTTTATAATTTATTAACTAATAAAGAAGTTATTAGTAAAAACTTTTTATTATTTATTAAATTAAATTTCAATATAATTTTTTTAAAGTATATATTATATATTAAGCTAATTATTTTTTTTTAATAGTTTTTAATTATTTATATATTTAAAAACTATTTTATAGTTTTTTAATTTATTATATTATATATATATTTAATACTTTTTTTAGTTTAAAAAGCTTTTATTTAATATTTTTAATAATAAAATATTAAAATATTATTTATATAAAAAATTATTATAATACTTTTTATTTAATTTATAAATAAATATAGTTTTTTATTAATAATAAAAGCTTAAATTAATTAAAAGTATAATTAAATTTTTTATATTATTATAATAATAAATTTTAAAGTTTATATAAAGTATATTTTAATAATATATACTTTTTTAATTTTTAAAAGTTATTTAATAATTTATAAAATATTAATTTATAATTTTTTTTTATAAAATTTAAAAAT